GAGGTATCCTGAATCCGCCAAAATACTCCAAAACAGGGGTATGGATTTTGATGGGTACAGGGTGGTTAGGGTTATAAAGGTGAATAACTAATAGAAGGCAATTAAAAATAGCAGTTAAAAATTAAAAATATCTGGGGTAAACCTCAAAAATAGAAGGTGGAGGGCAACTCAAGTAGAGTACATTATTTGTCATTTGTGAATTTTTTTCGTTCGAAGCAACAATTACAAAACTACTCAAAATCTAAAGAAGGGTGCTTAACAACCTGATGAAGTTGTAGCTCATAGAATGCTGTAGGCCTATATTCCGAGAAAACAATATTCTAGAATCTCAATTTCAATTCAAAAGGTGCCAAGTCATGTTTTGAATTGCGCCCGAAAATCAGCGTCCGGGACACGTTCTCATTCAGCCGATTGCAGAGTCTACGTGATGTCACGCGCCGAATTGACAAATAATATTAACCGCGTGCGCGTGTGCGTCGTGTCAACGCTTGAGCGCACTTATTCACGCTTTGCCGAATTTAAAAAGAACTACTAACGGAAGATTCCAAAAAGCATCTTTAGTCTTATCTTTGGGCCAATTTTGGAAAATGAGCCTTCTTTTATTGCTTTCTTGAAAATGACAGCATGCCAGAAAGAATCATTTCACAGGGAGTTTAGTGCCATCGATATCTTTAAACCAAGTAAGCTTTTCAACAATAATTTAGTCAGTCACTTTTTGGATAGCTGCAAATCATGTACTCTACCTTTAGTTTAATTAAGAGAAATTAACCAACCACAAATAACTTATTTCCGAATTCTTAACCCTGAAGATATGACATTTGCAGGAGCTGGCACCTTCAATGAATGTAGTACAAAAATGCTCTTTAACCTCTATTCTGCTGATAACAACATCCAACAGAGGGCAAATTCTGTTGGGAGCTTATTGCTTTTGACTGTAGGCAAAAGACATCATTCTATGTAGGATTGTGTTGGGTTCTGTTAGGTACAGCACACTTCAACCTGTTGCGGTGTGGGAATTTGTAGAATTTTGCAGGGAATTAAAAAAAGTTGTACATTTATGGTATATGCATCCAAATAAAAGAACTTTTCGGTTCAATATTTCTCAGCCTTGCATAAAGTTGAGCCATGAGTAACCATGCATTTAATTATTACTATACCCTCTAACAGCACACAAAGTTGCAATACGTGTACTTTGTACACATGTCCAATTTGCAATTGTTTTAAATTGACTGGTGGGCATGTTTCAAAAGTCCCCAAATCATGTCGGACGGAATTTGATAGAACAAAATGTAACAATTTTTGTTTTAGAATACATTAAAATGTTATTCTGATTTCAAACAACACCAAAGATTTTAAGTAATGACACCTAACATTATTTCTAAATTCCACACTTTTGTTTGTCTGTTATTACGAAAAATGTGTACATGTCGGACGGAATCGATAGAAATGAGCCTCCTCAGAATTTCAGAAACAAAATCAGATTTTATCAAAACTTGAGGGATCATTTTTTTCTATGTTTTATGTCAAGAAGAATAACAATCACTACTTATGCTGACGTATATATTTTCTCTACAACACTATGTCATATTCAGTTAAGCTCAGCTGAAGCCACACCATGTCGGACGGAACAAATCATGTCGGACGGAATCACTATGTTGACCCAAAAACAAAGTTTGAAGAAACTTAATTTTAATGATAGTGGTCTTTAGGTAGTTGACTGTGCTTACCACCTGGGCACTTATAATGAACAAATAATCAAGCTTCTTACAATTGTGTGAGAAAGATTATTAAAAATCCGTCCGACATGCTTCATTCCGTCCGACATGATTTTCAGTACATCAGTTTACATCCTCTGTACAAACATGAATAATTGCAAACTTCAGACAGGTTTTTTAGCTAACAAATATCATCCACTTCAGGTCCATATACAATGTCTAAATTTTCTGACAAAATGCATTCAGAATATTACTACTGGTGGTTTAAAATATATCTAATTTATACAGGAACAATTGCCAATATTTGCACAATTTTCCGCATTGGGCACTCACAAAAGGCATGCTAAAAAAGGACCCTCATTTATACGAAAAGGACACTCTTTGAAAAATATTGTGGGTGGGGGGCAGATGTGGATTCGGGGGGGGGGGGGTGGTTTGGGGGTAAAAACAAAACCCAGCGCTGTAAAAAAAATTGTTTTCCCCTAGAAATTAATTTTAAAAATGTTAACCCCCCCCCCCCCACCCACATTTTTTTTTACTGGCAATAATGTTCGCCTTTGCACAAAATACGGACAGAGCCAGCTTGGTTAGGAGGCATACCGGTACATGTACCGGTATACATGTACACCATTTCGTGATATATTGTTAATAATTGTCGGATTGAACAGCGCCCCCATTGAAAGTATGGTACAAGGCCCCCCCCCCCCCCCCCCCAAGTGTCCAGAGAACAAAAACCCTGTCTATATTTCAAATCTTTTTGATGATGAAACCCCCCCCCCCCCCTTCCCCCAGGGCGAAAATTCCTGGATCCGCCCTTGGGGGGGGGGGGGGTTAACCGCTAGTGGAAAAAGGCAAATAATAACAATCATTATAAAATATTGGGGGGGGGGCGGCTACACAGCTTCACTTTGGCACACTTTCTTTTTGTGTGTTCTATCCTTAAATTTCACAAGTTCATTTCTCCTTGTGTGTATTTCTCATGTGTAATTGCTCCCTGATCTTGCTATTCCGCTCTCTTTCTTTGGCATGGTACTCTTCTGGATGCATTGATGCTCTGTATATGTATAGCATTTTACAGCTAACAGCATTGTTTCACTGCTCTGACACATTATAACGATAATTTCCAAATTATTAAGTTCATGTAACACAATAGACATGTTTAGTTTATTTAGATAAAAACATATATGCCAGTATAGGTGAGTGTTACACACACATACCGGTACATGTACTTGCCAAATTACCTGGATACAGTTTAAATTCCCTCACCTACGGTACATTGTAATAATGTCTACCAACCTCACTATCTTAACACAAATATGTAAAAGCCATCATCAGTCCAAAAAGAATAAAATGTACATGATTATGATTAATGTACATTGCACAGTTTAATTCCCATGAATATAGAAGGTTGCCTTAATTATTGGAAACACCAAGGTGTGTGACTGGTCAGTAGGCTGCCAAACAAGTCAGCCTGTTCAACTTTGGCTAAATTTGGATTTTCGCATGTCGGACGGAATCTTACTGTCCTGTGTAGGCTTTGCTTTGATGGTACTGAAATGAGCAAAGAACAATATCAACTTGGTAAAAGTTCTTTATCCCCTACTTAATGTTTATTAATTAACAATTATTAATATCAGTTCCCCGAGGCACAACTATCTAGGAATGTAAAGTCCATTTCCGTCCGACATATACCATTCCGTCCGACATGCATGTGGGACGGAAAGCACTTTTATTCACTTTATCTCGAAGGGTGACAAGGTGAAACATAAAACTTTTTGTTGGTGTTAATACTGAGTCTATTCATTGATACTTGACAATATTTGCCTTTTTATTAAAACAAGTAAATTAAAAAAAAAAAACATTTTAACAACCTTAAGCATGTCGGACGGAAATCTTGACAACAAAAATTATCATTTGAAATGAAATACCAAGATTTACGGCAGCAGCAATAATGATGAAATGGATAATGACTGAAGACAATCTAAGTTATTGTTTTTGTGGAAAAGATAGAATTCAAGGCATTTGTACTTAATATGAGAAGGGTTTTCTTTAAATGCAAAAAATTCCATCCGACATGAATTGATTTCACTGGCCACACTATTAAAGCAACTTTTCACTGAGATAAGTATGTAAATTTAATTTTTTTTATTCAAAATAGTAAAATTAGGTTAATCTGCTTTAAAAATAAGGATTTGTAAATCTTGTTTAAGGCTTTTTAATTTTTTACCTCTATGATGACCACTTTTGAAACATGCCCTGCTTTGGTCACAGTGTAGGAAATGTTTATTTTATCAAATTCTTCCTTTGGTTTTTTTTTTCTTTTAGATAAATATTACACAATAGCTGCGCAAACAGATGTTTAAACTTAAGACCACCAAAAATAAAAATGTCAATACTGTCACCGGAAACAATCAAATAACGTCAAAAAAGCACAGATGGCGATAAGTAAACAGTTTGAGGAAATGTTGCAGAAAGCTTGTCAGTGTGTACCGGGTACGTGTATTGGCAATTTGCACTACCAAACGAAATGCTGCCTAAAGCAATTATCACTACGTAGGCTGGTGAAAAATATAATGGTACTGAAAGCGAGTGAATTTATTGTACAAGTAGTGCGTGAAGGAAATAACAAAAAGTCTGCACTAGAAAGCAGGAGGTCGTGGGTTCAAGTCCCACCCAGAGTGATTTTTTTCCCAACTATCACTACGGAGGTAACACACTCAGTACACAGTGTTGTACTGTTTACGTCAGTGAAGGGCAAAAAGCTTAAGATTGATTTACATCACCCCGACGCAAATTCCATCTTATGAAATACCCTGGTAAAAAGAGGGCACGAGGTTGGCTCTCTACGACCATCTTTTTAAAAAATTTAAAAAGAAGAAAGATGATGCCCTTAGCCCCACTAACACCATTTGTTACACACAAAAAATCAACAAGTGTCATGAGCATTATGCACAGCTGAGGAATTTGGTTTGAATGGACAGGCATGCATGTAAACACTTACACTTGTTACGGTACATTGCCTATATCTCTACCTTCTCAGTTCTATTTTATTTCCAAATTGATGGTTCAATGTATACAATGTATTTACTGGCATAATCACTGTTTAACCCGTGAAAATATGACTGCAACTGAACAGATGTTGTCGTCAGCTGCCACAACCCTACCAGCACCTTTGTGTATGAGCAATGAAGAAGAACACCGCTCACACATAATTATGCACAAAATTGATCATTATGCCCATATTATTTTTAATAATCCAGCACCGTTTACACACTGAAATTAATTCTACACTTGTCGACTGAGGTCACGTTGGAAGGTGTTTGGTTCAAAGCCAAGCCCTGTGAGCATAGCGGCCATGACAAAGCCAAGGGTACGATTCTCCCAACAAATGACCTGGCATAAACAGTACAAAAAATCCATGAAAAATGTTTGTATTGCATGGTCGGTCGGCAATACAACTCACATTCCTACATTTCATGCAAGACTCTTTTCAACTGGAACTATTTTAAAAGCAAATAGTTCCAAGGTTTCAGCACAAGTGCAAAAATAAGCTGGCGTCTAGGTACACAGCTCTGTAACACAAAAGATGCAACATACAGTATACCTACACGTGTACGTGTACCTGGTATTTGTGACACATTTTAAGCTACAAATGCTTTTACATAATTTGTCCTTGGACAGTTCTAGGCCAGTGAAATGAAAGTTGTTCAAAATGGTTAACTTACTGCTGCACTGGAATCCCTGCTTGCCAAAGCCCCTGCAACCAAAAAAAAATTGAAAAGGATTATTAAGCTTAAAAAGTTACACATTTTTACATGTTAGGTTCACATTTTTTCTTACGATTATGAAAATGTATCTATTTTTTTTAAATATCATATTGTACAATTGAAACAGTATGATATTTGGCTACAGTTCTTTTCTTTTTCAAAATGAGGTTTAGCACAGACTGGATGTCATCCTGACTGTATATGTTCAAGTGTTGTTCAGTGACAGAGAAATATTGCACATAGTTACAGCCATTGAGATGACAACTCCATAAATTTAGTTTTTTCTTACAATACATGTAGGGCACTGGTGTTCTGGTGAATTCAAAGTGTGCAGTGACACTGCCTATAGACTTACCGGGTATTCCGTGAACAAAATAAGAATCCATTTTTGAGGTGGAAGCAGCTCTTAAAGACGGGGCGCGTGCGCATTTTGGTAACACTGTTGGTCGAAGGAGCCTGGTTCAACCTCAAAATTGGCTTCTAACTTTGTTCGTCAAATCAGTCTATGGGCTTCGTGCGCCAACGAAAGAGGGCGCGTTTTTGCCACTTTTGAGAGCTCCGTGGGCGGGACACACAAAGTGAGCGTACTGTACTGCAATGGTTCGTGCGCGAAGTACGCACGACTTCCTGAATGTGCAAAAGCCCACAGCGTCTTCACGTGAGCGTCAGGCGGCATCGGTGCGCCATTTGAATTTAACTTGCGATGGTCTCCCAGACTAATCCCCGCCCCCGATAACTTTGGGTCATTGAAATACGCAGTGGATTGACCAGGAACCAATCTACCTAGGTCTTCCCCAATTTTCTTTTTATGGCCATTGAAGGAGTCCTTTGCACGGAGCCCATAGTGGATTCCGGCGACCAGAGTTAGAGGCTTTTACTGCGGTGCATGGTGTCACACTCATGTGCATGCTGCACGCGTTCTTAAAGACGAGGCGCGCGCATTTTTGGTATTCCTATTGGTCAGAAGAGCGCAGAGTGCATGTGTACTACCTGAGCGTGACTCGCGCGAGCCTTGCGCCACCGCAGAAAATGGCTGCCACCAGATTTGTCTATAGATGGGTATGACCATGTATGACTAGACGTTTATGTTTAGAAAAACTTAGTCACAAGAATCATTGTGAATTGGGGGAGAGGGAAGTGGCACATTGGTAGAGTGTGTACTTTTCTAGCCTTTCATCGCTGTGACCTTGATTTGTACTATGGGTATATATAATTGGGTTTTCAGGTGGGTTTCCCTGGAATGTCGCACTCATGCGGATCCTGCACGTGTTCTTAAAGACGAGGCGTGCGCATTTTGATATTCCTATTGGCCAGATTTGTCTACAGATACATGTAGGTATGACTAGACATTTATGTTTTAGTCACAAGAATCATTGTGAATTGGGGGAGAGGGAAGTGGCACATTGGTAGGTATTTTTCTAGCCTTTCATCCCTGTGACCGTGATTTGTACTATGGGTATATATGCCCTGGGCAACATTCAGATTGGGTTTTCCGGTGGGTTTTTCCTGGAATGTCATTCTGGGGTCTCCCTCCCACCTCTGAAACCGTAATTTCCTTCCTCTGACAATGGACCCCCTAGACTGGTCCCCGCCCCCCATGAGGACCGGTAGCTAGTTCCCATTTAAAGCCATTGATTGGATCCCCTCTGCGCATGCGCAGCATGAGTTTTGTTGGGTTTTTTTTACGATGTTTAGATCTTTGCGCAAGGATGACACTTGAACACATATATCAAAAAAATTACTCCTACCAGAAACAGTAGGAAAAATCGCCAGTGTCTTCACACAGACAGCGTCCAAACTCCAAGCATTTCAGCTGCATAGGTTTCAAAGACAGCGACAAGTAGTGCCCTTCTCTTTTATTGATAGTTGCCAGAGACACTTTCGAATAAAGTGAAAATCAAATCTCGTCACCAAACAAACTGCACAATTAGTAGGGGTAGCCTTGTTGCCATTTTGCAATACGCTGGTTCCGCGCTAACATTTTCGTTGTGATTTTGTATTCAGGGTGCCAAAATCAGACCTAAGCTAGTCCTGCATATAATTTGCATATACAAAAGTATCAGGAGGAAAACCTAATGTATTCAGGATTCATTGCTAGCTATACTACACTTGAAGTCCGAAGGACAATGGAGGGACTGGGAACCAGTCTAGGGACCCCATTGGAGTTGGAGTGTGAGCCGTCCCCACCAAACACAAAATAATAATAAATTAACCAATTTCAACCATTTTTTAAATAAATTTATCAACAAAAAAATGTCTTTTGCCAATAGGCCCATCCAGATGATAAATGCCTTCGTATCCTCAGAGATGGCATTCCCTTATGCAAGGACCTTGAATTTCCAGGGATGACTTAACCGGTAATCGTATGCGAGGACCAGCCATCCATGACCTAACTTGGCGCTCAGTCGTGACCCGTGCAGTGTGTTGTAAATACGCAATCGACGATCATCATGTAGTGTGAATTGACATGGCAGGGGATGTTTCTGGAGTCAATTTCAGTTGATATACTGTGACGATATTGTTTACCAGACAGTTGTCTGGTTTTAAAGCAGATGTCGAGGCCTGAATTCTTGTACAATGTTTGCCCACGATTCACATGCAACAAATAGCAAGTGTTTGGGAAAAAAAATACGCTGTTGCTGTTTTTACACAAGTTGACTGTTGCGCGCTAATGCTTCACTAATTGACAACCAAATTGTTCTCAGATTTTACTTCCCTTTGAAAAAAAATCCTTTTGAGCCATGAATTGGAAAGATGAATTAGAAAGACAAATTAGTAGATACTTCAATAAAAAGTAGGATATGATTTTAAGCAAAAACATTTTTTAAGAAAAGTTGTCCCCAGGATTCAAGCTCAACACCTGCAAATGCTTTGAAAATGCACATTTACCCTATTGAGCTACCAAACGGCGGTGGATGTTTAACCGTGATCGGGTCCCCCGATTGTTTTTGTTGTTAAACCGGCATTGTAGGCCTACTGAACACTTGGCCACATGTGGTTTTAAAATGGGCAATCGTGAACAATGTAACTTTACGGGCCCGGTACCCTACAGTATAAGAGAACAAATTCAATTATTTTATTTTATTTGACTAACCAAACTAGTTATAATATTAGTGACATTAAGAACAGCCGGTAGGCCTACATTCATATGGCAGAGTTTCAAATTTTTGAGGAAAATTTGGGGTAAAATGACGATGACAAAATGCAACACCAAAATAAAGATGGCGATCACCGCGATGTACAGTGAACACGCAGCTTGGCGCGCTGAATCACACGGCACCAACTGTAAACCGCGTACGAAAATCTTAATTTGTAGGGCCTACCCAAAAAAAAAAATTAAAATTACAAAAAAGTTGTCAGTAGAATTGAGAGGTCTGCTTTCGGTTGAAAAGGTCGTTTTAGAAAGATACAAAAAAACTTGACTCTAAGTCTAATTCGATCGAAACAAAACACAAACAGGGGCCCTTCACTTCACGATCACCAAAATAATACAACTTTAAGGTTACAAATGTATATTTTGGCGATCGTGTAGTGTACGGCTCCTGTTCAGTGTTTTGTTTCGATCAAATTTAGAGTCAACAGGTCAAGGTTTTTTGACGTTAACAATTTTTATTACAAAAGGCTTTTATTAGTAATATTTCTATCTGAACTAGCCTATTCCAGGTATTTAGTGGTAGCACTAAAGCTCAGTACCAGCAAAACTGTTCTGTTTATCAGCACCTCACTAGCAATGCCGTGCGCGCATTGACTACATGCACTCACCATATGAAATCCTTGCAGTGGCTGCAAAATGTCGGCTGCTTGAAAAACCGCGGAATAAACTTGTGACTGCGGACTTCGTGCACGACTTTCTGTCGCACGGCCCCGCGCCTGGCAAAACCCTTGGCCGGCCGGACCCCATCGTCCCCATACCCGCTGCCGCTGGAACTTTTGGATGACATTTCCTCTAAACTTCCCTTTTCCCAGACCACCGAGGAATGCTTCCGTGGAAAGAAAACACGTCCCTACTTCGGCGTATAAATCCTGCACAGTGCATGCACGATATATCCGCAGTTCCGCATGTACTGTGTACTATGTGTACACTACTGCAACAGTCAATACGCCCTCGCAACGCAAATGGCATCTGTAAATATCAGGCTACGGATGTCCTCGCATGACAGATACACGAGAACTTGTGAAAAATCCTTCTTCAATTTGCTAACACTGTGTCGAGATTTGTTTAATGCTTTCTACCACTAGAATTGAAAACACTTAATTTTAAGTGTAATGTTTAAAAATTACGACAATGTTTTAATAATAATAGATGGGTTGTGAAAAGTTAAAATTCTCTCTACTAATGTCACTTATGAAGCTTCGTAGATTTTATCAGTGGAAAAGGGGGCGGGGTGGTCCAAAGGCAAAGTAGTAGTTTTGCAAGGACAAAGCTATGTTGCTTTTGACTTTGGAAGGATGAGATAATTAACATTTATTTGCTAAAATGACAGGAGAATAATCAGCGTTTTTTTCTCATTTTTACCCACTCATCAAACGGGAAAGAAATCTTTGGCCCCTGGGTACAGCGATTTCCTTTCACGGTCAACTAGCGTAGCGCCCTCTATTTATCTTATTCGACTCGTACTCGCGGTCTCGCGCTTTCGCCGCGCTTAGTCTAGTCGAAGTGTGGTTATCAAAATTAAAACGAATTTTAAATAAATTGAGTGAAGTACGATTTGAACCTTGGACCCTTAAAACACCATTACCGCGTCATGCCGAGCTATCCGGCCTTTACTTATAATTTCCCAATCGTTAAAGTGCGGCAAGTGGTCGAACTCGATCTGGGTTCGAAGTACATGTACATTACCAGCACGTTGTAAAAGTTGGTGCATCCATACTCTCATAACTTGTTCTTTAAAATGGAACTTGCGGTCGCTGGCGAAGTTAATTGAGCGTGATGGGGAGCAATAAATAACCGTCTGGTATTTTCTACACAAACCCCCGGTGTAGGGGGGTTTGAGTCGAAATTTTAAGATACCAACTTTTACGACAATGTGTTGGTAATGTATTTTTGGGGGAACAAATATAAAAGTGCTCCTCCTCACGCGAATAAAATGGTTTGCCATCAAAAGCAATAGTGCCCCTCTCGTGAAACTGAAATGTCTCTCTGCATAACTAGTCAAATTCATGGGCGGTCCCAGAGAGGTTACTGCCGGGGCCGGGGCGGTGGGTGTGCGGTGTGCGGTTTGCCGAAGGCCCAAGGGCGGATCCAAGAAGGGGGGGCGGGACGGGAGGGTGCAATGGGGCCATGTCCCCCCCCCCCTAAAAAAACACGTAGTGACGACACAAACAAGGCAGCCACACTACGTACACCGACATCTTTTTCTACAAAAATTGGTCAAAGTGGTCAGAAATTGCCTCAGATCGCACTGCAGAGGATGAAGCTTCCCTTTTTTTGTTTAAATAGGGGCCATTATGGTTGCGAGGGTGAAGCTTGGCTGGTTGTCAAGTAAAGCTAATCCGATTACGTACTTAGACACTGTAGCAAATGGTCCGTGGGTTGACCAATTTCGGCCTGGCACAGCTCAATAACGGAGGGTATATTAGCATATTCATTAACGTCACCTGACGTGACTTGGCGTGGTACTTGGTACTTGGTTGGTGGTCCTCCGAAATATTCCATCTCTAGGGAATTTAAACTGGAGGTGTGGCACCAGGGTTTACAATGTGCTGCGGCCACTGTCAGAAACACCGGGGCCGGAACCCCTTCTCTTAGCGACAAGTGTTTCCGTCTTTAACGTGCATTACACAACACACGGGACCTACGGCTTTACGTCCCATCCGAAGGACGAAGCAATAGCGGTAAAGTGCCTTGCTCAAGAGCACAAGCACCATGTTCCCACGGCCAGGATTCAGTGAACCCGTGTACCACAGCACACGAGTCGAACACCGTAACCATTGGACCACAGCACTCCACAGGGGGTAGGTCTCGGTATCGACCAATGGGAGCCGGCAAAAAGGGTGATATTTATCAATTAATAACTCGTGAAGGAGGATTTTATGCAAATGTTTACTGCACACCATAATGGGTATAGGAACCTCATTAATATTAGGGCTTGAAAACATTAAAAGACACTGCTAACGCCAGCGTTACAGCTTTCAAATATGCACGTAGCCAGTCCTATTTTTCCAATATCAACGAAAAGTAAAGAACATATCGCAACGATTTTTAGCACATAGGCCTTACTTGAATATAAGGGGAAATGTGTACAAGTCGTTTCATTCCAAATAAAGTGTTACCTAACGTTTAGAAATCACATGGCTGCTTAAGCGGGCCCCGAAGGGCCATGCCGTGAATTTGTGGACCCACTTTTTTGCGCCCCCCCCCCAAAAAAAATGTGTTCTGGATCCGCTGATGTAGGCGGAGGCCGAAGGGCTCCCCGACGGAATATGCCCCTTTTCTGGATAAGTGCCCCTTCAAGTTTTTGGTGTTGCCCCCCTCCCCCCACACCCAGTTTGAAAAGCGATCCGCCGCCCCTAGCCGTGTGAATTAAGAGTTACTCTAATTGTCCCACCACCGAGGACTGTTTCGAATATCCACATCAAGCTAAGCTCGGAAAAAGCCGTAGGAGAACGAAGTTACCCCACAAAAAGTATTTGTATGCATCGGTACGAGACAGGACTCGGGATAGCAGTTTGGGGAGAGCACATGGTAGATCATCGGGGTTCTGGAGTGTTTGGTGGAACTTTTCTGTTTTGTATTTTGTTGAATGATGGGAAAGGCAAAGTTCCAGCAGGCGCATTACCAGGGTGTTGTTTGTCCGTTGCAAAATAGAATTTGTCTTTCCGATAATCAACTTTACCCTTCCGATTATGATTCAGCGTCCTGATTTAAAATTTCCCTGCACTCTGTCACTCTGCACCCCCTGGTTACGCCACTGAGTTCCAGCCCTGCCCAAGGACCTGTCGAAATACTTCTGGCGGTATTGAGCATTCCATCCCTTTCCATAAAACAAATCCTCATAGGTTTCCCCCTTTTCAACAGCCTCTATACATCCCGGCAGGCATAACCCCGCCAGACATCATCAGATCTGAGCAGCCAGCGTGAAGGAGCGTCAACGACTAATACAACGGATGCACGACATTCTTTGTTTGATAATTGACTGGACACCAGCTCAGAGTCGCCTGAACCAAGGAATAGCATCCTTAAATGTGCGATTCCTCTTTTGGCTGACACTACAAGTGGTACAAGTCGCCACGTGGGTACTTGGAGACAGAAATAATAGGTTACCACCTTCAGCAACCGTGGAACTGATGGCTAGAGAACAACTACCTCCCGGTGCAGACGTAAGCTGCTGGGCAAAGTGGAAATGCCTCAACCGACCAAGAACTGGAGTTGGCAGGGCCAAGGTGACGCTCAATAAGTGGGGATATAGTTCCTCTAACGACACTATGTGTGATTGTGGCGCAGAGCCACAAACTATGGAGCACCTTTTCAGATGCTCTCTAATATACACGATCCTTGCACAGCTGCCGACCTAGCAATGTTTAATGAAGATGCGGAGAAATGCGTTCGGTTTTGGCAGAATCGAACTTAGCTTGTTGTGAAAGTGGACTCTATGACTGAGAAGACTTCCCCATTTTTTGTCCATCTGATTACCCACTGGGTACTTAGATCACAGAAATGTAGGACCAAGGATCTTTAAGTCAATTGATTTCATTTTTATATTTATTGACTTGTTTTGTAGGGATCACTGCTTGCAGAACAAATCGATAGAATGCTAGTTTTAAGACACTGACAGCATGGGGAACCGCCAGCATAGGTCTGGATAGCTCGGTTGGTAGAGCGTCGGTACGGCAATCCGGAGGTGGCAGGTTCATGTTCCAGTCAATTTCGTTGTCCAACCTTAAGTATTCCAATGCACCTAGTCAGGTTTCCCTTTGTGACTTTCATTTGTAAATTCGTGTGTTTTCAGCCATTACTCTTAGGAGTCAAGTAATCCAATGATACAAATAAACGATGAAGAAGCACATCTTCACACAGAAAATTACATTCATTTGACGATCACTGTTTAATTTGTACGAATTACCGAAATTACAAATTTACCCTTTTTTTTCACAGATAATCTACACATGCAGGCTCTCTTTACAAAATGATTTTGATTCTATAATAGTCCACAAAAAGTGAAAATAATTTGTTGACCCTGATGTAACTTTTGAACAAAGAAGAACGTTTCCAAAATGAAAAGAATTTTTGTCTAAGATCATACTGAATATTTCAGATAAAATAAACAAGAAAAAAAGAAAGAATCTATGCTATTTTACAGCAATGTACAATCTTGGCATCAATGCTAGCAACTGGCAAAACAATTTGTGAAATATGTCCATCACATAAGATTTAGTATCAATTAACTAAATTATCCATTAAGTCTACATACCAATGCCTTAACCAAATTTTGAATGTAATCCTTTGTTTGTTTGTTTATTTTTGGAAAGTTATAAACCTCAACCCCAAAGTCTCATTTTCTAAAAAAGGAAAATAAGTGGCAAAAAAAGAGAGAAAATAGTAGCTGCTTTCAAAACGTGCAAGCCTGTGAATTCAACTTGGGTTGAAAAACAAACAAACAGGGGGTTAATTTGTTTTGACCTGTCGTGGGAATTATAATAAAAAAGTTCTACACACTTTTCTGACAACTTTGTATTGCACCTGAACCAACAAGCATTCACCAATTAGAATAAATCACTGAAACAAAAGCTTTAGACAATCAACTTCTGAGGAATTTCGAAAGCTTGTAGCTAAATTACTTATCACAAAATATTGCTCGTGTGCACATAATATACAGCTAAATTATTTACAAAAATCTACAATAATAGAAATAATACCTGGTCAATCGAATACAGCCTCATGCTCAAACAAACAAACAAACAAATAAACACACTAACAAACAATTTTTGTGTGAGTTTAGCTAATCAGTTGTATGGGCCCAAGAAGTATGAATAAAACAGATTTCACTGAAAAGTCAGGGTATGCTTTAGTTTCGAATTTCGAATCAAGGTTTAATCCTTATTCTCTGAAGGTAGTTTTGAACAAATTGCCACAGCTAGTGATAAATTGTGGCAAAATGTGGCGTTCAAATTCTGTCATTTCTGTTCATTCTGTCACTGGCACTGCAATCTGACTCGACTTAGTGTCGCCACAACATATCTTATACTCTAGCTTGAAAAGGGATAATTTTGAAAAATATACCCACATATGAAACTCATTATTGGATTGACAAATCCAACCTCTTTTTCACTGTGAATTTGAACATTTTCCACAAGCTGTACAGGAAGGGCAATAAATTGTCTCACAAGTCTCTAAATGCAAATCACCAGATTTGGATTTTGTTGCTTTTGTTACTATTGTTCATTTGTTTTTCATACTTTGTGTTCTAAGTTGACCTCAAAAGGAGGAGCCGCTGCTACTACTTTTCTCTGTTTAACAGTTCAGCCTTGTTACAGGTTAAGAACCAGTTCTTTTATATTGCAATACTCTTTGAACTTTGCTGGGGAGTTCCATAGTCCTTCAGGTGGCTGCCGCTGTCATCGATGGCTTGATGTGGTTGGGAGGCATGTGTCTGCTGGACTTATCTGAAGTAAACAAAAATAATCAATACAAACATAAAGAGCAAGTGTTTACAATCCTCTGAAGGCCTTAAAAAAATTATTATGGAAGAACAGCTAAGCAACAGTTAATGTTTTCCCAGCAAATTACTTTCTGAAACAATGAAACTTTTGATTTGTGTTTGGCTTGACTATTACCAAAACGTTTACCACAATATTTAACCTTAAATTTATATTTGGTAACAACTGGTGCCTCTTAGGGCCCGTGACCATTCAGCCCCGGTATGAAAAGGGCCCCCCGGTAAGCTCGTCCCCTCCCAAGAAGTCCTCTCATACCGTCCCAGCTACCGGCCCAGGAGCTGGTCCGGTTGCTAATCAGGAACTCCTCTATCCTGGGGTCTATTGTTTGCAAGTATTGACATATGTAATATATCCCAGAAGAAACCCGCTTGTGGTTTTCATCTCTCAGCGCGAAACAATAGAACACTTTCGTTGGCACAGATTAAATCCCATGCCATGTGGTTTCGCGCACAATGGGACCGTAAATTACCAAGGCGTTATGGATGGATTTTATCTTTAATCCGGTAAGTCTGCTATTGTTCTGCTCTGGATGTTCTCTGAAGGGCAATAAATTAATGCGCCTGACTGACTTCAAAACTTCTGGTCAGACAGGACCATGTACCGGACGAGACTGGGCTGAAGACCGGACTGGTTTTGGACCGGACGGGGTAACGGGGGGCCCCTTTCATACCAGGGCTGAATGGTCACGGTCCCTTAAATGACATCCATGGAAATATGCTTGCTTTCCATCGTAACTGAACTCATGTAGAAATGTGTACTCATGTTGAAATTGAGCCCATCTCGAATTGACGCCCATCTAGATATGGTGCCCATCTAGATACGGCGCCAATCTTGAAATGGGGCCCATCTAGATATGGTGCCCATCTAGAACTGTAGCCCATTTAGATATGGTGCCCATCTAGAAAGGGAGCCCATCTCACAATAGTGCCCATTTAGAACTGATAATCCATCGACTGGTACCCATGAAACGACACCACCCATATAATTCTCATCCATGTCAGGCCTGTCGGGACAGGCCAAACAGTCACCCAAGAATCTTTCTCAATTTTCCCTCATTGTAAAGTCAACGTCAACGCTTTGGACCACCCTTATTTTCAAGTGATAAACACAAAGTGCAGAAAGAGAAAGTTTGCTTAAAGTCTATATCATATGATTACAACATCCCAAACTTGTAATGAGTGTGGCATTTTCTATGAAATGGCAGCCTCGCAATGCCACCCATTTTAATACTGGTGCCAATAAGCCTCTGTACTAATGATGTCACACTTTGTTTACATGTGCACTTTCCTATGGAGCCAGTGGGGGCCCACGGTCCACTGAGCACTTCAGGAAAGCACACACGTAAACAAAGTGTGACGTCATCAGTACAGAGGCTTATAAAATGGTCGTATGTATGGTACACACAAGTTACTTTGTCTTACTTTTCTCGTGTGGTTTTGTAGTTGTGCCAAACAGCTGTCTGAAGGATCTGGACTGAGACAGGAAGTGCCTAGCCTGCTCAATCTCATCAACTAGCTGCTTCAGGTCATCACTGTCAAAGGTCGGCAGTATAGGATGCTGAGGGGTCAAAGGTGAAAGTTCAAAGGTTAAAGGCTGCTGTCAATGGCAATACGGCCGTGCCCGAATTACTTGGCTATGTTTGGAAATTATGGAAGCGGCTATGGAAGCGGCTACTGTTACTTCCCATAGACCTGCGTGTTATATCCAGCCGTAGCCAAGTCATTCGGATGCGGCTTATCTCCCAAATAACAGCCTTTTAAAAACTTTGTTCGCGGATTGGAAATTAAAAGAGTTATTTTAAACTTTAAAACTTTAGTTTCATTACAAAGAAATAGTGGAACCTGTCCAATGGTTGTCTAGATTTAGTGCCAATGAATGGGCACTAATGTATAAATTTCAGGCATTTTGCCGCAATCAAAGTGATTATAGACATTTTGGGACAAAAGTTAATGCTTGGCCAATGTTTGATATGCCATGGAAATGTGCAAAATGACTTAAACTGATGTTCTGAAAAGAACCAGTTTGTAAGAAATGTCAAGGGCTCTAAATAAAGTGTTGAAAATTTTAAACTTTAATTTTACTTTGTATAAAAATATCCTACACCAAATGCAACAGCCAAGGCTCAAAAGTCTTGTAATGTGATTTCAATTTTTTTTTTGCAAAACTAATTATGTCAAATCGAGGCCGCTTTTCGTTTTAAGCCTAAATATCGTTGCTGGTTTTTAGGCCTGTTTCTCGAAGGAATGACAAAACTCTGCTTACATCGATATCTTTGAAGCCTTCGTCCAGCAGTTTATGGGCCATCAGATCTCCATCCATCCCAGCGTAGCAGCGGTGGTAACGACTCCTGCACATGGCTGCCAGCTGACGCAGGAAAATGTTAGCGGTTCTGTATCGAAGAGAAAGCAAACAAGGTTCATACGTGGGCGGATTTCTGATGAAACGGAGTATGCACGTGAAAATGCGCCACCATCTGGCACCACTAGGTGGCGCTGTTCGTGCTGGCATGTTTTTGCATTGACACCTTAAAAAACCTACACCTGACGACCTACGCGTTTGTGTTTCCGACCACAAAATGATGCGTCCTATAACCGCCATGTCATGCGAACACTCACTGTGATCATAAATAACCTGCGTCAAGCAACCGTCCCCTTGACCGTCTGATGTGCCCACGTATTGTGATTAAATTTATAATCACAAAATTCAGGCGAGCGTCACATCTTGTTTTGTTTTTTAAAGATGTGCATGGCTTTTGCCATGACTTTGTTGATGAGACTGATAAATGTCAGGGCGAAGTGTCAAATACAACCCACAAACTCTGCTGTGGAGTCAGCCGTGTCAGGAACACAGTTCACGACGTAACTCCACTAATGCCACATTTTATTGCGGAAGTTGTGCAACATTACACATTTAGCTTTGCCGAATGATTCCGAAGAAATTCAGACAACTTAATTTTCCAAAATTGCGGGCACAGGTGATTAAACGATTTTCTGTAACTGAACAGAAATCGTACACAGAGAGCCATTGTAAAAGTTGTTAGTACCTCGTCCAAGAGTTGAAATATTTAAGACACTGCAGAGCTTCGCCAAAGTTTGTGAAATCGATCTTAAGTTTATTGCGCAGCTGCGTAACAAATCTGTTGTGTAAATCCTAAGCATGGTGTAAGTTACACCTTGTTTCGTGAAATCGACTGTTGGGGTTAGTGATCCTAGGACACTATAACTGAGACTCTCTCATCCCAAAACCGCAACACTCCAGTGAACGTTAGTACATCTGACTTACTCATCTTCGCAGTTGAATGAGATGGTATGAATCTTGACGCCTCTGATGGTGTTCACCTGGGCCACTTCCCTTAAGACTCTCGCTGTGCTGCTGTCCGGTTTGCCATCAGTCAGCAAGTAGATTGACTGCACGTCCTTGTCTTTGAATGCATGCTGTGGGGAAAAAAAAAACCAATACTATTTGTAGTATCATCACAATGAGGTCCCTCAATTTGTGCTAATCATTATTTACCCCCAGGCCCAACTTTCACGGCCCAACTTTCACAGTTAGCAAAAACGTTGTTTTAACTACAGCAGAAAAAATTGTGCTAACCTGAAGCACCATTTCATGGCGTGGATGTGCTACCCGTTGCGCGCGCATGGAGACTTCTATTGTTAGGTCACTGATTTAAGCAACGTTTTCCTCTGAGGTAAGGGGGGGGGGGCACGAACCTGTGTTCACAGGAACGGAGTGCCCATCTCTCTTTCAAAGCGATTGGGACCGATTCGAGTCCATGAAATACTGCTGTGGGGGGATTGCCACACCTCCTCCACAGCGAGTCTGTTACCTTCCCAGCATTGAAAAATGCCGGTACCCATTTAACACCTGGGTTGAGAGGAGTAATTGAGGTAAAGTGCCTTACTCAAGGGCACAAGACGCATGGCCACGGCGGGGCTCGAACCTACAATCTCACGATCATGAATCCTGTGCCCTACTGCTAGACCACACGTGAGGTAAGGGTGTCTTTAGTGTGCTTACTGCCGGCATTCTCCATGATACAGACGAAGGCTCTGTTAGCCCAAAATCATGTGCTTAGCAGCGCAATGAAACGAACCTTGGCTTCTGGTTGAAGTTTTCATATTGGGCAAAGGGGTGTGTAGGGGCGGACAGTTCAGAATAAGAAAAAAAGGGGGGCGTGAATAGTATCTTACCACAAGTGCTTCTAGGGTGCATGTGTTTCCGGCGGGGGCAAAGGTCGACACCCAACGCACGGCGTCATGGCAGTTGATTTCTGTGGGTTCGACAAGGCCGTTCCTCCAGGGTTCAATGTCGCCCGAGAAACGGACGATGTTAAAGCTGCAATCAAAGAACACAAGTGTACAGTGCGTGAAATTACAGTCGGACATCGGACATTTTCCGACTACTTTCATGGTTTGTCCGACCAAATGCAGATGTGCTCGGACAAAATGTCCGAGCGATTTATGTATTCTTTGTGGAGTTGTCTTTTTCAGAAGTATGAAAAAAACGCTTGCACTCAAAAGTATTTTGTTGTTTATTTCCGATGATCCGGTCTGTAATACTTACCGTACGCTGAGCGGCTGCTAACTACATGTACGTGTTGTCTTATATTCACGCAATAGATGCAACGCGTTTACACCCCAATCATTACACAGTCTAGTACAGCGCGGCATGCACAGCGATAGATTGGCATTCGTACGTACGTGCCGTTTGCCAAAAAATAGACGTGAAATCAAGTCGATAAATTGTGTTTCGATCAGCAGTCTTCGTGTTTCTTCTACAAATCAGTTAATACAACTTTTTGTACTTTTCAAGTCATTTTATGGAAATGAGCAGTGGCCGTTTGTGGAATTACCAGTTAATTTCTATTGGGCAAAAGTGTTAAATTGGACCTGATTCAACCTCTATTCCTTGCTATAATGATTCGATCGAGCCTCTTTGGACATTCAGAACTGCAATTTCACCCAGTTTAAGTTATGTGTTCTGCAGACTTGAATCGAGTCTGTATAGTGACGAGTCTAAATATTATAAGGACATTGACGCGCATACATGTAATGAGAATTTAGCAAGATCAAAGTACGTTGTGTTGCGCGGTATGCTTTAAGTGCGTGATTGTTACTAAATTCTCACAACGTGGCTTACTACAGAAACGAGCGCGTGAATGCCCGGCGCTTGTCTTTGCAACTACATAGTGTGTATTATGGATACGTACGTACGTAAACATACATACTGTACATGTACACACGTGTATGTACCGTCCACGTGTTTGAAGTATAGTAAACGCGGCCTTTTGAAAGTTTGTCTCAGATGGCAGATCAAAACTTGACAATGGCAGAACACTTTTGATTGTGCTCGGACATTTTGTCTGACCACTTTTTTTGTCTAATTTCACGCACTGAGTGTACATTTTTATCTGGAGAAAAAGGACAGATCTGTACAAATTGGAAAAGACTAAGAATAGAAAAACTTTGAATGGTGGAGAAGTCAAAAATGTGCAGGAATTCCAGTAACACTGTGATGGACTTGTGATGGACTCAAACAGAACATTACAAGGGGATCAAAACTACAATGTGACTAAATCATTCACTGGACTCTTGAACCCTGGGTAGTGCTGTTTGCTTAGTTGAATGCTTATCACTGATAGCAAGGCCAACGGAATTCAACAGGTAACTGTTAAGTGCTTTACTTAACCACAAACTGAGTAGAGACTAATTAGCACCTTGCTCCAATTAAACACTTCAATTGGTTGAGGACCTGAATGGGGCTTTGTATCACATTCAGCTTAGGTGTGAATAGAAAGACTTGCTTTCTTTGTAAAGAGGGCTTAAGTGGTAAGTCTGGGTGTAACTGTCACTGTGGGTAAACACTGGAATGTCACCAGTGAGGCTGTGTGAATGCAAATAATACAACAATGAGGAATGATTCTGAAGGCAGGTGGGGCACAAATGGTCAGTCTTTATCACTTCAATTGATGAAGGTCTGAAGCAGTGTTGTGGTTGGAAGTCTAGCCAAGTCTGGTAACAAGTCAATTCACAAGTTAACAGGGAATGAACAATGACAAAGGAATGCCCTTGTCACAATAGCTTGTGACTTGAGTCACAGTAGCTTGTGATCTGAGTCACAATAGCTTGTGATGCGAGTCACAATAGCTTGGGACTTGAGTCACAATAGCTTGTGATGCGAGTCACAATAGCTTGTGACTTGAGTCACAGTAGCTTGTGATCTGAGTCACAATAGCTTGTGATGCGAGTCACAATAGCTTGGGACTTGAGTCACAATAGCTTGTGATGCGAGTCACAATAGCTTGTGATGCGAGTCACAATAGCTTGTGACTTGAGTCACAATAGCTTGTGACTTGAGTCACAATAGCTTGGGACTTGAGTCACGATAGCTTGTGACTTGAGTCACAATAGCTTGTGACTTGAGTCACAATAGCTTGTGACTTGAGTCACAATAGCTTGAGACTTGAGTCACAATAGCTTGTGACTTGAGTCACAATAGCTTGTGACTTGAGTCACAATAGCTTGAGACTTGAGTCACAATAGCTTGAGACTTGAGTCACAATAGCTTGAGACTTGAGTCACAATAGCTTGTGACTTGAGTCACAATAGCTTGTGACTTGAGTCACAATAGCTTGTGACTTGAGTCACAATAGCTTGAGACTTGAGTCACAATAGCTTGAGACTTGAGTCACAATAGCTTGTGACTTGAGTCACAATAGCTTGTGACTTGAGTCACAATAGCTTGTGACTTGAGTCACAATAGCTTGAGACTTGAGTCACAATAGCTTGTGACTTGAGTCACAATAGCTTGTGACTTGAGTCACAATAGCTTGAGACTTGAGTCACAATGGCTTGTGACTTGAGTCACAATGGCTTGTGACTTGAGTCACAATAGCTTGTGACTTGAGTCACAATAGCTTGAGACTTGAGTCACAATAGCTTGTGACTTGACTTGGGACTGGATGACTTGTGATGGACTTGCATTGACTTGTGACTGACCAATGACTGACCAATGACTGACCGGACTACAACACTGACTGAGGGGGGCTCTGTATCAGCACAGAGCAAGAAACAGGGGTATCAGGTTCAGTTTAGGTGTGAACTCTAAGACTTAACTGCTTTATCAAAGGGACAGAGTTGGATGTCTGACTGTACAGTAAAAGGCTACTATAGCGAATCTAAACACCGCTACAACAAAATATTTGGCTATAACGAATATCCCCTTCAGCTCCCAAAATAGTAAACTCTGTTGTAATACGCAATCACTATAATCACTATAATGGCGTTCAACTGTAATTGTAAGTGGGTGTTTATATACTAGAATGTCACTAGGGGCTATTATGCGAATGTAAACAATAAACTTTCAGAAGTGGGGGTGGGACTACATCTTTCTGTCAGTTTAAAACTGAGGCTTCTAAACTGAAAATTTGGGAGTACTATTTTTATGGCCAGAGTTGTGGTTTTCGAGGATGGACACTAAGGAATTATACTGAATGGTAAGGAATTGGCTAAAAAAGTGAACTTTTGGAGATGGGGTGGGGGTAGGGGAAAAGGGCAGGTTGGGGGAGGGGTTGGCGAGGGTTTGAGGGAGGGTTTGAGGGATGGACGGTTGGTAGGGTAAGAGTCCTGAATAGGATAGACTACCTGATGTTCTCTCGTTGGAACTGGTCCCAGATGAGGGCTACCAGTTCTCGCTTGAGTTCCTCCATGTGAGATACCATCGATCCTGACGTGTCCACCAGCACTATCACCTAGATCGGATGAGAGTAAGCATGGGTTATTCTTGGTACACAGATAATATTCTTGCCCGACGGTTGAACAGCAGATGATTTGGTGTTAAAATAATAAAGTCACAGTAGATGAAGTGGTATACCAAACGTGCAGGCCTGTGGATCATCCCAACACAAAATTTATTACAGATAATTAACAAAATCCTAATGAGTTTCTTCAGTGAATACAGTTGAGTGCTGTTCGACATACCTTTTTCTCCACCACTGCGCCGAATGTCCGTCGGCTGGCGCCCAGCAGCCACTGCAGTCTGCGTAGGTACCTGCGGAGTACCAGCTCAATCTGTTTCTCGTAGTCTTGCAGTTCGTGGGCTTGCATCTGCAGATGCCTCACAGTGCCCTGTTCAGAGAACATCATTAAGCGTAACAATTGTTAAAATGTATTTTTTTTAATTTTTCATATCATTTCACAGTTTTACATTAACTTAACACTGCTGAAGTAATATTTCATATTTGTTGAGCTCTCCATGACAGTTGTTGACTATAGCTACTGAGACCTACTCAGGTCACATAAAACTGAAAATCAATCAAAAAAACTTGAAGACAATGTATTTTTACACTACCGGTACTCCAGGGGGAGTTGAACGGTGTTGGATGTTTATTTTGGAAAATTAAACAGTGTGCATAATACAACTTTAGTCATTGATAATCCTCCTATACTTATAACTATTACAAACTGTCAAAAATTCTAATCCCCACCGCTCTGTGACAGTTTTTGTACAGGCTGCTCTCCAACTGCCACAAATCCCTATGGATTCAATTGTACAACTGTCAGAGCCTATTGAAGTGGTTTGGCAGATAGTGTGACCACTAATACAGGTACAGCTTGTGTAGCAGCCATTTTCAAATGGTCGATTGCACCAATATGAGGGCAGTTTGCAGATTTGGTCAAATCTGTCACCTGATAGTTTTTGACATGTAGGGTAGCACTCTACAGATTGTCACCGAGCACAGGAGGGTTTTAAAAGTGAAGTTAAAGTCTGACAAAACACATCAGTTAGTTACTACAATGATTTAAAAAAGATATTATCCATCCAATTTTTTGCTGTAGTAGAAATTGGCTTGAAACACCATGGTTTCAGATGTACTCAGACAAATCGATTTTTTGTGTACTTATTAATTTAGTTTTCAGTAAAAGTAAAGGCTGAATAGTTGAACATTGCTAGAAACAAACTATATTTCAATAAAATACAGATAATAAGCTTCAAAATGATATTCATGCTTCATTTGTGGCATTTGGAGATTTCAAAAAAAAGTTTTGGCATTGAAGATTAGAATTTTGTACAATTGCCCCGAAAGCAAAATATAACAATTTTGAAGATGCTGTTCAGCGCACTTAGGTTGAATGTGAGAGAAAAGAATACATACCTTGATGTTGACACTTGGAAATATCGTGCAATATCTAAAAGGAAATTGGAAACGAACAGGAATAAAATGTAAGTGTTTGGAACTCTTAAAGTACACTATTTTTTTGGGTTGAACAAAAAAACTTGATTTCCAACAGATACAATTATGTAACCTGTATCACTTATAATAGTGTGTATAATGGGTGTGTACAACGTATGTGTGAACTGGATCAAGTCAAGATACTTAACCATCTTCAAACTTAAAGGCATATGGGATCATTTACTTTTCATGCAGTTTGTTCGTTTCCAATAATAACACTACTCAAAATCCAAAGAAGTGTGTTCAAAACCCAACCTGCTGAAGTTTCAGCTCAGTGGATTTGAGACTTTTCAAGAAAACAGTGAACAACCACGCACATCATTTTAATCACGAAACACAATTTTGTAAATAGAACTTTTATTTCAAAAATCAGTCGATTGGCCGACTGTTGGAAATCACCTACATTTCTTGATTTCTTCTCAATGACAGCAAGCGCCAGATGAAATTATTTCTGGGGTGTTTACTGTTTAGTACCAGTCCCATCTTTAATCCAAGTGAGATTTTTGGTAATAATTTGGTTGCTCACTGCTTTTTGTCTGTCTAACAATGTTTGTTTTCTAAAACCTAATGATGTCCACGACAGCACATACTTTGCAGTGACCGATTTGTTGAGTGTCCCGATGTGTCTCTTGGCATGGGTGCATTCTGGTCCAGACACCAGCTTGCTCAGATCTAACCTCAGCTTGCTCAATCCGTACAGCTTCAGCCACTGAAAACAGTGCAAATTAGGAAAAAATAAGTTGAATTTCAGATTTTGTTTTCTAGGAGTCTTCCTGAATCCTCCAAAAATACACCAATGTGCTGAAACAAAAACATGAAGTTCTGAAGAGCGCTATTTGTTGAAAGTGAGTATCGGTCAGAGCACTGGCAGCTTAAAATCGCTATACCGAGTGATCGCTATTACGCACAATTTCTGGGGATCCTGCGATATTTGTTATAGCGCCGTTTCACTGTGCTTGGCAGGATTTACACGTACTGCAGCTTTTTACTGATGTTAAATATGTATAAGGTGTAGTAAAACAAACACCAACATCGTTTCCTTCTAGAGTATATTTCCCAGTCGGGCACTATACCCTTTAAATCTTGATTATTTACAATGATCTACTGAGATTATCAAGGCTAATCATAACCAAAAAAACCCCAGCTACTGGATTGTGGCGTGTTGTAGAACACATATTGACTTGCATCATTTGGTCAATACTGCAAGCCTATGCACCCTCAGGCTTGTTAGTGGCCAAATTCCCTCAGGGCCTTTAGCCTCAGGATGTAGGGCCCTACAGTGATCACCCATGGTCTCTTGGGATGCACAGATGTGCACTAGCGACCTCATAGCCAGTCAGTATGTATATATTTACCCACCTCTTTGGTTGTCTTGAGTTCCTCCCTGTCAGGTATGACTGGATGGTTGATGGCCTTCCTGACACTCTTCTTCTTGCTCAGGATGTCCGGGTACTGCTTGTACACAGTCCCTGGAAGAAAAGGAGCAAAATACTCTAAAATTTGAAGACGATCCTCAGAGAACACTTTTTTTCAGAATGGGAGAGAGTTAGGTGGAGAAGCACATCAAAAACAAAGAATGTTCCACTGTTTGGACTTCATTTTTATCAAACTTTTGAAAGTTTTTAGTTGAGTTTTAAAATGGACAACCGAAGTATTTTGATAATTTCCAGGAAAACTAGGAATTTCTTTTGGATTTTCAGAGGACATTTTTGAAAATCTGCAAAGAGTTGGGTATTTTGGAAGAAACAAAATGGCAGAGGTTTGTTTATATACATTCTGCCTGGCTTCACTGTCTCCTATGGGCTTTATTCACGATTCGGCCAGATTAAATTGAAAGCGAGGTAAAATCTTCATATTTTGGCACTTGCGAAGAGAAACGAAAGCAATGACATAAGGTTAATTAAAAATTAATACCAGTCTGCTCTGATGAATAATTTAACATTTGTGATTAAAACATACCCTAATGTTTTAAGCCACATTTAAAAAAAATTAATGTGAGGCTAGAATGCAAAATAGTCTGGCAACATCCGATTCAACAGTTCACAATTTATAAAATACATTCAGGGAACACGACCAAAATGGCTTCCTCTTGAATAAGGTCCATAATATTGCAACTACTTACTGGACATGTGCTTTAAATACGCAAGGAGGTCACATTTTGTATGACACTAGAATTTCTTGAAACAAAAGAAGACAGTTGCAAAAGCGAATTGCTTGTGACTTACCCACTTCATTCTTGAACTCCGTGTAGAAGACCTGCTTGGATGGCTTGCTCTTATGAGCACTGCTGGGCCTTTTGGACTTACGGTCCTTCTCTGAGGCAATCCTGTTGGAGTCCATTTCTACCAGAAAAATGATATTTATTTCATCAATTTTAAATCTAACATACGTAACTAAATGCCATAAAGCACAGAACTTACGATATCAATTTATAGATGCCGGAAAATTGTAAGGTAATGGAACCAATCTAACTGGTCTGCACCCGTTCATGAACATGCAACCAATAGCAAACAAAATCTGGACTGAAAAAAATTATTAAATTTGGAGCAGTAGTTGAAAAATAGTTAGGTTTTTCCAACGGTGGTCGGCCGACCACCGTTGGAAATTTATACAAAATACCACTTTTCTTGAAAATGACTTCACACATGGTGCCATAATTTTACAGGATGCTTTAGACTGTCATTTACCAACGTCCTAGTAAGGTATTTCGAAAAAAATTGGTAGTTTTGTTTTTCGATGTTTGCAAATGTTGTATATTCCCTTTAAGAAACAATAAAAGCCTATACACTGTTTAAAAAGTTGAAACAAACGAACTGCTGAACACATGATTTAACTAGAGTGATACTGAAAATTCATAATTTTTTTAACTCTGCTTCAAGGCCCAGGTGCCATCCTAGGGCCCACCACACAGCTAGAGGCCAATTTCATGCCCAGGGGCTGGTTTCTAAATACTTACTGCTTGGCTCTTTCTTGGCACTAGAGGGCCTGCTCCGAGGGAGGGGTTTGCCATCTTCTTTATCCTTGTTCTCTGTGATTTGCTGAATAACAGATTAACAGAAATATAATTTGTTATAACTGATTAATAAATTGTGACTGAAGCAAGAATGATGAGATTAATTCACAGATACTCAATACAAGAAACTCTACCTTTGTGTTTTCAAAAATACAACTTTTCACCTGACAAAAATAAATCCCATTTTTTTTTTACCGGAAAGTACTTTTAGTGTAGTTTTGGAACCCTGACTTTGTCTATAGACTCAGCTTCATCTCTGGTTCGTGACAATGGCAAGTTCAAATTAACATGTAAGCGGATCTCATGAAATGCCTTTTAAAGTCAACATTTCACTCATTTGTTTCTACATGCAAAAGGAAGCAAATAATTTGCTCTTCAATTTGATCGATCACTGTTGGACACCTCAATATGTACAGATATATAAAGTTGGTTGAAAAGTTGACTGTTCCAATTGATTTTGTTACGTCCCAACTATAGCAATGGTCCCAACTATAGTTGGGACAGTCCAAACTACAGTTGGGACAGTCCAAACCATTTCAAATTAGTTGGGACAGTTCAACTATGGAGTTTAAAATATAGTTGGGACAGTTTCAACTATAGTTGGGACAGTTTCAACAATAGTTGGGACAGTTTAAACTAAAGTTGGGACAGTTTAAACTATAGTTGGGACAGTTTAAACTACAGTTGGGACAGTTTCAGCTATAGTTGGGACAGTTTAAATAACAGTTGGGACAGTTCAACTATAGTTGGGGCAGTTTCAACTATAATAGGGACAGTTTAAACAATAGTTGGGACAGTTTCAACAATAGTTGGGACAGTTCAACTATAGTTGGGACAGTTTCAACTATAGTTGGGACGACGCTATAGTTGGGACGACGCTATAGTTGGGGCGTTACAATTTCAATTGTGTAACATTCTGTTCAAAGGCCAACTACTCAATAGTAGTTCTGGCAACTTGTGCCTCATTTCGTTGGGTTGGGTCACCTAAGGACAACGGCCTAGGCTTTACTTACCAGTCTTGCCAGGCTGAGCTCCGTGTGCTTGGGGGCTGGCAGGGCCTTCCTCTTAGCTGAGCTAGGTCTCATGGGTAGCATCTTGGGCTGGTCGTCTGAGGAACCGTTCATCAACTCAGCTTGCTGTAAAAGGGGTTGAAAAAGGACAGGATGTCAGTTAAGACTGAGGCAAGGTTAAGACCCAATGCCACTAACTATACCAGGGTTTTATAATGCTTTCTTACTTGTTTTCTCATTTGCGTGAATTTGTATGACTACAAAATGTCTCAAACTTCAAAAAAGAAAAAAAAATGTTTAGGTTTTTGCAAGCACAATTCTCTCAGTTGTTCATTTGTACATTTAATGAATATATTAATTTGGAATAAGAATAGGTTTCAAGAAGTGCAATCTGCTGTAAATTAAAATTCCCATAAAGAAGTAAACCAGGTGTCCCTTTTATGAATTGGTATTCAGATATTGGTCTATTTGTGTAGTATGAACCGCAGTGGGCAGGCAAGCGAAATATCTCTGATACTTACATATTTTGGAGATCTTTTCTTCACTGAATCAACAAGCATTGCACACTGAAAAAGGAAAAGAAAATGATGGATAGTTGTGATAGTTAGCAGAAATCTATCTGATGTGCTATGGTTCTGGATGAAAGTGGATTTTTAAAAAAATCTTACTGATTTTAGAATCTCAAACTCCTGAAATATACAGCATTTTGAAATGTTCACTGTCCACATGCTGATCAAAGCCACATAAATTTCGTCTTTTTTTTAACCTTGAACATGGCCCATTGTTCAATGCAAACACTGGTCAATTTAAAATATTTTGGATTTTCTTGTGCAAAATGAACCATTTGAGAAGATCTACAAACAGATGAAGACATTTTCCCACATTGCAATACAGATAAAGCAGAATTTGTGTGGGCAATAATAGGTTTTTGGTACCGTAATTTACTAGTTTTTGTCATGATGGGGATAGGGGGATGGGTGGAGTCTAAGAAATGAGGAGGGGGGAGGGGAGGGGGAGGGGGAGGGGAGGGGGAGGGGGAGGGGGGGAGGGGGAGGGGGAGGGGGAGGGGGGAGGGGGAGGGGGAGGGGGGAGGGGGAGGGGGAGGGGGAGGGGGGAGGGGAGGGGGAGGGGGAGGGGGAGGGGGAGGGGGAGGGGGAGGGGGAGGGGGGAGGGGGAGGGGGAGGGGGAGGGGGGAGGGGGAGGGGGAGAGGGAGGAGGAGGAGGAAACTTCAAAACCATTAACGAACCTTCTGAGAGTAGTTGACAGCCTTGTCCATCTCGCTCAGTATACCCTTGATGTCGTCACTCTCAATGATCCCCGTCTCCCGGAACCAGTGAAACCGGCCCCTCGTCACGTGGGCCAGCGTGCGCAGGCACTCGGCCGTCTGCGTGATGTTGGCGTAGCGGCCCGGGATGGCCCCGTTGCTGTCGTAATCGTCCACGTTGAAGAGGATGGAGTGGAGCCGGGTTGGCTGGGCGATGGTGGCTTCCTCCATGAAGGAGCAGATGACCTCGGGGAGCTGGTCGGGGATGCCGCTGGTGAAGAGGTAGATACCGTCTACAGCTATTGGGCGATAACCACATTAAGGCAGGTTGAAACGCAGAGTTCAATTGTTTGAAATTCTCCCTTTTGGAAGACTGTATCTTCATGCAACTTTCAGGGTTTGTTACCTTTATAATGACGCAACTATGTGCTAAAAATCAATTTGATATGCTCAGTATTTTTCTTTGAAATTGGAAAAATAGGCTTGGGTACATCCATTTTTCAAAGCTGTAACACTGGTGTTTGCAATATTTGTCAATCATTTCAAGCCTTTTCAAGTGTTAAAAAAGCCATGTTTTTTTGGGTGCATTGATTGCACTGCTCTGTTTTTAGCGTCACTGTACGTAATCGGATTAAATTTGCTTAACAACGCTAGACGCAAAGCCTTTGCAACCACAAGGCTGATATTATGGTGGCGTCATGTGACACTCAAATATAAGGTTGTGTGGTTCAGAGAAGTAAATTAAAAGTAAATTCTGTCCCAGGCAAATATGGCTCATCGGGCTAGCATTTACTTCCAGAGTTCATGGCATAAAACATCTGAGAATATAAGTCACCCTGAATGGGATTCTAGTCTATCACAGGCTAATCACTACCTAATGAAGGTTACCGTTATACTTCTAGGGCGAGAGTGGCAAGTTGGGTAAAGTAGTTTCCCCAAGGACATACTGCATGACCACAGCTGGATTCGAACTCCTGACCCTCTGATCATAAGTCACAAATCCTAACCACTAGGCCACACACCTCTCAGAGATAAGCCTGTATAAAGTCGTATTTTGGGGCTATGGGCTCTGCCCATCATCATGAGACTGAGGGGAATCCAAAGTCTACAGGTAGGGCTTTACGTAAGCTGAAGCTGAAAATTGATGAAGCTTTCGCTACCTAGGAATCACAGCAAACTGAGAACAGGCCTAAAATTTCCACTCGGTTTTCCTGGTGGCCTGGACCTCATTCCCCATCAGCAGCAAAGATCAAGTAAGCCTACGACATTCCTAACTTTGCAGTGACTTACTCATATTGCGTTTGCGATCTTCCTCGTTCTCCAGGGCCAGTCTCAGGGCAGCGAGGAAATTGCGACTGCCGCCACACTCCAGACCGAGCGCCCACCTAAAGGGAATCCACAATGAGTAACAACATCAGGAGGGAAAAAAAGCTCATTCCTGGTGAATCTACAGAACTAACTTTGAACAAATAGATTGGTGTAGTTCATCTTGTAATACTTGCCTTTCACTTCTAATGACTATGTGGATAAGGTTTTCCGGTCCCTGATTTTGACGCTTTTACCTAAACTCCAGAACCCCTGAAGTTTCCTTGTTCCCCCCCATCCAAACTCGCTTCGGGAAGGACACCACTTATATGCCGCCAAAGCACATCAATTTTCACCTCACCTTGTGATTCCATTGAAGACAAATCCATTAGGCTTGGCAAAACTGAAAACCTCTCTTGAAAAAGGTGTATTTCGAGCTTATTTTGGTACTTGGACTTCAACTTGGACAATAACCTGTCTTTAACACTTGTGCTCAAAGGGAATATACAACATTTGCAAACATCGAAAAACAAAACTACCACATTTTTACGAAATACCTTACTAGGATGTTGGTAAATGACAGTCTCAAGCATCTTGTAAAATTATGGCACCTGGTTTGAAGTCGTTTTCAAGAAAAATGGTATTTTGTATATATTTCCAACGGTGGTCAGCTGATCACCGTTGGAAAAACCTAACTATATTTCAACTTCTGCTCCAAATTTACCATTTTTCAGTCCAAATTTTGTTTGCTATTGGTTACATGTTCATGAACGGGTGCAGGCCAGCTAGACTGGTTCCCTTACCTAACAATATTCCGGCTTCTATAAATTGATCCATTTCATCTTTAGTGGAGTCAGGGAACCAGACTACTTGAACGTTTTTGGTTTTCTTTGGTTTTTCCAGCATTTTCGAACACAAAATTCAAACATGTCAGTGTAACAATATTTGATCTATTATACTAACCCCTCATATAGTTCATCTCTAAAAAATTACAGCAAAAGCCAATGATGTGCATTCCCTGTAAATAAATAAACAGAAACTCCACCTATCCCCTTAATCTAGTCACCACACATTACAATTTTCTTAACTTATTAAGGCCGTGTCCCAAACAAGTAGCTTTATCTATGGCTATGGCAATTCAGTGTGGTGAATCAGTGTCCAAAGCAAAGGCGTAGACACAAACTGGGCAATTCGGACATGCCTTTCTCTGTGAGCCTAGTGACAGATATACTCACTTCCATGCCATCTGCAGGTTCTGCTCTGTGGGTTCCTGCATAAAGGGCCTCCAGGAACGCGCTGTGCTGCTGAAACTGAAGGGAAAAAAACATACAAAAATTTAAACAGCTGCATGAACAGTACCGAAATGTGCCATAAAGTAACTGTACACTATTTGATGTTTGCAGATACTAGAGAGTTTCCTGAAAAACCGTGCATAAGGGTGCATTATAGAACTGACATACAGATCCTTGTCATTTGATTGGTGGAACTCACATCACGTGATATTCGTTATTGCTCCCATTCACGCCGGGGCTCAAAAAGTCCCATTCGCCCATTGGGAATGGGAAATACTATTCAACAGTTAGGATCATTCTTGTTCCATGACGCGGTATTTGTGTGCAAATGCATGCTGGCGTGCGTGTTCAGCGTTGCGCGTATTATTCCAAAGAGCCAGCGCTACAGAGTTGGGTTCAAACATTTTCGTGAAGGGGTGGTTTGGAAGAGAGAAATATATTTTCCACCAATTTTGTATTGAAATAAAAGTTCAAATATATCAAATGACAAGGATCTATATGTCAGTTACAGAAGACAAATATTGAGTGGCTTTAAATTGTGATTGGGAGGAATATTATTGCTCGGTAAAATCTGGATTTTCCAGTTTACTCGGTCTCGCCTCGTGAACTGGAAAAGTCCAGATTTTATTTGCGATAATATTCCTCCCATTCCACTCTGAGCCACTCAATATTTGTGTAATAAAAACCTGTCTCTTAGAAAAGTAAAGATTCAGGGTCCACTATTGTGACAAAAACCTACCCGATGATGTTGAATGCTTCTTTGTTGAGCATTTGCTGTTGCAGCAGCAAACGCAGGGAGTGCTGGATGTGGACCAGGTAGTTGGCATTGCTCAGCGACAGGTCAATCAGAATCACAATCCTGTGGGACAAGAATGGTACAAGCGTTACCAAACCAATTGATCCTTTTCACTGACAAAAACGAGGTTTGTGGGTAACAATGCTGGGAAATCAGTCTCTCCTTTAAAGAAATGTCGGTTGTGAGAGAAACAGTAATCTGGCAATAAATTTGACGAGGTGTAATGCTTGTTTGCTACTTTCTATCATAACATCATTTTTAGCGAATTAAACAAAGGTTTTTAATTTATAAACGTCTGGTATCAGAATCTAGTCTTGAAGATTTCTGCCAGCAGTGGTGAGAATGTTTTCAGAACATTTCTTCGCCAGATAATTTTTGATCCGACTAAGAAAGTAAAAGAGAAGATTGGAACGCACTCTTTAAGCTGAAGCATGAAACATACTGTAAAACACAATAAAAAGTCCATATTTTGTTTTTCTTTTGTACTTAAATTCCTGTTAGCATCCGATATTATTGTGAGCATGCAAGCAAACTGGTTATCCTGAAAAGAAAACTTGTCAAATCTTGATTTGCGCACAAACGGATATCATGTATTAAATATTGAGCTGGTTCACTGTCTTTCTGTTTGCATGTATTACCTCTTCTCGGTCAGGGTACCAAACAGCCTCCTACTGTCCTTGGACAGCCAGTCTACCCGTCTCTCGTAGAGTTTGACCGTAGCTCCTAGCTGTTTCTGGTAATCAAAGAGAAGCGCCGGGTCTACGTGGACGTTCTTGATGGTTCCGTCGTGCCACTCAAACTGAGTCATGGCTTTCTGCAAATGTTGATAATGATCCAAAAAGAAAAAGTGCATGTAAAGCTTTGGACTCTTTGGGCAATGGCGCCCTATATGGTGAAAACTAGGAAATATTACTATCAGATGAGGGTACATCAGTTTTAGAGTTATAGTCAAGGCATCACAAATCACAAGCTATTCGATTGAATCTGTGACAAAGGCATCCTTTTGGTGATGTCTGTCCTCTTGTTACTTGTTGCCTTATTCGTAACTTGACTTGTGAGTGACTTGTGATTTAACTCATGATTTGATTAGTGGCTGACTTGTGATTAGGCTTTCAACTGTTTTTTAGCACAACTCTGATCAGCGCTATTTTTGTGAGGCACTAAAAAGGTTTAAGAAGGGTATACCGAACACCGCTATACCGAACATTCGGCTATACCGAACATCGTCCTTGGCTCCCGATTTTTGTGTACAAAACCAACTGAACACTGTTGTTGAAATATGTCAACAGAAGAGCGACAAGTGGCTATTATTTCCTCAAGGCATAGAAGGGGAAAGCCACCCATCGATGTAGGTAGTAAGCTCAAAACTGTGAAATTACATAATTCAATAGTCGGCACGTGTTCGAAGTTGTCTTTCAGTAACTACCAGGGCGTGCAGGGTGAAGTTATGAAGGGCGCTATTTATTGGAAAGTGAGTACCAGTGCACCGACAGCTTAAAATTGCTATACCGAACGATCACTATTACGAACATTTTCTGTGGATGCCGCGATGTTCGTTATAGCGGCGTTCCACTGTTTTACTAACATTTTTGAAAAGGGACAGAATATAAACATGTTGCCATGATAACTGCGTCACTCACCTCATGAGTCTGTGACCTGACTGACTTTCTGATGATTGGAATGAACTCCTCAATCTGGTTGAAGGCATTCGGAGCTAAGACCTGGTACAAGGACAATCTTTTCCCTGAAAAAACAAACAAACAAAAAACTCTGGTTTACCATGCTTGAATCATTTGGATCTGGTTTCTAGAAGGTAATGCAGTATAACAATGTTCATTTGTAAGTACAAACATTGATTAACTTTTGATATTAAGAGATAATAATAAAATTATGGGATTTTTCTGTAAAAATTACGAACCTTTAAAAACTGTAGCTTGCTGTCAAAGTTTGTACATTACGGTTGCTTAATGTTAGATTGACATGTTGCTCATGAATATGTAAAATTAAATTAGCATGAAAACAAAGGCCCTGAAAAAACCTTGGCATAGCAAAATGTCTGTAAAATGACTTAAGGTGAAATTTGGCAAACAAAATCACTGTGTGAATTAAATTTCATAATAAAAAAAAAAATCCAGCATATTGGTCTTTTAGGCTTATTTCTAGCTCTTTAAATCTAACTTCAGATGAGTACCAGTCACAGGTATACTAAGCCACATGGCACATTAGCTGGTAACCCTTATCATTTTGCTATGCAACCTCTTTAAACATGGGTGCATCATCACCTTTGAGTCCGTTCTGTTGCAGCCAATCCTCGGATGTCTTGGGTAAGAAAGCTGCCTCTTCTAGGACCAGTGGGCCGGTGTGGTTAGGGGGCCTGGGCAGAAACCGCGACTGCGGTAACTTCTGTACCTCCAAGGATATCTGCGTTTTCAAATACAGGAAGTACTTTTAATGGTAATAGTCCAAGTTGTGTTGTAAACTGAACTCCCCCCTGATCCTTCGAAATTTTTTCGTTTTTTGTTTGCTTGTTTGTTAAATTTGCAGGGTTGAAGATTGTACTGTCTATTACTGTGCCACTACTGCTTTGCAAACGACTTAAATGTTCTCGGAACAATTTTTGCAACCTCACACCGCTTGCACTTTTGTGTACAAAGTCAATTGAGAGTCAAAAAAATTGTCTAGGTATTTCCTAACAAAATTGAAAATGTTTCTCAGTCCCAGATTCATGTCTTATCATCATTTTTTGCAATGAATGACCTTCATTGGGATGATATGTGAAGAAAAAAGTGGCGTCAGGTTGCAACATTTTTTTCTGATGCTCTTTGAGAGGATGGAGAATGTGCAGAGAGTTTTAGCAGAGTGGCAAGTGTTGGGAGGATTTTGGAAGTCTCCTGGCAAAGTACCTGGGTAGATTGTGTTGAAATTTATTACAGAAGATGGAATAAGTAACAGAAACAGTCTTTTGCCTTCGGTAGGCATTTTTTTTTTTTTTTTAATCCACAGTGACTTCCTTTTGGTCAAGCACCATGTGTTGTGAATGCACCACTGACTGTGAAACCATGTTGATGATGTGTAATGCTCAGTCCGTGCTTTAAATCTTACTTTTTCGAACAAAGATTTGTTATAGAGCTATATTAAATTACTAGAGCACTAACTCCTCATTCTTGCGCGCGGGGACGCTTTGAAGCCATCCTGGGCGCAGACATTTTGAATTCATGTGCTTGTTTGTAGAACAGAATGTAATAAGATGGATTGAATTTTGAAAGTGTACTCTACATGCAACGCGCAAGTAGAACATACGCAAACAACTCCAGGGCGTCATGACAGTTCAAAAAATGTCACGGCAAAAAGCATCTGCAGCAAATACGCGCACGCGTTGCACTGTTTGCGCAGAGCAAAATGACACGCTCATTTGCTGATTTTTCGGTTTTGGGCTTATCGGCTTCGATAATGCACCGGTATGGAATACAAACGCAGATATGCAAATAGCCGTACAAAAGCCGTACAATATTTCTAGTTCTCCGTTGGTTTGTGTACAAACATGGATGCGCCTATCAGGCATTACTTTGTACATCGAGTTAGCGCTCTAGTAATTTAATATAGCTCTATGGTTATAACACAGCACACCCTAGGCCGCACCCAAAGCCCAGCTTATTATTTGATTGGGGATTTAAAAAAAAAAAACATACAGAATCTAGATATAAAATATTTAATAATCAAGTGAAAAGGTTATTGGTATGTTGGGCTCAATTCTCGCGTAATATTTTTATGTTTTGGAGAAAAAGATAAACACACAGATACAGATGATTTTGAACTTTTTCTAACACACAATTTTTTTTTCGCTAGAAATTTGAATTTCTGACAACTGATTGGACTGACCTCGTTGAGAATGCTGACCAGGGCATCTCCCATCATGCCTTGCCTCATTTCCTGTATCTTGTTGATGACGTCCTGGGCTATTCGGATCTCTCTCAGCAGCATGGTGATGTCTGTGCCGGTGTAGATTTGCTCCTGGAGAGGGAATAACATTGAACACAAAAATACAAGACTGATTGACTTATCCTTTTGTAAAAACTCAGTGTTTAAGGTAAATTTCTAATATAACTCTATAAACACTTAAATTAGAAGAAAAACAACATACCTCTGAGCCTGATGCGTAGACGTGATACCGGCCACCTGAAATGTCAGCTAGCTTGCGTAGTGTCAGCTAGAGAAAAAGTGACACAAATTAACCAAATTAAATTAAGCACATCAAAGCAAAAATTGTAAGAAGATGTTTCAAGTGTCAATGTATAAAATTACATGAAGTCTGTTACGACTGGGTCTAAAAAAAGAAAAGGGGGGGGGGCCCCAAAAATTTAACAAGCCAAAATTTAACAAGTAAACATCTGTGCCCTCCCCTTATAAAAAAAAGAAGAAGATGAAATGAACTTAAATTTTCCTGTATTTAACAGTTTTAAAAGACAGTTTCTACCGGTCTTTCTGAAAAAAAATAGCTGTGGGGAGAGTGATATGTCATATGAAATAACTCAATTGTAGACCGGAACCAAGCCTAATAGTTCTTATTGAGCAAAATCTTGCTGCCCCAAGTATGTATGTATTGATTCCAAAACATAAATGGACGATAAATATGATAAATATTGATTATTATGATAAATAATAAGCTACAGTGGAATCTCATTAAAGTCAAACTCTGATAACTCAAAACAACTGTTAAGTCAAACAAAGAATCCATTCCCTTCAGTAGTATAACAATGATATACAACCCTGCTTCACTCAAAACTCTGCTTAAGTCAAATTTTGAACCTGTTCCCTTGAGGTTTGACTTATCGAGATTTCACTGTACATAGAAACCGCTTTGACAACATTCTGAGTCCACAGTGAGGCTGTGTTTAAAATTACGCACAGTTGTCTATGGCTACGGCTAGACCACAAGGCTATGCATACAAAACAGCTGACTACTATAGACACAGCCTCATATTCACTACGATGATTTCAATTATAAACCGTATAGCAGCAAAATGCAGTTGCAGTGTACATGCAGCTGGGCAAGCAGGCATAACAAAATAAAAGCTAGCTCAAAGAAGCACATACATTAATAAGACCACTGCGTTTTTCGTTTCCACTAACAAGTCCGCAGGCTCCTAACTGATGACTGTTGTGTTTTTAGACAAGTTAGATGAATAAGCAAATCATGTAGAATGTTTGTTATGTGTATTGCTGGCTTGGAAGATGCCGGCTTGGTAGTCTCCATTAAATGGACACATTTTTGTTAGCAGGAAGTTTGTGTTTAGCATTGCCATGAAGTTTTGCAATAAGCCATCAGCCGATGTAATGTGTAAGCTGAATATAATCGTGAATAATTAATTCTCAATACTGCAGGGATCCCATGGCATCAATATGATTTTTAAAAAAAACATGCACACTGCCCAAACAGAGTTACAATATCTGCGCCACACTGGAAAGCAATGTCAAATAAGAAAAGCAAATGTTGACAGAACAGTAGAAAAATTAAATTGAAACTAATAGACAATGTATAAAATTAAAAAGAACCTATATTTCAAATCATATCATAATTTTCAACTGTCTGCAATAAGACAGGTTTCAGAAATGCTGATCGTGCTCCGTCATGGCTGAAATATTTACAACATAAATACTGAACAGAAAATGGAAGCAAAAGCAGCAATGGAAGCACTGAAGCGTCATGCCTGGCAAAGAATGAAGGGTACAATAAAAAAAAATTTATAAGAACCTGTGTACCTTCATGTTGTGTTTCTTTTTCTTCTGCAGCAAACAATTTAAACATATTTGCAAAAAAAAGTTAGCAAAAAGTTATTCTTGATCAAACAGGGACCACGTGACTAGTCTATGTAATATTTGAACAGATTCGCTGATTAACTATGCAAGACCTCTAGATTTTGACCAATCAGCGGGCACTTTCTATATCGGGTCTTTAAGCATTCAACCGTTGTCACGTCATAGACGTGGATTAAAAAAAACCTAGACACAGCCACAAAGGCTGTGGTCACGTGCTCTGTATTACGTTACGCAATACGCGCCCGGCTGTTGATGTATTACAAAACACTGCATTCGAATTGAACAAACAAACAAATAGTCCTGATTTTGGCAAATGAAATGACATCACGATGACTGGGCTCTGTGAATAACGGGTGATACTCAGACTTCCACATGACAGGAAAAATGGAGAAAAAAATAAAAATAAATAAAAATTGGGAATTTGATGAGCATCATCACTGATAAGAGGATTCCAGTAACTTGATATATCTAAGAGGTATCAGAAAAAATGGGGAATTTCACGGCCTGAACAGCAGTGATTTTTTTTTTAAATGCACAATGTATGATTCATGAGCTATGCGCACAATCACCCCCTCAGTGATGTGAATAATGCAAAACACACGCCTGACAATGAAGGACACTTCCCTGGTATGCAATAAATAACAAGTTATACCAGGGCAAGGAACCAGCTAAGAATGTCCTCTATCTCTAGACTGGTTCCCACCTCCCTCCACTTGAATTCTATAATAATATGGATGGTTACCAGCCAAGCTTTGCTCATGTTGTTAGGTTTGAAACGCTCCCTCCTGCATTTGTGCACCGAGCCAATGGCTGTTTCGCTGCAGTGACTTTTAAGCAAAAGTCTGTCAAACATGAGGGCGCATTAGATGTAATGCAAATGTCACATATTTCAGGCATAATCCCTAGCAACACACATATGGGTTTTATGGTTTCTGCAGAGCAGGATAAGTTTTCCTACTTTTGGTCGCATTTTTCTGCGCAACTGCAAATTGATTTTTCACACAGAAATATGAGATGCTAGTGCAGTATACTTACATTAGTGAGATGATTATTGCAGTCAAATGTCACACAGTGTAAAGGGACCTGCCGGCCTACAGCGGCTTGCTCTATGTACTCAACCAGGGCTTCAGCATTCTGATCAGGACTGCAGAAAAAAAAATGACAATGCAAGATCGTAAGCACATAAACCAGGTTTGCTCAATACTCGAAGAATGGAAAAAAGAGCCGTTTTTTGGTTTTGTTTTTTTAATAAATACACAGTTTTTTTCAACTTGTTTTGAACATTGGTCAAGACATTCTATACTCTTACAGGAAACATCATCAAACCGCACTGTAAAGTTACAAATTCTTTTTAAGAACAAAAAATGTTTTTCCCATTAAACACAGGTTAATACTTGCCGCGAAAGCGAAACGGGAATGCGAATTTGTGTCGTCAGGGCAAGTTTTCGCGTCACGAATTCGCAAAAGTTGAACCAATTTCAACTGCGAGAGATGACTATGACTATGGATATGGATGTATCAGTGTTGTGGTAGTCCTATCCAATCACAAGTCATTCAGTCCCTACGACTAAGGCTATAGTCATAGGGATGATGGCTACGACTAAGGCTATGACTACGGCTATAGTTGTAGGGACGATGGCTATGGCTACGACGTTGGCTTTGACTACGGCTATGACTACGGCTATGACTATGGCTGTGACTATGGCTATGGCTATGACTATGGCTGACGCTATGACTACGGATATAGATGTAGAATGGCTACAATCATTTTGGTACGTTTGACTATAGCTGTGGCTATGACTGGCTCTATAGCTGTGGCTAGGGCTATGACTAGGGCTATGACTATGGCTATGACTTTGGCTGTGGCTATGACTATGGTTATGGCTGTGGCTATGACTATGGTTATGACTGAGGCTATGGCTATGGCTATGACTATGGCTGTGGCTGACACTAGGACTACGGCTATGGATATAATTGTAGAACAGCTACAATCATGTACTCCACCCATGACAGACTTACCAGCTGCCCATGACCAGGACAATGGAGTCAATGTCCTTGACTTTCAGGACCTTCTTGAGAGCAGCTAGCAGGTTGCAGCCCCCGGTGCCTGACAGGCTGTTCACCCAGTACCGGGCTTCGTCCAGGCTGGTGAGAAAACATGTCAATGAAGTTGAAATAAAACAAAAAAATCTTTCAAAATCTTTGCTTTGTCTGTTGGTTTGGCTTCAGGAAATTTTAGTCGCCTGATTTGGAGGACTTTGACTCGACATGGGTCCCTGTTCTGCTTTAGGAACAAGCCAGAGTTTCTATTGGTTTGCAAATAGAAGGCCCCTCAATGGAGCTATTGATGAAGGCAAAAATGAAGATGAAAGGCATCATTCCATTTATTACGGCAGAGGATAGGTGAATTCTTTTCCTTGAGATACTCTGACTTGACTTTCCAAAGCAGAACAACTCCAAATCGACTCGTGGAAAACGTATTAATTAATTTTTTTAAAATTAATATTGTATAAATAAGGCCAAATTTTATGGACTTGATAAGCAGAAAGTACCATTTAGAAAAATTGTGTGCCAAATAAAAATCAGCCAAGAAACGGGCACAAACAATAATTGTTCTGATTTTAAGTGATTTTTCTGAAACACTCCTTGAAATTGGTCCTTAGCCTAACTGTTAATATGCAGCATAACTTACATCCTGATGTTGGTGTATCTGGGAGTGTGCCATAACGTGTCCAGGTCTGTACCAAACGACATCAGGTACAGCATTTCCCGGTTGTGTAGTTGCTCGTCGATCAACTCCTACACGAGGTCCAACAAAAATAAAGCTTCCAAGTTTATCATGACCAAATATCAAGATGCTGACACAAAATCTTGAGCTACTTTAACTAGGAAACATTGTGAATCCTTCCAAATCCACACATTCTTCTACTTTGCATTGAATTTGAGGCTCATTGTTTACACCTCAAAAAAACTGGGGGCGTAGAAAGCACTGTGGGGTAATGTTGGCTGGTGTTTAATTTTTGGCGTTGGTAATCAGCAACCCAAGAACACTGTTCCTGGGTCACACAAGAATGGGGTTTCCAATATACCCATGGATGAAGGAAAAGACTATCACAAACTCTTCGTGATCTTTTAAAATCTGGAAGAGTTTGCAGGATTGAGGAATCTAGATCCCAGCCACCATTACTTTTCATGCGGCCTGATTCCTCTTGATAGTTTAAGTATAAAAATTGTGCCATCAGATTCAAGCACATTGGTGGATTTTGAAGCTTTCATGAAGGCCCTTGCAAAAATGCTCAAGGTTTTTATGTTAAGAGACTGACCATAAGTGACTCTCTGAAGTGGCTGATCCGACCAAAGCCACAGTTGGAGTCGGAGCTGTCGATGACCAGGGCTACCTTGTTCCCTTTGATCATACCAAAGGTCTTCTTGCTGCCCTTGAGCAGCCAGCGGATGCGGTTGTGGTACATCTCGATGCTCCTGGGGTAGAAAAAAAAAATCAAATAAGACGTTTTGCTTTGAAACAGCTTCTTGCGAGTACAGAAAGGTTCATATGCACTGACAATTTTGCAAATGTATCAACGTTTTAAAAGCTTGGGAAGCATGGTGGCAATAGACTTCATGTCAGTCAGGGCTTTTTGTGCTGTTAAAAGTCTAAAATCTGACCATTGGCTCAGAATACCACCTGCTGAAAACAACCAGCCAATATATGATCCTGAAGGTCATTTGTGAATTTTTACAATTCCATCTAAATTTAGGCAACCGATTCTGTACTCGAAGGTTTAATTGCTTATGGTAGTAAAACCAAGGGATGTTCAAAAGGGCACAGGCACTGTAGCTCTAAAGAAAGTTAGAGGTAGAAGATTGTAAAGAATAGTTCACTTTTGGTGTGGGAGGAAAATTACTGAAAACTATTCCAGGGAATATCCATATGAATCCAGGAAATTGAAAACCCAATCCACTTGTCAACTAGGGTGGGAAAAATGGGATTCATATCAAGTCACACAGTATATGGCAAGGAAAAGTGTCATTTCGCCAACCTGACTCTCCAGTTTCGCTATTCAAATGAGGCCTCTAAACTTGACTGGAATGCGGAGGAAAACATATTCCCATGCGAGATTTTGGGTAGTCAGATCATTTTGGAAACTTGACTACTTACTCATAAAGCTTGTACTCAAACTCGTTTACCACGCTGGCCTCAAACTGTAGCTCCCGCGGTGGGCCATCCAAGCGCTTGTTATTGTTGTTCTTTGGTCTGGAAAGGAAAAGACAAAAAATATTATTGTTTAAAATCTTCCACACGAGGTGGACAGAGCAAACAAAAATTTCCTGACATTCAAATTCTGTGCCTCACGGATGCTTTGTTGTAGATAACAACGCTTTCCTAGAAGGCAAAAAGTAATCACTTCCAGGAAAGTTGAAGATGAAGGATGAAGATGAAGGATGAAGATGAAGGATGAAGATGAAGATGAAGATGAAGAATGAAGATGAAGGATGAAGATGAGGATGAAGATGAGGATGAAGGATGAAGATGAAGGATGAAGATGAAGATGAAGGATGAAGATGAAAGATGAAGATGAAGGATGAAGATGAAGGATGAAGATGAAGGATGAAGATGAAGGATGAAGATGAAGATGAGGATGAAGGATGAAGATGAAGGATGAAGATGAAGATGAAGATGAAGATGAAGATGAGGATGAAGGATGAAGGATGAAGATGAAGGATGAAGGATGAAGATGAAGGATGAAGATGAAGGATTAAGATGAAGGATGAAGATGATGGATGAAGATGAAGATGAAGATGAAGGATGAAGGATGAAGATGAAGATGAAGATGAAGGATGAAGGATGAAGATGAACGATGAAGGATGAAGATAAAGATGAAAATGAAGGATGAAGATAAAGATGAAGATGAAGGATGAAGATGAAGGATGAAGATGAAGATAAAGGATGAAGATGAAGATGACGATAAAGGATGAAGATGAAGATGTAGGATGAATATGAAGGATGAATATGAAGGATGAAGATGAATGAAGGATGAAGATGAAAATGAAGGATGAAGATGAAAATGAAGGATGAAGATGAAGGATGAAGATGAAGGATGAAGATGAAGATGAAGGATGAAGATAAAGGATGAAGATGAAGGATGAAGATGAAGGATGAAGATGAAGGATGAAGATAAAGGATGAAGATGAAGGATGAAGATGAAGGATGAAGATAAAGGATGAAGATGATGGATGAAGATGAAGGATGAAGATGAAGATGAAGATGAAGATGAAGGATGCTTATGCAACGACTATCATTCCAGATACATGAACATCCAATACAAGATTGTGCAGTAACTGAATGCACATTCTTTAGATACACATGCAACTGGGGCATCGAGCCACCACATGTAGTAATAGTGACTGGGCAAAACAGTATGCTTCCATCACATCAATGAAGACCAAGTGTAGGTCTTTGATGGATGTTGGGCAGTCGAGATTGAATCACTGACCTGATAATTTGGCCTTTGCTCAGCAGATCCTTGAGGGTCAGGTTGAAGTGCTCAATGCTGTGATTCTTCAGCCAATCGGTGGAGGTCTGGCCCTCGTTAAACATGGCCGCCATGTCGCGTGCCCTCTGTGGGAAGAAAATACAAGGAGTCTTCTATCAGATGTACGACTCGGATAAAATTTCACAATGACTCGGCATCCTTTAACCCCAAAAGTTTTGCGGTATTCGGAATGGATGACAGATAAACACGAAGGGAGCGAGGCCGGAAATATCTGTCAGTGACCAACTTGCAGCGAGTGAGGCCGAAAATATGAGTGTACTGCTTGAGGGTGATGGCTTCAACCCGCCTGGTATGAGGTCGAGTAGAAGTAATCCCGCGCCTTGTTCCGTTCTTGTCAAAATAATCCTGGCATGAACTGGTTAAGTGCTCAGTAGAAAATATCCCTCATTACATGTATCTCTTGACCTGGTTTTTGCTATAAAGTAAATATTTTGTGTACTTTCTTTAAATTCTTGTAAGCAGGTCCATAAAATTGGCTTCATGAATTTCCTCAGCGAAAAATTTCACTTTGTAAATATATTTATTATTGCGCAAGTCAGCGAAGAGCCAGTAGGACTATATACTGCAACACATAATGGTCGGTAACATGTTTTTGTCCGTACTAAGCATCATTTTTGAAACGGCTCTGAGAAATTCTAAGCACCAGGAGAGCCTCAACTCACCACCCTGTCGTGGGTCTGGTTGATGTGTGTCACCGTCATGTCAGGGGTGGGCATGGCCCCACGGACAGACGGCTGGACCCATGGAGGTCTGTCCTCTAAAGACCGGCGGGTTTTCATCTTGGCATTTGCACTCCGCTTCTTTGTCGCCCGGCTTTGGGTCAGAAACGTCTGCTTGGAGGTCTTAGGTCTCCTACAATACAGGTTTGGATATTAGAAAAAAATGTAATGCTGAATGCCTGGGAATTTACCGAGGATGCCTACTTACATGTAATCTAGCAAAATTATTGTTGGGCAGTCAATCGATATTCCAAGCCGTAACTGATTAGGACAATAACTGATAGACCATTTACACTTATGCGACTTATCTATTTATTTTTGTACACATTTAATTATTCAATAGAAATCTGACAGCGGTATTAAAAATTAAAACAATTCACTTTCTTAAGTTTGCCCCTCAGAAATCATCAAATTCACTGTCCAAGCATTGTGAATGTGAATGTATTAACTAAGGTTGAATCTTTGAGAAATGTGTTGACGAAAACTGGTTATGTGCCCTGAAAATGTATCAATCATTGACAATCTGAAAACCTATGGGCTCCGTGCGCAAACAAAAGAGGGCGCTTTTGACCACTTTCGAGAGCCTGTGGACAGGTTCGCGCGCGTAAAATAAGCACGACCTATTTTATTCTGAATGTGCACAAAGCTATAGCGTCTTCGCGTGAGCGTTGGGCGTCGTCGGCGACACGTTCGAATGTCTCTCCCAGTGGTCTCCCCCAACTCTCCCTTTCTTACCATTGAGGGGGTACTTGTGCACGCAGCCCATAGCGTTATGATACCCCGAATATCAAAACACTAATTACTTTCAATCAAACATTTGCACAAATGTTTGATTGATGGTAGTGGAGTCTACTGACCTAATAATTTTCTGGTCTTCTCCACTTGAAGGAAGATTAATGTCTTCTTCATCAGAGTCATCCATTGTGTACGTTGCTGATGTGCCCGGTCTAATACGAAAGACAACTGATTAGAATATGGAAAAATAGAAACTAATTCCAAAATTCAAAAAAAAAATGCTCAGCACAATTCTTCTGGTTGCTTACAAAAAAAAAGTAAACACAATGTTTGATTAAAATTGTTTATTTTATGCGCTACAACTGCAGTACATTTTTAAAGGAACATGGGTTCAAAGAAAGTCAATCATTCAATGACAACTCAGAGTAGCCTACAGACTTTTGTGTAAGAATTCAGAAATTATAGTATTTTAATCCAGTTGAAATGCTTTGAATGGTGGCTCAACATAGCTGTTAAACTTTTGTGTCTTTCTTGCCATGGCCATTTGGGGAAAGAATTTGAGATATGGCCATCACTTATTTTACCCTTCAATGGCCTATCAACCATCGGTAATCCTTACTTTTAGGACCCCTTTCCTATATAAGGTTGAAAGACTCACCAAAACAGCTGACTAAATGACACTCAAAAGTGACATTCTGATATTTATTGACACATTTGAACATTTGGCAATGACACCTCTTGAATATCAGCAGGTTTGATTTTGTAGAAAGAGGGCAGGGTTTTGATTTATGAGGGGTTAAAGACGACGATGAAAAACAGAAAATAAATTTGAAAAGCAAGATGGTGAACTGCAAAAAAAGGTAGGAAAGTCACATTTTCTTCGAAAGTGCTTTCCAAATTATAACTAACATGAGTTTGTCTGAAGCAAAAAGACTTCTTTAGCCTGCAAGAGTCACTTTGGTACTGAACAGTCATCTGCAAAAGTCGGTTTTGAACAGAACTCATACAAAATAGAGGTGTCCTAAAAGTAAGGATTACCCAACCATCAACAAGTGATAACGTGTCCTAAAAAGTAAACAATGAAGAGTTCCATTGAGTCCTACTGTCCTGAGCATGCTGATCATGAGTGAGATTGAGAAAACAATTTTCCACACAACTGACATTGACAAGTCTCATGCCATGGCGATTGTGCAGGTATGGAATTCTTTCCCAGTTTAGGACTGAAAAAGTGAAATATGTGTGTAGGTGACTTTGTTTTTGGTAACAGAAAACAAATTGGAAAGGTGACGTTTTCGTTTTCCAATCCAAATTTAATTTTCCTCCTCAGTTGACGTTCGCACAAGTTGTCGTCCGTCTGTACTGTGACAGTGACTGTGTACATGTACATTGTGTACATGCATGACATGTACGTGTGAGTGCGACTGCGAGTACAGTGCGAGCTGCGCTCGATCGCGGAGACGGGGTCTCAGCTTAAAGTCTATACCTTTCGCTCCGAAAGTCCCCATTCATCATTGCTGTGGGTTCTTGAAAGAAGTCAACTTTTCCTACTCGAAATCCATAGCCACACAGTTATTTTGGGAAGGTAAAATATAGAAAATCTTGGGTAAAAACAGCGCAGAAATTCACTTGCTTATCTTGATTGTCCCGGTTGCCAATAGTATTCCATCGCGCATGCGTACAACACAGCAATCAATCAGAGGAGAAGTAGTACCTAGACGAAATTTGGTTCAAAATCGTTTCTGTGATTGAGAAAGCACCATACTATTCCTTTTGCCGTTGAGGGCGCTATAATTCATGTTTTTGGTTAATACTATATAAAGCAAGAATTCCCATAGCCTGTACCGGCCGCGTGGCCTAACGGATAAGGCGTCCGACTTCGGATCGGAAGATTGAGGGTTCGAGTCCCTTCGTGGTCGTTTTTTTTTTTTTTTATGAAATAATATTATTTATCAGATTTTGCACGAAAGATAAAAGCCGTGGCTCTTGACAGTGGCTGACATTTTTTTTAAACACTTTTCTTTCCCACAAATATAAAGATATTTATGATTATTTTCAATATCATCAATATCATCACATACGGTCCAATTTTGCCTCATGACGCTGTCAGAATAGGAGACAATACCCATTTTAAGAAAGATATATTTTTTTATCTGAACAAAATTGTGCAGATTAGTTTTCTCAATAAGAATCTCCATTTCCTCCCTATAAGATAAACGTTGCCGTCGGGGAGGAGAGGACCATGCAAACCTAGCTCCATCTATTGTAACAATCCTCACGTGGCGCGGCCCGCGTGCGGCGCACTTTGATTTTTCGCCTGTAGCGCCTTTAGCTAGAGCACTTGAAAAGTTCAACTGAAATTTCGCAGAAAGGGAAATTACATCAAGTTCTAAACACTCCCGTTCATAAATCGAGAGTTTGTCGGCTTGCCGTTACAAAGTTGGAAGAACAATTTATTTCGGCGTGAGTTTCCCGGCGATTTTATTTCGAAGTGCAGTGAACCCAGTTTGAAAAGAATGTCCCCAAAAATTAGAACACAATTTTCTGACACACTTCTAGTTGGGTATGTAAGCAGAGTTAATAATGGTTTATCAGAATTAGAACAGTTTCGACCGATTTTGTACCCAATTTCCGCCCGTTTTTGAATTTCGGATGAAATTTCATGACACCGAAATTGTTCACAGAGGTTACATAGCAAGCATTAATAAGGTACAAGTACCACTATTTTACTGAATGAATTTGAAGTTTGTCAACAAAGAAGAAGTTGGCAACACTGATGTGGAAAGTCGGGGTAAACGTGTGCCACGTATTAGGGAACACCACTACGGAGGGTTCCGTTGTTCCATGTTGTTCCAATGCTCTACTGTTAAACCTGCCCGGCACTTTTAGATTAGCGGCCAGACCTGTGTGCCGTGTTGTGTTCCTTCCTCCATGCCACGCATTACAAGCTTCAAATGTATGATAATTATTAAGGCATATAGGATCATATACTTTCCATGCACTTTGCCTTTTTCCCCAATAATACCAGTCTAAATCCAAAGAAGTATGTTCAAAACCTAACTTGTTGAAGTTTCAGCTAGTGGATATCACACCGTTTCGGGAAAACAGTGAAAAATCATGCATAAAAGTATAATGATCACGAAAACGCACTCTGTTTCGTCCAACAATCACTGAGCTGAGTCAGCATGCTGACTGATAGTGGGAAGCACCTAGGCCCTCAATTTCCTGATCTCTTACGACAGCAAGCCAGACGGACTAATTTCAAGGGCTGTTTAGCTTTTAATAATTCGGTTGGTTACTTTTAGGATTAATGAATGATCCCGCATACTGTCTATATAATAATTTTGTCGACTGAAGATGTTCACTCGGGAATTGCTGTGATTTGTTGCAACTCGATTAAGCACCTATAGGCCTTCTGCAGTGTCGAAAATTCAGCGCCAAAAGTTGCGACACTCCAAAATTCGAAGGGAAATTGCACCCGAATAAACCAAACCTATAAATTTAGGATTTATGGAGAGTGAGGTTTAGACCTTTCTAAATTTTCACATTCTGTGAAACTTGAGGTAATGTTTGCTCTCTTGCAAGGCGCTCAGGGGCAAACAAGTTGAACCTTGCATCAGCAACACACACTCGCCGCGGAATGATCGAGCCGAGAACCCTCGAAATTGTGTCTTTCAAGTTAGTGTCGTTTGGGGGTGAGTTCGGCAGAGGGTGGCGCTGTTCTGAGTGTACAAGTGGCGGTTGCCGATTTGGATTATTTGCAGCACTTTATAATTGTTTCTGATTGTATTGGGGAGATTGGTTCGTGCATAATTTGGGAAATTAAAGTCGGGTCATCAGCGGAAAATTAAAGAAGAAAAGAACACCAAGGTACCTTGTGAAAGTAATTCCCTTTTTATGGGGACTTTCATACATGACAACATCTCTCAAGAACTTTTATTATAGCACATGGAGGAATAAATTAGCATACCGGCCGCCAGACTTCTACCTCGATGGACGGTCCAACCATGGAGCTGCGGTCCAACTATTTGTTTAATTATCATGGTCCAACCATGGAGGATGGTCCACCCAACGCCAGCGGTGTGAAGATAATCCACTTAGCACTAGCAAACATGTATTTGGGTTTGAAACGATTGACTTAGGGATTAGGAAAGCGCTGCCAATAACGCTGTTGCTATGGTTCCCATAGTGTCAATTGTGTGGCCCAGACCCATGAACAACTGAACTGTCAACAGCGTGCGCATTACACATGTACGTTACACAATGCAAGGTGTTCATTGTGCATAAATAGCAGTACGAACTACTCTATATACAGTGGCCACGGGTCATGGACAAAACTTTGAAAAACTGTTGAAACTCTTCACAGTAATTAAGGTAAGAACAGAAAATTCCACAATTCTGAATTGTCCAGAACTTATTTTACCTGTAGGCCTAAAACATTAGTAGTGTGGGAAAACGTACTTCTACACGATTCGTGGTGACATTTTCTGATCTTTATACCGTAGTACCGTTGATCTGTTTTGAGTACTACTAGCAGCGTACACGTTGCCGTGGAATCATACCGTGGAATGCCATCGGTTGCCCCGCTAGCGACCCTTTGCTGGTATGGTCGGTGTACATGTGTTTTCCGTTCATGTTTCACCACCAGGTCAGGTTTTTTTCCGGGTTTACGTGCACATTGCCAATCTCCTTACACTTCCACAGTAAATCGGCGTTAGCTTCGAGCTTGTTATACACTTGTATAGTAATTGTAAATCATGTAAATCAATAAATCGATCACCGAACTTTGTTAACGGGAACATCACACAGGTAGGCCATTTCCTTTTGTAATTATTCATCATGGATCCGACTTCCAGACACTGAGAAAATGTTTCTCATTTTTTTGTAACCGTTGTAAGGTGAAATCCTGTTTTATCAAAGATTTAATTGAGGTACTTTTACTTATATAAAATACTGTAACCTATATAGCCGCCGTTGTTTGAAAGAAACCGTTTGAAATGACTTGCAAGTGAATGAGAGAATATGGGGATTTTGGTGTGAAAAAAAACCAGGCCCTAAATAATTTCACGACACCCAATCGACTTTGTTGTCGCTTATATTGGTGTCAGATCATCAGTACACTACATTCTTTCGTGTACGAAATTTAAACTGGAGTTAATATATTTATATACAAAGGTTTAATACTTTTGCAGTCCGTGCGCTAAAACAAATTCTAGGCCTATTCCCCTTCTCATAATTGTTTCTTTTATCGCCAATCCCCGGCCAAATCACATATCTTTTTGTCGATGTATAGACCTATACCGTGATTATAATCTAATTGACTTGTTGATGTATTATGAGAACAAATTAGACTTTGTAATACGAATATCGGTGCGACCTTTGGTACGGACTGAAGTGTGTGGTCTATTCATGGCGGGAGGGATCGAGGCAGTGATCAAACAAAATTACAAATCATCTTAATTATGGCTCATTTGTCATGGTGTCATCGTGTGGGTTTTTTTGTATGGATGATTTGCAAGAAGGCAGGTAAGTGCAATTTAAAGGCTGGCATATAGGATTATTTGCGTTAATTAATCCTTAAGTCTTGAACCTACCGAATTATTGTTAAAAAAAGCTTTACTTAGATTAAAGATCGTAATGGTCTTAAACACCCCGTGATATTATTCCGTCTGGCTTGCTGTCATTTAGAAGAAATCAAGTGAATAGGCGATTTCAAACGATCAGTCAATATTGTTGGAAATATGGAGTGCTATCGACGAAATCGTGTTTCGTGATCATAAAATTGTGAATGGTTTTTCCACTGCCGTCTCGGAAAGTGTAATATCCACTGAGCTGAGACTTCAACAGGTTAGGTTTTGAAAATTATTTTTGGATTTGGAGTGGTGTTATTAGAAACGAACAAAATGCAGGGAAACAAATGATCCTATAAGCCTTTAATATACCTTCCGACTTATGGAAGGAAAATATACTTTAATGGACGGAATATCATACTAAGGTATTTTTTTTACTGTCCATTGGTAAACTGTGTACATGTAGCCTACATTGTACATGTTTGTGCAGTTTGTCCGAGAACACGGATCAGTGAACGCAAAGTTATTAAATCTCATATTCGTTTGAAGAAATACGCTATCTTGTTATGGACATAAGTACGAGAATTTTCCCCAACTTCCACCAAAAAATGGGAAATTTCACAGAAGAATGTACTTAATGGATCAAATTTATACTCTCCACTCCACCCGAGTTGCCAAGCTTTGGTGCTGGGTGGGGTGCACCCAGCACCGAAGCTTGGTGACAGCGCCACCTATTTCAAACGTCGGACATACACCTCCTCATTATTTTCTGCCTCTAGCTCCTCTCATACCTGAAAGCTGGATCCACCCCTGAACTGCACTGTTTGTTGACTTGCACTTTGCATTTTGAGTTCCACGTATAAACTGTGAATATGATGTACAATGTATATTATTATGCTTTGACATTTTCTCAAACGTCAGCTTTCACGTTTTTTGTCGTCATCAGGACCAAAGTATGTCACATATACTCAGCAGTGATTGAATAAAACGATCGGGGCTGTCTTGTTTTCACCCGGCCAATTGGGAACGCCCTTTGAGGGGCAGGACTGCCGGCAGCCACGCCCAGGACCACGCCCCAGCCATGGAGATATACACGACAAACCGTGAGTGGTGATTCTGAATAAAATACATCTCATTTATGGCTATAACTATCATAAGATTTGTCTGAACTTGTGTCCACACAGATTTGCAATCGGCATACGATTTTATTAAAGGTAATATACATTTGTACAACATTTGCAAACATCAAAAAACAACACTACCAAAATTATTATGAAATATTTTATTGACTGTATGTGAATAATGCTACAGTCTCAAGAATCCAGTGAAATCATGGCACCTGGGTATGCTGTCATTTTCAAGAAAAGCGGAATGTTTGTATCAATGTTCAACGATAGTCGGCCGACCTTGGCTTTCTTGGTTTTCCAGCATCTATTTACTTTATAACAGGTCAGTGTAGCAGTATTTTCCATTAAATACTAACCCCAAAATCCATCCATTTCGGAAAATTACAGCAAAAGCAAATGTTGGATAATACATTTAAGTCACTTTTGTCAAGTACACGTGCCATGGTATACGGTACCCGGTACAGAGTACATGTATTAATATTTTTACCTTAAATTTCGTCATAACTTAATGCCGTTCTATTGAAGTGACACTTGGGCCTAAAGCGGCCTGAACAGTTTGAATTATGCAGAAAACCATTAAACAGCACTTGAATTTTTTTTGAGTAATGATTCATAGAACACCATTGCAAAACCGTCAAAATTCGACTTGCTGCAATCAGCACTAAGTTGGTGCGCACGTTACTATACTCGGCGATTGCGAAACATTAATCTCAATTAATCCACGATTACCCTGATTTATCACGCACTTTATCTGAAAAGTGGCCATGAATTAGGAATTAGGCCTACAAATACACAAATTATCAGCTAATCTGCACAGAAGCGTTGAGGTGACTTGCGTTTAACAATACGAACACAGTCATGTTTGCTGGAACGCAGATAACAATTATCATTCGAGAAAAATGTAGGCCTATACTCCTACTAGTTGACTGCATGGTTCTAGATGAACTCCTATAGCACTATTGGAGAAAATGACAGCTGAACTCATCGCATTTCGTAGTGTTTTTGGAGGAAATTCCATAAACGCATTGGGAAATGTTAGCTTTGCCTAATGATTCCTTTAACGTGTAGTGTATTCCGTTGAAGGCAAATTTGCTATAGTAAACGTTCCCCGTGTGAATTGGCTCTGCAATGACCAAATCAGGAAGTTTATCGTTCTCCGTTATGTACTGAAGGGCATTACGGAATAATTTAAAGGAAATTATCAGAGCTAGTAAGTTAAGAAGTTCAGCTGTAAGAGTGTTGAAGTACTTGGTTATGTGAGCAAATCGAGAAACAGATTTCTAGTTTGACGTGTAGGCTATACTCTGACCAACTTAATAGACTCAAGATTATCAGTGTTAATTGTTGATAAAATTGTCTATACACCAAAGGGCATGATTATTCTTTCATCTTTCAAGCAGAAGGGCCTTGTTACTTTCGTAACGATTTTTTTTGGGTGGGTGGGGGGGGGGGGCGGAAAAATGAGCTGTTCCAATTTGTCCGTGTCCTGGAGCTCAACACGGAGTCAAATCCGGGTTGCTCTTGTCAAAGTTGATCGTTCCCGACATGACTCTTGCGTATAAAGCCATGCACAAGTTGAAATGAAACACGACCAGCAGTTGTTGGACTAAAATGTTGTTACGAGAAATATACACAAACACAGAAACCATATCCGGGTGTTTACTGATCCCCCTCGGCCCAAACACGACACGAGGACAACCGAAGTAATGAGGTTCTGTCTCGAATATCACGCGCAAGGGAAACTTGGAAGTTTTCCCACAATGCCGATTGTGATTGTCAACAATTCCCATCTGTGTCCTCTCAATACATCCCGCCAATAACGGACCGTAAGCATTAGTGCGAAACGTACCCTTCAAATTATGGTTTGAATAAAAAGCGATCACAACAAGTTATTTCTAAAGACCCGGATGTGTTTTTTCATTGCGAAAGTTATTCAGCTTATGTTACAGGTTGAGTTCAGAGAAACTTTTTTTTTGTCGTGCTGTTTTGAAAGAAACCTGTAACACATTCAAACGACACTACTTTTTGTATTCGGAACACACCGGCCGCACGCAGCGCAGTCGCACTACAATGTTTGGGCTCATTGTCGCGTAGGCGTACTGATTGCTCATTGCAAGGATGGAGCGGCTAACAAATCCGAAAGTGCACTTGAAAAACAGATTCTGTTGCTTTATTGGTTGCCAAGATACGGCAGAGCTCATCCATGGCTGAAGTGTTTTTTTTGCCATGGCCAAGTTCGGGCAAGGACCATTAGTCGACTAGTGGTTGATTTGTGACGTACCTTACGCCTGCGCACTGATAACAACGTGCGAACGTCTCTAGTCGAACGCTGGTCAAAACGTCATCGCAAAATTCTGGATCCTGGCTCTCTGCTAACGTTATGAATGCGGCTATTGGTTACCAGCTGGTTGCATCAACCAGCCCAGTAGGATTTTTGGTTCCAAATAGTCGACTAGCGTAGTCAACCAACGTCAACTAGACAGAGTTCGGGCAAGCGTTAGTCGATCTATGGTTAACCATTGGTCAACTTGCGCGAACTTGGCCTCAGCCTCTATTTAAATTCAGCAGTTCTAAGAGACGGTAACAAGAACTTAAAAAGGTATTATAAGGCTTTCAAAAACTATAGTAATAAAGCATGCTGTAATGAAGTGGGTGGATGAGCAAGAAAGAATCTATACATTCAAAGGGGCATGTTTGCTTTTCCTGTTCTATTCTTGGTCTCTGGCGAAGACGAGGTAGCGCAAATTCGTCCAAAGCATCAAACGAAAACTGCTCTTTAAAAGAGTCCTTCAAGTCAAGACCTACAAGTGCGCCCTCATTGCCCCCTGCAGCGGTGTAACTATTGGGTTAAACGAGGGGGGCACCTGGGGGTGCACCAATTTTTGAAACGGGCCGGGGGGGCACTGAAAGCAAACGATATATTGTTTTTGTGCAATTCAAGATTTAAAATGGGGGAACCGACCGGGGGAGGGGGGGGGGGGCACGGATCTCCGTTGAGGGGGCACGTGACACCCCCCCGTATAGTTACGCCACTCCCCCCCCCCCCCCGGTGACTATAACGGGTCCTGTCCTCAATCGATTTCCGAAGTGACCTCGAAAAATTGCTTGTGTATTACCACCGACCGGTTTTCACACTGAAATGCCAATCCATCAATCCCATGGATTACAAAGGACCTTATGCAAATAAAGCGCGCGGTTGCCCTGGACTGTGGATTTGCAGACGGCCGGGAGCGACGAAGCGATTCACGGTCTTGCACAGACCCGCCATGGTGTTGGACTATAAACAAGACACTCGTGCAACGTACGGCAACTACTGAAGCACATGCTACTCATCTGGACGGCCATTGGCTGAGACTTTATCCGTCATCGTTACGTCACTTGCATAATTAAACTTTCTTTCGAACATCGCGCTCACTTGTGTGTATAGTTTTAATTTGCCGGAGCTATTTCACGCAGGTATTTCACCGTACGGAGCTTTTGCAAGCGAATCGCTCGCCACCTCGTCTGATTTGAATGGAGCTTGCAATCCTTGCTTTGAATTGTGATTTGGGGAATTCAAAAGTCGCCGCTCTATAGGAAGCATTGAGCCGATCAACAAAATCTAAGCCCCACACTAATCTAAAACTGAAGACTCAAAACAGATACTTGATGTACATGTAGTTAGTGGAACGGCCGAGTGAGACTTGCCTCACGAACTTGTTCGTGTAGTGCGAACATTCAGGAATAAAAACATGAGCGAAACGCCGATGGACACGGACGCTCCGGATGACTTCGAGAAAAAGAAAAAGGAGAAAGGTACGATGACTGAGTATCTTAAACTGGGTATCGGGCATAAGATAGGTCGATCCCGGTCGGTGGCTGCTTGATGAAATTCACAAATATTTTCGTTTGCTCAAATCTTGTCGATTATAGTCAGTTTCATGGAAAGAATTCCATACTGGGCCACCACTCAGACCTCCTGCACTAAGTCTATGGGCCATGACAGCAAAAGTTAAAGTATTTTAAGAATTTTTTGCACTCCTTAAATATAGTGTTTCTTCGTCAGATTTACAAATTTGGGAATTTTCAGGATATATTAGGGAATATAAGTGGTGGCACAGTATGGAACTCTTTTCAGTTTCATTGTGGAATGCATTAGTTAAAATGCCGATTTTGCTGTTACATCTTACATATATGAAGGGGATGACTACATTCGATATAACCACGCTCACGAAATCCACAGCATCTTCTATCCCGGTCGTCCTTAAAAACACTCTACGCATAGTCAGCGAAACGCGGATCAAGAAGTATCATTGACATAATATCGACCGAATTCAATGAATGTGTTTTTCCACTCTATCGCAGACATAATAATTGATTATGTATGAGAGCAACCCGCACGGAACACAATTGATTTATGGCGTTCTGAGCTGCACCATTAGACAGTTTTTATGCTGTTAGTCTCATTGTATCGCCAAGGGCATCAGACTATTCTCAAATGAAAGTAGTTTTCCTTTTTAAAATTGATTTATGAACGGCAGTCACAAATCAATGCGTTACTGTTCGCACACAATAATCGGCCCTGCGACGAATTTTGTCCATTTTTTTATGATACATATTTTTTTTCTTCTGATTTTCGCATATAGGCCTATTGTGAACACTGCCATTTTTTTTTAATCGGGAAAATGGTATTTTGTCAAATATATCGTGCACTGCATGCGATGGACTTAGCTTGTTAATTATGTCCGATGATCCAATCAGCAAAAAAAAACAGGCTATAGATTAACATTTAAATTTTTTTATGACACTTGACAACGATAAAACAAAAATTCCCACAACATCTAATTATAAAATTGTCAATCGGATGCGCTGCAGGCGCGGTTATAAGCGCGGGCGGGAGAAACGCTTTATACTTGGCTCAAAAAAAAATCGTTATATTCCACTCTCCTAAAAGTGCACGTGCACTATTGAAGAACCTCTCAATGTCACTTCAAGTATCTTAATCCAAATACCAATGCACTATTCCGGAATCCGTTGAACACAGCAAAAGAACCAGTGCTATTTACAAGTTGTCATTCTATCATTACAGTACCTAAAACTAATGCCCAAACAATAGTATACAGCAAGACTCTAAACGCGAAAGGGCTCGCACGAATTGAGTTCAGTACTAACACTCGATCAGCTCGAGATGTTCACTTAACAGTGAACAGTAGCCAGCTCGTATGTACATGTACAAGTCCGAAAACAAAAGTAGGCGACAGTGTTATGAGAACCCACACTTGAGGGGCGCAAAGGCGCCTGTATTGATCGTTACCATGTCAACTGACCCAAAGGTCAACGCCATCATGGCGAAGCGGGGGCCGAACCGCCCCAGTGTCTAAATGAGCGATCTCAAAAGTTATGTACCAGACATCTTTGTGCCTCGGTACGGTCACAAACAATCCGCCATTTAAAGGCACGTGTGGGAACATTTGCAATTTGCAAAAGTACCTACCAATTTAACAAGAACATATATCCTTGCTTGTATAGTGAAGATAGGTCTGGTACCAAGTACCCAGTGAAATTGTTCCGTCTGAAATGGTATCATTGAGAAGAAAATAATCATTGAAGGTGGTTTGTAAAACGGTGCGGGCATGCACAGGTTTTTTTTTTTTTTTACGTGCGGGCCTATAATTATGGAATCCAGTTTAGAGACCCCAACATTTTTGCACGCGTTTTTATTGTTGTTTCAAAATTATAGTACACACTGAGCTGAAGTTTCAATATGTTAGTTGTTGTGCACCCTATTTTAGATTTTGAGCAATTTGTTGGTTCAAACGAAAAAGTGCTCACAAACAAATGGTCCTCAAGCAAGGGCGGATCGGGGGGGGGGGAGGGGGGCAACGGGGGCCATGCCAACCCCCCAAAAAACGAACCCAATTTTTTTTAAAGTGACGTCGCAATAAAGGCAGGCACTGCATACATCACCATCTTTTCCTCCAAATTTGTTAAAGAGGTCAGAAATTGCCTCAGATCGTACCACAGAGCATATCTAGAATCCAAAAAAATTCCGGGGCCCTTAAGCGGGCCCCGAACCCCACGCCGTATTTTTTAATTTTTGGGACCCACTTTTTGGGGGACCAAATTTTTTTGGCCCCTAACAAAAAACGTATACAACAAACAAAATTAATGAAACTCAAAGTAATCTTGAAAGTGTTTAATCTCCCTTCACGTATTCGTCAGCGTTGTGGTAATATCAATACAGGAAGAACTGTTCAATATTGAAGAAAGGCCATGTTGTCTCAGCCATGTGTGCGGTAGAGATCGATACTTAATTAATATTTAATGTAGCCACACTTTGAACGCAGTCGATGAAAAATTAAATGCGTTTAAACAGCATTGTGTGAAACGCAATGTGTAAGAATGCTGCATAAATTAATGAAAGCTTTATTCTAGCCTCCCAGGCCAAATACTTAAAACAGTTAGTCAAAAGTCCAACTGAAACAAAATGGCGCCCCGATTACCAACCAACAACATTAATGGAACTCAAATTATTATGACATTATTTCATTCCCTTCATGTATTCGTCAGCTATGTGGTATATATAAACAGAGAAGTTGAGTATTAATTAAACGGCAATATTCAAGCAGAAAGGCTATGTTTGAGCTGGCCATGTGCAGCAGGGATCGCTGCTTATTGAATATTTAATGCAGCCACACTTTGAACGCAGTCGATGCAAAATTAAATGCGTTACAGCATTGTGTGAATCGCAATGTGCAAGTATGTATGCATAAATCGATGCTGGATCTTTGTATTTGCATCCCACGAGTTGACACGTCTGTCTAAAAGACGAGATGAATACGCACCTTTTTTAACATGCAGGTGAAGTTTTCAGTTTCTGAATGCTGCCACTGACGTCTTGCATTATGCTTTATACGAAGTGATTCTCAGTCAATTGACAAAACATACTGTTCAGCAGAATGTACATGCTGATTAAAAAATCACAGAGAACCGGTCATTGACATACATCAAAATGACGTTGGCTTATCATTTTTTTTTTTTAAATTGGCTTAATTTCTGTGCCGGTCTTAACGTAGATATGATTGTATTCTGCGAAAAAAATTCCCTTTTACAAATATTTTCTCGCAAATGAATAATGAAAACCTTTTTACTTTTTTGGGAGGGAAAATCTATAATACACTGTGCACGCAATTTGGTCTTTGAAAAAAAAATTGCTATCGGGGCTCGTGATTCCTTAGTCTATGTGGATTAACGGGTGATACTCAGACTAGTGATTCCTGTGCGCACGCACGAAAACCCCTGCAATGGAGAAACCATTGTGCACGCTATTGTGCCCGCTATTGTGCCAAGTTGCTGCCCCACGCCGGATTATGTGAACTATTGCTTTCGCCATTGAAGAGGGGCTTCGCGATAGAATTGATAGCGTGCCCGAATCGGTCAATAGGCGCAAAGATTGGTAGCACTTGTAATACAGTTGGAATTAAACAGCGGGATACTTATTGACAATTATTTAATCGATACTTTACTTTTTGCCTTTTTGGGGTGTGGTGTCTCATTTGGGAAGCTCATAACTTTGATATCTTGTGGAAGTGGTAACAAATTAGAAATTTGATTTTTAAATTTTTTAAGGTACCACACACACAAATTATAATTTTTTGGGGGGTAAACAGCTTTTAAGTGATTGGGTGGATTTGTTTTTCGTTTTTCAACTGAACTGAGCATTGGAAAGGTTTAAGCTGCAAATACCGCACCAATTCTAACACACAAGTCCATCTGTTATTGGTGTGAAAAACTGGTATAAACGAACCAATTTCCACGGGGAGAAAAACAGTGTCTGTGTTTTTTGTTTCCCGACTACACAGAGGTGGAGGAATGTCGCCAGTTGCTTCAGAGCCACAAACCCTCCCTGATCAGCCAGGTTATGTCCCTTGACATGCTCCTGCACTTGAAGGAACACGTGGTGGTGGACAAGGACAAGGCCAAGGACATACGGCGCCAGGGTAGAGGCCACAACCGAGAGATCAACCAGGCTATCCTTGCCGAGCTGATGACACGGGGCACCAGGGAATTCGAGGTGTACCAGCTGGGGCTGCGCAAGATGAACCTGAACTTGCTGGCGGACTTGCTGGAACAGAAGCACTTCACAAGTAAGTAGTTGAGACAGACTAACCCCCAAAATGTTGGCGTTTTACTTCTTTTGGTAGAAAGGAACGTTGACTAGGATGGTAGTGTGGTTTACGGCCTGTTGGTTTGTGATGTGGCTTGTTATTAGAGGGTCAGGGGTTCAAATCCAGCTGCTGGACTTATGTTGTGTCCTTAGGCAAGGCACTTTACCACTACTTGCCTCTCTTCACCCAGGGGTACATAATGTACTGGCATTAGCTGGAGAGTAATCTGTGATGGACTGGCATCCAATCCAGGGAGTGGAGGTTGGATAGAAATATTCTCAGTTGATTTATATCGAGGAAGCCAGAGATAAACATCTGCCTGCTGAGCCAGATAGACTTGAGACAGACATTACTTCTTTCTGGTATTACAAAAAGGTCCCTCAAAAAGTGAACATAAGTTACTAGTACAACAATGTACGTAGCTCAAGGAAGCCTGAAGCATCCTAAATAGAGAGGATGATGAAAAAAATGTTTGCAAAAGTTTGGGAGGCGAACCCTGGAATAATATTCCAAGGAAGACCCATAAAATCAAGGAAAGAAAGCCGTATTTTTTTTTTAAACACTAGTTATTTTTTATGACATATACATTGTATTTTAAAAACGTGTAAATTGCCTCTCCCAAACAAATTAAAAAGTGAACAACTGTTCTCTTAAATTTCTGACTGACTTGACTGAATGTTTGCCTTTTTTTTTCGATAATGGCCTGAATATTGCTTTTAGCTTCTTATCTCTGTAAATGAAATGAGGGATTCCTCGCAAGCTTGAAGAAATCTGTGGACAGAAGACAATGAAGAAATGCTCACTTTTAGAGGCGGGAGGAAAACCAGATAAACATTTAGGGAAACCCCACAAAATCGTGGAGGGACAGAAAGCCGAATCCACGTCGGCCTGCTGAGGATTCAAACCTGGGTCACAGAGGTGGAAGGTGAGAAAGGTACCAATGGACCAACCTGACTTCCCTCACAGTAATGTAACTTTTGTTTTGCTTTGTTCAGAGATGATGCACGTCTTTGAGCCAGTCTCCAAGGGTCTAGGACACCACTGGAAGCACCTGTCGGTGGAGCTGGGCATGGCCGGCATCGTGCCCAAGATTGAGTCCAAGTACGTGAGGGTCCGAGAGCAGGCCCTGTACTTCCTGTTGGTCTGGGAGGAGACGGCCGGCATAGGGGCAACCATCAACCGGCTGGTGGAAGGGTTGGAGCTGTGCGGGATGAAGCAGATTGTCTGTGAGTAGGTTTTTGCTCATGTGGAAGACGGACAAGTTACTGAAGATGCAGATTTTGTAATCATGTCCTCACAAGACAATCAAAATGCATCCAGTGTCAAGTGCAACAACTGCAACATTGGACTAATGCTTATATGACCTGACTTGTGATTGACTTCTGATTGATGTGAAATTAACTTGTGATAGACGAACAATTGACCAGTGGACGACAAGATGTGACTTGTGATGGACTTGAGATAACCTGAGATTGTCTTGTGATTGCTTTCATATTTCCTTATGATGGACTCCAGAATGACTTGATATCGACTTGTGATTGACTTGTGATTGATGATATGTGACATTAACTTGTGATTGACTTGTGATTGATTTACGATTGCCCTGTGGTCGACAAGATATGACTTGTGATGGACTTGAGATAACCTGAGATTATCTTGTGATTGCATTCATATTGCCTTAAGATTGACTCCAGAATGACTTGAAATCGACTTGTGATTGATGTGACATTAACTTGTGATTGACTCGTGATTGACTTACGATTGACCTGTGGTTGATAAGATATGACTTGTGATGGACTTGAGATAACCTGAGATTGTCTTGTGATTTCCTTAAGATGGACCCCAGATTGACTTGATATCGACTTGAGATTGATTTTTCACGGTCTTGATACTCCACATATTCATCACACCATTTTCTACAGACTTACCTGAATATTGGGGGAAAAATAATATAAATTGTAATGCTTATACAGCGCTTTCCATAGCATCAACAATCTCAAAAGCGCTTTACAATTATTGCCCCATTCATCAGGCCACGAGACCGCGCAGCAGCCGATATCAGCGCACATGTGGTCCTCTACCCTCACAGGTACCCTTTCATACTCCTGGGTGGAGAGAGGCAATTATTGTTAAGTGTCTTGCCCAAGGGCACAAACACCATGTTCCTGGCAGGGTTCGAACCCACGCATCATCATGCAGGAGTCAAACACTGTAACCACTGGACCATGGCATTCTCTTGTTATTTTCTGATTTACCACATTTTGTCTCATATATTAGTGTACGTCAAAAAGGTGATTCAAGGGAAGAATGTCAAGAAAGGAAAGAAGAGAAAGAAGGGCTCAGGTAATAAAAAACATTTCTTATTTTGTTCCAAGACTTGGGGGAAAAAGAAGAATAAGAGGTTTCAAAGAATAAAAAGGTAAACTACAAGTCCAAGTACCTAAGGCAAGCCCAAATCAGGGATACTTTTGAAAATTATAAGTTCACCTTTTCTCAGTCATGAAAGTGGGTTAATCACGATAAAGTCGGCTACCATGTGCAGATCTTGAACAGACCCCATGCTAGAGCTGCACAGAGCAGATATCATGTCCCTGCGAAAAGCCGACTACAACTTTGAGCCAGGTCATGAATATGAATAAATTATAGTTATTCAAATTAGTTAAGCATATTCAGATGACCTATCAAGAAAGTTGAAGCTGTTTTTTCTTTGGGTGTACTTTACAGGGAAAAGTCGAGCATCGACCGGCACCAGGAGGTAACCTATGCTGGGCATCATTCACTAAAAATGAAGCTGGTTCAGATCAACATGGAATGTTTCTACAGTGTGGAACCATAGAGCAAGAACCCATGTCATGGTACTGCCTGTTGTGTCTACTCTTAATTCTGGGAGCATCTTGAAACGTGGAGTGTTTGCCTCCTTTTGGAATTCTCCTTTTGCAGAGCTGTGGCGCAGAGGATGTTACGGCCCAACTTTATTGTCATCCCAACTGGGGCCATTGCTATAGTTGGCGTGTAAACAGGGAAAATGAGTGTTTACTGCCAGTTCCTATTGGAATTGGCTGTTCCTTGTTAAGCCTGTTGTGAATAAGCCAATGTTCTCATACAGAAATGCCTAATGATCACAGTTTCACGGAGCTTCTGAGCACGGAAAGTTTCTTAGCACAAAAATTATTTGCTTAGCGAAAACAGGTTACCGGCCAAACTATCATGTGATGCTCATTGCTTCTGATTGGTTACCAGCTGATTTTTGATGAGTTTGAAAATTTGCTAAGCTAATATTGTCTGCTTAGCTGCTTTTTTTTCTTTGGCTGTTTCAAACGGAAAATGTGGTGTGTTCCTAGGCACTTCGAGTATGAGGCACTCCTGAACCTAAATCTTTATATTTGTGGTTTCTTATGCACATTGGTATGCACGTCAATCTTTAACCTAAAACGTGGATGATGTATTTCACTTGTTTGATTTGGTTTGAATGCATTACAACAACATCATTCACCGTTAACAAGTGTGTTAAGTGTACTACTCAGCACAGTGATTGAGGATAATGATTGCGCAAACAGTTTGAGCACTTCACTCTGTCAAGTTTAGGGATTGAATGAGGTTGATGATAATTGCTTTTCTCTGGTACGCTGCGTGAAGAATGCACATAACAGCACAACATTTGAAATAAAATAAAATATGAAATTGCATTGACAAATCCAATCAAGGCATTACTTTTCAGCAGATATAATTTTTCCTTTTTGAACATTTTAATAGTCAGTTTTAGAAATTGCACTTATGCCGCTATAATGGAAATATCTGATTTTTTTTTTCATGAGCAATTTCTGCAATTATCTACTCGAAGACCTCTGTGCCAATACAATTGATGATTGTATCAATTTTCATATTCATCGTAAGTACCAATAATTTCATTCTGTATGCAATCTTTGCATGTACTTGAAACCCCCAAAACTTGCGCTCGCATATTGCGGTCATCATGATCAATTTCATCAAAATCTTTCAAAAATCTGTTAACATTTCCCAATTATTAAATTTGGAGTGATCGAACTATTGTATGTCTCATTGTTGGGACATTTTCAAGAAAGTCAGTTGTGATAGTTTCACTAAAATATTTCGTCTCCCTCAGAAAACGCTTCAAGTACAAATAGTACACTACAACAGCGAGCACACTTGTACAAGAAATGTAGCACACTAAAAATAAAAATCATGTTGGCAAAACATTGCAAAGTTCGTTTCACTTTATCTTCCCCGAAACGATCTTGTTTGCAAAACGCTCCTTAGGAAGTTAAAAATAGCATTCATTGCATTGTGTACACATGTAGACAAGCAGTTGCAACAAAAAGTACATCAACTAGCATCTAAAAACTAACGAGCAATTTGTTATGTACTTTGCATGTACCTGTACTTTGCATGTGCCTGTACTTTGCATCTCTGCTTCAATAGTGCCACTACTCTTCATCTCTTTGCCAAGTTCAAGTAGTTTCGTGTTTGTGAGATAACCTAATGGGTTTCTGTTATCTGTGATGTTTTTGTTGGAAGGCAAAGGTTTATGGGGACCACACTTGGGGTTTTGTTTGGGAAATCCCCTAACTGGTGGCCCTGGGTATTTTGTTTAAATCATCATAACCCCCTGGAGATTTTTGTCTAGACGCCAAGCTGAATTTGAAAGAATTGGAAAAAAAAAGTTTACAAGGGAATTTGTACACCTCTAAGACATGATACAATGCAGATGTTCAAAGACTTTTCAAAGTTAAAAATAAATATTCCCTACGACTTTTATAATGGCCGCAAAGTTTGTTGTCCTGTTGACTTGTTTCTGTTAAATCTTATTTTCATGTTCTCCCGAGACAAATTAATTCACAACAATTTCCAATAGTTTACAAAAGGACATTTGTGGTTTTTCAACGAACTGGAAGAATGACTGTCTTGAATTAATGTATGAAAAAAAACAATGAATTGTTGTAAGTTTGTATTTTGGGAAAAATATTTATTTAATATTCAGTGGTTCATATGAAAGTTGCCGTGACCCCATACTTTCTAAATGTCTTATTTTTCGATTTTTATTATGAAATGTTGTACTACAGTGTGTTTTGTTTGAAATTCTATTTCTTGTGAAAATATTTTGTAAGATGTAAAGTTCCACCTACCATGTAGCACTGAATGTTGTTTTTTTTACTCCATGTTAAATCTCTACAGCATTGTAAATAACACAGAGCGCAATAAACAATTTTTTTATATAATTACTGGTATCTGGAATTCACTTATTTTGTGTTGAGTATAAAACCACCCTGTCTGGTTGTTAAGGAATAAAAATATACTGCAATGCATTCTGGGAACCAGGTGGGGACTGTACGTGCCGTCATGATGATGCCATGCTTAGTCAAAATGCAAAACAGTGGCATGCATTTGTTAATATCAAATTGACTGTTTTATTTCTGTATCTCTTCAAATATTTGCCTGTACAGGGTGAGTAAAAAAAAAACGAAACCCAAATGGCAGGACCAATTTTTGAATGAAGTTCTGCATGTAGCACTTACAAAATCTAGGATATGAAAGCCCAATCAATGAGCTTTTTTAAGTACAAGAATCATTCAAATCACTCATGTACTTTTCGAGTTGTAGAATTTTGAACACAAACACCGTTTTAAAGTTCTGTCCACGGATCACAAAAAAGTATGTGTTCTTTCAGCAATACGAAAACAAATCACATAGGGATGCATGTGAATTGTTTTTGTTTTGCTGAAAGAACACTTACCCTTTTTTTTTCGCAGCTTGAAAAGTACATGAGTGATTTGAATGATTCTTGTACTAAAAGAAAGCTCATTGATTGGGCTTTCACTACAGGCAAAACATCATCCAAAAATTTGGGTTTCTTTTTTTTTTATTTACCCTGTACAGGTGAGAGCACAGGGGCCTGATCGGGTTCTTGCATGTACTTTGACAAAGTTTGTGACTTAAGTTTTCTAAATTGCAATAAAATTTTCCTTAATTTACAAAATGGAATACATGTACTGTTAAAAGAGGACAAAATCTGCCGTATTTCTTACAGACAAGCAATTTTATAAGTTACAATGTAACACATGTAGAAAGACCATCTACATACAAAAAATGAAAAAAATTAAAGAGAATTTGTTGTTGGTGTCTTGCTCTCTGGAAACTGTAACTATTATCAATATTGAGTACTATTTAAGGCAAGTACTGTTGATAGCACATATAAATTCAAATTCCAATTAATAATTTTATTTTTTTTCAAAGGACGGACTTGTAATATTTCAATATGCAATTATATATCACGGGCAAACAAATTTGATTAATGTAAACAATAAATATTATTAAATTAGGATATGCCAATACATGTACATGAAATATTAAATACATCAATGTGAAAAAAGGGTTAAACGGGAAATTTCAAATTTCATTTCAAATATGCCTCCGTAGCTGCACACTGGCACAAACAAATAAGTAAAAGTTGTATAACATGTGAAATTCCCGATACATACGAAATGTCACACTGTAAAAAAAGCTTGAACTTTTCTCTATATAGTCCTATTTTCAGCAAATCCTAAGCAAACTGTAAAATCTTGTTTACTTCAGCTACACAAAATCTAGACCCTGAGAAAATCACATTGGAAAATTCTAAGCACGTTACTTGGGGAAAATTAATATTTTCCTTGAATACTTTTTCCATAAAAGTAAATTACGAAAAGTCAGTTTAATTTAAAGAAAATTTCACATACCCCTCCCTTTCAAACACACACACAGACACCCCTAGTAAAACTACACTTAAATCGAAAGGTTGGTAGAAAAATGCTAAAAAAGGAGTTTTTATGGACTTTTGGAAAGACGTCTGCACTACTAAGCACGATGTCGTGAGTTTGAGTCCCACCTAGGAAAAGTTGTGAAGTCTTTCGCTTCTCACATGCTCTTAATAGGCACAAAGCATACAGTGCTTGTAGCATTCATCAATAAAGGGCAAAACCGAATACAGGGGCAGAAAGATGAAAGTCGTTGAAGTCATTCTAAATCAACCCCAATGCAATGATATCCTCTTACCTTGGCCATAGAATCTTCTTCGGCAGACCAGCAACTGTGCCAAATTGTACACGTAAATTTTAAGTGTGTTCATCTAATACCTTCTGTTCAGCATTGCCAGGATTTTGGACAACGCACTGCCCAGTTTAGATTGTCCACACAGGAGCTGAACCTCATGCCTTCTGAATATACACGGCCGGTACAGGGGTCTTCAAGGTTTCCAGGAAAATGCTCTCTTCCTCCAAAAACTCCTTGTCCTACAGGGGAAAGAAAAAAAAAACGGTTGATGTCGGGGTGATTTTGGGGTAATCAGTTACCTGGTAATGATAATTACCAAGGTTACTGTTACACAATTACCATGGTTACACAGTTAATCTGGTTACGGTTAACACAGTAACCCTGGTTACAGTAACAGTAAAACCTTTTGTTACCATGGTTACAGCCTATAATTCCCATGGTTACAGTTACAGAATTACCATGGTTACAGTAACAAAGTTAACATGGTCACAGTTACCAAGTGACCAATTTACCATTGTTACAGTTAAACAGTTGCTATGGATTCAGTTACGGGGCTGCCATGGTTACCTTCTCAGCTTCCACTTTCCACACCCTCAGGCTGTGGCCCAGCTCTGCCTGGGACAGGAGGGTGTCAACGTCCTTCAGGCTCAGGGCTCTAGAGGGCGCTGTTTCCCTCTCCGGGTACTGACTGTCGTCACTGGGGAGTTGCATTGACCGATTGAGGTGAGGTGTTTGGCGGAAGTGGTTGTTGGTAGACCAGGCTGGTGGTGATGAAACACCTAAGAGAAAAAAAATTGGAAAAGAAGCATTGAGACCCAGTGCAATGTATTCACGTTGCAGAAAAAACTTCACGGCCAACACACACAGCTTTAGACTAGGCTGTAGGGTATTGATTTCATAGCTCATATACAGTATATTAGTCATACTTCCCTATCCAACTTTAAATATTAACAGGCAAATTGAAGCTCAAAATATAGGAAAATGCACAATTAAGCACCACTTCTTTGAAATTGTGGTTGTGTGGTTGGTTGGCCTGAACAGTTTGCCTTTCTGTAAGAATTTATGGCAAGAAAAACCGGCCACAACTGTCCATTTTGCTCATGGTTATGGTCGATATAAGATATCGCTCACCTGGTGTTTTTGGTGATGGGACTGGGCCTCCACACATCTGGCAGCGTAGGGACCCACGTAGTCTCTCCAGGTTCCTCTGCTCACGAGCCAGATCCAAACGCTCCTGAACGAAACAATGCAAGTCAAAAGGATAGCAGGAGTTTTCAAGGAATCCCGCATCAAATTAGGGTCAATCCACAAGTCAAGAAATTTGTTCTTACACGTACTTCAGATTGTAGCAAGATTCCCAAAGACCCAAAGGTATAATATCTCTCACTTAGGCCAAAAAAAAAATAGTCGGTCTCTGGTCAGACCGAAGTTCCGGAATTGATGCGGCGACGTGTTTTTTTTTTTTTTTTTTTTCCCCAAGCTTGAATTGTACAGACAAGGTGGGTACTATTTTGCTTTCTTGTGTCCTCATTATACATTGGTGTCCTCCATCATTTGCCTTGGTGCCCTTCATCATTTGCCTTGGTGCAATTTCCCCATTCCTTGGTGCTCCTTGGTACAAAAATTTTAGTAGGTGCGGCAATAGAGGGCGCTGTTGTAGCTTCCGTGTTGATTTAAAGAAAAAAAAGGTTGACGCGCATGATTAAAATCGACGGGCACGCTGACCAGAGACCGAGTAATTTTTTTTTTTGGCCTTATCTTATAAAGATTCCAAATCCAGAGTTTTCAACAAAACATATTACGGCTTCCTATCTCACCTGTGCGATTTGTCTCTGTGTCGCCCGTAATGTCTGAGTCTGACTCTGCAAATTCATCTCTCTTGTAGATTGCTCAGCTTCTATCGTCCTGGCTGCCTGTAAGGCCGACTGCCCATCCTCCCTAGCCTGAACACCCTCCTGATGAATGGAATTGAATATTGATATTAAATTGACATGCTTGTCTCCGGTATCTTGCTCAGCTTCTATCGTCCTGGCTGCCTGTAAGGCCGACTGCCCCTCCTCCCTAGCCTGAACACCCTCCTGATAAATGGAATCAATATTGATATGAAATTGATATGCATGGCTCCGGTATCTTGCTCAGCTTCTATCGTCCTGGCTGCCTGTAAGGCCGACTGCCCCTCCTCCCTAGCCTGAACACCCTCCTGATAAATGGAATCAATATTGATATTAAATTGCTATGTTTGTCTCTGGTATCTTGCTCAGCTTCTATCGTCCTGGCTGCCTGTAAGGCCGACTGCCCCTCCTCCCTAGCCTGAACACCCTCCTGATAAATGGAATCAATATTGATATTAAATTGATATGTTTGTCTCTGGTATCTTGCTCAGCTTCTATCGTCCTGGCTGCCTGTAAGGCCGACTGCCCCTCCTCCCCAGCCTGAACACCCTCCTGATAAATGGAATCAATATTGATATTAAATTGACATGCTTGTCTCCGGTATCTTGCTCAGCTTCTATCGTCCTGGCTGCCTGTAAGGCCGACTGCCCCTCCTCCCTAGCCTGAACACCCTCCTGATAAATGGAATCAATATTGATATTAAATTGATATGTTTGTCTCTGGTACTTGCTCAGCTTCTATCGTCCTGGCTGCCTCTAAGGCCGACTGCCCCTCCTCCCTAGCCTGAACACCCTCCTGATAAATGGAATCAATATTGATATTAAATTGATATGTTTGTCTCTGGTATCTTGCTCAGCTTCTATCGTCCTGGCTGCCTGTAAGGCCGACTGCCCCTCCTCCCTAGCCTGAACACCCTCCTGATAAATGGAATCAATATTGATATTAAATTGATATGTTTGTCTCTAGTATCTTGCTCAGCTTCTATCGTCCTGGCTGCCTGTAAGGCCGACTGCCCCTCCTCCCTAGCCTGAACACCCTCCTGATAAATAAAATCAGTATTGATATTAAATTGATATACATGGCTCTGGTGCTATACTCAGCCTCTATTGTCTCAACCCAGGTGTTAAATGGGTACCGGCATTATTCAATGCTGGGAAGGGAACAGACTCACTGTGGAGGAGGTGTGGCGATCCCCCCACAGCAGCAGCATTATATTGAGTCTGGCCCAATCGCTAATGAAAGAGAGATGGGCACTCTGTTCCTGTGAACACAGGTTCGTCCCCTTTACCTTTTTTTCCAAAATATCGATATCAAATTGATATGAATGTCACCGGGCTTGCTCAGCTTCTATTGTCCTGGCTGCCTCTCCTCTCTAGTCTGAACACCCCCTGATAAAGTGAAACTGATATCAATATCAAATTGATATCGGTATCTTCCTCATGTATGTCACTCTTGTAACACTTTATCTGCCTCACAGCAGCAGAACATTAAAGATATAAAGGAGTTTTTTTCTTCGAGCGAATTTACAATTTGTATGTTTTGTTTTAACGGAAAAAAAACAAACTTTCTTCTGATTTTCGGCATCTGCAACTCATCTGAAACAGGGCTTTCAAATGGACCAGGCCTGCAAGAGCCGTATTAATGTCGGGCTGCAAATATTTCGAATTTGGTAAAGAAATAATTCAATAACTATATATGTTGGTAGATTGTTTCATTTGTTTGATTGTTTCATGTCTCGTTCAAAAGTGAGTATTTTTAAATGCTAGGAAACTAGCAAGTGAAGAACAAAGCTATTTTGTTCATTGTGAAATTCAAATAGCTTGGGAGAACATCTTTAAGAAAGTCGCAACTTTCATCTTTTTGACTTTCGGGCCCTAAATAATTTTTAAAAAACCCAGCAACCTGGAGCCTTGAGCATCAGGCATCCATTGTGCGTAACACCAAAAATTTCATTATTCTAGATATTTTTTAAAGAAAACTTGTAAACTTGTTAAGAAAACTTGTATCAATACCGTGACAGTCTCCTGTATCTGCTGCGAGCGTTGTCGCAACGTCTCGGCCAGCTGCTGCAGTCGCCGCTGCTCGCTGTCTAGCTCCTGCCGTCGCTGTGACAGCTGCTCCTTCTCCTGCTGTAAGGCCTGCTGCTGCTGCTGCAGCGACGCAGCCTGGGCGGTCAGCTGGCTGCGCTCGCCGGCTAAGGTCTCTAGCTTGCCTTCCTGCTCCGCGCCCACCTGGATGGGAATGACACGGGCGATCAAGTTCATGAACCTGCTAAGCAGGTAAGATATTTGCTAAGCAAAAACCGGCTAAACTGGATGTATTTGGCATGTGACTAGGCTTTGGAGAATGGAGTGGCTAGAGACCTACCTGCATGGCTTTGTTGGCCTGTTCCTGAAGCGATGTCTCCAGTTGTCTCCTAGCCGCAGCCACTTGGGCTCTCTCGGCTGCCAGGGCCTTGCGTTCCTCCAGACACTGAGACATGATAGTCTTCTGATCATCCAGAATGGCATCCTAAGAAACCAAATTAAGAAACATATTTGCTGAAATGTGGGATTTTTTATCTAGGGATTATTTTGATCTTGGGAATTTTTTGGTTCTTGGGATTTTTTGATATTGGGATTTGTTTGGATCACGAGATAAATGTTTGGATTTTGGGATTTTTTCAAAAGTCTCAGGATTTTTTGGCTTTTGGGAATTTTTTTCATCTTGGGATTTAGGGAAATGGATCTTGGAATTTTGTTTCAATAAAAGTTTTTCCAATTTTTCATCTTGGGATTTTTTTTTCCATTTTGGGATTAGGGGATATGGATCTTGGGAGTTTTCAATCTTGTGGTTTTTCTATCTTGGGAATATTTGAAATCAGAGATTTTTTTACAATTTTGGGATTTTCACTCTTGGGATTTTTGTACTTCTGGGATTCGTTAAATCTTGGCATTTTTTGCTGTTGGGCTTTTTAAATCTTGAGATTTTTTGCTCTTGGTATTTTATAATCTTTGGATTTTTTTGCTCATAAAGTCCTTGGATATTTTTTTCTCCTGGGATTTGGGGATATGGAGTTTTTAATAATCTCAGTTCTTTTCTATCTTGGGAATTTGATCAATCTGATTTTTTTTTCCAATCTTGGAAATTTTCAATGTTAGGATTTTTAGTCTTTGAATTTTTTAAGTCTTGGAAGCGTTTACACTTGGGATTTTTTTTTTCATTTTGTTGTTGGCAAAATTGATTAACCACCACATGATTGATATCTGTGGAACATCCAGTGTAATATTTCTGAACTTCTTTTCATACAAACACACCTTGGCATGTTGGAGTGAGGCCTGTTGGGAGGCCAGCTGCTCTGCCGCTAGCTTACGCTCCTCCTCAGTAGCTCTCTGAAGGCTGCTCAACTTACTCTGCTCCTGACGCAGACGAAATCTCTCCTGGAAGAGCACAACATTTCATTTCAGTAAAGATGCATCCTGAAATTGGTTCCTGTCTCTTCTTGAATATTCCATTAGGAGCAGGTGTTATTGCAGGTGGCAGCGAGCAGCATTCTTAGCTATGACAGGCTGTTCTTGGTCGTCCAATGACAAATTTGATGGAATTTTTGTATGCATGTATGGACATCCATGTACACAAAATCAACGATTTTGGGTAATAGGCCATTTGCGAGTTTAATTTGAATAAAATCTGGAGCGCTGACTGAATCTAATGCTTTGCACGTTCCAACTTTGCATTCTCCCGTCCAAAGAGACTGTTACTATATCACGTGATTCGGGGCAAGCCTTATACTAGCAACCCCCAGCTCTGGCATGGTCTGGTGTCTTTGTGCCATTCTCACCCATTGTGAGCGATGTATTGATGCTGAGCGTCTCTTACGTAACTATCCAAGAGCTTGCCCCGAATCATGTGATTAGCAACAGTGTCTTTGGTCAGGAGAATTCAAAGTTAAAATGTGCCAAGCGTTCTGAGCAAGTCAGTGTACCACATGTTTTTCAAATTCAAATCCCAAAGGGAATAGGTCACTCGCAAATGGCTTATTCCAGCATGATTATGACAGGAAGTGAAATATCTGTGACAAACCACGATATCTAATTCATGATTCAGAGAAAGATCCAAATCTCCTAGTCTGTAATCTGCTTAATCATAACTAGATAATGGATGTAAAATATTTAAAAAAATACATTTTCAAGTTTATTCACTGAACAGCTCTGTCACGGACGTAGCATAAGGCTGGAATTGTCCCAGAGTAAAATTGGTCAACACAAAATCTGCATTTGAAAATATGACATTTGCTGAGAATGGTACGTTCTAATAAAAACAGGTCAAAATGTGCACCAGACATCAGGTGAAAAACTCACAAAGGATCTGCAAAAAAAAAGTAGTGTTAAGGCCACAAAAAAAAAAGTCTCCGGTTTCTGGTATGCGCGCGCGTCGCGTAGCCATGCGCATCGGCAAAATTTAAAAGTTTTTTTTTCACTGTAAGATGATGTCTCAAAACCGTCAAACTCACTGGTTTGACTGGAATCCTGCTGCTGCACAATTGTAACGTGTTTTTTGATGGGGTTACGATCGAGTATAAGCTTTATGTGGCCACTCTGGGCTCCCATACATTTTGCACTAAATTTAGTCGGCCATCATTTGCAGTCATCAGCCGCCATTTGAAGGAAAAAAATAGTCACAAAAAAAAAAAGCCGCGGCGCCGCACCACTTTGGGGGCAAGCTTCATACCAGAAACCGGAGACTTTTTTTGGGCCTAATACCAGAAAAAGTACAGTAGGAGCAGACACCCCTACATCTTAAGGTACTAAGTAGGTGAAGCATTTACCTCATCCAATTGAGTGTTTTGCTGTCGGATGTGGGCCTCCAGTCGGCTGACCAGCGCCTCTAGCCTGGCTCTCTCGTCATTCATCTCCTCTTGTTTATCAGCTAGACGCTTCTCCAAGGCTAGAAAATACAATAAATAAGTAAAGAAATTTGGGGGCTAATTGTCCTTATTCGCAGCAGAAGCTGAATTGTGAAGGATGCAGCTACAACGTGGTCGAGCCGAAGGCATGAAAAGGTGCCTTGGGCAGCTGCAATATGACCCATGTCTGACCACGGAGCACAGCCAGATCGAAAGTGTTACGTTTTTCCAAGGGAGGAAACTGGAGAACCCGGAGAAAAAAAACCCATGCCACAGGAGAGAATCAACGAACAACTTGACTCACATACGACTCGAGCTGGGAATCGAACCCAGGCCACAGCGGTTAGAGGCGTGGGTGCTTTATGCACTGCGCCACCCATGCCACCGTAAATAATCAGGATTTCAGGAATATGAAACTTTGATGCTAAAAATTTGTGAAATCCAGTCTCGTTTTAATTAAACACTGACACCTACATCCACAAGGAATGAAAACACGCATTTCAAGAAGATCATTTAAGAAGCAAACAACAACTTAATAATCTTCGAATGAGATTCAAACGATACAAACACAAATCCGACTTGCCATTAACAAAATGAACAGGCTTTGTACCAACAAGATATAAATAATGTTTTGTACATGTGGCAGTGTAATAAGAATTAAGCATAGAAATGGTTTGCTAGATGCCTACCTTGCAGTTGTTGGTCTTTCTCTCTGAGTTCCACAGACCGTTGTTCCAGCTGGCTGTGATGCTGGCCATGTACCTGACTCTGTAGGCTGCCAAGCTCCTTGCTGGCTGACTGGACCTGGTCAACAACAGCTTGTAGTGACCTGCAAAATAGGACCAATCAATTAAAAATGATCTTGGGGAATTGAACATGTTAATGCTGTTGAAAGAAAAACAGGGAGGCTCCGAAATCAAAAATTTGAAAATTGTTGATGCTTCTTATCATCAGCCATTTTTATGCTTCAGGAGAAAGCTCACAATTTAGATAAGGCTATGAAATCAGCAATTCAATTTGAATATTTCGAGGGGGGGGGGGGGCGGAGAGGTGCTATACCACACCCTTAAAGCACAGCACACTACCTCTAAGGCAAAAAAAAAAAGTCTCCGGTTTCTGGTATGTGCGCGCGTCGCCGTAGCCATGCGCGTCGGCAAAATGAAAAAGTTTTTTTTTTCAATGAAAGATGATGACTCAAAACCGCCAAACTCACTGGTTTGACTGGAATCCTGCTGCTGCACAATTTTAACGTGTTTTTAGATTGGGTTATGGTCGAGAATAAGCTTTATGTGGCCTCTCTGGACTCCCATATATTTGCACTAAGTTTAGTCAGGCACCATTTGCAGTCAACAGCCGACATTTGAAGGAAAAAAATCAGGTAAAAAAAAAAAAAAAAAGCCGCGTCGCCGCACCACTTTTTGGGCAAGCTCCATACCAGAAACCGGAGACTTTTTTTTGGTGGCCTAATGCCATAAGGACTCATTTAATTAAATTTCTGGGATGAGTTGCAGAAACGTTTGAAACGCCATCGTATCAGTTATTTGTTGTAGAATCCTGAACAACTTCCCCAGACTGTCTCTGTGATGAAGTTATAAGCACCATTTACAAACGGATAATTTAATTTCGAGAATTTCCGCACAATTTTTCAGAATTCTGCAACAAATCCCAGATACAATGGGCCTACTACCTTTATTAATTTTTGCCTTTTGAAATGGGAGCCCTGTTTTCTGCTTTATGGCTTGGGGATGCGAATGGGGAGAACTTACTTGCTGTGCGTCTGTGTGTTGTGTAGCGCCTCCATCTCTCGCTGCATGGCTAGCTTGACCTGCTGCAGCTGCTGCTCATGCTGCTGCTGAACAGCATCCATGGCAAGCCTAAGCAGACAAAATGAAATAATTTTCTTCTCGTAACTATTTTAAATTGATTTGAAGGAATGAAACAAGATTAAAATCATTATTATGGAAAATCAAATTAAACAGCACAAGTTATAATTATTAATACAATATTAACAGACAACATTTTGCAAAGTAGAAGACATTATCTTTTCAGTTCATTAATTCTTACTTTTTTCAAACAAAATGCGATATACTCTGACTAAAAAAAGGACTGGACTTCAACATGTCAGCCTTCCCATTAAAAAATACTGGATCCCGACTCTAATCATGGTGTACAACCTTGTTGGTGACAAAATTTTCCAGTTCACTTAAATAGGAAGAAGTATGGCCAATTCACAAAAAAAGTAGAGAAATGTTGCACCAGAAAGATTTATTTGCAAAATGATAATGAGGTCTGGGTTTAACAGTCCTTGGAGTAGGAAACTTAACATTTTCAAATGTCAAGAAAAGTCTTTTGCATTGATGAAACAAGATATTTAATGACACATCCATGTCACTTTTACCTGTGGGTCTGCTGAAGCTGCTGCAGTTGGCTGCTGTGCTCGGCGTTCATCTGCTGCACTCGCTGCTGCTGTTGCTGCTGCTGAGCTGCCTGGTCTTCCTGCAGCTGCTTGAGTCGCTGTTCGTATTGCTGCAGCGCTGACGTGTGTTCCTGACGAAGCCTGGTCTCACGACGGCCAGATGACTCCTCTAGGAGCTGAACGTAGTCTCTGCAGGGAACAAAGTATCGGTCAAATTCAGAGAGAAAAATTGGAAATTGCAGGAATACCACCATACTCATATAAAAAATAACAAACTTGCAGACAATTTCACTTGACTCTTGCTGTGTGACACACAAGAAGTGTTACTGTCGGCACGCTTTGATGACTGTTTTATGTAGTTTGTCAGTAAAGAATGAACATTTAACCTATATACATTGTATTGTGGTAATTCAATATTTTGTAGGAATCCATTTTTTTTTAAGCTTGCAATCAAAAAATATATACGATGACAGATTATACATCGTGATTTTTTAAATTTCAGTTTCAGTGCTAGGCAGAAAAAAACAATTTGAAGCAAATTTATAGTTACCTAAATACAAGCTGCGAACCTATTACAAACAAAATGAATGCCACTGTACAGGGTGAAAAAACACGAAACCCAAATGTCGGGACTATTGTTTTAATGAGGTTCTGCATGTAGCACTTTCAAAGTCTAGGATATGAAAGCCCAATTCATAAGCTTTCTTTTAGAACAGGAATCATTCAAATCACTTATGTACTTTTCAAGTTATGGAATTTTAAACACAACCACCGTTTTAAAGTTCTGTCCACGGATCACACAAAAGGTGTGCGTTCTATCAGCAAAACGAAAACAATTCACACACATCCCTATGTGATTTGTTTTCGTTTTGCTGAAAGAACACTTACCCTTTTTGTGGTCCGTGGACAGAACTTTAAAACGGTTCTTGTGTTTAAAAGTCCATAACTTGAAAAGTACCTGAGTGATTTGAATGATTCTTGTACTAAAAGAAAGCTTACGAATTGAGCTTTCATATCCCAGATTCTAAAAGTGCTACATTCAGAACTTCACTAAAACAATGGTCCCGACATTTCGGTTTCGTTTTTTTTTACTCACCCTGTATAACATGATCGTATGAGATGACTGCACGGTTCTGCTAAGCAGATGTTTTTTATGCATCACAAAATTGTTGTACTTTCCAGCACGATAAAATAGGTCCCTAGTTCTTGGTGAACCATACACCGGTTCAATTGTTATTTTGATATCTGCCAATAGTGGTTTATATTGCATACTTGTGTGCATTTTCCAGGGCGGTTTTCTGCTGATGATGTGCCTGCTGCACAGCCTGCAACTCGGCTTCAAGACGACGCTTCTCTGCTTCAAGCTGGTGAATCTGAACATTTGAATAAAAAAAATAATCTGAGTGTTCATCTAGCATTGTTGAATTTCGCTGAGGGTTTTCTTTAAAAGTTCACAGTCACTGTGGCTCAAAAAGCCTATAGATAGAAACCTAGAGAAAGAAGACAACGCAGAAATGTCCAGTTTTAGATTAGTGACGGAAACCGACAGAACACTCGAGAAAAAACACATGTGGTACAATTTGGTTTACCGCTTGTGACTACAACCCCTTAAAAAAGACAATGACATTTTTTAGGATCCAATTTATTTCTTCATCCTCATACTGGTTAAATATCAGTCAACTTCCCTTTGTAGTTTATTTGGTGATTTCTTATAAAAGCTGTATCCTCTCTGAGTGACTCCCGAGTGTCATTTGCAGGGGCCAATTTTACAGCGCCGCTAAGCACAAAAAGTCTGGCTTATAAAAGCAGGTTACCAGCCAAAACTCCATATTCAGCTGTTGTTTGCAATAGCACGAAAATCACATGGAGTTTTGTCTGGTAAACTGCTTTTATAAGCCAGGCTGTTTTTGTGCTTAGCAAATTATGTTTGCTTAGCAGCGCCATGAACTTTATATTGATTAAATATCAGTCAAGTTCTCTTTTTGTAGTTTATTTGGTGATTTCTTATAAAAGCTGTATCCTCTCCGAGTGACTCCCGAGTGTCATTTGCAGGGGCCAATTTTACAGCGCCGCTAAGCACAAAAAGTCTGGCTTATAAAAGCAGGTTACCAGCCAAAACTCCGTATTCAGCTGTTGTTTGCAATAGCACGAAAATCACATGGAGTTTTGTCTGGTAAACTGCTTTTATAAGCCAGGCTGTTTTTGTGCTTAGCAAATTATGTTTGCTTAGCAGCGCCATGAAATTGGGCCACATTGCTAATGTCGCTAACATGATTTTAGACGTGATCCCTGGCACACATGGTATACATGGAAAAACATGGTTCTATCGTTACCAACATTCACAATCTGGGAGATCGTTCACATAGGGCTGCATAGTTCATTTGGTAGAGCACCAGTATGGTAATTCAGAAGTCACGGGTTCAAATCCAGCTACAGTGAAATTCTTTGGTCAACCCGATATCAATTTTACTCTCTGATTAGTTAAGTTATACATGTTTTACAACTGACCTTTCCTTCCAAACCGTAGCTCGTCAGACCGGGCATCATGAGTGGGCTCGCTCCTGACGTTGGCAGCAGCGTAGACATAGAGGGCGCTGTCTGAGCTTTCAGCAACGCCTCCTGCATCTGCAGCTGCTGCTGCATCGCTTGCTGCTGCTGCTGCTGCAGCTGCTGCTGTAGTGCTTGCTGCTGGCTTGCCCACTCGGCCTGGGAGAAAAATTATGATTAAATGTTAAAAAAAAATAGACGTCATATCCCAACCATGACCATGCAACATAAAATAAACAGAAACTGCAGCACAAAACCGGTTGGAAGTCACAAGGCTGTATTTTCAGATATAGCCTATAATACATCGTACAGGAAAAATTATCAAAAGTTAGATATGGGCGTTAGAAGCAAGAATAATGAACATATTTCACTTTCACTGAAGTTGATTTGTAAATTTCTTAAGAACTTCATCATTTTGGGAAACTTGAACAACAAATTTCTGGATGTTTTAAAAACCTTTTAAGGCCTAAAAATTGGAAACAGAAAAAAGCTATAACTCCGTCAGATTTTGTCAGACTCCAACATTCTATACATCAGCTTATTCAATGTCCTTTCCACTGAGCCCAAAATCCTAGTTTTCAAAACTTGGTCCAAGTGACTGTTTTTGTGCAGGAGGGTCACAGATAAATGCCTGTCGTGGTTCCGCATACCTGCTGCTGTTTCAAGGCTTGGTCCAGTTCTTGCTGGCTTCTCTCTAGCTGCTCCTGCCAGGCCGTGCTGGCTGGCAGGGTCTGCTGTTGAGGCTGGGTTGGCATCGGGGTGTAACCTGGGAGAGAGCTGGGGTGGGTGGCTGACGCGAGAGGGTTGGAAGGCTGAAATAAAAGGAACAGAAACTAATTGAAAAGAATTCCTCAGTCACCTGAGGGCACGTGTGGTCTAGCGGTAGAGCACAGGCCTCATGAACGTGAGATTGTGGGTTCCAGCCCCGCCGTGGCCATGCATGTTGTGCCCTTGAGTAAGGCGTTTTACCTCAATTACTCCTTTCAACCCAGGTGTTAAATGGGTACCGGAATTATTCAATGCTGGGAAGGTAACAGACTCGCTGTGGAGGAGGTGTGGCGATCCCCCCACAGCAGCATATCATGGACTAGTGTCTGGCCCAATCGCTTCATCTTTTCTGGTTTTTGAATCACTGAAGTTGACACCAACCTGCTGCTGCCTGATATCTGCAGACTGCATGGCAGCCTGCTGCTCATCAAAGTTTGAAACACCGGGCCCTGTCCCACCACTGCTGCTGAGTTGCTGTCTGTCTGTCCTGTCTTGCTGCTGCTGTTTTTGTCTCATCTGCTGGCGCCACTGCGGCTCTTTCTTGGCTCCTGCAGGAGGGTACATACAAAACATTCTGATGTTAGTTGTAACTGGTTCACAAATTCACAGAGCAGAAGTAGCAGCAATAATGAATGTGCAGCCAGTTTCACAAAACTGTAGTTTTGCTTCTGTTTCTGTATGCAAGTTTATGACTTATGCAAAAACTATAGGTGTTGGATGTGCAGTCATTAAAAGTGGCCTACACTTGCACTTCTCCTAAACACACAATGTGATTGTCCAAACTAGAGTCATTATTAAATTTAAACGGTTTTTAAGTTGAACAAAGAAATTGACTGAAGCAGGCTAGACCCTGCGACCTTCAGATTACCATCTCAGCGCTCTACCAACTGAGCTATCCGGCCTTATGTCGGCATTTTGTTTCCCATTTTGTCAGAAGCCATAAAATTATGGGGAACCCTCAACACAGGGCTGGATAGTTGGTAGAGCACTGGAATGATAATCTGAAGGTCACAGATTCAACTCCTGCTTAAAGGGAAGATACAACATTTGCAAACATCACAAAACGAAATGATCAAATTATCACGAAATACCTTACTGGATTGTTAGGGAATGACAGTCTAAAGCATCCTGTAAAATCGTGGCTCCTGGTGTACTGACATTTTCAAGAAAATTGTATTTTTCCAATGCTGGTCAGCCGACCAGCATTGGAGAAAACTGGCTTTTTTTCAAAAACTGCTCCTAATTTTTAACAATTAGTTATTCCGCATTTTCTTTGCAATTGATTACACACCTGTGAAGGGGTACAAGCCTGCTAGTCTGATTCTCTGACCTTACATTTCCCCAAAGTCTATAAATTCCTCCGTGTCATTTTAAGTGGGGTCAGGGAACCAGACTACAAGAACATGATTGGTTTTCTTGGTTTTTCCAGCATCTACAACCCCCAAAACGTGAAACAAGTCATTTTAATAATATTTGCTATAACATAGTAATCCTCCATATCCATTTATCTGTGAAAACTGCAGCAAAAGCAAATGTTGTACATTCCCTTTAAGTCATTTTTTTTGTTGAACTGTAAAATTATTGTAATGCACCTACCCAGTTTCCCTTTGTGGCTTATTTGAAAATTTTACAAAATTACAACTTTATCTTATTTAAGGGTAATTAAATGTTGGTTTCCTAGTAACAAACTGTTTGCAGCTTCCACTTGATTTTGTAGAAGACAATTTTTTTTCAAAATGAAAGGCAGGGCGAAATGTTCCAATGATCTTTATGTTGAACAGACACGATATAGAAAAGCTGAGGGAAACTCACCAGTTTGAGCCAGCTTCTGTGACCCTGTGTCTCTGGATGGTTCCTTCGGGATCTGTGCCTGGGTATGCTGAGGGGTAGGGGGCCTGTCAACAGAGAACTGCCTACCGGGTGGTGGTTTCTGCTGCTGTTGCTGTTGCTGTTGCTGTTGCTGCTGCTGCAATTCCTGCATTCTCTGCAGTTGTTGCAGTTGCTGAGCCATCATACTTGTTTGCAGCGGTTCTTGTTCATCCGAGTCATCATCCATATCAAAATCATCTGAATAAAATGAATTGCATAAAATCTTCAGGCATTTGTCCCAGTTACTCTTTTTTGTTTGTGTAAGAGAAAAGAAATTGTCTGTGATTAGTGACATGTGACTTATGACCGATGATTGATTGCAGTTTTGGAATTGAATTACCTAGGTTACACCAGCAAGCTTAGTAGTAGTGCATTTGGCAAAACATCAGCAGCCAATTTCATGAAACAGTGACACCGGTAAGCTTAGTAGAAGTGTGGTAAAGCATAGCTTATGCCAGGCACAGGATTTACTCAACTAATTTGTTGCACAGCTGGGTAATAAACTTACGATTGATTTCAGGAAACTTGGCGTAGCTGTGTAACATTTTAAACTACTTCAAACTCCTTGGAAGAAGATGATAACAGCTTTTACGACGTCTGTTTGTGTATGATTTCTGTCCAATCACAAAACAGTCATTGAATCACCTCCACCCGCCATTTTGGAACTAAAGTTGTCTGACTTTCTTTGGAATCGTGTGGCAACTCTAAAAGTTTTGTCACAGGTAAAAATAGCGATTAATTTACTTAAAAAAAAAAAAAAAAACTGTTTCTTTTATCACGATTAGTCATTAAACCAGTCAATTTTCTGTTTCTATGTCATAACCTACGCCATCTAAAACGACTTCGCAAGTTACGCCATAACTTATTGCGGACTTATGCACTGTGCAACTTTCGTGAAATGTGTTCCAACTTCAATGTTGAGAAACGTGAAATATTGCACAATAAAACATGGCGTAAGTGGAGTTATGCCATTGCGCAAAGTTTCGTGGAAGCGGCTGCTGTACCAATAGGCAGGTCACAGGTTGGAGTCCCACCTTAATAAGCTTTGAGGCTCTGCATGGTGGGGTAATAGAATCGGTTTGCAGAAAAAACATGTGAAATTCTCCAATGAGATACAACGGTTCCCGCATACCTTCGGGTTGAGGTGTGCTCGTCACTGGTTGGGTGTCTGGCCTAGCTCTGCTGCTGGAACTATCCCACGGAAATGGCGATCTTGGAAGCAAGAACGGAAAATATCAGGAAAAAGTTATGAAAAACATCATACGAAGTGATTAGAGTTCAGATTTTCAATCCAGAAGGAGCAGGTTCAAACCCTGCTCAAGTCAATTTTTCTTTGTTCAGCTTTAAAAGTATTAAATAATGCACCTAGTCAGTTTCCCTTTGTGTTTTGCTTTTTGAAAAGATTACTTACATTGTTTCCCTTTTAGCAGGAGGGCTGAATGGGTCATCCAGAGTGGAATCCATGGGTGGAGTCAAAGGCTTGGGTCTGATGAGACAAGACGACGAGGATCAGGAAGATGAAAGTAACAAAAATAGGTAAAGTCCGTCACAAGCTAATATAGCCCATCAGGCCTGCGTTTATCTCCGGTTTCCTAGGCATGAGAAGACTGGAAATATTTTCTATTCTAAATCTACATCTATAACTGTTCTCATCAAAGCCTGTTCAGCATCCCTGGGTGGGATGCCGATCCATTGCAGGTTACTCCCTGCTAATGCCGGTACCCATTTATACTCCTGGGTGGAGAGAGGCAAGTGCCGGTGAAGTGGCTTGCCTAAAGACACAACATAAGGTCACAACACATATTATTTTTTTGAAATCTCATGAGTATTTATGAGCCAAATGCACTTCTTTCATTGGTCAATGTTCTAACTAATTATTCTACACAATTCTACATGGGAGGGATTTCCCAAGCAGTTTTTTTCCTAGATGAACAATAACAAAGAATGGCTTTGACACAATTCATTATTTAAATAACTTGTCCTCCGCTTTAGACTAAACGTGCAATGTAACTTGCGATTGACTTGTAAAGACTTCTTATGTCTTTTGGATGTATTTCCCTAAAAAATTTGCTACAGGAGAAAAAACGTCTGCGATGAATACTTACTGCACTAGGGAGTCCAGGTCTATCTCGGTGTCCGACAGTCCCAGGTAATCAGCGGCAGAGGGCACCTTAGCTGGAGGTTCTTCTTTCTGCTTCGCTTTCACCGGGGAGGATTTCGTCTCGTCTTTTGTTGAGGATTCTGAAGTTCTGGAAGGAGGTTTGTGTTGCGGTGTGTCCATCTGTGGTTCTTTATCTTGAAAGGATGATAACATTTGCTGTAAACTTAAACTAAGGGGATTTTCCAAACCTTAGCTAATATTTTGAACCCTGACTTGGGAGGATTCACATTCTCGACAACGGTTCAGGTACATTCCATAAAGACAAATTTCACTTACGTTTAACACATGATCACAGACAGCAGTTTTACATCCTACTTTTAGGGAACATTTTCACAAATTAGTACCTGAGGATGGTTCACTGCCTTTCAGCAGATTGTCACCACACCAGTTGCAACCACAGTTGTGCTTATTTTTGCTTCAAAGAGGAGAATCTAGCCAATTATGAAACAGATTCACAACAGCCATAGCGAAACCACGGTGTTCACCGGGCCGTTGCAGTGCACGTGAATCATGGTTGCACTGAGCTGAGTCACGACTATTCCAGCGAATTTGATAACAAGACCAAAGCTTTTTCAAAGATTCTGAGGCCAGTGATAAAGCAGGAACTGAGATCAGGTAAAGCTTTGGAAAACCTCTGGGCTAGTTTTCTGGAATGGGTTTTGGGTATTTCTGGAAGCCACATACCCGTGACTGATGTTGACTAATAACAGCAACCGTTGATTTCTCTTTGGCTTTTGTGCAGGACTAACTATAGTGCCCTAGTCAAGCATTTCGAAGAGCGAATACCAAAACCTTACATAGAGGAAATGCTAAGTTATTCACTCAGCTGCCTACCAGTGACTGGAGCATTCTTCTCAGCGACCTTTGACTTCTCCGCGGCCTTTGTGTGGTCAGCTCCGGCGGCCAGCTCCAGCCAATCGTCATCTGGCTTGGTGCTGACCCTAGAGTTCCTACCAGTCCTCCGACTGCTGGTAGTGCCAGGTGTGGCACTCTGGGGCCTCTGCAGAGGCTCGTCCAGGAAGGATGACATGCCGGCACGGGACCGGGGCTTGTCTAGTGACGAGGTGCCGGCCAAGTCGTCTTCATCTGAAAATCTATGCATACAAACAAAACCACCTTATTTGTTGAAACTGGAGCCATCATACTTTTTTTTAATGAACGTAATTCAAACACGAGGCCAAGACCACTCAAGGTGGAGGTTACAAACTAAAAAGAGCTGAAAATAGCACAACCTATCCGTTCACATTTCTTCACATTTCTTCTGTTCACATCTGTTCACAGTTCTTACCTGACTGAGCGCCGAGGCGGTGGGGCAGACTCAGGTCGGGCTGTCACCGACGACGGAGTATAATCTCCAAAACTGAAATCTTCCTCTTTCTCTTCTTTGGCTTTGGCCTTGGGGGCTACAGAGTAGGGAAATAAAATGAATTTAATACAGCAGCATGATGTTATGCTCAAAGTTTATCCAACATGACTTCCAATTTGAGGTTGTTTGCATGTCTTAATTTTGATTTGTAAGTTTTTTTCCAAGTATACATCTTTTTTGCAGCACTTTAAATATCTGTAAATATTAAATTTTCTTTCTAATTTCTGCACTAAGAAGCAGCATGAATGAGCAGCTAATACAAAAATATGCTTAGTACAGAAAATATATGCTTAGCAAAATCAGATTACCAGCCAAAATGTCATGCAATGTATATCACTTGTGACTGGTTCCCAGCTCATTTTTGCTAAGCAAATAAACCTGCTAAGTAGTATTTTCTGCTCAGAAGATGCAAAATATTAGGCCCGACATTTACCGCTAATGTGGTCTTTCTTCTGCAGTATCTTGTCCAGCTGTGACTGCCGCTGCCTGCCTGCCGGTGGCTTGTCCAGCATCTTACTGGTGCCACTTGTCCCAAAGAGTTCGTTGACTTTATTGCGGGCCTGTTCCACTTCACCGCTATCCTCCGGTCGACTGCGACGCCTCTCTGAAATGAGTAAAAAATCAGTTGACAGAATATAAAATTTAGGACAAATCTGACCATTTAACCCTTTAATTCTTGAGTGTATATCTTTAACCAGTTCACGTTGGATGATGTGTATGCACGCAAAGGTTTTGCGGTATTCGGAACGGATGACGGATAAACATGCAACGAGCGAGGCCGGAAATATCCGTCAGCGACCCACTCGCAGCGAGCGAGGCCGGAAATATCAGGGTGTGACAGCATAAACCTGTCTGGCATTGAGGTTTGTGAAAAACAATCCCGCGCCTGGGTCTGGTCACTGTCGAAATAATCCCGGTGCGAACTGGTTAAGCACATTTTCAAAAATTACTACTGTATACATGCATCACCTTGGCCCTAGTCGTTAACTACTGTGGTATGGGACATGACTTTCTTAATACGCCCGAGAGATACGTGAAACCCAAGGGTGTAATATACGCATGTCCCAAATCAATCACTGCAGTGTAAGCAATCTCTTATGACTACATGAACTTTCCTGCTGGATATGAAATACTCCATCAAACATGGGATGTGCCCCACCAATCTCACATGCTACATCATGCTTTATACCTTTGTGATGCAAATAATGTGGCTGGCGGTATTTGAGTAACATTAGAAACAATGTCACAAACGTTTTTTTCAGAAACTTGACACACGACAGGTTAAGATTAATGAAGTTTGGGTATAAAGGATATGAAACCATTTGGCACTTAAATGTCCTGTTCTATTATATGCCAAAACTCTCTTCTTTTTGTGATTATTTCAAGCAGATTCGGGGATAAGTTTGAGTATCTACATGCTTCTCTTTGCTAGGCCAAAGAGTGCCCTCGATTGCAACGCCCAGGGCAAAATAGTGACCGACAGTGCTTACCCCTTGGACTGGCACCCAGACCCAGGCTCCCTAGCAGGTCCGACTCGTCACCAAAGTCTGCCTCCGGTTCACTCCTGCCTCTCGACCTCGCAGGTCTGGTAGACGAAGATACCTCAGGCTTGACATCAGTGCCTGTAAATTTGACAAGGATGTGACATTTACCTACTGAAAGCTTTCAATCCAAACAATTCAAAAACCATTCACGAATCTCTGCAGAAGTCTGAACTCAAATGGGACACTGTAATCACACAACTTGCTTGACAGTTTCATTTATAAAGACCAAAAGCCATTAACCAGCCATTATGAACACTACGCATTATGTGCTCATTTTCAGGGCGCATTGTAAGGGTTTTGGGGCTTGGTTTTCATATTCCTCGTTCATATCAGAACTCTCTATACCAATTTGGGAAATGGTTACTGAAAACAAATTATCCGAAATTTTAGGGCCAGTTTTGTTTTCATCTCGAGGGGGCACATTTATGCTCGAGGGGGCACATTTATGTCCGCAGGAGGGGCACTTGGGTAAATCTGGGGGGCAAGTGCACCCCCCCCCCCCACCCCCCGGCACCACTCCCCGGCTTTAAGGGGTCAAATGAAGGATATTGGATGATTCAAGCTTTCACGACAGTCATGATTCTTTTCAGCAAATTTTTTTTGGAAGAAAAGGTCCCCCCCCCCAAAAAAAACTATGCAACTACACAAAAAAGAAACTTACCTTTGGTGTTTTTCCCCAAACCCAGGCTGCCAAGAATGTCAGAATCATCGTCATCATCGTCGTCAAAATCAATGGTCTTTGCCTTTGATTTTCTAGCAGGTGATGCATCGGACTTTGCTGATCGGAAGAAAATTGAAGAATTACAATGATGAATCACAGGCTCACGAATAATTAATGCACGAATGATATCAACTGTTAAAGTTTTTCAGCCAAAAATCAATTGGCTGAATTGACTCCACCCAAGTTTACACACTCTGTCAATGTATATGAGTGTTATACATTTCAAACTAAATGTTATGTACAGCACATCTCAATGAGACAGAGAATAAATTGTTGTAAAATACCCTGCTTGGGGACACAAAATTTAGGATCTTGTTTTTCACTCGGCATAAGCTCGGAAACTATCCGTTTACGACAGTGACATCCTTAAAATAAAGAAATAAAGTTTTCTATAAAGCGTAATTCAACAAGCCAGGAAAATAATTGTAGAAAAGTTTCTTGCTCAGGGACACAAGAATTACAGTCGACTGACAATTGGCCTATCGCCGTTTGCGAGTTAGCCACGTCCCTTGGACAACCCTATGAGATGTTATACGTTAACTTTTGTTTGTCTCAGATTTCACGCGTTTCACGTGCACTTGTATATCATGTAATTGGACAACATTTCACAAGCTGCCATGACGCGATTCTACCGCGATACGTTAATTAGTAAACCCTGCCTGAATTAAATAAACACTCAGAGTTGATTAAGGCGAGACTCAAAATTTTCAATGCTTCCCTGCTTCTCACTTGTGTTCTTGATGTCATCTTTAGGCAGATCCTTTTTCTTGGATAGGGGTTCCAGATCTGGTTCCAGTTCTGGTTCTGGCTTCAGTTCCGGTTCCGGTTCCCGCGTTGGTTCCATCTTCTCTGGTTCCTCCTTCTTGCTCTCTTTCAGTGGTTTCTTCTTTGTCGGTTTCTTGGTCTTCCCGTCGTCATCGTCATCAGACAACAGCCCGGCCAGTGGATCATCCTCGTCAAACTCTGTCAACAGAAATAAATCACCATTATTCAAGAATGAAAAAAACAACTGTAGAAACAAAATTTACCATAAACACAACCAAACTTTCATAGGGGGCAAGAATTTGCAAAAGACAGTATGGTTGTTACACATTGAAAGCTATTACGGAATCATCCTGCATGTTAAAGTTAAATGTAATCTTTTGCATTCAGTTGCTCTCTCGGGCGCGATTCATTATATACCGTTGCTGATCATTTTGTTTGGAAGAGACCACATTTCAACTTCACAATTCCTAGGAGTATTGTAGCGCGATTGTCGTATTTCCCATCGATTTACGGCGCATAGCGATTCACGGCACATATGGAATGAGCTGATGCGCCGTGATCGCACTCGCACCCGCTACTGCTACGTTGCGTGTCAATTTTGCCCCCTTGACAAAATGGCGTTGATAACTGTGAATGGGTCAATTAAATTTCACACAGACTAGCTTACCACCAAAGTCAAACTTCTTAGTGTTGGCTTTGGGCTTGCTACTCCTCCTGGGACTGGCTGTGGGGCTTTCTTCTAGTTTGGCACTGGTGTCAAGTGCTTTGGCTGAAAATAAAACCATATAACCAATCGACCAGGCTTTATACACAATTTTTGTTTACATAATTAGCAATTGGAAGATTCACAGACTAAAAAAAAAAAGATTATTAATAGTTCTAGCATTAACCACAACTCCCTAGCATGATTTACTAGGAACCATACCCATCCTTGCAAATTCCAACACCATACGGGAAACTGCACACACATATTTCTGACTTTGATTCTGGAGGTGTGCCAACCCAATGTAAAAGACTGTCAGTTTAGGGGTACTGTACCCATCCTGACAGATTCCAACAAAACATGCTGTTGGGGTTCGATGGGTTGAGTTCGGTTAGGGTTAAGCATAAAGTAGCCCTGCAAATGTTCCAAATTCTACCTTCTCAGATCTTCCAATGGACGAAACCCTCAAACTGTAATTTAGGCTAATATGAGTTAGACCCTACATGATATTCTGATGCAAAGGGATTCCATGTGTGGAAAAGAAGGGCGTAAATCAATAGAAAAAAATAGTCTTTTCTTGGGCATCTTCTCACTGTCTGTATGGCAAAGAGTCCAAACTCTGAGCACTTAGGCTTTTCTTCTACACAAGTTCAAAAATGTTTAGGGTAGAGTTGGGACCTTCTTTCTCTCGGGTATTCAAGTTTTAACTTACACAATTCCTCTTCTAGAGTCTTGTCCAATGTCAACGTCTGGCCCACCGCTGGTTTGCCCTTCCCTTGGGGTTTGGCAGGGTCATCCTTTGCCCCTGGCTGCTTGGGCCCAGGGCTGCTTGCTGGACGGGATTTCAGAGAGGAACCGAACAGGGCATCGTCCATGTCATCCATGTCCTGATGTCAAGATAAAAAAAAATCTCTGGCTTTATTTGTGTAGAGCTGTGAATAGACTGTAGCAGAGGCACTGATAAATATATCAATGCCTCAGGGCCAATGGTATCACACTGCAGCTGAAAACAGCTAAGACCGTTGATTGTTGTGATGTGAGACGTGGCCTTTTTCAACATCCTCATGAAATGGCACCCTTGTTTTGTTAACCCTAACTCCCTAGCATGATTTACTAGGAACCATACCCATCCTTGCAAATTCCAACACCATTCTGGGAAACTGCACACACATATTTCTGACTTTGTTTCTGGAGGTGTGCCAACCCAATGTTAAAGACTGCCAGTGAAGGGGTACTGTACCCATCCTGACAGATTCCAACAAAACATGCTGTTGGGGTCCGATGAGTTGAGTTCTGTGAGGGTTAATAATTTTGCAATGTCTTGGATTACTGATAAAACTGCTCTTTACAGCCTCGCAACATTTCCAAGAGTAACTGAAATAGTTTCCCAAATAGTGTTTTGATTATTTAGGAGGCATACCTACCGCCAACATTTTACTAACATCAGCCTCTGATACATCAGATTCCTGAAGAACAAAAAAATATTAGAATGTCAACAGTAGAAGCTCAAACTGATAAAAAAAGAAAGAAGGGATTTCAACTCTAGCCTTTTTGTAAGAGGATTATTAGCTATTAATCATGAAATGTGTAGTTTTTCGGAATGTCACACATAAAGGCTTTTAACCGGTGTGCGTCAGAGGATGTGATGACATGCACTGGTTGTTTTTATACACAGGCACGGCTGACGGGTTACAACATCAAGATTGCCTCGACTCGCCTCCGGGTGACGTCTAAACACGCTAATCCCTCGTGCCTTTTGTACACACACACAAAGTCTGTGAAGTCTGCTGAGGTGGACCACGTGTTGATCTTGAATTGACTGTTGTGCACGGCCTATTGTTGCACAATTTACGCTCCAGTGCACACCCAGAGTATTGAAACACACAAGGTTTCGGCAAGAAATATCGTACAAATACTGTTGAAATGACTCTTGCGAATCAGTATTTGTGGCGTTTGGTTGTACATCAGAAGTTGGCTGGAAAATTTGGCCTTTTGCGAAAATCAAAATTTTCGGCAAAAATAATCCCGGCGCAAAGTGGTTAAAAATATCTGAGAACGTTGATCTGGGAATCTATGATAATCATCCACGTACATATAAATATAATCTGGGTTAACAGAATTAAAAGGTTCAAATGCTTTCTAGATTGGAATGTTTTTGTGAGGACTGAAAAAGTTTTGCACTGGAAAATTTGGGGAGGGCTTAAAAAAATTTGCAATGATTTCTTTTTGACGGCCTGATTCTGTGTTGAAGTTGAGTACATCACAAGTCAATGACAAGTCCATCCAGTCCCAAGTCAAGTCACAAGCTATTCAAGTGAACTCCGAAAAAGTAATGTCTTCGTTATGTTCATCCACTGTTACTCTGAATGGACTTGTGATGGACTTGACTACCTTACTGGCCTGATTAAGAGACGTTTGTGGATTTTGTATGATTTTTATAAAAACTAAATTTAAAAAATGAATTTTGGACACACAAATCTGATCTTACCTCGTCCACCTCTGCCGCAAGACTGCTGTAAAAGTTGTCATCGCTCATCCTGTAGAGGAAGAAAAGGAGAAAAAGTTACTTTTAAAAATATGTAAACAAAAATTGTTATTATTATTATTATCATTTCTGGTAATGAAACCAAGGATTCCTCAAAAGTGCCCCAGGCACTGTAGCTCACAAGCCTGAAGAAACCTGTGGAGAGAAGACAATGAGAAACAATTACAGTTTTAGAGGTGGGAGGAAAACCCCAGAATATTCTGGGGAAAACCCTTGGAGTCAGGTAGGGACTGAAAACCCAATCCACATGTTGGCCCAGGCGGGATTCGAACCTGGGTAACAGTGGTGCAAGGCGAGGAAAGTACCGCTACGCCAACCTGACTCCCCATTGATTCTGTGAATGCACTTAAGATTCAATGCACAAGTGCATAGGGTCTGGGTGAACGAAGATTGAGGTATACTGCACATTGTTGAATCTTGGTAAATTGTAGACGGTTCTGGGTCAATTACACCAAGTGATTTGGGGTGAACAGAAATTGTAAGGGTAAAATGTCTTCACGCATTTTGGAAATTTTCTTTTATGACCTACCCAATGTTGTCCGTGGTTCCCATCCCCGCCTTGGATTTCAGCGGAGAAGACGTTCCTAATCCACCAGCTGCAAATCACCAAAAAACACCCCAAAACAATAATTTTTCTTGACATTTTTAAAGCAATTCTGTGTACAAAATAAAACACTGCATTTTGGAGCAACTAAACTTTAGTCGCATCACAACTGAAAACAATTTTCACTGTGGTACAAAATTGCCGAAATATCTCCTTTTTTACTCCAACCAATAAATGAAGTCACGGTCCAGAAAAGCGCTTGCGCCCAAATCACGACTAAGACAGTAAAGGTGACTCTGGGAGTCAGCTTACGTTCTAGAGACGAAGATGTAGAGATGAAGAAAGGACTCATTTGAAAGTTAGTGTATGAGTTTATTGCAGAACCAAAAATTGGGAACTTAATCCAGTTTGCAAAAAAGCAATTACCAAAAAAACTTACCTCGTCGCCGGCCTGGAAATGTTGAGGCCTGTTGGAGTTAGAAATGAAAAGAACACACCTTCAACTGGAATTTACTGCAACTTTTGTCTCAAGGAAATTCTAGTGAATGACTCTAGTTCTAAGTGCGAAAGGGAAGAATGATTCACTTTGCTATTTTATTTGAAAATTAGGAATGGTGATTTTTCCTCTTTACGTTGGGGACAGTAAAGGAAGAGACAAGATGGGGGGGGGGGGGGGGGGATGAGGAGGAACTCGAGCAGTAATGGGGGGGGGGGTGCCAACCCCTACCCCAGAGCCTCCTCAGTTTCTGACTGTTGGTTATTACCATGTTTGTGCCGTGTTCAATCAGATGTCTTCAGAAGATAACTATTTCACATTGGCTACTGATAGGTCATGTCTGGCCTGTTCTTTCCATGTTTATTCCATTGGCTGCTAAAAAAAAAAGGGAAAATGAAGAAACAAAGAAGAGCCTCAGATCTACAGTAACACTAGTCATGTTTGTTTTAATATTAAACAGAGAAAAATGTAGTTTTCTAACGTTAGCAGACGTTACATTTGGACATAAATAGTTTCTTTTTTTTGATAAAATAGTTTCTCGTCCAGGCTTTATGAAAAAAGGGAAGAGGCGGCCCCTTTTTCCAAGATGACAGATTTTCCAAGAAGGATTTTTTCCATTGTCTTGACTCTTTTGCTGATACTTTTGTGTCCAAAGGAGCTGTAACCCTTTCCACCAGATTCACATAAAAAGACAAAACATATTGCAAATATATGATTTTAAATAACAACAAAAATGAGTGCTGGTGGAAACAAGGAAGTGGGCGGGCACGAGAAACTGGTTTATTTTTTGCCTTATTTAATACTTCTAGTCCAGACTATTATTAACAAGATTGGAAGGAAAGATTCCCATATCTGGCCCTCACTTGTTACCCTGTGCACAAGACTCAAAGACTGGTCCGAAAATTTCTAGTAGTAGTATAGTAAGTGTTTTCTTATTCCGAGTAACTCTACGAATCGCCTTACATTTGGAGATGGTCGCCCGACCATCTCCAAAACGTGAATCGTAGAGTCCTAGTTAACTCGGACTAGCATTTTGTCAGTAAATACTTCAATATTTTCCCTGCTAAATTTGACTTTTTAGGACATATTATTACTCTCTGATGGCTGATACTAGTACTAGGTCACTGAAGCTTAGGGAAAAATTAGCGATGGCCAGATATGGGTATTTTTAAGATTGGAAATTTGTCTCAAGCCAAATTCATCTGTTCGAGTTTCATGTGTTTTATCAACACACTTGCAATGACTGACCATCATCGTGTAACTTTTTTTAGTTTGTTTGTTTGTCTTTATTTGACAATCTCCAGTTTCTCCACGGATCTTTTACAAAGGACAATAATATTAAACATGTTAAACTGATAGTGATAGGCCTTTGATAAGGTATCAGGTCAACTCGGACCCATGCCAAGTCGGACCCATGCCAACTCGGACCCACTACTAACTCGGACCCACTACTAACTCGGACCCACTACCAACTCGGACCCACGACAAACTCGGACCCACTACCAACTCGGACCCACTACCAACTAGGACCCAAGCACGACCAACTCGGACCCAACAAAGACTCAATCATTAGTTTCAGAGATTATATTTATAGGTGATCTTAATGTTAGTGCTTATATAGTGAAGATATTCTGTAATTAGTAATTACATTGGGCAGAATGGGGCTTTTAGTTTTGTTGTTTTCTTGTTTTTTCTTCTTTTTTAAATTACGAATCCGATTAGCTTTTTATACTTTTTTGATTTAACTTTTTTGTTTAATATGGAACCTTCGTTTTTCTTGCAGTGTATGCAATGGTGTTTATGTGGTTTTTTAAAAATAGAGATTAGAATAGACTTCGTTTTTATAACTTATTTATTTTATTTATTGACTTATAATGTTTAGTGAACGATGTCAATTAATATGTTTTAATGAAAATAAATAATTGGTTAAACTTTTAAAGCGCAATATGTTTTAATGGAAACAAATAAAAATAATAAATAATTAATTACACTTTTAAAGCGCATTTCAAAATAGCATTTCAATGCGCTTTACAACGACAAAAATGTTATACTGCTGCAATACAGATATGAGATAATTTACCTTAAGTTACAATTACTTACAGGTACTTACAGGTACTTACAGGTCCTCTTCTGATGAAAGGCCTTGTGTGGCCTCTAGGATCAGATCTTCATAAATACTAGATTTGAGTTCTGTTGACTGCGCAAGCCTAGTGTGGAGGTGGATACTGGGGTGTCTATGTCATATTTAAAGGGGTGTGAAGCCCACATCTTATCCAATCTGCCCTCAAAGGACTTTGTACTAGGAGCTGAAACCACAACTTCTGGTAGGCTATTCCATGTGTCAGTACATCGATGCACAAAGGAGTACTTTCTGACATCCAACCTTGTCCGGACCTTGTTTATCTTATACCGATGGCCTCTGGTCACACTGGAGCTTAGGGGGATGAAATTGGAGACGTCGTTGTCATACTTTCCACTAAGTATTTTGTACATTTCTATCATATCTCCTCGTATGCGCCGATAGGCCAAGGTTGGTAGTTTGAGATGTTTTAGCCTTCCCTCGTATGACATGTCCTTGAGACCTGGGATAAGTTTGGTTGCTCGTCGCTGTACATTCTCCATTTCGGTTATATGTTTCTTGTGACGTGGTGCCCAGACTTGGTTGGCATACTCGAGATGAGGTCTTACCAGAGCTTTATACAACAACAGGAAACTATCCTCATCCAAATGGTCGTACGTTCTTCTAATTAGACCCATGATTGAATTTGCTTTATTTATCTTTGTAGACATGTGACTTCCAAAGGATAGTTTATTGTCGATGATGACCCCAATGTCCTTTTCTTCCTTGACTTGCTTCAGTGAAAACAATGAAAATTTATACTAAACAGCATCACTGTAATAACAGATGAGAAGTGGACAAACTTTACGAAATGAATGATTGAAAACGATGTCGAATGATTGAAAACGATGGGTCCGAGTTGGTCATGCATGGGTCCGAGTTGGTCATGCATGGGTCCGAGTTGGTAGTGGGTCCGAGTTGGTTGTGGGTCCGAGTTGGTAGTGGGTCCGAGTTGGTCGTGGGTCCGAGTTGGTAGTGGGTCCGAGTTGGCATGGGTCCGAGTTGGTAGTGGGTCCGAGTTGGTATGGGTCCGAGTTGGCTTGGGTCCGAGTTGGCTCGGGTCCGAGTTGGATCGAAACAACGAAGCACCATCTGACCATCATCACGTTATGAATTTGTCTAGGCCTAGTTTCTATTTCGCATGTCATTTTCAATTGTGTATTTTGTCTGAACTTAAAGTACAGGTTTCGTTCTGGTCAATTTCTCACCTCAAATGTCAAATATCTCAGTCGCTCCAGCTCCAGCCAAACATTCATCCATTCAAAACATTTTGATTTTGGAATCTCTAAAATGTAATAGCGCCCTCAATATTTAGCATGTCTAAAATCTGAAAATGCGATGAACATCAAAATTCCACCGCTTGGAGGCGCTCTACACAGACAGCTGACAGCCGAGTCTGCCAAAACAGGTGTGTGGTGGTGGGTAATCCGAAACTGAAGCTTTTCTGGGTACTCATGAATGAAATACCTTTTCTTCTTTTTTTTTTTTTTTTGGGGGGGGGGGTGCAAAATGAAAAGTGGCATAAATGTAAACTAGACAGTGATGCCTAGCGCGATATCTGGCATGTTTCTGTTTCTGGGGGTGGGCATAGTTAGTTGGGGGCGGGGGGGGGGGGGGGAGGAAGAGGGGCGGGAGAGATGGGATGGTGGGGGGGGGATAGAGTGAAGGGTATATGGATACTATTAGTATACTGAGACCTTGAGAGGAAACAATCAGGCAAGATATTGGCTTTTATAATTTCCCTATTTGCATTCTTTCCCAAAACTTGACTTGAGTCTCACATCTCACTCGCATGATTATTACGCCCATAGACTAGACATAGTCATAGACAAAGTCGGGCAACCGTACAAACCTGCATCACTTGGCCACTCCAACCGAAAGTAATGAAGTATATCAATTTAGTTATCACCAGATAATGCTTTGTATTAGGTAATGTTAAATATTTTAAACATCTCTTTCAGGGATGGGGTGCTTTAATATCGGCTGATTTATATTTTACCTTTCTTTAAAAGATGCCATACTAAAACCATGGTCATGGAGGATGGTTTTAACCAGTTCACGCCAGGAATATTTTGACAAGAACGGAACGAGGCGCGGGATTACTTTTCACTCGACGTCTAGCCAGGCGGGTTGAAGCCATCACCCTCAGGCAGCACACTCATATTTCTGGCCTTTTTTGCTGTGAGCGAGTCGCTGACAAATATTTCTGGCCTCGCTCCCTCTGTGTTTATCTGTCACTCGTTCCAAATACTGCAAAACTTTTGCGTGTATACACGGCCTCCGGCGCGAACTGGTTAAACCTTATACCATGCAAGTTTAGAGTGATAACATTTTTAAGTAATCCCTTATCCGATTTCAAAAATTAAAATGGCTATGAGCTCAGATTTACTTCTTTCCATTGACACAAGAAGTGGCTTCCCTTTTTTTTTTTTTTAATGGTTAAATACAGCAAAGCGTTCTCCATTTTTAAAAAATCCCCCACCTAAAAAACCTTGTTGTAAGGACTAAAAATCAAGTCCTTTTAATTGATGTTACCATGAAACATGTCAGTGGTTTTAATCATGTAAGATACTTACTTTCTTCATGGTCATATTTTTTTGTACTCGGATATATATGCTTTAATGTTTCTTATTTTCATAAAACACCTTTTCAGTTCTAATTCATTGAAGGATGTGAGTGTAGTCCGCTGCTTAAATTGATAACAACAGCAATATGTAAATCAAATTTTTTTCAATGCTTTTTTTTGGGGCAGTATTTTTATCAGGGAACCAGCCTGCAGCCTTCAAACCCTTAAATAAACCATCATGGCTGCCACATCGGGGAGGCTGGGTGCCAGACTTTTCCTGTCGGTCAAGGCCTTCGCCCAGCGGCGCCCAGCCTTGGCCAACTCAATCACCTACGGTTCCATCCTGAGCGTGGCCGAAGTCATGCAACAGACCATCGCCGGGGAAGAGCGCTACGATTGGGCCAAGGTGGGCCGCATGGCAGTCATCGGGGGCTGTGCCTTCGGCCCCATCGGTTACTACTGGTACAGGTGGCTGGACAAAGTGCTGCCCGGCACGGCCAAGTTAACCGTGGTCAAGAAGGTCATCTCAGATCAGTTAGTCTCGGCGCCACTTTTCATTGCAATCTTTTATGCAGGTGAGATGAATGATTTGATGGAGAATTGCGTTCTTGGTGATGCAAACTTTAAGTTTTGAGTTTTGCACACTGGTGGTTAGGTGGTGGAGTGGTAAGATGTTTCCATCAGTAAGACGTCACTGGCTGTAGTCCGACCCAGGAGCTCTCAGACTTGTGAAAGTTTCAGCATCGTAGACAAGGTAGACAATGGATCGCAACCATATCGCAAATCAGGTCACAAGTAATCCTAAGTCAATTCACAAGTCAAGTTATAAATTACAGGGATGCACAATTACAAAAGGAATGGCTTTGTCGTAGTTTGTTTGAATAGCTTGTGACTTGACCTCCGATCGTGTCTGTCTTTTTGTTCTTGTGATTACGTTGTATAGTTTGTCCTACGGTACAAGCCTTGGCCTATGTGAACAGCCTTGTACTCTCCTATAATACTCTTTTCTTAATTTCGCTTTCTATTAATCTTAATTTAAATGATTAGATTCAGAGCATTATTTTGTTTCTGGTGGTAATTACCTTCATATTTGTATTCGTTCATTTAAATATTACCGTATTATAATTATATTATCCAACTTTGTATCGGTTTATTGGAGAGTTCTAACTAAATGTCAACTGAATTGAATTGAATATACCCAGTAAGAAAAGTTTAAACATTCACTGCATTTTCCCTCCTCAGGATCAAGCGCTATGGAGGGCAAAAAGGACGTCTTTGCTGAACTGAAGGAGAAATTCCCCCAAACCTTCGCTGCAAGCTGTTGCTTCTGGCCAATTGCACAGGTATGAATTGCTACAGCTTTGATAATGAAATTGTTTGATTGTTTTTACTTCAGCTAGTGCTTAGAATAAGTTTGATTCATTCCTTCATACTGTGCCTAAGATTGGCATGCATCAATATTTAGTTACCGGTTCTGCATTGACCATTGCACAAGTATGAAAATGTTCCTGTTTAAACAGGAATTCTTGTTGTTTTTTCTTGCCCAAAGTTCCCCGTTTTTATTTGTTTTGAGCCTGTTTGGGACTTTTTTGGCCAGATTTCACATCTTTTTTCCTGTTTTTGCACAAGTTTCCTGGGTTTTTTTTTCATTGAAATTCATTCTCATGCCTGATTGCAAGACTGCCCACAAATTGGCCTAAGTAGAGTTGAAGATACTCTATAAATGTCGGTGCAGATTTTAAAAATGACAAAATCCAATTTCACATACAGAAACTATATCTGAAATCCTTGTTGTTTGTCTGTGTGTTTGCTTTAAAATGTGTAAAAAATTCCTCTTGTTTCCACAGACGTTCAACTTCTTTTTCCTGCCTAACCACATGCGGGTCGTGTATGTCGCCTCAGTCAGCCTGGTCTGGTCCAACTTCCTCTGCTTCATGAAGAGAATTGTAAGTATGATAAAACAAACACCCTAGTAAATCCTTTCATTAGACTGTTTTTGAACTTGATTATTGTATACCAAGCAATTTTTCTTCAAAATTGTTCTGAAGTCAATCATGTGTCTCTCATCGTTTACTTGCGATACTATACAGACACCGATTAAGAAACCTTACAAACAGTCATTACTTGCAGAAAAAAAAGATTGAAGACCCCCCCCCAAAAAAAACCCCAAAACTGCTGAGTCCAAGCTAAGTGCAAAATAAAAACTGTTTGACAATGTTTTTGTATACTGAAATGTTCACTTCTTTCCATGATGTACAGATGGTACAACATGATTCGCATCACAATAGTTTTTCTCTATTGAAAACGTGTGAAATTATTTTCAATACATGGGATCTCCATTTTCCAAACTTCATTCCACGATGCACTGATGGTACAACAGGATTCGCACCATAAAAACCAGCTTTTTCATATTGTAAAATTGTATAATTTGAAATTGTTTTTGATACATGTGACCTCCATTTTCCAACTTCTTTCCATGATGCACCGATGGTACAGCACGAATCGCAACATAAACAACAGCTTTTTCATATTGTAAAATTGTATTCGAAATTGTTTTCGATACATGCAACCTCCATTTCCAACTTCTTTCCATGATGCACCGATGGTACAGCATGAATCGCAACATAAACAACAGCTTTTTCGTATTGTAAAAGTGTGGATCAAATCATTTTCGATTGTGACCTCCATTTTCCAACTTCTTTCCATGACGCACCCGTGCGATGGTACAAAATGTACAACACGATTCGCACCACAAACAACAGCTTTTTCATATTGTAAAATTGTATTTGAAATTGTTTTCGATACACTTGATTTCCATTTTTCCAACTTTTTGTAGAGTATGCACAAGGAGAAGGACAGCTTGGCTGTGGAGACAGCAGCACAGGGATGAAGGATCTCCTGTCTCAGGCTAAGATTTTACAAGTGCCTTGTCAAGCTACAAGTAGGAAATCACTGCCTTAATTAGCAAAGTTATATTCAGTCCGTCACAAGCTAAATCGCAAGCCGATCACAAGTCAAGTCGCAAGTCAGTCATAAGTCCAGTCACAAGGAACTGGGGATGAACAATAACAAAGGAATGCTTTCGTCACAGTTCATTTGAATAGCTTGTGACTGGAGGACTTTTGAGGACTGGAATGCAACTCTGTGAATTTTTGATTTTTCTTAAAAGGTAAGAATTCGGGAAGAAGTAGCAGGGACTGTTTGGAGCAAATGCTTTTGTGATTTGGGGGGGGGGGGGGAAACCCCACAGTTTTAGGGGTCGGAAAGCTATGTGTTATTTTGTGGTTAAGACCACACTGAGAAAGGGATGGTTTTTATCTGATTTCGTTTTGTCCAAAGTCTTGAGTTAACGAAAGACAACATTTCTCCAAAAGCTTGTTGTCTTACGTATTCATCATTTTTTAAAGAACCGTTTGTGGGTCATTTCATAAATTTGGGGTCCACTTTTTTGTGTCCCTGTTACATCTGACATGTATAAGATTGTGTAAATTCAGGACAAATTCTTTAATGCCTTCTACCTCCAAGAGTGATTATGTAAAGCAAAGTGCCTGCCAAAAAAATGAAAATAGTGTAACGTCAAATTTTAATGATACTTGAATGGCAAATTACACAGGTCAGGTGAAGCAGGGACACACAAAACTAACACGTTTGGGCCTCGAATTTATGCAATGACCCTTGTAGCATTTTACATTTTTCTGTAAACCTGGCATATTTCCACCACTGACGTCTTTTCTTGTGCCTTGATCATGAACAAAATTCATTTCGATTGACTTGCTATTTTTCTTTTAAAAAGAAGAATATTAAAAAAAGCAAAAACAATTTTGAGCCATCGGGATCAAGAGTAGCATTGATAATAATGGATATTATATTGCCTTTGAAGTGCCTTGCTTTCAAGCACTGTTTATGGAGAACACCATATCTTCCGTTTTCTTTTAGTGAAAATTTGCAAAAGATTGTATTTAATCTTTGGAATTGTATTTGATTGTATTTTAAAGATTGTCTTTTAAAAAAATTCCTGAACGCTAAAAGATGGACGTTTTTGGAATAGTTTTCTATATTTTAAGAACTTTTAAGTCATGCCTTTTAAAATTTCAATTCTTCAAAATCATGTATTTTTAAATTATTTCAAATTGTGTGGTTTTTGGTTTGTTTACAAAACCAACCCCTGTTACCCCTGACTGGAGTGCTTATAGTCATTTCCAGCGTCGACACATAGTAAATAATCATGTTGAAGGTTTCGAAACCACATGTGTAGTTTGATTGCTGGAGTTTGAATGGTGTATTAATTTTAATCCATTTTTCTGGTGTATGAGGAGTATTTAAAATGAAAATTCTCTTCTTATGTACCAATCAGGGAATGCTGTCATTTCTATCATGAAGGCCCCCTTCAATGGCTAAAGCATTGTGCTAGCTATTGTTCAGATAATCTGTCATGGGGTAGTTGCTTTGTACAATACTTTGCACAATGCTTTCTCCATTGAAGGGGGCTCACGAGGGTACAGTGTTCATGTGCCCGGATACATCTATATTTCCAACGGCATTTTCCTGTGGTTTTGAGTATTGAGTGTTTCTCAATGTCATTTTCTCACATACTGAAATGCCAAAAAGCACATTGAGTTGTTTTCTTAACCAGTTAACGTCGGATGACGTGTATACAAGCAAAGTTTTTGTGGTATTCGCACAAATGACGGATAAACACGCAACGAGCGAGGCCGGAAATATTTGTCAGCGACCCGCTGGCAGCGAGCGAGGCCGGAAATATCAGGGTGTGCTACCCGCAGATGACGGCCTGAACCCGTCTGGCATCGAGGTTCATATAAAACAATCCCGTGCCTGGGTCCGGTCAATGTCAAAATAATTCCGGCGCGAACTGGTTAAGGCAGTAACAAACGTCCGTTTCAAAATATATTTGCAACATTTCAATTTGAACCTACCCTGTGAAATGTACTGTACCTTTTATTTTATTTTTAAGAGGTTAATCCAGTATTAGATTTTATGAAGAAAATGAATCCATTAATATAAATATATGTACATAAAAAGGCTGCCTTCTGATAATTCCCAATTCAAATAAAAGTATTTAAAATTGTGTGAATTGGGTATTTTTATATAAAACATTTAAAATTCATTGTATGCTGTAATATCTATTTTTGGCGAGTTTGTAGAAGATTATTAAGAAAGTTATAAGTAAATTATATCTTTTATTTAGACTAATTCTGCAGGTATTTTTTGCTAGGAACTTTCTTTGTCCCTCTCATATCATCTGAATTTTTTTGTAGATTTTAGTGAATTTTCGTATGGGTAGGGGGACAAAATGATTTTTTTTACTGCATATTAAATGCATTTTACATCAAAGAAACAACACACATTTACGATGAGAATTCAAATTGGAAGTATATATATATTTGTTTAATTACTCCAATAAAAACAACAGTGTCTTCTTTTTAATGGGAATCACTTAAATTAAGAATCTTGGATGGAAATTTGAAGATATATGCATAAAATAGTTTGCAACTTTGGAAAGTACTGAATATATGAAATATTTTACAATAACATTTTACAACTTCGTCTATTCATGCTTCAAGTTTCTGATTTTTCCTTGGTCACATTACATTTGTGAATCTCTGAGGAGTGAGATGTGCCTCGTTGAACAAATAAATTGATAAATGTATAACTGTCATGCAACGCACATAATGTACCTATATAAATTTCTATTTTAACATATATTTGCTTTTAGTAACTTATCTTTTAACATAATGAAAAAGGAATGCCAAACTAGATTTTAAATTGTACGATTTTGAACATGTACAAGTACAATGAGAAAGCTTTTATCATTAAAGTACTATGCAGTTGCAGTAGAGTTGTTTGCCTTTTTACCTCATAAACTATTTAATACAGGGCGAGTCAAAAAAAGCGAAACCCAAATGTCGGGACTATTGGTTTAGTGAAGTTCTGCATGTAGCACTTAGAAAATATAGGATATGAAAGCCCAATTCATAAGCTTTCTTTTAGTACAAGAATCATTCAAATCACTCATGTACTTTTCAAGTTACAGAATTTTAAACACAACCACCATTTCAAAGTTCTGTCCATAGATCATAAAAAAGGTGTGCGTTGATTTAACAAACCGAAAACCACTGACACACATCTCTATGTGATTTGTTTTCGTTTTGCTGAAAGAACACTAACCTTCTTGTGATCAGTGGACAGAACTTTAAAACGGTGGTTGTGTTTAAAATTCCGTAGCTTGAAAAGTACATGAGTGATTTGAATGATGCTTGTACTAAAAGAAAGCTTATGAATTGGGTTTTTACATCCAAGATTTTGAAAGTGCTACATGCAGGACTTCACTAAAACAATGGTCCCGACATTTGGGTTTCGGTTTTTTTTACTCGCCCTGTATAAAGTAATAATCTTGTAAGAACTGTCATAAAGCAGCTATATAGAAATGACTAATAAGGAAAAAACTCTATATTTTGTATTAGAAAATCAAAGAAATCATACCATATATACAAAAAACAGTCCCTGAATTTGAATAAATTAAGGCAATATGTGCATCAAGTCCATTGAATGGAATTCACAGAAATCAACAAGTAAACGTTTCATTTCATTTATAATTTAAGCAGTTCCACTGCTTTACACAGAAATGGATTTTTTTGTGACCTCTACAGTTAAATTTCAGTACTAATATTTTAAAAGCCAAACTCTCCAAAATTTTAAGAATTATGACTAGCATGTGGGTAATAAACAAAGTATCATGTACAACAATCACTACAGTACAGTATTAAAGTGAATGTATTTATGTACAAATTTATGTGATTGGTTGTCAGAGAAACAGAAAATTTGTTAGGGCTTTCTAGTGTGTTTTAGTTTTTAACAAAATGAGCAAATCAGCTGAACCAACAAAAGGTAACATGCAGGCATGAGATTTTTTCAGACTTTTGTCTGAAATCAGACTTTTTGAATCTGAGAGAAAGGCATTAGTACATGTATCTATAGAAAGATATAACTTTTTATATACATGTATTTCATCTCTACATAAATCTGTACATAAAAACATTTCATTTCTAAACATATTTCATCTATTTTTAGACTCGTTTTAAATTGACAGTCTCTGAACATGGCTGTGCACTATGTTTATACACGTACAGACCGTAATTCCATTCAGTTTTTTTATAGTGTGGGAAAAATCTGTTAAGTGTAATAAACATAATGGAGTGTGGGCACCATTGAACACTGGTAACGGTGCTCTTCATAATGCATTCAGAACATCTGTTGCATATTGCTAATACATGTATACTAGGACAAAAGTCTAGTGATATGTACATATTGAAAGTTATGTACACCGTACACAGTATCATGCTATACAACCTTCAACTGTTCCGTTTCTAAAAATCTTTTCAAACAGTCAAAAATTGAAAGAATTCTACCATGGAACTCTTTCGTATAGCCTTAACAGTCCTGAATCCTCCAATTTCAATATGATTTTGCACACCCCCTAGGGAGTTAGGGTTAATAAACAAAAACACAATGTAGCTTCATGGTTTGAGACATGTTGAATGAGCACGATAACCAAAAACCACTCTAAAGAGTACACTGAAGTTAAAATTGTTGAAACCAAATCTTAACCTTACATGTATGTGTGATCTCTGATGCAAAATTTAGTGTGAAACTGTGAATGGTGCATCAATTTGACCCATATTCCATTCAATCTTAGCTGTTCCACCCCCCCCCCTCCCCAAATACAAATTCATTGTTGGCATTCTGCATTGGGATAGTGACTATTGTGCTGATGAAATGGAGTGCAGACAATGAAGAATGCACTTCAATTTAAAGTGACCGCCGCACTTTAAAAATCTGCTTCAGATCCACTGCGTAATATTGCTAAGGTTGACAATGTACATGTAGATGAAAGACTAAATAATATTGTGCACAGTGCATTTATATTCATAACTTGGCATTCGTTCAAACTGGCCTGCCAAATAAAGACAATGCAAGCTCAATTATGCATGCACATGTAATTTATGGAAATTTACATAAAATGGTAATAGCACTGTTGCTTCATGCTTGATAAAACACGTCACATATGTACATTGCGTCAGGTAGTTCATGTGCATAGTACCATTACCCCCCTCCCACCCCCAAAAAAACAAAAGAAAAGCTTCAGAAGAAATTAAACAAAATAAAACCTACATGTATCTAAGCAAACTTGCACCAATATAGTACTGATATATATTTTGAAACAGAACTTATGCATTTTGCGGTAAAAGACAACAAATGTTGAAACTAACAATAGTTCAATGAAAGAAAAAAAGGGAAAAAAACCTGACTAGTCACCAACTAGTGAAAACAATTGAAATGGCCAACTCATATACTGTACAGGTGTTTTTTATGATTATAAGTTTTTATACCATTTACCATGGTGGTACAGCAACAAAGTAGTACCTGCATATAAAATCAGCTATTGCTTTGCCAAATAATAAGGTAATAACAATTACAAATATTTGACAGTGTGTCAATTGTGAAACGTTTAAATGTTGGGAATATTTCATTAGGCCAAAAAAAAAAGTCTCCGGTTTCTGGTATGGAGCTTGCCCAAAAAGTGGTGCGGCGACGCGGCTTTTTTGTTTTTTTTTACCTGAATTTTTTGCTTTAAATGTCGGCTGATGACTGCAAATGGTGTCCGACTAAACTTAGTGCAAATATATGGGAGTCCAGAGAGGCCACATAAAGCTTATTCTCGATCATAACCCCATCTAAAAACACGTTGAAATTGCGCAGCAGCAGAATTCCAGTCAAACCAGTGAGTTTGGCGGTTTTGAGACATCATCTTTCATTGAAAAAAAACCTTTTTCATTTTGCCGACGCGCATGGCTACGGCGACGCGCGCGCATACCAGAAACGGAGACTTTTTTTTTTTGGCCTTAGAAATGGCTTTTTTTCAATTTGGAAAACACTTCTAAATTGGAAATTCTCGTTTGTTCTACTTTGGAAAATGGAGGTTTTCAACACTATTGGTATCTTTCAAAATCTTTATATTACCATTTTCCCATGAGTACACCATGATGATTTAAAATAAAATTAGATGAGTGAATTTAAGGCAAAACCAAACTATTCTGAGGCAGTAAGATTGTTTATAGAACATGAATTAAAACGCTCCCCCGAGTTAGGCCCCCCCCAAAAAAATATTCGGTCTCTGGTCAGACCAAAGTTCCGGAATTGACGCGGCTTTTTTTTTTTTTTTGCTTTTTTTTTCTTTCTTTAAGCTTGGATTGTACAGACAAGGTGGGGTACTATTTTGCTTTTTTGGTGTCCTCATGTACATTGTTGTCCTCCATAATTTGCCTTGGTGCTCTCGATCATTTGCCTTGGTGCAATTTCCCATTCCTTGGTGCTCTTTGGTCAAAAAAATTGAGGAGGTGCGGCAATAGAGGGCGCTGTTGGAGCTACCGCGGAACATTTTAGAAAAAAAAGAAGATTGACGCACATGATTAAAATCGACGCGCGCGCTGACCAGAGACCGACTTATTTTTTTGGGGGGCCTTACGTTAGATTAGAAATCATCTTTCAGTGCTTTGACAAGCCAATCGTTACCATACACTTCGTCGGAATCCTCATCACTCAGATATCCTTCCTCTTCGTCGTCTTCCCGGCGCAGCAACGACGAATAGTGCAGCTTCCTCTTCTTGGGGACGAACCGCCCCATCAAGGCGATGACCACGCCCCACAGAAAGGCCACGCCCGCCGAGATGCCAAACAGCACCTGCAGCCCGGCCTGGTCGTAGAGGAGTCCGCCCACAACGCTACCGACGGCAAAACCCACTCCGTGGTAGAGGGAGTTCAGGATGGCTTTGACTGATCTGTCCATGGCTGGTGGGGATATCTGCTCGCTGTACGAAGTCACGGTCTCCCACAGCGCTTGCTGACTGAACGCGCACAGTACCTCAATGGGGACCACTGCCCAGGGAGTCCAGAGGAACGTGAAGTACAGCAGGCGTGCGGCAAGGCAGAGCAACGCTACCACCAAGGTGCCCGATTGGGTGATTTTCCGGTTCAGCCAGTTGGTCACAAACAGCATGGGAATGTGTGAGAAGACGGCAACGAGCACTGCGACCCCCATGGCGATTTCGGACCCACCCAGATCTTGGACGCGCCAGAAGAGGAAATTGTGGATGTTGGATGTTAGCGCTCCCGTGATGACCATCGTTAGGGTGACTGCGGCGTTGTGCGGATCGCTGAGGAGGAGTTTGAGTCCCTTGCAGAATCGGAGCTTGCGGTTTGTTTTTTTAGGAGCTGGGATAGGGTAGAAGAACGCAAGCAAGAATGTGAGGCCCAGAAGAGCTGCAAACAGGTAGAAGTGGACCATAAAGTGGCTCGTCTTCAGGAAAATCTGACAGTTTGTGTTGTCTACAATGACTGTGACGATAACAGCAAAGAGGCCGAAGCCAACGATACTTGGCACGTGGTGACGTTTGTACTTGTCCAGTTCGTCGACGGAATCCAAAGTCTCGTTCAAAGAGCTGTCGCAGATTTTGTCCACGGGGCAGGCAATGCTCTCTCCAATAACCACAACGAGGAGAGCGATGACGAAAACCATAGTCTGAGACTCCAAGAAATGGCTGACAGTTTGACTCAGGGTCTCTTGAGCTGACCCCAAGGATCTGGGCAACTGATCTTTTTGGGAGATCGGATCTGGTTCATCTGGCAATGAACGCTTGACTCTATTGGCATAGTAGCTCTTGTCATGGCCAACTGGTAGGCCATAATTCTTAAGGTCAGGTGTTGATGCGGGGATCCTTTGCTGTGCCTTAGCCTCACTGTTTTCCTTGCTTGGGAATTCCTGTCCACGGATATTTTTCCATTTCAGGCCTCCTGTATTTCTCATTCCATTGTTGGCCGATGTTCTGCTGTGATTGTTGGTTTCTGTTACTTGAGATCCTTTCTTTTCTACTTGTGGTTTCCAAAGATTTGGGAAACGTGTACTGTCAGTCCACTCAGGTTTGGACACTTCATTATGGTATAAATTTTCTGGGAACGCTTCATTGTCTTGCTCAGAATTTTCATACCAATCGTCCTCTGTGGGTTCCACTGCATCCTGGGAGTCGGAAATGGGTATAAAATTGATGGGTTTTGATGTTGGCTTAGGAGTTTTGCTAATTTTGTGCATATTTGGTCTCGAGTGTTGCGGGTGTGAGTTAGGCATCTGTCCATGGTTGGAGTTTGGTCGGGGTTTCTTAGAAGGTTTGAAGTGTTGTTTGTTTGGCCTGGAAGACTGGTGCCTTGTCTCGGTGGTAGTGTCTGGATATGGTTTCGTGACCACATGATGCGTGGTTGGGATGTGGATGGAGTTGACTGTTGGCTTATTGCTTGAAGGCGTACTCAGCGTAAGTGACGTCAGTACTAACGGTGTTGCACTCCCAAAGTTATTATCTTTGTCAACTGCAGACTTGTTCGACAGTCCCTCATTGTCTGTGACGGATCTATTTCCAGGGTGACAAAATGCAAGATACAAGTCATTATCAGCCGGTGGCAAAAGTGTCAGGCCCAGATTTGAAGCGATTGTCATGAAGATGGCCACCATCAAGACGATGCGCTGTCTTCCATGCTGCGTGGCACAGCTGCTCCAGAGTGGCGCGGCCCAGAGGGCGACAAACGCCTTCAGGCCGAAGATGACTCCGGTCTGGGTAGCGCTCAGTCCAAGCTGACGGAAATACAGCGTCAGGAACGGGAAGAGGCATGCTTTGCCGGCTGAGTAGGCGAAGTAGAAGAAACTGACGAATGCCAGCGTGCGCTGCAGGTCCACCTGTTCTCCCTTTGGCATGGTTGCAGAGTTTTCAGCTTTTTCTGTGGGTTTCAGGGCAAGAGGCTTTTTGCTGTTGTGATGGCATCATGGAACAATATGTGCCGAAGCTAAAAGAAAACAAAGTAATAATTTGTTGAATGAGGAAAAATAATGCTGTTTAGGGCTCTACATCATACATACATGTAGTTGTACATCATTCAAAAATTAAAGAAAATTTTATTTAATAAAAATAAAATAGGTCCCTAAATTTAACAAACCAGTTCACATTTGTCACATTGGTTAGGTACAAGCAGCATCAGAACTCGGGTACTGTTTTACTTTTACCCCAATTATCAAAAATAAACAGATTTATAATTACAAAATGTATATATTTAGCAGAATAATGAGACCGCGCGCATCTTGCCCCCTTGTCAACGCCGTCCCAATTGCTAGCTCGTCTTTCAGTTGCAATGTTGCATGAGTGCGTGCGGCCGTAAGCATGGTGAAGGCGCAAGCAGAAACAAGTTTAGATTGGTTTGATCACTGGCATACTTGCGTTTTCAACAACACAAAAAGTTTTCAACAACCAAAAAATGCTACCTGGAAGCACTGTCAGCTACTTTGGTACAATCCACGACCCAATCCACTTTGGTGCTACTTTTTGAATATCACCACAAGTATAAATTTCGAGTTAGATTGCTTACCATTTATTTCATCTCTCATTCAACACTGGGCATCTATCTTTAATCTGGGTCAAGTTTCAACGCATTAAAAACCAAAGATACAGAGTGCCGCAAACCCACTGGCAAAGAGGGCGCCTTCACTAATAACCCACAAGTTACTAACATTTAGAAGAAAAACAAATCACACAAGCTAACTCATAAATTTGATGATAGAGCGGTGAAATTGTGATGAAAGCATTACACTAAGTGTGATATTATACTGTAGGTAATAAATGCGATAACTGATGAATAAATGTAAATAATATGACAGTGTCAGTGTGTTGTAGAGAAATGTTCATGGGGTCAAAACTTTTAATGCAGTTCTTTATCATCATGGGCCGGTGGTGCGGACCTACTCACATTTAGCAGAAGATTTAATGCGTTGATCATCTCTGATTTTAAATATGCATGTGTGGAAAAGGAGTAAAACAGATCACACGACATTTTACTTATGGATAAACATCATTTTGAAACCTGATTACGTACACTTTACTGGTCCTCTCCACTCGCGACACCACGCCCCCATTTTCTATCAGCTCTTTTTCCTACTTAGCTAGGGAGTTCATTACTCATGTGCCAGCGTGGAATAATCCAACATGGCAGCCAAGGTGAGTGTTGGTCATTTCGCTGCTGACGAAGTTTCCCCAACTTCAATTCCGAATCACGTCCCAACGGCTAAACCTTCGACTCGAAGATCAGCAAGTGTGGAAAGCGGCACAAAGAAGGTATCAATTCCCGGGTTCAATTTGTGTGTGTGTTTTCGCATATTTTGTTTTCCCCCATGATTATTTGATGGCCAAAAATATCTGACGTGTACACCGTAACGCGTACAGTCGTCCACGTAGAAAAAGTGAAAAACTAGAAGCCCAATCAGTGCACTTCATTTATCGTCAATCGTGCACGCGCTTCTCGTACAAGTACAAAAGTACAGTGAGGGATGATGGCCTATGGAGGGGGGGGGGGGGGGGGGGGAGGGGGGGGGGCCGGGGGGGGGGGGGACATCGGACAAACTTCGGGGGAATGCGAAGCGAAGCAAGGAGTTTGATTGAAGAATTTGTTTTAAAAAATGGTCATCTTAATATTGGTTGGGCGATTTCGTCTGACACCCTAAAGCTATGTGGTCCTATTTCTACGCACTCGCCTTCAATTTGTGTGACAAAGCACGTGCGAAGTGTTACCGGCGCAGAATATGGAGGGTCGAGGATACCTTTTCCAATACCAATTGAGAATGAAAATCCGCTTGAATTTAGTTTTTAACCTTTACTAAACCATGCTTAAGTTTACTAAGTAGGCCTACATGTAAGTGCCTAGGTTAATTTTTTTTATTGGACCACCTAACCAGTTATGTAGTGAGTGTTTTAAACTAAAGCCAACAAGAATGTCATAGATGGCTTTGATATTCGAGGGGGGGGGGTATTTTGTGGTATTACAGCGCATGATGAAGATGACAAGATGTAATTAATCAATGTGGTGCACTATGGAAACTGACTCGCATGGCATCTACTGAAAAAAATGTGTTGTAAAATCACATTTTTCTGCCAAAAACTAGAAAAGATACTGTTCAAAACTACAACAAATTTTAGAATTATATAAATGCTCAAAAGACTAAAAAACAAACAGGTAATTAAACAGGTAAACTGCGCAATTGCTGTTGGTAAATTACAAAAGTCTACAAAGATATTTTGACCAACATCGGCAAGGAAAAAAATTGTCGTACAGTGGCCTCAGCATAATGCTGCATTATTTCTAGAGCTGGGCAAACGTGCTTTGGGTGTATATATGCAGTAACAAATGAAGTATCCTGGCACTACATGCACTTTGTGCAGACTTGGACATTGAGTGCAGAAAAACATGCAAAACAAAATCAAGCCAAGTTTACTCCCTCTTTGGCTGACAAAATTCTCCGAAAATGTTCATGAGGCAAAGACAAGGTCCTCAGTATTTTACCAGCAAGTTGAAGTCTCAATTCATTTTTTAAAGCAGACCTTTTAAGATAAGTCAAGTTGAGGCCAAAGACTAGAGTGGTACATGTCCAACCAAGGTCCAACTGTTTGAAAAGACTGACCGCTTGATTAGTCTGGTGGCTGACTACGGAGAAATGCGTAGAAATAGAGACTAGTACCAGACATGCCAGATGTTTCTTTTGGCACAGTTGATTGATTTAGCACTGAAGCGGTGTTGGACTGGTTGTTTTAGGTGCCGGTCTATTTTCTTGTATTGCACGTTTTCAATGCTTTATTAAGTTTTGGGACTCCCATACACAGTATTGAGAGTTCCAAATTTTCGGACTAAGTTAGAATTGGTATTTGCCTGGTTTTAATGCCCAGCTGGACTAGGATTGAATAATTTTTTTGGCAGCTTTTTTCACCCAGTTAATTTACAAACAAAGTTGCACTCTTAGAGATCTTGAAATTTATCATCCTTTTTTAAATATAAAACCTACATGGTCACATACTTGTAAGATTGCTTGCAGAATAAGTGACGCGTGAACAACGCTTTTATAACAAATTCTGAATTGTGTTATAGACACATGTAGCTTCACAGTGGTCCCATGCCCAGATCATGCACAAAAGCCACATGGTGCCGCCCCAAAAGAAAAGCACAGTCAAAATCAATAACAGGAAATTAATTTATGTGTTGTGTTGTGTGTACACATTATACTGCACAGATGTTCATGGAGCCGTCGCTCAGAGAGATGGCAGTGGGTCTGGCCGAAGTCGTGCAACAGATGGAGGCTCACAGCAGGTAAGTGGAAATGATCTTCTGCTGCTGCTGTTTGGCTTAGCAGAATATAAAGGTTACCAGCCAAACTGGGATGTAACGTTTATTGATTGTAGCTGGTTCCCAGCTGTAACCTGCTTAGCAAGGATTTTGTGAAATTGTGTCTGCTGCTAAGCGACTTCATGAAATTGGTCCTCTTGTTGGCACAGAATATATTAGCATAGCAATATCACTATCAGGTTACCAACCAAAATGCCTTGTGATTTATAATGCTTGTGACCGGTTATCAGCCACTCTTTGCGGAGGAAATTTGAACAGATCGTTTGGAGGGAGCATAATGCAAATTTAACTCTTGAGGTGTGAACTAATCGGATTACTTCCTTAGAGTGAACGGATGAAAAGGTGACGACAATGGGTTTGAAAAACGAAAGCTTCAAAGTAATCCTAAGAATGGAACAATCCATTAGGCCCCGCCCAATTATGTTTTGACCAACCACAGCCGTGATTAATGACCGATATGTGTGCACAAAGTGTTGATATACATGTATGTGCAAGTGCGTATGATGGTTGCATCTGAAACAATGCAGTGTGGCATATGACAGGCGCATGTGTTGTTGCACACGTAGTTGGCGGGGCTTAGTAGATCGGTGTATTGATGTCAGAATATGTGATACGATCAAGCTAAATGAGTCGTTTGTCGACCATGGTCAATTTTTTAATTTTTTTTTACAGATTTGAAATGAGCACAATCTCAGTATTATTGCTGTGAAAACCGCATGCTGGTACCATCTTTAGTTCAAAAATTATGGAAGTCGGAATACCAAGAGATATGGTTAAGTGATTGAAAGTTCCCGACAAACGACTCATTTAGCTTGATCGCATCACATATGTTCTTAACATTTGAGAAGGTACAGGGACAAATATATTAAGATTTTTGGAAAGTGTGGGGTGGGGGGGGGGGAGGGGTGCGGTTGTAACCAAACTTAAGTGCTTCTGCCAGTAGATGCTGAATTGATTTGAATTGGGTTCCCGCTAAGTAGTGCATTTTAGAGGATTGGGTAAACTGTTCATGTGGGGTCAACCAGGACTAAACAGCATTGTTCCAGATTTTTGTTTTGTGTGTGCATGTTCTTTTCAATGCAAAAATAAGTCACATTTTCTTCACGATGTTTATTTTTCTCAATCCTGAGAAGAAATAGTGAAATCAATTTTTAAATGCATCTTGGTGATAATGCTTAAATTTAATTTCATTAGTTTCTTTAGTTTCATTATGTAAATACCTCGACATATGTAACGTTGTCAACATATTTGGGGTCATCATAAGCCCTCACTGGGTTTCCAGATCATTGTCTTTTCCCCAAACTGATTGAAAACAGCGGAAAATAAATTGAACTAAACCCGAATGCCCCCATACCACAGGAATCTGGATAAAGATAGAGAGAAGACAGCGTCATTGTTTAAGACTCCTGAGTTTAGCAGGAGCCTTTCTGAACCAATTACCGACAGGTTGGACTTTTCATCACTTCTGATTTTCCTCTCTCTTTTGTAAATAAAGGCTTTACATTTTTCCAGTTTCTGCATGTGTTGGTTTCAGGGATGTAGAAAAATTGTACGTCTTCCGAAATCTTGAATTTTTGTAGTCTTCCTCGGGATGAGATTCTTATGCTTTTTTGTTTTGCTGAATTGTAGACATTTCGGACCTACAGCGGTGGTGGGATTGATTAGTTTTTTTGAAACGCCTAAAAAATGCCTGTCATCTGATAGGTGGATCGTTGATCACGTGTCATTTAATTGTTCGTCCCAATGCACTGCCTGGCCGCACTGCAAAAATAGAAGTTCTATTCCACGGTAAATAGTACGGTCACACTACTGATAGCGCTATAACACATCTCTGATGGCTCTGATTTCATAGTACCAGATTACAATTTACCAGTTACAAGGATTTATTTAGGCATTGTATAAAACAAATAATGATTTTTTCATAATCGTGCAATGAACGAATAATTTCATGAGGTGAAGGATGGATGTCCCATTCCACATGGCTTCGCCTTGAAGAATGGAACATGCCATCTGTTACCACATGAAATTATGTGACAGATGAAATGTTCCATTCCACTCGGCTTCACCGCGTGGAATGGAACATTCCATCTGTCACCTCATGAAATTATTGATACAATTGCACGCATAAACATTCATTGTTTGTACAATAGCTCACATTGTGAGTAGATAGACATCTCATCTGAGTAGTAAGTACAATGTAGGTGGTAACGACTTTTGGGGTAAATGCTCAACGTTTCATGTCAGTATCCACTGATTTTTTTTAAGGAAAAGTTGAAGGCAAATAGGGTTTGAAAATGCTTGACTGCGGCTTATAGAGAAACACCTTGGCTCAATTTCATGAAGCAAAAAATAGTGCTTGAAAAATGTATGTGCTAAATAAAAATCAGCTGAGTACCAGTTAAAAGCAGTAAACAGTTCATGACACTTTGGTTGGTAACCGATTTTTGCTTAGCAAAAATATCCTGTGCTTAACCCTCCTGCTATTTAAACAGTCACATACTGTCAAAATTCACTTCAACTTCCCCTGCTATACATTGTACTTTTAACAAAGTCTAGTCACCAGCAGTCAGATCATATGTCAAGCAAGCACTGTGTCTAGCCAAACTGGTTCAACAGACAAAGTAGGCAAGTTGTGGTCACAGCTGTTTAATCACTTGCCCGGAGTCAAAGCATAGCTGTATCAAGTAACTTAAGCAGTCCCAGCCAGACAATTCTGCTTTATGTAGGCTGGGAATTCTTACAATGTAACTGTTGAAAACAGTCACTTGTTTGATTTTGACTTAAAGGACTACTTGGCACAGAATGGATGTTTGCATATATAGGAGGGTTAAAGTAGAGAATATCTGTGCTAAGCATGAAATTGGCTCCTGCTAGTACGTTCAAACTCAGTAGTGCAGGCTTTCGGAAGGAGTTGTACCCTGTGTAGATCTGATGCATAACAGCCATCTTAGAGGGCAGTGTTTTGTTCCTCTTGTAGAGGCATGAGCAGACGATCTTGAAGATTTTTACGTTATTAAAATTACATGTGAAGAAAACCTCTATGATTGCTGTTTTGCATAAGGTTAGTTATGGTATGCCTTATTTTAAAACTATTTTCCACTTCTATTAGTTTCAAATTTTTTTATTTTTATGTTTTTTTTGCATCATGGAGGGATTTTGGGCTGTCGGCTTTGTATATTTTTGGTAATACAATGAAGTTCCTGTTGAGTTCCTGGTTGAACCATGAGGCAGCATGTGGATATTTGTTTTTGTTAGTATTCTTTCTATAATATTTCGATTCTTTTAAAGGGAATATACAACATTTGCAAACATCGGAAAATAAAACTACCAAGTTTTTGCGAAATACCTTAATAGGATGTTGGTAAATGACAGTCTAAAGCATCCTGTAAAATTATGGCACCTGGTATACTGTCATTTTCAAGAAAAGTGGTATTTTTGTATCAATTTCCAACGCTGATCGGCCGATCAGCGTTGGAAACAACTGGCTTTTTTTTTTCAAATACTGGCCCCAATTGACCATTGCACTTGTCTGCAATCGATTACAAACCTATGAACGGGTACGAGCCAGCTAGACTGGTTCCCTGACCTTACAATTCCCCAATGTATGTAAACTGCTCTGTTTCTTCTTATATGGAGTCAGGGAACCAGACTACAGGAAAATGATCGTTTTTCTTGGTTTTTATAGCATTTTCGAACCCAAAACCTCCAAAAAGTCAGTGTAACTATATTTGCTTTATATTTCCAACCCCCCAATTCCATCCATTTCTGAAAATTACAGCAAAAGCAAATGATGTATATTCCCTTTAAACTTACATTGCCAGTCAGTTTTGAACATAATTTCAAAAAAAATGTTTGAAAAGATTACTAGTTATTCCTGTAATGTATGGTGTTTTTTTTGGTAATTTCTAATGCCTGGTTTTGAATTATTTTTGATGGAATCAGAATTGTACAACTCTGCCACTGTTACTTTCACATGTTTACGTTTGGCTTGTCCCAAGGTTGCCTCAGAACAAATATCTGTCAGTAGTTTGCGCACGATGTTGACTTTGGACATATGTGATGCGATCAAGCTAAATGAGGCGTTTGTCGGGAAATTTCATTTGGAGATTCAGGCCAAAATAGGGCCACTTCATCACATTACTTCATCACATCTCTTGGTGTTCCGACTACCATAATTTTTGAACTAAAGAGAGTATCAGCATGCGGTTTTCACAGCAGTAATGCTGAGATTGTGCTCTTTTCAAATCTGTAACAAAAAAAAATGACCAGGGTCGACGAACCACTCATTTAGCTTGATCGCATGACATATGTTCATATATATATTTTGACATATTCAGGCAGCTTTCTTGAGAAATGCCCAAAGGGTAAAAGCTTTAGATGTTAAAACTGCAATCTAATGTTTGTCCTTTTTTTTTCATGACAGTGGTCAGAAGATAGATGAAATAGTTCACAAGTTGGAGGCCATCATCATCCAAGCAGACTTGGACAGCAAGTTGGCTGTGTAAGTCAAAAGTACCAAAATGATGTTGTTTTTGTTTTTATTCTAAAGTGACAATTTTTAAAAGTTCACAATTAACATTCCTAAAACTTAGTAAAAGATGTACTAAACAATTGTTGGAATTTCAGGACAGATTATTCAATACTTTTAAAGTACAACAGAAAAAAATACATACTTGAATGAAAATGTGTTTTCAACAAATTTGTTGATTGCAGCAAGAAAACAGAAGAACTGAATGACTTCACAGATTAAATTAACCCTAACCCTGCTGAATCCAACAGGATCCAACTTCATCATATACCCGATGGAGCCTGTTGGATTGAGCAGTAAACCCCTTGTGTACATTACTGATGCAAAATGTTGGATTCAGCAGGCAACTGAACCGTATTATAACGCCAAGATGGACTCCATTGGATTCAGCAGACAACTGAAAATAAGGCACAGTGGATTGAGCAGGAAAGTCCGGTTGGACTCTGTTGGATTAAGCAGGGTAGTCCTGAGGAACTACTAGGGGTTAGGGTAAATACATACCAAAATACAAAATTTTGACAAAATTGTCACAGGTCTGTTGCTCGGCATTAGGAAATCATATTCAGCAACATCTGTCTACTTTCCCATAAGAAAACAAATACGTCAAAAAGCAACCCGGCTTGAATGTATGATATGTAGGAATGACAAAGTGGCCTTTTTTTGGTGGCTTTGCCACGGACTGGGACATCTGGACCAAGATCATTGGGTGGGCTCGAGCTGCCATATGGCCTTGACTTGATTGATTGATTAATTCATTGATTTTTTTTTTAGGACGCCGACCCCAATCTTAGACAAAGCTGCCCAGGTAGCCATGCTGGGCCAGAGCATCGCCGCCTACTGTAACACCATAGACCCCGCCCACCTCCGGAAGCTGACCACCCGGGTCATCTCAGATACCACGCTGTGGCTGTCCAGGATATTTAGGTGAGTACGATGGGCGGAGCCTAGGAAAGCTGAAGGGAGGAAGGAAAACTGTCGCGATCTTTCAAAAAGTTTTATGAAGGAAAACGGACGTTACATTTGAGGTTTCTTTAACCACCGTACTCGGTGTACATACAGTTCATGAGCAAAATCTTTCCAAAGAAATTTGAGTTCATCATGCTCAGCCTTAGATAGGGCAATGGTTGCAAGTACAAGGGAAACAATAGTCATTGTATAAATGGTGATGTAAAGTCGTATAGAACTTTTTGTGAAAATTTTAACATAATTTGTTGACAAATGCTGTAGGTGATTCTGCGTGGAAGTACTATGGTTATGGAGGTTTACCACTATCAAAAAGTGTCCATAAGTTGGCATGAGCTTTGTACACAAGTACCGGTACATGTATGTATCCCACAGTGGGAAAACCGAAAGTAACTGTTAGGTTAAGGCTGGGTCACTTTTTGCGCAAAAGCGGATGCGAACGCAAATGCGAATTTGTGACGTCATGGCAAGTTTTTGTGCTGCTCAAACTTTCATATAATACATCTGTTTCCATCAGTGTCATTCTTTTAATTACCATTGGGAATCCAAATTAGATTGACAAAATTTATGATTTAAAAAAATTATTGTGGGGAGGGGGAGATGTTCTCCTTGCCTCTGGCTTCAGCCAGCTAAGTAGTACGCCAACAACCTTCTCAATATTGTTGTTCATGTCAATATGATGATTAGATTTCCTGAATCATTTCCTCAATTGTTTGCCGTCTTTTCCCCCCTGCTAGGTTTGACGATTCCTCAGCGTTTTTCCACTCCGACAGCCGGGACGGTTTGTTACGAGTCTGTCGCCTGGCTCTCAGCAGCAAGTATGACAAGTATGGCACGGATGGGTTCAACGCACTCTACACTAAGCCACCTATCATCTACATCAGTGCTGGTGCCAGGCCAGGACTGGGACAGTATATATGTACACAGGTGAACAAAATGGATGTTATTATTATTATTTTTGGGGGGGGGGGGGTTGGTTAATGAAGCCATGTGTTCACAAGTACCCCCTCACCGGCAAAGAGAGTACAGATGGGGGTGACCGACCGACGCCATCTTGCCTGACTGCAATTCATTTGCTGCAAAGTGTGTGCATAGTTCAAATCCCCTGGTGTACGTGCGTCACACACAAGGAACAGTGCGCGTCAACCAGCGAAATGTCCCGCCCATGGGACGTCGTTGCTAGGTAAAAGGGCGCCCTCTTTTGTCGGCGCACGGAGCTCAAAGGCCCTGAGGGTTAGAAGCCTGAAGAAAACTGCAGAAAGAAGATTATGGGGATGAATGCCAGTTCACCATTGCCCCATCAGGTTTCCTGCTCAATGTTGGATTTTGTTTGATTCAGATGGGGAACATCTGACATTAACCCTAACCACCCCCGACCCTTCAAAATCCAACTGCATGTTTTTTGTTGGAATCTGTTGGAGTGAGTACTGAACAAGTAAACTGATTATGCTTTACATGGGATTAGGCATACCACCATAATCAGAGTCCAACAGTTTGGGTGTTGAGTTTACCATATGGTGTTGGATTTTGTAATAAAGAGTGAGAAAGGTTCCTAGTATATCACGAAAAGGGGTTAGAGTTAAGTGGTTCTTTTCACTGCGGAATAACTCAGAAGTTGATGTACACATGTTCATTTCCATCTGATTCCATTATTTAATACTTGAACCTACGTTTAGGATCGGAAAAGTGGGACCTCAAAAAAGCTATTTATTACAGGGGGGTATTTGATTGCTCCTTTTTATGCCCCGCGGCGAAGCCGAAGGGGCATACTGTTTCCGCCTTGTCCTTCCGTGGGTGGGTGTGTGGGTGGGTGTGTGGGTGGGTGGGTGGGTGGGTGGGTGTGTGTGTGTGTCCGGACAAATCTTGTCAGCGCGATAACTTGAGAAATACTTAACATATGAACTTCAAATTTGGTTTGTGTATTGCTCTTGGTAATCCTAAGAAGCCTTTTGCATTTGGGGCCGAAAGGTCAAGGGTCAAAGTCACAGTGGCTGAAACAATAGAAATTTTGTCAGCGCGATAACTTGAGAAATACTTTACATAAATCCTAAGAAGCCTTTTGCATTTGGGGCCAAAAGGTCAAGGGTCAAGGTCACAGTGGCTAAAACAAAAGAAATTTTGTCAGCACGATAACTTGAGAAATACTTTACATATGAACTTCAAATTTGGTTTGTGGATTGTTCTTGGCAATCCTAGGAAGCCTATTGCATTTGGGGCCAAAAGGTCAAGGGTCAAGGTCACAGTGGCTAAAACAAAAGAAATTTTGTCAGCGTGATAACTTGAGATATACTTTACATATGAACTTCAAATTTGGTTTGTGGATTGTTCTTGGCAATCCTAAGAAGCCTATTGCATTTGGGGCCAAAAGGTCAAGGGTCAAGGTCACAGTGGCTAAAACAAAAGAAATTTTGTCAGCACGATAACTTGAGAAATACTTTACATGTGAACTTCAAATTTGGTTTGTGGATCGTTCTTGGTAATCCAAATAGGCCTATCGCATTGGGGGTTGAAAGGTCAAGGGTCAAGGTCACAGTGGCTAAAACAATAGAAATCTTGTATTTATCCTGAGATCATAGGGATTAGGGATTAATTCATATAAAACCTACAGAAGACACTAATGCTGTCAATGAACGTTCCATGTGACCAAGGTACATGTACATGTAAATTGATGTTAAAAGAGTGGTGTTACATGTATGTCATAGGAACAGTCACGGTTGCGGGGCATTTGTGTTTGTAAACACACCTGACTTGTTTTTCTCTTTTTCTTAGCTTGGGCTTCCATTGTCGAGCTTATGCACCGTTCCATGCAATACAGTCTTTGGATCACAGCATACAATGGTAAGTGACAATGTCGGGGACAGAAAATTGATTGAAAATAATTTGCTGTCATTTAGGAAAAAAGGAAGTGAACAGACTTGTAAATAGTTCAGCATAAGTCATCCAAAGTCAATTGCAAGTCAGCCAGTCTTAAGTCACGTGACATGTTGGGTGTCCCTTTCTTGTCTGTTTCTGTGCCCCTGTCATTGACAAAGAGATTCTGCTAGAATCAAAGCGTTAGGTTGTCAAATTTTGTTTTGAGTTTTATAAATAAACTACACTGGTCATCTTCTATTGTTTGTGACCTTATCTGCAAAGTGACCATGGTGAAAAAAAAAATCGTATTCGGAAAAATTTATAAAGCATGAGGTATCGACTGGATTGCTTTGTTTGTTCTAGTTTACTTTATGACTTCACCAAAGACGTTCATTTCGAATGTGCAAAAAATAAAAAGGTTGAACCGCTTGAACCTTTTAACCCTTACTCTCTGAGGGTAGTTTACTGCATGTCAGTTGGTTATGCCAATGCCCTCCAGCTGCAGTTTATTGGAGGATACTTTGATGTAGCAGTGAAGGCTCAAATTGGCAGGAGTTGGAGGCCCTGGAGGGTGCCTGATACTGACCAGCTGGGGGCACTCACTTTGTTATCAGAGGACTCTCATTGTTCTCTGTGGCATGTATTGGAGTGCCTGTCCAGTTACCCTTGAAATGACATGGCAGATATTGGAGGGCCATGCAAAAAACATAGGAGATTTTTTTGAGGCACATATTGGCATGCGTTGGAGGGTCTAGTAGGGTAAGGGATAATGACCATGAATTGTACCAGCACTGCCCCTTGAACATCCAAATACCCTTTGCCGATAAAACTGGAGGTATATTGATTGGTTGAAAGTTTAAAGGTCCAAAGTGTAAAGTCTAGATTGCAATGATTAGTAATAGATCAAGGCTCTACATTTTCCGTAAACGTACCAGGAATTTCTCAATCTCCATCAACAATTTTTGGTCTTTTCCCACCCATACAGGACATAGCCACCTTAGAGCGACTGATAAAAGATGACGAGGGTTCCTCCAAGATCCCCCTGATGGTTGTAGCCAACGCCGGCACGCCTCTAGCAGGACACACAGATAACCTGAACCGTCTCAGGACCATCTGTGATGAGTACGGGGTGTGGCTGCATGTCGAAGGGTAGGTGTAAGCCTGTTTTGCAGGGAAGAATTGATGCAAACTGATTCAAGAAAATGTGCCATTAGGCCAAAAAAAAAAGTCTCCGGTTTCTGGTATGCGCGCGCGTCGCCGTATCCATGCGCGTCGGCAAAATGAAAAAGTTTTTTTTTCAATGAAAGATGATGTCTTAAAACCGCCAAACTCACTGGTTTGACTGGAATCCTGCTGCTGCACAATTTTAACGTGTTTTTAGATTGGGTTATGGTCGAGAATAAGCTTTATGTGGCCTCTCTGGGCCGCCATATATTTGCACTAAGTTTAGTCGGGCACCATTTGCAGTCATCAGCCAACATTTGAAGCAAAAAAATCAGGTTAAAAAAAAAAAAAGCCGCGTCGCCGCACCATTTTTTGGGCAAGCTCTATACCAGAAACCGGCCTTAGAGGCAAAAGTTCCAGATTTTTAATCAGTCAATATCAAGTCAATCATGGGTTAAGCACTGGTCAATCCGTGGTCAGTCACAGGTAGATCACAAGGCAAATCACAAGTTATGTCCCAAATGACAACAGAATATTTTCGGTGGTGTTCATTTAACCAGTTGGCGTCGGAGGACGTGATAACATGCACTGGCTGGTTTTGTACACAGGCACGGCTGACTGGTTGACTGCCTTGACTCACCTCCGGTTGACGTCTAAACACGCCAATCCCACGTGTCTTTTGTACACACACTCAAAGTCCATGTAGTCTGTGGAGGCGGACCGTGTGTTGATCTTGAATTGGCCGTTGTGCACGGCCTATCGTTGTACAATTTACGCTCCAGTGCGCATAGTATTGAAACATGACGCTTCGGCAAGAGATATCGTACAAATACTGTTGAAATCACTCTTGCGAATCAGTATTTGTGGCGTTTGGCTGTATATCAGAAGTTGGCCGGGAAATTTGTCCTTTTAAGAAATTTCCAAATTTTCGGCAACAATAAACCTGGCACGAGGTGGTTTACCGATTGACTTGTGATTGACCTGTGATGGACTCTGGCAAGTCCAGCTTCACCTGCAGTGCGTTATTGAGGAAAATAAGCTGACATTCATTCGAAGAAGTTGAGATTTCTGTTTGATTTCAGATGGATTTAATTTGGGCAGTAGAAAAAAAAAATAATTGAGGACCTTTTTGTTTAATAACGAGTCAACAGTTGTCTGTACAGACCTGTCATGCATGTCGAGATCGTCTAAGATCTTGGACGCTCTCTTAACCGTACACAGTAAAAGTTGTGAAAGCCAAACAAAATTGGAAAATTCTTGTTTTTATTTTCTCTGCAGACACAATCTAGCAACCTTGGCTCTGGGGACCGTTCCTACCTCAGTCTTGGTAAGTCTAATCTTTGTTTCACATTTGTTACTCAAAAGAGTTAAACTTGATACATACTTGGACTAAGGATTCTTGAAGGGGGTCTTCTAGCATTTTTTCACATATTGCTGAAACCTCGTTGCCTTCCTTCTGTGACAATTTGCTGATGGTCTGGTTCCTATGTTGTCTGATTATATTCACAGGCAGCCAAGCGAGTCAACAGCTTGACCCTGCAGCCCGGTGTATGGCTAGGCCTACCTGGTGTGACATCAGTTGTATCCTTGTAACATTTGTTATTTAACGTAGAAGTTCTTTAACCGGTTGAAAATGCAAAATATCGCTGTTTAGTCTAGGATACTACGCTGGCATGCATTGCAGTGTTGTAGGACTGGAGTCTGTGTCTGTGATAATATATTCCTTGACTGCTGTTGATGCAGACATTGTACAAGACTGCAGATCCTGCAATGGTGAGTCAAAACTGAAACTCTCAAAAAGTTGTAATTTTTTTTGGCCAGAGTTTTAAAACAAGAAATGGAATTGGTTTAGAATCTGACTCCCAGAGTGAATTATAATATTCTGAGGACTATAACAGTCCTTCTGTTTTGAGGCGTGCGATCACACCCCCACGCCATCACACGCCTAAATGCTTCCTGAGAAGTGCGAATAATCGCACGCCTGAATCCCTCAGTACAGCACACCTCGGCATACATTTACAGCATAATTACACTTCATAATTTGTGAAAAATAAAGTATGTCAGTGAAGAGAAAATGGCCTAATTGTAAACCAAGATGAATATTATGATATAATATCCAAGCTTGGACCATAGAATCACACGCCTAGAAAAATCACTCGCCTAGAAAAACACACGCCTAGAAAAATCACACGCCTAAAAAATCCAGGTGTGCCTTTTTCCACACACCTGTGATTTTCAAATCAGAAGGACTGCTATAAGTTAACCTGTTACTCGTACAAATTTGTTAAAACTATCATTTTATTGGTTACAGTGTATTGGAAATCAAGGGCAATTTGGGGCAGTTTGGGGACGTTGTGATTGCCCAAATAACCCTTTCCCTTGTAATTCGTCTTCTCCAGAGTTTAGCGGCAGGTGTAGGCCCCAGCCAGCTCCACGACCGTCTCAGTGCCTTACCCCTCTGGCTCAGCTTACAGAGTCTGGGCCACAATGGCGTAGTGGCCAAACTCAAGTATGCCGCAGATCTAGTGAGTTCTCTCCATTGATTTCTTTCATAGTAGCGATAAAAAAGATGCATTGTCCCTTAAACCGGCAATGCTACAGGGTGCAAACGGGGCATTTCCCCCCAATTTTTCTTTTGTCTGCTCAACCCCAAATGTGCCCCCATCAAACAGTTTATACAGGAAGATAAATTCTGTATTTTATTTGAAAAGCTTAACCTGATAACCATTGAGAAATTTGAGAGGTTTTGCCATCCGTTTGTTTGGTCTTCAAATACATCATCATTTGTGTGGTCTTGTGATGTCGTACGCAACTCGCTATCTGCTATTTGTGTATACAGCATGGAAATAGTAATCATATATGATTTGACTGGAGAAGCATGAATTGTGTTTCAAAGTAGAATTAGCCATCAAGTTGCCATTTTGGATTAACTGCCTCGCTTGGTAATGGTTCTGTTTACTAAAGCATATGCATAAACTTACACGATGCTGAAAAACGGAATGGTTGTTAACAGTTACGGAAAATGCATGGGAACATGTATCCGTTCAGACATAAAACCTCCCTATTTTTTGTTAATTTGATGATGGAATCTTCCTGGAAGAGCATAAAATAAAGCAATCTTAGTGGAGCTCCAAACAAAAGGCTAAGACATCAATAACAAATCTGATAAGTAAATGAATATCCATTCAATTACTTTGTATTTCTAACAGTGTTGTCTTCTCTTTTTTTGTACTAGAGTCAACACATGCAGCAGAGACTCAACTCGTTAGGATCTATCAATTTATCAGTAAGTAAATACAGAGAGATTCACAAGATTGCCTTTTTGATATAGTCTATTAAAAAAATCCATTAAGTCAAATTCTGTGTGTAAAAATGGATGAATGCCGTTAATTTTTAGGTTCATGTAAGGTTCTTAATTTATGTGTGAACTCAGGAAATTGTTGGACTTACTTGTAGTGATTGCACTAGCTTGCCTCATTTTTCAATACATTTGCACTTGTGTTTTTGAACACACGTAACTCTTTGTTTCTTTGTACATTTCGTCCAAAAGCCAGGAAAAGGCAGCAGCCAAGGCACAATAGAAGGTTCGCTGAAGGAAATATTCACAAAGACGATACAAGTACTGGTGAGTTTAATACAATTTTTTCCCAAAGTTTTTTATTGATTAATTTTTTTTTTGGCCAAGAACACAGTAATGAACCCTTCCTTTCTGTCAATCAATCAAACAGTGCGCATTGACCAATCAAATCGCATCTTTTTCTCACAACATAAACCAAAAGTGGGCGGAGCTAATGATCAAATACAGAACAGTCCATTGGTCATATTTATTTTGTAACAAAGTATCTTGCTCGAATCTTTTTTTTGTCTAGGCCCAAGCTGACGTAGTCTCCACAGTGGTAGTATTCAAGTACGGGGACCGGAGGGAGGGTCCGGATCCAGACGACGGATCGTACACCGAGGCTGCCGAGGACCGGCCAGTCAGCAGTCTACCAGCGCCGCTCCTTGATGCATTCAACTCATGGGTACGTTGGGATATTAATCCTTCCTCTACCACACCCTTCAATATCCACTGGAACAATGACGCCACCACCAGCACCCCTTCAGCTAATGACCGGCGTTTTGGTAACCTCCTCACACAGTTCAACATGCAACAATTGGTAACCACTGGAACTCACACATCTGGTCACACAATAGACTTTGTGATCACGCGACAGTTCGACACCCTCGTACAATCTGTTGACACATCGGACTTTGTGTCTGACCATTGTGCTGTCCATTGCCGGTTGGACTTGCGTAAACCAAGATATGTGAGGCACAAAATCACGTATCGGAAGATCACTGCGATAGACCCCACTAAATTTAAGGATGACATTGCCACATCTCCGCTCATCACATGCCCTGCAGATACGCCAGACACCTTAGTCGACCAGTACAACTCTGTACTCTGTAAACTGCTTGACTCTCACGCTCCCCCCAAAACCTGCAAAATTGTAGATAAACCAAAAATTCCTTGGTACAACAATGACATCGCAGAGGCCAAACGCAAGCGTCGTCAACTTGAACGACGCTGGCGAAAATCCAAGTTACAGATACACCGTGAGATGTTCCAATCGCAGAGAGATCTGGTAAAATCCAAATACAGGTATTACCAGACGAATTACTACTCAGAGAAAATCCAAGGCTGTGATGGTGACCAACGTGCCCTTTTTCAGGTCATAAACCATCTTCTGCACAAGAAAACAACACCCATACTCCCATCATTTTCTTCACCCTATGAGATGGCTACCCATTTTTCTGACTTTTTCGACAGCAAGATCTCCAAGATCAGAAATGACTTAGCAGAAATGGATCCCGGCATTAATCCTGCGCAGGCAGATCTTGAATTTTGCCAATCTCCCCTCTTATCCTTAGCACCTGCATCAGACACGGAAGTGATGAAGATCGTCAAGAGTGCACCGACGAAGACCTGCCCTCTTGACCCAATACCGACATCGTTGGTAAAGGATCACATCAACGTGTTGCTTCACCCTATAACACTGATCATCAACAAGTCACTCGCCACAGGTCACTTCCCGACATGCTTCAAGACAGCTCTCATCACACCCGTCATCAAGAAGAAATCACTGGACTCTAATGATCTAAAGAACTATCGTCCAATTTCAAATTTGCCTTTTATGTCGAAGGTTGTTGAGAGAGTAGTTGCAGCCAGGTTGAATGCACATCTCATTCAACATAACCTGCGGGACAACCTCCAATCAGCGTACACTAAGTTCCATAGTGTTGAGACAGCACTTGTCAAAGTTCACAACGACATAATGCTCGCTGTTGACAACAAAAGGGTTGTTCTCCTGGTTCTGCTAGATCTCTCAGCAGCCTTCGACACCGTTGACCATAAAATCCTGCTACATAGGTTACAGTATCACTTTGGGGTACAGGGATCTGCACTTTCATGGTTCAGATCATACCTCCAAGATCGATCTCAGGCTGTCAACATATCAGGAGAGTTGTCTGATCGGTCAGTTCTCCGACATGGGGTTCCGCAAGGGTCCGTATTAGGACCTCTGCTGTTCACATTATACATATCTCCTTTAGGGCGCATTGCAAGACGTCATGGCCTACACCCTCATTTTTATGCAGATGACACACAACTCTTTGCCACCTTCTGTCCAAGTTCTCCTGGTGATGACACTATTACACACCGTATTCTTGAAACATCCCTGAAAGACATCCAACAGTGGATGACAGCCAATCTCCTCAAATTCAACGCAGTTAAAACACAGTACCTTGTCATATGTTCTCAGCACATCAGACACAAAGTCAACATCTCTGACATACGCATAGGAGATACACATATCGCTCCTTGCTCTGAAGCCCGCAATCTTGGTGTCATTTTTGACAAGTCAATGAACCTTGAACGACATGTCTCTTCTATTTGTCAGTCCTCTTACATACATCTACGACGTATAGCAGCAGTAAGAAACTCACTTACATTCTCTGCCGCAGAACAACTCATCCATGCCTTCATATCATCCAGATTGGATTTTTGCAATAGCCTACTTGTAGGTCTACCACAACATACGATAAAACGTCTCCAACTTGTCCAGAACTCTGCCGCTCGCACACTCACAAGAACGAAATCATCTTCCCACATAACACCCATCTTGCGCAAACTTCATTGGCTACCAATCCAGTACCGCATCCATTACAAAGTTCTCCTTCTTACTTTTAAAGCTCTTCATGGTTTAGCCCCACTGTATCTGAAGGAAATGGTTCAACATCGTCAACTGAGACCAGGTCTGAGGTCGTCGTCATCCAATAAACTGTTTGTCCCGAAGACTCGTTTGGCGACCTACGGAGACCGTGCATTTTCCAGCTCTGCACCGCGTCTCTGGAACTCGTTATCAGACGAGTTAAGGGCAATACACCAATTATCTCTCTTCACACGCCAACTAAAGACCCACCTCTTCAATCAGTTTCTTTCTCACACATGATGACCTCTACCTTCACACACACTGACTTTTCACTGACCGGCGCCTTTGAATGACTATTTTTGTCAGATACTGTGCGCCTTACAAATGCTTTGTTATTATTATTACACCCCCTGAAGGCCAATTCACACTTCACACAAATGTGAATGCAAAGTGACATTTGACGTCATGAAATGTTCGCTGTGAAATTTGCCGGACTTGAAGTGTTTTCATCTTTTGCAAATTGAAGCTCGAATATTTGCTACGACGCCACAAATTTCTGTTCGCGTTTGCTTTCAAGCCGAGTATGAACTGGCCCTTCGCAGCCTTCACTGGAAGAGACTGGCCTAAGTTCACTGCACACCCCAAGAGTGTTGTGTTGTGGAGTCCATCACAAGTTAAAGAGCAAGTTCCGGCGAGAACCATTAGTCGACTAGTGGTTGATTTGTGAATTAACTTACGCCTGCGTACTAATAGCATCGGAAAAATGCCTCTTTAAATGATGGTCAAAAGTCCTGGCTCCCTGTTGTGCTTTATGATGCGCGCAGCTAATGGTAACCAGTGAAGCAACAGTGCCTCAGGCACTGGTTCCATATATTTGGCTAGAGTACTCCAACCATCCTTCGTTCGAGCAAAGTTAGTTGAACTATGGTTTACTATAGCTCCTGCCAAAAATGCTCCTAAATGCACTACGAGTTAATTTAGGGGTCATTTAGTCCCTTGTTATTCAAAGGAACTGTTACAGAGGATTTTCTTTGTTATTGTCAATCCCCCGTTGTCACTAAAAATGTGGATTGGACTTGTGGTTTACTTAGTACCAGGCTTGTGATGGACTTGTGATGGACTCAAATGCAACACTGCACTCCAGTAAATGTTATGCACTTTGCTGACAGGCCAAAAACTATAGTCAGGGAGCTAGGCTCAACCCCTTGCTGTTTTACAGGCAATTGACTTTACGAGCAAAATTTGCAAACATTGAAGTGTTTGGAGAGTGTAGACGTCTGTCCTTGCTTTCACGTGTGGCACCCCGAAAATTAATCCTGGAATTAAATTGTTAATGTTACATTGATACATTAAATAAAAAAACTTGGCTCATGTTTAGCGACAAGTTATTTAAGTTTCAAATCTTGATTTTAGTTTTTTCCACTCATTATTCCAGTGAAAGTATGTTTTTTTTGGTGCAATTAAGTAAGTGCTGAATTTTTGTGTTATGTGTGCACAGCTTGGTAGCGAGCTAAACAGACAGAATCTTGGCGTACCGGTGGACGTGGTCAATTTGGATAAAGACGGCGTGTGTTTGCGGTTCAGCCCCCTCCAGTCAGCATCATGTAAGTCACATGTTCGAGTCTAGTCTGGGGTTGCAGTGCGTGAAGGGGGACAACAGTCGATAGACATGTTACTTGTGTAAAACTAGAGCCTCAAGTGAATCATTCTAACTCTTTTTTAAAGTTTTCAAAGTTTTCAAGTTTTTGACACTGTTTATTGCTTTATCATTGCAGATAGAGGAACAACTGCTGACGACATCGACAATTTCATGGAGTCTCTGAAAATTCTCATTGTGAGTTAACCCTAACTCCCTAGCATGATTTACTAGGAACCATACCCATCCTGGCACATTCCAACACCATATGGGAAACTGCACACACATATTTCTGACTTTGATTCTGGAGGTGTGTCAACCCAATGTAAAAGACTGTCAGTTTAGGGGTACTGTACCCATCCAGACAGATTCCAACAAAACATGCCGTTGGGGATCAATGGGTTGAGTTCTGTTAGGGTACATGTAAGATACTTGTTGAAGTTAGCAGTTTGCTACAATGCTGTTTTGGATTCAGGGTACTTTTGAAATGCATTTTGGAAAAAATAAATTTACTGCTCAGCCCATGGGGTAAACGTCTCTAAACCTCCAAATCCTCTAAACCTGATAGGGTTCATTTTGTTTAGTATGAGTAACTCTCTTAATGTTTTTAATGTAATTTAACCGCAATTCAGCTTTTGGCTGCCATGGTTAAATAAAATGAACCATTTCAAATCAAAAATTTGAAGAATCTAACAATTTGCTGAGAGCTGATTTTTGAAGTTTGAATGTTTGAAGACAAATGAAATCCAACAAGAAGTTCCCCGTTTCAAATTTCATGCAGGAACACTTGAATTTCACCTGCGAGCATCGACTGGAGTTCCAAGAAGCAGTAGAGTCGAGAGAGAATCTTCTCTTTGTGGACATGGTCTCCCACGGTGGTCTGGGTGTTATACAGTAAGTCGTCCTTTCTTTCGAACCGTATCGCCCTTGTACTGCAGCAAGTCAGTGTTGAAATGGCTACGTATGGGCGCTGTTCACGACTATCCTCTTGTGAAAGCAAATTCTAACTCTGAGGCTAGGGTTTTCTTTGCTGTTTCCTTGACAGTGTCATGAAATTCTTTTGCATTTGGTCCAGAACAGGTCACTATGTCTCATCCATACTTTAGCCTTAGAGTTCTAAAGTTTTCTAGTGTGGTCTGAGCAATTGGGCTTTTGACAGGAAGGGAAATCTGAGTATTTGCACTAAACACAAAAAGGTTGCTGAAAATTTCAAGGTTTGTGTGTGTGCCAGGATGTGTGTCTGAACGCTACTGTAGATTGGGACTTCCCATATAACAAACAGGGTGGGGTCCACCAAAAAAAAGTTCGGTATTGCGGTAATTTATTATCCCTTACTCCCCAGGCATTTTTGCCAGGATGTAACCTCAATCCTGCAAAATCCTCCAACTACCTCCATGTAAAAATTGCATACAGCCTCAATCCTGCACAATCCTCCGTTTTTTCTTGAATATGGTTCTTGGAGGGGTGACCACTGCCCCAATCCTGCAAAATCCTCCGGCAGTGCTGTCAATATCTTGAGGCAGAGTCAGTGACATCCTGGGGCAGTGCAGAGGATTTCAAGTGTAATCTAGGCCTAAATGTATGCACGGCTGAGCATAAACAACACAAGTTCCGGCCCAAGACCTTGACACAGTGCATTCTCCGAAATCAGCCACACACTTTTTCCATGTAGCCTCAATCCTGCGAAAGCCTCCGTTTTGGTAAGAGGAATTTGGAGGATTTGGGAAGGTTAGGGTTAGAGTGATTCTCAACGGCCAATGCTTTGTATGATTAAACATAAAATTTGGGAGCCAAAAGTGTGTTACATTTGTGAGTCCGAAAAGGAATCTACTACAAAACACTGGCTAACAGCTCTGGGTCGCAATGCTGTTGCTTTGAATACAAGTCTGACACTTTGTAAGAAATGAAAATTGACTTTTTTTCTTTCCGTTTCTTCCAGATTCATCCCGGAGTACCTGAACGCCAGCAAGAACAAAGAGACCACGGCCAAGGAACTGGACAAGATCAACGCGGAGATCGTCCAGCGGCTTCAGGCCGGCGAGAACGGCAGCAGCATCTGCCAGGTGCAGACCGGCGGCGGCACCAAGGCCATCGGGGTAGGGGTGGTCACGGAGGGGGTCAGCATCGACGACGTGGTGGACTTGGTCTGGTCCACGGGCAAAGAACTGGAAGATTCATCCAAGGTGAGGGTTTATCTCTGTAAAGACATACAATTTTTTAATATTGAAGTTTTGCCATTCTCTGACATAGCTTTGTATGCACTCTGTACTCATCGCTTTGTACGGACCTATGAGAAAAAAAAAATCACAAGCCTGCTTTTTTTTTTTTATTTGGTATAGTTCCTTGACTCCATGGCAGATGTTGTGTTGAAAGGTATTGAAGATGCGCAGAGGGAGCTGGTGAAAGAAAATGAGAACAGACTCATGGAAGAGGTATGGCTATTGTTCCCTTTGTTATCTTTAAAAAAAAATTGAATGGCCTGATGTTTCTACACTAGCAGTGTCTTCCTCAAAAGGTTAAAAAAAATTGAATCACATTTCTCACAGCAGTCAAGAGAAGCCAACTAAATTTCTTTGGCTGAGTTGATCATTGTTTCTCACCGTGTTTTCCACAGGGTGTGTTTCGGCAAGTGCCCATCGTCTCGTCGCTCCTGAACTGGTTCTCCCCGCCCCCCAAGGAGGCAACCATCAAAGGAAGGTCCCTCAATCTCACATCAGGTAGGGTTCCTGGGCAAAAGTAATAATTCCATCTGGAACTAGGTTCTTGAATAGTACATTCCAAGTGATCTCCATATCTTTACCAATTTATAAATACAGACTTGTGTGAGAGTCGAGCATGTCATTGTACAGCATCCTACACAGATAAGGTGCATAGACAATATCTCTTTCACTCTTTTTTCTTTTTCTCCAGGTGCTCTGGAGAGCACAGAGACCACCTACAAGCTCCACATGCAGGTGCAGAAGGAAAGCGGCGTCACCCCGACCCGCAAGACCGCACCCCGCAAGACCCCCTCCACCCCCACCACGCCACTGACGCCCAACTCCACCCCTCAGGGGTCGCACTTTGGCGAGGGGGAACCCGAGGAAGTAGAGGGGGAGGGGGAAGAGGAAGGGGAGGGGGAGACCCAGAGACGGGTGCAGAAGCGGGATCTTGAGGAGCTGCAGCCCCAGGCGGGATTGGAAGGGACGGGGAGCAGTAGTAGTACAGCTACCACCACAAGGTGAGATGGCATAACCTCAAGACAGTAAGGGGTGTGAGAATGGGTGGGGAATAGGGTGTGGCAGGGGATTGGGTGGGGTGGGTAGAGGTCCAGCAATGGGTGCAGAAGTGGGATCTAGGGGAATAGCAGCCCCAAGTGGGAATGGAAGGGACAGGGAGTAGTTGTAGAGCTACTATTTCAAAGTGAGAAGTAGTGACTCCAGACTGTATGGTTGAGGGAAAGGCTGAGGTTTTGGGCTTGAGTTGGGAGGGGATGGGGGCCCAATAATGGGTGCAGAGAGGGAACTGGAGTGGCTGTAACCCCAGTTGGATTCAGAGACGGGTGCAGAAGCGGGATCTAGTAGTACAGCTACTACCACAAGGTTAGTTGGGGGGGGGGGGGGGTTAAAGGTACACGTGTCCCACTCACTGAATATGCACACAAAAGCGGCAAACGTGCACTTGTGTTGGAGTAGAACATACCCAAGGTTTTACGGTAGTTAGATCAACGTGCCCTTTTTTTTCGAGTCCACTCCAAAGTTTTGGTACATCAACCTTTTTTTTTCAAAACTGTTAGTCTGGTTTTGTTCTGTCATCTTTGTGTTAAAAGAATTTCTTTATTTTGTTCTCCCCTTTTTATTTCTCAAAATCTCTCTCTCTTTTCCTGTCTCTTTTTCGCTTTTCAATTTCCCACCGCCTTGCTGTGTTTCTTGATCTCTTGTCTTCCCTTTCCCTTGTCCGTTTGTTTCTGTGTGGCTGTTGCCTGTCTGCGCATGTATTCCGTACCTGCAAATTATTTCTTTCTTTTGTGTACTTTGTTTCTGTCTGTCATGTCCGTCTTTCTCTCCTCTTTGTCTCATGTTGTCCACAGTAACAGTAGTTTCCAAGAGGTCACTCAGGCAGACGTCAGTGAATCGATCGTGGAGAACGAAGACGAGGAGAACCTGAAATAGAAAGCAAAAAAAAATCCCTACCAGGAATTTTTCCAAGCACTGTGAATATCTAATATCAGTTGAAGTACAATCATAATAGGTACACACAGAAATTATTTTCATACTTCAGAGTCATGTTTTGCCTCGATTCTCTTAATTTTAGTACGAAACATATGTCTTAAATTTTGTTTCAAAGATGTAGAAAAGTTGTCTGTCATTCTACTTTAGCAATGAAGGTTGCTGTTTTTTTTGTTTTGTTTTTATTCTGGATGTACTTGTTATTACAGTGCATTAGCATCTTAAGTATTGTAAATGTTAAAGAGTTTATTTTCAATTATCATTCGTTTACTTGTAAGATATTTCTTTTAAAGTATTAGGCAAAGTTTCATGGCACTGCTAAGCAAGTTTACTTAGCCGATTATTGGCTATTTTACTGAGAACCGGTGAGGAGCTGTGTATTTCACAGTAGTTTAGCTGGTTCCCCGTGTTTTTTTGGTAAGCAAAAGATTTACTTACTATAAAGCAGGGCCCAATTTCATGACACAACTTAATGTCGGTGAAAAATCTCCGCTTACTGTAGCTGAGAATTCTGTGCTTATGGTAAGCATATTTCACGGGTTAGCAAGGACGTTAGGCTTGTGAGCATGCATTTATCAGTAACTAAGGATTCTGTGCTTACAGGGTTAGCACAGAATTTCTATGCTAGCGCGGTTAGCACAAAATGGTGATCGTAAGCGCGGAATTCTATGGTGAGCAGAGCCATGAAATTGAGCCCTGCTTTGTTAAATGAGATTCATGTTTTAAATTTTGTTTGGGAGTACTTACTACAAAAATAGCAGAGAGAAGTTATGTTTCCTCACACAGAAGTCTCAAAGTTCAGGACCAACTGTAACATTCCTCAACTTCAAACAGAGAAGTTAAATGAAATTGGATATGTTCAACTGTGGAATTACTAGCACTTGGCTTTCGTTTAACGACCTGGTCCTATAATATACAATTTAAAATTTTTAAAATTAGTTAAGCATTCTGAAAAAGAAGATATTGAAATGAAGATGTGACAAAAATATGGAAGTCTGACAACGTTGTTTTCAATTTTGGTGAGTTCACAAGGGAGTTATTATTTTTTAGAGATGGCACTGTCAGACAGTGGAATATAAAATACAATCATGATTAATTTTTGTTGTTTTGATTTTTTTTTTTTCCAGAATTGATAGATAATTGAATATTAAAACTCATCTTGTACAAAGCCTTTTCGTTCCTTTGTTTGTAGCAATGTACATGAGCTCTTTTTTGTAGAGGTGAAAAACAAGTTACATTGAAATTCATTCAGATAAATTATTTATTCTGTTATTTCTGTAAGCTAAAACGTAAAGTTTGGGTCAAAGGACATTACGCAGTAGAACCTTGAGAGATTGGTTAAATCAGTTGGTGAAGGGTTCTTCTGTGGAAAATGATTGTTTTCAAACGAAGAAAAACATTCAATACGACTTTCTGTTTTATATTGTCTATAAATGAAGAAAATCGCAGGTTAAATAGTCTCACTTGTTCAACAAGACAAAAACATGCTGTAAATTTGTGCAATTGGGCTGTACCTTCAATTTCATTCCAATTTGTTTGTTTCACATCGGTTCAACAGTGAACATTTTCTCAGCCGAAAGCTTTTCTTTTATTTTATATGGCTTTTAGTTGCATGTAAGCTTTCATTCCAGTGTAGAAATGTGTCCATAATGATCTGTGGTAATATTGCCACAAACACGACTTGATTTGGTGTTTTATTTGACAATGTGTAGAGAGATACTGCTTACAAAAAAAAATTCTATAAATTTCACAAAAGTATGCTGCATGTACCGTATAACTGACTCCCGGTACTTGTACATCATTATATAATTAATTACAATATGTAATCCTACAATGAAGAATTAAAATGGGATAAGAAATTTATTTATAACTATATATCTTGAGCCCGAGTCTCTTATTGTGCAAGGTGTCAGAAACATACATTTATTGATTTTCATGTAAAAGAGTTCACTGAAATTTCATTGGAATATTTTCATAATTTTTAATCGGTTTAATATGAATCTGAAGTGATAATAAGGGAATAACAGTGTGAGGAGCCGGTCTTCACTGCGTGATAATGACCGGGTGTGGGGGTGACCGCTGTTAATGGACCGAGACGAAGTCGAGGTCCATTAACAGCGGTCACCCCCACACCCGGGCATTATCACGCAGTGAAGACCGGATCCTCACACTGTTATTCCCATTAATAAATACCTTTATAACGAAATAAACAGTTAAAATGCTCCAATTTTGTGACTTTTTTTCCGGCGATATTTCCAAACTTTTTTGTGTTCATGTTCATGGGCCATATTTTAGCTTAACAGCTATAACGACGTAAACTCAACAGAAACTGCTGCCGTAGCGAAACAAATTACAACAATGTTTTCATATCTTTACCTGATGGAGGAAGCTGAAATCTCGTTTACACATTCCTTGTGTCCGGAATTACAAAGATGCTTGGTTTAGGAAAGGTAAATATGTCGGTGGGTGAAGTGTTTCAAAGAAAATAAATCGTAGATCTACGCTTTCGTCGTAAACATCCTCAGTATATACTGCACTGCTGTACGATGTCGTTTCAAAACTTCCTTACGCGCGCGCACGCACGCATCCCTAGCAACTGTGTTGCGTACGCGCGCGTCAGTCTTACGCGATGGGGGTTGAGCGCATGTGCAGTGCTCAATTGTTAAAAGCTACCGCAGGACTGTTACTATATTTTGACCAATCATTGGCTTGCATGGGGCTGAACGGGGCTTGATCAATGCTGGTTCAGGGGCCATTTATTCGCTTGTTCTTTGAAGCCGGTCCATTATCACCGTTAATGACCGGCCACGTGATCGAGTCTCGACCAATCAGAAACCATCAACTCTCCAAGGTATTTATTAATTGTTAATAAGGGAATAAATATGTGCTTGGCCGGTTTGAAAGACGTACATTTAAAGTCGGCTAGGGCGTTTGGCTTGGGCAATTATCAGCATCCTGGCCCCTAGCTGGTTTTAAACGTACTTGATTAACCCCTTAAGGACGGGGTGTAATGGGGACATTCCTCCACACATAGAGCAAGTGGCCCGCATGACTGCACAGCCTTTGTGTGGTAGCGGGACAGCACAAAAGCAGCAGCTGTGGAACTACCCACTAGCTGTGTGCCACGGCATACCACAGCTGGCAACTGCATTCCAATGAGGATTAGCGGCCGCGGCCATGACCGCTTCCGGTACGCATGGGGTTAATACCGGCAAAGCACATATTTATTCCTATTCATAAATACCTTTCGGTCAAAAAGTCAAAACACGTCAAAACTTGTAAATTTGCAACGATTCTGTTCAACAGTTCTGCTTCGTGCCTTGTGAAACGTATCTCTAGCCATGTTTATGGTATATGCCTCATGTGAGTAGTGCTAAAAGTCTCCTTATATGGCGATTGGCACAGTGCCAGTAAAGTGTTTAAAACCACCCACGTGGCAGGATCTCAGCAAATAGGAATGGGTACCGTCTTAGGTATTGACGAATAAAAGTTTGAGGAAAAAATTGCCGGGGGTTACGCTTGGTTTTGCAAGGGAAAAAGAATGGCCAAAATGCAGTTTATTACATTAAAAAAAAGACTATTATAAAATTCAATATTTTAACACCTCCCCCCCCCAAAAAAAATTAAACAAGGTCTCAAGCCTGCATATTGAATGCAATGTTGAGCACTGCTAGGGGATCAAAAAACCTTAAAATGTATTTTTGGCCAGAAATGTATTTTTTCCTACATCACACGAAATCAACACAAACACACAAAATACAAGACAAGGACACACAATGTTTCTTTGTTTCACTTCAAGTTTATTTGTTTCTTCCAGTAAAGTACATCAAGTACTTGACAAGAGCTTCGAGCCCAACAGGAGAACGTGGCCAAATTCCTGAGGCCTTAAAGCCTAAACAACCCTCCCCAAATGCAATAAAACCAGGTCTTAAAAGTAAGTAAACAGTCTGAGTCAGGTTTCTTAAGGAAATCCTCGTAAGTAATTTCACAATGTTGTTTCTACTTTGTCTTTCGTTATTTTTTTAAGAGCGACTCTAAGTACCAGTGTTGAATGAGGGCTGCTGGGTGATTCCATAAATTTAGGGTCCAATTTTGGTGTCCGAGTTACATCTGACTTGGGTAAGATTTTGTAATCTAGGACACATGTCTCTGATTCTAAGAGTGATTATGTAAAGCAAACTACCTGGTAAACAAATGAAAAAATTTAGTGTGAAGTCATTTTTATTGACACTTGAATGGCAAATTAACAGGTCCGGTGTAACAGGGACACCAAAAATGTCACACTTTTGGACCCCTTATTTATGGACATACCCTGCTGTAAACAAACGCCCTCATCTTTTGCTCCTGAATTTTGTGAATTTTTTTAAGAGTAAATGGGAATTGATGCATTGACAAGGAAAGGGGAAGGTGTTTTTGCTGCTCGATTGTTTCGGCTTAGACGTTCCAATCCTGGGTGGCGGAACCACCCCATTCACCGGTGGCAGGTGCTTGGGGAGCAGGAGCGGCAGACCAGTCCTTGGTGGCGTTGGGGTCCGGTGTAGCCCAGTCGTCGGTTGTTGGGTAGGTAGACTGCATGGCCACGCCGGGCACGGTCATAGACTCAGCTGCCCACTGTTGAGAAAAGAAAGGATTTCAGGGATTAACCATAACTCCCTAGGCCTTTTTGCTAGGATGTAGCCTCAATCCTGCCAAATCCTCCAATTGGCCGCATGGAAAAATGGCACATAGCCTCAATCCTGCAAATTCCTCCCTAGGCCTTTTTGCTAGGATGTAGCCTCAATCCTGCAAAATCCTCCAATTGGCCTCGTGGAAAAATAGCATATTGCCTCAATCCTGCAAATTCCTCCATTATTTCTTGAATATGATCCGTGGGGGGGGGGGGGGGGATCACTGCCTGAATCCTGCAAAATCCTGCGGCAGTGACTCAATATGTTGAGGCTTGGTCAGTGACATCCTGGAGCAGTACGGAGTATTTCAAGCATAATTCAGGCCTATATTTAATGCATGGCTGAGCAAAAACAACACGAGGTCCGGCCCAAGACCTTGACACAGTGCATCCTTCAAAATCAGTAACGCACTTTTGCCGTGTAAACTTCAATCCTCCAAATTCCTCCACTTTGGCAAAGAGGATTTTGAAGGATTCAGGGTGGTTAGGGTTTAACGTATCCTTTCATGGCCAGCTGGCTGTCATATTGGAAATGTGCAGTAAAGGTGTATGTTTATGCTGCACCGTAGGACGGATTGCATTAGACATTTAGGCCCAATTGCATATAACGCTTTATGACAAGAAAGTGTCGGTTGATTTTGGAGGATGCATTGGGTCGAGTTCGTAGGCTGTACCCAGCATTGTTGATGTTCAGCCATGCATAATTGAGCCCTGCATTATGCTCGATATCATCCGCACTGCTTCTGAATGTCATCGGCACTGCCTCAACCCATTAAGACAGTGATTGTTGGAGGATTTTAAAGGATTGAGGCAGTGGTCACCCCTCCACTGAACAAATTCAAGAAATAACTGATGATTTTGGAGGATTGAGGCTGAATCCTATTTTTACATGGTAGTAATTGGAGGATGCTGCAGGATTGAGGATGGTTCCTAACCAAAAGGGCCTAGGGGGTTAGGATAAAATGGCATACATGAAAAGTAAAAACAACAAGGCAATCAGCTGATCCAAGTGAAGGATGAATGGCAGCTACTTACATCAGTAACCTTGACGCCAGCAGGCTGGTCTTGAGGCACGGCGGCCGTTATAGCAGGGACCTCACCCGGTCCTCCCCACTGCTCCTGGTAGGCTGGCTGGGGCTCCTCCTTGGCTTGGGCCTTCTCACGAGCTTCCTGCTCTTCCTTCTCAGCCTTAAGAGAAAAGAGAAACAACAGATATGAAACTGGCATTAGCCAAAAAAATCTGAAATTTCGCCTAACCAAAATCGGTGTTGGAAATGACTGTGTGCCCGACCGCAGTCCCTTCATATATAATTTAACCGATAACGATGTCCACAAGAACGATGTAAAATCTAAAATTAAAAACAACCTCCCTGGTAAATGCAGTTTTCTAATGTACATCGAGAAATAGTCCCCGTTGTTATCTTTTTCCTCCAACCATTGCCACTGGAATTAATCTTTAACGCCCGTTTCTATTTTGGAGAGATTATCCTCGCGTTTGACCATCAGTAACATTTTTGTAGCGGCTATAGCATCGTATGTGTGCATGCACGCACCATGCGCGATGTTTGTGTACCGTGTGCCACAGTGATTTTTCCGTGTCATAGGTGAATGTTTAACCTGTTCTCCAGCCGGAAAAGGATCAGATCAGTGTTGGCCAAGGTGTTTCTTCCGTAGAAACACTCACTTTGCAACTGGTGAAAGAGATTCAAACTACGCTCGCGATTATTTTAATCGCCTTTTTTTCGCTTTTTTTTCCTCGAAATTACAGTTTAAAAAAAAATCACATTTTGTGGAAAAACTTTGTGGGACACATTGAAAGAAAACCGGAAGTTTCGTTGGAAAAGTCCAAAAGTCGGTTTTCTGATTAAAAATCGGAAAAGTTTCATCTCTGAAACAAAATTCAACTTTCATAATCCTCCAATAAAAGCTTCCACTGCATAGAAAACCAATGGCACATTGGCCGCATTTGAATTACTTGGCTATGCCTGGGATTCCCAGCAATTGACCTATCGCGGTAGAATCGCGTTAGAATCGCATCAACGCAGCTTGTGAAATATTGTCCAATTACCTAATATACAAATGGACGCGCAACGCGCAAAATCTGAGTAAGTGTACAAAAACTCCATAGGGTTGTCTAAGGGGCGTGGCTAACTCGCAAACAGCCGATAGGTCTATTACATACATGCCTATGGGGAATGGATCCAGACTCTTTCATTTGACATGCGTGATTTCTGGACATGTGACACATGTGTAATTTCATGGGGCATCAGCTCCCATATGTAGTAATGGTGGCTGAGCTCTACTGGTTTAGGATTAAAGGAGACAATATTATGTCAGATTTTTTTTTTTTAAATTAAGAGAAGGGGGATCCAAAATGCCAGGAGTGTCTCTCATAGCTGTGGAAAACTTGGAGCATTCTCCTGGAAATATTCGAATTGCATGGGAATATCGGGTATTACGATTCTTCTTTAGTGTTTGCCTATACACGAACACGCAAATTCAAAGACAAAAGAGATAATCCCGTACTTATGAAAAACTTCAACAGTGTATAAAAAATGTTTGGTTGTGGTACCCCGGCCCGCTGCTATATCAGATTTGAACCAGCCAGCCGACACCGGCAAGCTCGGTGGTAAAACGTCTGCACTAGTAAGCAGGAGGTCGTAGGTTCCATTCCCGCCCAAGCAGTTTGTGAATCTTTTCGCACAATCACTCGGGACAACACCGAGTATACAGTGTTTAGAAAATATGTCGGTGAAGGGCAAAGACCAATACTGAGTGTATAAATGGTCAGTTTTCCCTGGTTACCTACCTCCTCTGGATCCCTGTAGAAGTACAGATCCACCATGATGTCCCATGGGATGTCACGGCTGATGGTACCCCGCAAACGCAGGACCTCGCGGGCCAGCAGGTACCACATCAGACCAATGGACTGGGCACCCTGTACAGAGAAAACGGAGAAAAGACTCAGACTCTGCCTTCTGCAAATACTCAGGACATCTTTCAGTCTACTGAATGCGTAAAACAATTTTGCTTTGACAAGCCAAAATGCTACTTGATGTATCAATACTGTTAAGTGACATTCTGCCGATATGTATGGAGATATTAAGTTTACCGATGAAGCAATTTTTTTCTCCTCAAAAATTCTGCGAAATTTCAGCTCTGTTTCCAATTTCATGGAACTGCCTAGGCAGAGACTCTGTCCATATCACAGGAACTGTAAGCTGTACGCATACTAAAAAAGACCATGGTAAACTCAGAGAAAGAATTTGCTGAAAATCGTTATACGATATTTGAAATCTCCCTCCATTTAGAACCTTTGGTACATCCACGCCATAAAACACATGAAATATTAGCAACCATGTCTCTGAAATAGTGAGCTCATTTTTTTCCCCGCCTACTGTTCAGCAATGCAATGAAAATTGGACCCTTGTGCCAATTTGATGAAGTTGCGAAGAACAAAAATCTGCTAAGCACGAAAAAATATTTGCTTAGCAAAAACAGGTTATCACACAATGTACATTGCTTTTGACTGGTTCTCAACCAATTTTTGCTTAGCATTTTAATTTGCTAAGCAGAGTAATTTGCAGGATTTGCAGACAGAACTGGGCAGCTTACGGCAGCAGAAAATACCGTGCTTACGGTAAACATACTTCATGGGTTGGCAAGGAATTTTGGCTTATGGGTATGCCTACATCCCGTAACTAAGTTTTCTGTGCTTACAGGGTTAGCCAGAGTTTTGTTTTGCTGGTGCTGTTACCACAAATGGTGATCGTAAGCACGAAATGCTGTAGTTAGCAGAGCCATGATATTGGGCCCAGGTCTAGTCCCCCGACCTCCCCATACCTTGTTGTTGCATGGGATGGCGATGTCGATGAACCGCAGCGGGGAGTCCGTGTTGCACAGGGCGATGACGGGGATGTTGACGTAAGACGCCTCCATGACCGGCTGGTGGTCCGTCCTGGGGTCGGTCACCACCAGCAGGCGGGGCTCACGGAACGCCGCCTGGATCTGATTGGTGAAAGTACCCGGGGTGAAGCGGCCGGCGATGGGCGTGGCTCCGGTGTGGCTGGAGAACTTCAGGATGGCACGCTGTAAATGAAGGAAAGGGTGGGGCGAACAAGAAACAGGGGGACTGTGAGTAAATTACCAAGTAGTTGCCTCAGAGAGGCCACTTTTCAACCGCGCAATCAACTTCCAGCAAAGAGGCTGAAAATTAAGGTAAAACATCCAAGATTAATTGACTCTTGGTGACTGTTCTTGGAAGCACTCCACTAACTACTGAGCATATCTCATCATATTTAATCTGATTTACACTAAGACATTTTAGAGCGAGGGACATGCAGTGATAGGCACCAATACTCTGTGATAGGCACATACGTCATCCCGCAGCTACCCATCTGTTCTTTGATTATGTCTCGCTCCAAACATCCACAAACTCAATCATAAGCCTCCCAAATACAATAATGGATATGTACACAGAAAGTCCCAAGGGGTAAAAGTACGACAAAAGGACATCAACTTTCTGCCATGACAACAGGGGGAGTCCAGGGCAGTGGTACTTTCCTCGCCTTCCACCGCTGTGACCCGGGTTCGATTCCTGCCCGGGCCAATATGTGGATTGCGTTTCCAGTCCCTACTTGATTCTGTGGGTTTCCTCAGAATATTCTTCTGGGGTTTTCCTCCCATGTCTAAAACTGTAACTTCTTCACATTGTCTTCTCTTTACTGGGCCCCATGGGAGACCAGTGGATTCCACTGAATGGGCTACCCGGTTAAAAAATAAGAATTAAATAAACAATTTCTGCCACCAATGCAAGCTTTTCGCTATCGTCATTATGCCTAAAACTGATATACTTCAATAAGCCAGGAGCAGTTGGACACAACTGTGTACATAAGTGCGAGTATGAGAACTAAGACAGTGCTACTGACCTGTCCGTAGGGGCGGGCAGAGATGACGCAGACATCAGCTGGGTTCTCAATGGCCACGATGCAGCGAGCTGCTAGCATCAGCTTCTCCCAAGTCTTACGCACGTTGATGATGTGGCTCCCTAACGGCAGGAGGGAAGGAAGAGGGGATTAATAGGAATTGATTTCAAAATACAAATATTGAAACCTACTCCGCTTGATCAAAAAAAAGAGAGTAATTCGCTATACAGTTCACCAGTAAGGGGTTATTACCACAGAGGGGTCAAGTTTTGGAAGTGCATTTTGGCGAATAAGTTGACATCTGTTTGCAGCCACTGTCCAGGGGTGTGAAATCTCAGCTTTAAAGCCGACACCCCTGATTGTCATTTGTTTGGTACTAGGTGACCGAAGAGAGCAGTTTTCACAATTTCTTTGGTCATTCGACAAATCTAGCTGGACTTTTTTCAGTCAATGAAGATAGTACTGATATTATTCACAAACATTTGTGATTAACTGCAGGACAGTATAATGCATTTAGTTGACCATGAAGTTGAAAAGTAGCTTCTCAGAGGTACAAATTTTGTGGCACATGTTATTGTTAATCACTGCTGTAAAGGCATTATATGTTTCACAACTCACTGATTGGTGCTGCCCATGATAGTGCTGCCCATGAAATTTGGGACTCTCAATACTGTGTATGAGAGTCCCAAAACTTTAGGTATTGAAAACATGCAATACAAGACAATAGACTGGCACCTAAAACAACCAGTCCAACACTGCTTCAGTACTGCATCAACCAACCATGCCTAAAGAATTAAAGAAACAACAGGGAACTAGTCTCAATTTACTACACACTTCGCCATAGTCACCCACCAGACTAATGACACTGAATGAAGAGGTCAGTCTTTTCCAACAGTTGGACCATGGTTGGACATGTACCAGTCTAGTCTTTAGCCTCATTTTGAAATCCCTTGACTTCCCTCTCATGTGCAAAATATTGAAGGAAAGTCTCCTTTAAAAATTGAATTGAGTCTGCAAACTTGGTTGGTGAGATGCCCAATGGAATTTTTGGAGAAATTTGCTGGCTAAACTGTGAGTAAAGTTGGCCTGATTTAGTTTTGCACGTATTACCACACCCATAGTAGAACCACACCCCTGCCTTTCCTACATCCATGCCAGTGCCACACCCATGCCAGTGCCACACCATACTACTGCCACACCCATGCCACACCCGCCCCCAAGCTACCACTCCCGTGCCACTTACCGTCACCCTTGACCTTGTAGACATACTGCTGCATTTGGTAGTCCACATTGTTGCTGCCCAGGTGGGTGCTGCAGGCCAAGAACTTGGTCACGTCCTCCTCCTTCAGGGCAAGTACATCCAAACCTCCCGACATTCTGCTGTTGAATCTTTGAAATCAGTGATGGGAATCAACCTGCGGGGCACCGAGGAAAACAAAATGAAAATCTAACTTCTTGCATCTCATTCCTCTGAGATCTTACTGAACTGTATTGTTTAACCTGCGTCCCTTGATCAAAATGGACCGATCCAGATTTTGTCATAAGCCCCGCCCCCTTTGGTTTGGGGAATGCTCTACCCTTGCAGAAGAATTACGTTTATTAACCCTCCTGCTGTCTGAACAGTCACAGACTGTAAAAAAAACACCTTACTTTTCCTCTTCCCCTGCCATGCCTTTTACACAGGCTAGTCAACAACCGTAATGACATATTCATGCTTAACGAAACTGTTATCTAAAAAGGGATTCCCAAAAACTTCCTTTAATCTGATAATCTTTAAAAAAAAAAAAGAAAAAAAAAAAAAAAGATTTGAATTTTTTTTTTTAATAAACCAATATGAAAAACTATCACTAAATTCTTATGACGTATTTGAGGAATCAAATGAAAGTTTTAACCGACATGACTGCATAGGTTTGTGCACAAATTGCCTGGATTGTTTGTCATCCATACCCAAGATGCACTACCAACATGCCAATATCGATCATGACAGATGATGAGCATTTTTAAGGCATAAACAATGGATATCTACTGTAACCATATTCTCCAAAACTGGCAAAAGATAAGAATGCAGCTGCTAGAGGGCGCCCTAATTCACCTCCATATCTCAACGTGGAAAAACTAGCAATATTTCAACTTAAAAAAAATCACATCAGATACGCTTGATGACCTTTGTGGCATTCACTGATGAATCACTGAATACCCATTCACACAGAAATGTAAAATTTATTTATTAAAATGACGAAAAAATGGGAACAAATTATCGACGAAATACGGAGCAAAACTCACACGTGCAAACGCCACTGGGAGATCGTTGGAAAAGGTCGATTGCGTTTCAGGATTTCAATGGTGTACCAATACGTCAAAGCAATGGACGCCGAGTACCAGTCGAAATGGGGAGCGACTGTTTTTACCCAATAGAGGGCGCTATTTAAGGTTTATGGAGCGCTCGTCAAAATTGAGTGATGGATCGTCACGATCATGGATCATCATTTTGACCGGTAAAACAGAACTATCGAATGATTAACCATTTAGAAATAATTATGTTCAAATAATATGACATGAGCAACAGAAATGTTAAGATAATCTGTCAAATCCGAATATATAGGTAGGAAAAGTAAGAGTTGCAAACGAAATAACCCAACACAATCATATATATTCAATTTTGACATTGAATCACATTCACATTGTATTGCACATTCACCATGTTCACACATTGTCTCAAGTCAGTTTTTGTAAAGGTAGGCCTAGCTGATATATTGCCGGATCCGGCTTGCTTTTAGTAAACGATATTATGCCGGAGAGATGTTACAGAGCCCTTTTTGATGCGTAGGCGACTAGGCCTAGGCCTACATAAAGTATTAAATTACCCACTTCGATCGAGCAGGAAGTGTGACAGAATGGATGGCAAGTTGAGTGATACTGATAGTAGGGAGGTCGGCGTAACGGGGTCGATCTTCATTTGTATCTGTTTGCGTGCGAAAGTGTGTTTCAAACTGGCGCAGTTTAACCCTTTTTTGAAACTGGAACAGTTTCTCTGATGAGATGATTACAGAGAGAAATGATGGATCTTTCCAATGATATATTTTTTTTGGATGATCACCATATGCGATATAGTGAAATCTGCTGTTGAAATCGATGTTTATTTCTGGGAAGTTGTGATCGCAGTTGCCCTGGGAGCGGCCATCTTGTTTTTAGCTCGTGACATTCACTCACGTTTTGTGGCGAGATTTGCTGTGATTTCGTCGGACAAAAATAGAAATGACATCATAGTAAAGCCAAAGCAAATCTCTTTCGACTCATATCAAGAAGAGGTACGCTCGATTTTTTTTTGCCTTCCGATTTTGGAGATTTTTTCCGACGAAAAAAAGGTACAGATTGTCATGATTTTTGGGCCGAAAAATCGTTACAAATCTCACATGAGGAGTTCAAGAAAGACTTAAAAAGGGGTAGTTTCTGAAAGGGTGGAATTTCAGGAGTTTGTGTGACTAGTTTTTTTGTTATGTTTCCCATGACGCTTTTTGACGCTGGGGGGTTTTGTTGTCGGGGTGCCTTCAGCAAGGTGTTTAAAATATGGCGCACGGCGGTGTCACAATGCAATGGCTGCCTATTTCTTCCTCCATGCTTTATGCATGCATGAAGCAATAATATTTCAATGCTGTGATTACTGGGGTAAATTTTGGTGGATTGCTTTATTGGGGAAATTTACATTATACCAATATACCATTCTGCTAAAAAATTAATATATTTCAACTGTTTCTGAATATTTTCCAACTTGAACTAAATTTGCATTAAACATGTTAAAATTAGCTTATTTTTGTCTTTGCTTTTTTGCCCTAGGCTTCTAGTTCCTGAATATGTTTAGTCCAGAGTCTAACCAGACTGTTTTGAGTACAATGTATAATGAAGAACAAGATTCAATGTTTTTTTAAATTATTTTTGAATACATCTCTGCATAACATAAGGCCAAAAAAGGGGACAAAATAAATATAAAGTTAACTCCCACTGGAACCTACATATTGGAGAAATGTTGTCTGTCATCAAATACTTCCATACTTTAAAGATGTACTTTTGCTAAGTTAAAAACCCTTTTTTTGGCTGTATAATACTTTCAACACACAGTTGGGTGAATGTTAATGCAAGGTTTCCATGCATTTCTATTTTAGGTCCCTGGATTGGCCATCCTTGTTCAAATCAACCTCAAATATGACAGCTCCGAGGAAATGTACACATACCAGCTATTAAAGGACTACCATAAAGAGGACCTGAGAATACAAATTTAGGATAATATGATCTCATCTAAATGAACTTGAAAATGTTTTCCAAACCTTTCTCAAATATTTTGAGGCGATTTGGATTTTTCTTTTTAATTTTACACCCCGCACCATGCCGACAGAATAATTAGGGTGGGACATGCCCCTTTAATGGACCATAACTTCACCATACTTTAAGATATAAAATTATAATTGGTACCATTAGATTTCTTTTTGGAAGCTCTTTCCAATGATACCAAGTTTGTAATATTTGGACCAAAAAACCCCAAAAGTGCCGACCACCCTACTGATAGCGAGAGATCTCAGGTTCGAAATCCCTGTCACGCTCTATCGAATGATCGACTTTTTTGTTTGTTTGTAGTTTGTATAATTGCAAAAAATGAGAATATTCTTCTTTTATTAATAATTCTAAATTGACTCCTAAATTTATTTGTAGGGGGGCTAGAGCATTTTCTTTTTCTGATTCCTTCGTTTGGAGGATTTTGTTTTATTAATTGAAATAAAGTCCGAAGTTGTAAATGGTCTGATTCCAATCTCGTGGATATGAAGTCACAACGACAGTGTTGGCGTGTGTCACTGTAAAAACTTTAAGGTCCAAAAAGAAATGTGACTGCGCATGTTCAGTGCCGCTCCGGCTTTATATTGTTTACTAAAAGAAAGCTGGATCTGGCTAAATATCCACTGCCATTATTAAAATCATAAGCTGTGTCAAAAGCGTGCTTTTGTCACTGTTCATTCCCTTCTAATCTACCTCTGATCTTACTTGTCATCCACTTGAGACGACTAGTAGGCCCTAGGCCCTAATAAGGTTTTGGCTAACCCGTGATTCTCTCTTTTATTTTATCCTAAACTTTGATGCAGGATTGAGCAGTTTATCACGGATGTGACCCTGTGCGTTGAAACCAGCAGAGATCTCTGTGAGAGAATCTGTCAAGACTTCCGCCCTCTCCTCAACCGGCCCTGGCCTCCCAAAGCCAAGCCCGCCAAGTCTGGCGGCCCTCTAGCAGGAGATGGTGATGCTGGTAACCATGGCGACGCCGCATCGCTGGAAGAGGCAGAGACCCTGGCTGAGGTGGAGAAGGCCTTGGTTAAGGCTCAGAGGGCTAGGCAACTCCAGAAGAGGGTCAGTCTTGGCATTCAGTGCAAGTTCTGTCTTTGCAAAATTTGTTAATATTGCCTATCAGATGTGACCTGACTTGTGATTGACTTGTGATTTGACTTGTAACTGACTAACTATATCTTGGCCATTTTTTGTTTTCGGTGTGCAGCTCAACCCACTGGAGGAGCTATGTCAAGAGCAAGGAACAGAGGCAACAGCTGCCGATCAAACGACTGGGGGAAATGCTCCATCCGAGCCCACCAGCCAAGTCATCGATGGACAGGACTTTGCCGTCATTTCCCATTCGTCCTTAAAGAAGCTGTTTGCCGACGTGAAACCACGGAATTCGGAGAAGTCTGGTGCAAACTCCGCTCCCAAGCCGAGGCCTGGAACAGCCCAGGCCAGAGCGGCATACAGCGCCAAGGTTCCCCGGCCGAAACCTTTGGCCAAATCCCACTTCAAAACCACTTCCTCGGAAATCGGCAGAAATGTCACTGCCAAGCCTGTGGCTAACTCTGCGGGCAACAAGGCAATGAAGCCAAAAATTGTCGGTGCCCAAAATGCTAGAGAATCTACTGCAACAAGGAATTTCAGTAAGGGAAAAGGGCCTAATACTGCTGTGAACGGAACTAAGAAACCCAACAGCGCAGGGGGCAAAAATGCATTAAATGCAGACAAAAGTACCGCAGGCAATCAAAAGAATGGAAGACCCATGTTGGATAACAAAAAGAATACATCTGCCATCAGAGAAAAACGAAACGGAGATTTCCCTGATGCCGGGAATAAAGGGAGTCAAAAGTCTGTAGGAGTGCCAAAACAGCCTTCAGAAATGGCTGACGAACATAAACATTCGGTGAATGGAATGGCAAAAGTTGTACAGAAGACGGCAGGGTTGAGACTGAGTGAGGGATCCTCAGCTACGCCAAGTTCTTCAGAGACGGGAGATTGTGGAAAGAGTGCTCAGGCAGACGGGGCTAAACCGTTTATGCTGAAGAGGGATGGGTAAGCCAAGCAGACTAAAGTGTGACAATCAGCACTACTTTGCATTCACTCTTGATGTGAACGTTTAGGGTACCAAACACTGATAGTCGAACCATCTTTTTGATCAATGGAAGTTTGCAAGATCGATTGGTCTGAACTCTGAAGTTGGTCAAATGTTCTTTATAAAATTAGTTTTGTTCATTATGTTGTGCACTATTTCCAACATGTTGTAACTGTTCTTGATTCATGTTTTTTCTACTTTAATACCGCTCGTGTAAATTATGATGCCATGGGTATTGTTGCTCTGATTTAAGGGCCCAATACAATGTACATCCTGTATTATTGAAAATTCAACTTACTTTTGGTAAATAAACTGGCACTCTCTGCTATTTGATCCCAGTAAGCTTAACTTGGCAAATATTGAATAGTTGCTGAAACAAATTGCTAAAAAATAATAAAAAAAATTCAGTAATTAGCAGAGTGCAGCTAAAAAAATGACAATGTTGCTGCTTGTTGTAAAATGAACCCATTTGAACTCTTATTAAAGAGAAGACCGGTATTGTTAAGGTTTTTTGTGACTTACATTTTTTGCATCACAAATTTGTCTTCAGGCACACCCTCAAGTTGCCAGGCAAACTCAAGAAACTCCAGTCAGATATCTCCAAGCTCAGACAGAGACTCTCATCTAAGATGGAATCTGAAGAGCAATCACTGCCTTCTCAACACTTCCGGCTGCGATTGGAATCAAAGGTAGGAATTTAAAAGGATTTTGCAATTTTTCGGTAATTTTTAAAAGGTTTTCCTTCATTAACTCGATTTGAGAAAATAGTAACTAAATTTCCGTCATTGCTTGTACTGTTTGATGATTGTGTGAAAAATATACACAAATTTACTGTTTCTTCCTCAGTATTTTACTATTACGTTTTCTCTATTCCACCAAATTTAACAGCATCCCTAAGTTACAAGTGTCCATCTCCCCCTCCCACATTTCCCCCTTAAGCCTGTTAAATGTTGTTGCTTGTAGTTTCAGCAGTCGTCCACATCACCACTATCCAGAGATATCCAGGAGAGAATAGTGGAGCTGACGACAGAGTGCAATCACCTCATACATGTTGCTAAATCTGCCCTGAATGACTTCCCCAAGCATGGTAACTTTACTATTTATGGTAAATTCTTTACTTTTGTACCAAATGCTGGAAAAATTTAAAATATTTCAATTTTTACTGATCAAAGGGCCCACAGACATGAGACTCTGCACAAGTATTCTTTCATGGATGAAAATAGAAAACATCACCCGTGAGTGAAAATTTTGTACAAGTGGTTTCACTTGTCTATCATTTTTTTTCTTCTTTTTTTTTCTTGTTTTGTTTTGTAGGCAATGCATCATGGGACAGTCGATATAGGCTTCACGTCCTGACTAAAGCACTGAGGACAAAACTGGATGAGTTAAAAGGAGAAGTGGAAAATGTTGCTGAAGGTGTGCAAAGTATATTAGTTTTTTTATTGTATGTGCTCCGTTCAACTTCCTTTTTAAACCACTCTTCATTGATGAGCAAATTTGTGAAATACAGCACTATGGAAAGTGTGGCCCACATTTATCTCGGAAGTATCTTAATTGATTTTTTTTAATATTGGGAATTGTTGGATTTTGGTATTTTTTTATATTTTAGGAATTTTTGGATCTTTCGATTTTTTTATTGGGTATTATTATCTTGTTGTTTTTTTACCTTAAATTTTTTTGCCCTTGGGTTTTTAGGATCTTGGGAATTTTTTTTGATCTGAGGATTTTTTATGTTTTTTTTTTATCTTGGAACCTGGGATTGGGTTAGATCTTAAAATAATGTTGAAACTTTAAAGTTTTTGATTTGGGATATTTTTTGGACCTTGTTTGTTTCTTAATCTTGAGATTGTTCTTTTTGTGAAGTTGGAATTTATTTTTTGACGTGGGGATTTTTTTTTTTACTTGGGGATTTGGGTTTTTTTTGACCCAAAATTTTTTTTTTGCAAAAGTCAAAAAAAATCCCCAACTCCAAAAAAACCCCCAAATCACCAAGTAAAAAAAAAAATCCCCACGTCAAAAAATAAATCCCAACTTCACAAAAAGAACAATCTCAAGATTAAAAAAAAACAAGGTCCAAAAAATATCCCAAATCGAAAACTTTTTCTATAATTTAGGAATTTTTGGATCTTTGTATTTTTTTTTATTGGGTATTTTATTTATCTTGTTTTTTTTTACCGTACTTTTTTTGGTCTTGGTTGTTTTTTTAGTATCTTGGGAATTTTTTTGATCTGAGGATTTTTTATGTTGTTTTTTTATCTTGGGGATTTTTTTTTTTTGGAGTTGGGGATTTTTTTTGACTTTTGCATTATTTTTGGGGGGGGGCTTGGAGATTTTTGGGATCTTGATATTTGTTTTATTTGAGGATATTTCTGGATCTTAGGGATTTCGGACCTTTGTTTCCCAAATTGTCAGTGAGTGATAAAGAGTTGGATAAGAGGTTTGATTTCATTTTCTGAAGCAAAGATGTTGAAGTTGGGAAGAAAGACAATTCGATTCTTGTATTAGCTTTCATATCTCTGGGATTTTTTTAAAGTGTTTTTTAATTTTTTAAAACCAATTTCAGCTGACGCTGAGGAAGTTTCTTTCAGTCATGAGAAGCCAGGATTGCCTCATGTGAGCCAGCCTTATTCATCTGATTGCTGTACGCATGAAAATGTTTCCTATCATCCGTCCACCACGTTCTTTCTCCCTGTTCGACATAGAGATTTACAAGGTATGTTTTGTCATTCATGTGATAGTTTACTTTCTTTTGACTAAAAACGTTTCAAAGCTTATATGTTTGAAAAAACGTGTGAAAGTCATTGAAAATCATTCACGTAAAGGAAGACCCTGACAAATCGGGGGACCGCCAACACAGCTGGATAGCTCAGTTGGTAGATCACTGGTACTGCTTTCTGGAGGTCAGAGGTACAAATCCCACGAAATTTGTTTTCCTTGTTCAAACTTTTCTGAGAAGTCAGTGAAGATATGTTTCAGTTTAGGGTTGGGGGAGGGAAACCACCACATGAAAGAATTAGAGAAACCCACAAAAAAACAGTGACTGAAAAATGCGATCACGTGATGCATTCGATAGGATTCGAACCGGGGTCATAGATATGGGAGGCAGAGAAAGTCCTATCATGAGCCTCTCGCACAAGTACCCCCCTCAAGGGTTAGAAAGGGAGAGTTGGGGGAGACAGCTGGGAGAGACGTTTCAAACACATCGCTAATGAAGCCTTGCGCTCACGCGAAGATGCTGTGGCTTTGTGCTCACTCAGAATAAAAAGTCGTGCATACTTGGCTCTATACATGCATGAACCACTTCACGTGCTGTGTGTTCTGTCCACTGAGCTCTTGAAAGAGCGCCCTCACTGGTTTGCGCACGGAGCCTATACCAATCTCACCACTTTTTTTTTTTTTTACTTAATGCATTTGTACATTATTGTTGAACTAATGTTGGTAGGTTGCACGGAGTACCTGGACCCTACAGGCCAACATGACCATAGGAACTATGAGTATAGTCATCTCAGGGAACTGCAAAGGCTAGCTACGCTACAACACGATGTGCAGAGGTTAAGTCTTCAAATCCAGCTCGAAAAGGTATAGATTTCTTCGCCATTTGTAAAAAAGGTTGTAGAATGTTCTACACCATCCTGTAGGCAAATTTGAATGCCTTCTTTAAAATATTACTTGTTTTCTATGTTTTAGCTTCTAATTTTAAAATTTGTGTTGGTGTTTGTAATTTACTCTGTTCATATGTATTTTTGGAAAGAATGTTGCATCCCCATGCCATTGTCATCATATATTATCTCAATGAAGGCCAGTCATTGCGTTAATGTTGAAAAGACATGAATTTGGGACTGAGAAACATTTCCAATTTGTTAGAAAACACTTTGAAAATATTCTTGACTTTCCATAGACTTTGTACACAACCGCTGAAGTGGCATCTGGATACTACATTCTTTCCGTATTTTTTTTAGCTAATGCCGATTGTATATGGAATCCAACCTAATGGTTGCTACTAAATTTAACCTACCTACCTACTAAAACAGATGTCAGACCTTTTGTCAGCAAACTGCCTTTTTGTGTTTATACAGCTGATCGGACAGGAGATATTACCAATGATGGAGAATCTAGATTCGTCAGACAGCAGCTGTACTGCCCTGTACAGATCTCTGTATGGTCTGCTGTGTCACGGCGGACAACTCTACCCAGCAGTTGTCGCAGACAATGTCGGCAGTGCCAGCATGATGGAGACAACTTGACCAAGCCAGAACTCTAGAGGGCTTTGTAGCCTACTCGCAGGAGCCACGTTGTGACCGCGCAAATTTTATATCATAATTTCCACGCGACTTTTTTATTCAATCGAGAGTGAAGAAATATTTTGTATTCAACTATGTAAATAATATTTGACAATTTCAGACTTGCATTCCACTGTCATGCTAAACAAAATTTATCTGAAGATGTGAATTAACTACACTGAAAGTGCGACGTTTGAAACAGTAGAGATTACATTGAACAGATTACTTCCATTCATTTGTAATGACTCTGTAAGCTAGTCAACGGAATATTTTAGTACAAAGGTTCACCTGTTTTGAAACCGGAATTTGTTTGGGTCGACTTGAGTTGCTCTAATACTATTTGGCTTGGCTTGTCATTGGAACGATATTTTAAAACAGGTGTAAAACGGTGCCTCCAAAAAACTTCATGTTTGTAGTCAACTGTGTGATTGTGTTACTAAGATCATTTTGGATAACACTTGGAAAGTCGTTTTGAAGGAACAGCTTTCTGAGGAATTAGTGTTGAATCGACGCCAGGTTTTTGTCAATGAACTGTTTCTCAGATTTATGTATAATTTGTGCATAACGAGATTTTAAATGATGTTGTATTTTGTTATTAAGCAGTGCCTTATTAATTAACCAGTGTCTTTCAGCAAGTTTTCCACATTTTCAAAATAATAATTTGTATCTCTTTTGAGAGAGAGAGAAAAAAAGATGAAAATATAATTTTAAAAATTGGTAGTATAAGGCAGAAATCTGGATGATGTGAACTTTCATAACTTAATCTTAATGACAATTTGCTAGACAACTTTTTAAATTCTTCAAAATCCATAAATGTGAAGGAATCTTATGGCACATTCTTTGTATTTACTTTAGAAGAGCATCAAGCCACACACGTTATGTAATAGTTGCTGGCTGTTAAACCTTCAAAAATTAGTTTTTTAAATTCTGTAAAACTCCATGGAGGATTTAGAATGATTTAGAAGGGTCAGGCAGCATTGTCTTCATGTCAATGACACGCAAGTCACAAGTCAGGTCACGAGTTACAAAAGATAAGCAATAACAAATGAATGTCTTCGTAAATATGAACTACATTTATATTGAATAATTCTTAATTCCACTAATAAAAGGAACAACATTGCAATAAAGTACTGTGATAAATTTGACATATTTGCTCTCAGTATTTTGTGTAATGATTTGTTATCAAGTTTCACCTCGAAATTTTTTTTTTCAATTGCTATTTTCCTAGCTATATAAATGTTATTCACTATTAAATTATATGAAAAATGTTAGTTAGTTATTGAATTATGTCTTCACAAAATAATTCAGATTATTGGCTGACAATAATCCGGCTCTTGCAGAGCAGGTTCATTTGTGCACAAAATGAATGCCCCTTTTATTCAAAAAATTGGGAAAAGTGGGTGTTTTTTTTATTTAAAAAAACCACAAATTGAAAGTTGGCTAGGAGAATTTTTTCTTTGAAGAGCACCTCTTTAACTTGTGTGCTTTTACACATCATAACAATATTGGACAGCCTACTCTGTCAACAATATTTCAGAACAAGCAATCTTGCCATCAAATATTTATCAATATTTCTAGATAGTATACACGAGCCTAATTTGTTTGACCCATTTTTTTACCCATAGGTTATTACTTGTCTTTTTTTGGCAGGCTAAAAAAAAATCTTATACATGTATTGGACTTTGCTCGCCTTGCATATCAGTTCCAACTTCCGGCTGAAATTAAAGTGACACAATGCCCTCGAAACTAGGTAGTTTTTGTCACGTTTTTGGTCTCTTTTGTTTGTTTGCTTGTTATTTTTCTACTTTTGTGTAGTTTTTTGTGCAATTAAAATATATTTGTTTAAAGCTAAATCTATGTTTTATATATATATTTTTTTACCCACCAATGACTCATCGTAAGGCAAATTTCGGGTGTGCTACGTTTAGTTGAACTCTCTTTGATTTGTCCAAAATAATTATGGTGCTGTTCTGATGTTATCAGGTAGCGAGCGCCTCCTAATTTGTAAACAATCTTTCACGAGTTTCTTTGTCAAAACTTTTTGACCTCTCAGTAAAATCGGTCATGTGTGCATTTCCGCCGTAGGCCAAATGTACATATGTGTACGGATACCAGGTAAACATCGCTATTCCAATGTGTACTCAACGATTGGCTCTCCATTACAATTGATGGGGAAATATCGACGCACGTAAACCAGCGAAAAGGGGGAGGCAACATGGCGGACGATTTAGCTTACGGTGAGTCGAAACGCAGGCGTTAATTTGATCCTTCAGTTTTCCACATTTACGGGACCTATTCAGAACAATTATGTGTGCATTTGGTAAGGTTCTGGAAAGTTGTGTTTATTGAGGTTTTTTATTTTTGTGGTGTAGGTACGGTGCCGGCGTTTTACCGTGAGGTTTACGACATCGTCTGCCCGAATCCGTCGGACGGGAAAGTTGATCAAGATGTTTTCGTCAAGATACTCGTGAAGTCCAGTCTGCCGAAACAGACGTTGAGCACGGTAAGTTGAGATTCCTGGTAATTTTAGGATATGATGTTTGGGAGTTATGCTAAACTCTAAGCTAAGGTGTCATGATGTAGGTGCAAGTGATGCCAACAGGTTTTCAAGATTAAATTAAAAAAGAATTAATGTCTTTGTGAATGAGCCATAACACAATCAATGGTTGGGGGTGGGGTGAGGGGGGGGGGGGAGGAGACAACTTAAAAACACAAAATAATTATTTCCCAAAATGTATATCTTTATTGTTCTAAATCAAATCCTACTTTTTTAAATGGAAGCGAAACTAATTTTCTTTCTGATTCATGGCTCTGATGAAGGAATTTAAAGGGAAAGTCCAAAAACCATTCGGTTGACTTGATGCATGCGGGCAATATTCAACTTCTGTAAACTAGCACCAGCATTATTACTAGGCCTATAATAATAACTTCCTTTGGCTTTGCCAAAACAGAATGGCAAAATAATTTACAAATAATTTACCTAGCCCTATTTATTTCTGCATTCTTGCCATTGCATTGGCTGTTCGATAGACATGATAGAGATTGTAATCGAAAATGATCTACAACATCCAACATTAAATAAGGGGAGCTTCAGCAATAAAAAAAAGAGAAGTAAACAAGCTCTGCTAAAAACCAAAATGCACAAGATTTGTCACAATTTGATCAAACCACTCGTATACACCACCCCTTTACACATTTAGGCCACACCCACAAAATGGACGGAAAATAACAGGTGTGGAAATGCTAGAAAGTTTTATCTCATGTCTTTTTAGAAGCTTATGAATAGTTTCGTTGCGGTACCCGCTGCTACAATGTACATCATATTTGAACCAGCTAACCGATCCCACAAGCTTGGTGGTCGAGTGGTAAGACGTCTGCACTAGAAAGCAGGAGGTCGTCGATTTGAGTCCCACCCGAGTGATTTTTTTCTAACTTTCACTTGGGAGGTAAAACAACCGAGTATACAGTGTTTATACGTTGGTGAAGGGCAAAACCTACTATTGATGTCTAAGTTTATTTAAAAGCATGAAAAAAGAAGGAAAATATATAATACAATTCTTCTGAGTTTTTATTCCTTGCACCCCCTATTTTAAAATCAAGCTCCGCCCCCAAATCAGCAAGATTCAAGGTGGGTCCATTAGCTCCATCTCTTAAAATGATTGTTAGCCCATTTCGGGCTTTTACCACGATTTGGGCACAATTTGGGCGAAAATAATGGGCCTAAGCAGCTCCACTATTACCCAGGATATATGAAACATATATAAATATAATCTTTAAATCATTCTTAAGAAACTTTATCCGACTTTTTTTTCATTCTTAAGTAGCTTTTAAGGTATAAGGGGGTCAGTCTCAACAATTTAATCCAAAAGCGCGGCATGTTAATGAAACTCGAAAAATGTGACTTTTGACCTGGGTCCCCTGACCCACACCCGACCGAGAGCAACTTCAGAATGGCCATTCCAGCATTACCTCTGTGGCTGACAATGGCGTGGTTCCATCAAAACTTTTGTGTTCAAAATTAAACACCGCCTAGCTACTGGACTTTTTAAGCAAACAGGCCTTTTGAGTTTACTGCCGTCATTGACGCAATTTTACACTCTGGCTTAGTAGCTTTTATTTTAGCAAAATGGGCCAAGCGGCTTTTTAACTTTTATTTTTTTTTACGGCTGAAACTCCCCTTATTTAATTTTGGATGTTGTAGGTTATTTTGAAATACACATAATCTTCACAATTAGTCAAATTTTGCCACAGTATTGGGAGTTTGGGACTGATCATTAACAGTACACATTCCCCTGCTTGTCGGTTGTATTCAGATATGGGAAGCAGCGGACAGCAAGCAAGGGTATTTAACACGGAGCGGTTTGTACAAAGCCCTGGCTCTTGTAGCCTTGGCACAGCAAGGCAAGCCAGTCAGCGAGAAAATACTGGAGAACTATGGCAAGGAGGGTAAGTAGTACTCACTTCTACATGTTTAAACACTAACTGTTGAAATGTTTTTCACAGTATTTCTTCCATTTCTACATGGAGATAAGTAAAACTCTCTTATCCTTGTTACGCAAACATAACACTGGAGTTTGCAGAGTTATAAAACCCTCCTAATGTTTGATCAGTCACAGACAGTCAAAACATTTCTTCCACTCCCCCTGCCGTGCATTCTTAAACAGTATAATAAAAAAAACTAGTCAGATGACGTTCGTGTAAACACTGTGACTAGTCAAATTCCATCAACAGACAAAAGAGGTAACTAGTAGGTAAAGCTGGCATATCAACCACCTCTGGTCAAAGCATGGCTATAACAAGGGAATGTTATAACTAAATAACATGGGAATTCTTAACTGTAAAAACAGACACTTGATTGATTTTGACTGTAGTGATGGCGTAGCTGAATTTGCCAGCCAGGGAGGGATTTAAATTAATAGATTAACACTCCTACCCATAGAACTGTCGCAGACCTTCAAAAAATCTACCACTTCCTCTTTCACAGCTTTTGTACAGGCTGGTCACCAACTGCCGGAATCCCCATGGATTAATAAACCACATAACTGTCAAAACCTGTTGTAGGGGTTTGATAGATAGGGTGACCTTGAATACTGCTGCAATTAGCTTGCGGCCCATCTCGGAGGACAATGTGTTTGTTTTGCTGGGATATGCATGAGTGAACCCTTTTGTGCCTTCATTGTTACTGAACTAAATCCATCATTGACAGGCACTCACCAACTCTGACCCACCATACCTACCAATGTCAGTCAAGGCATGGTACCCTCAGTTACCAAAACTACCACAGCCTGTCAATTGTACCAATATGAGCCCAACATACAGAACTTTTGAAACCTGTCACCTGGTAGATTTTGATGGATAGGGTATCTCTCTATATTGTCACTGAGAACGGTAGAGCTTAACTTGTATAAAGCTCAGTAATGTCTACAAAAGTATGGAGAATATGACAATGGTTTACTGCACAGCATTTGCATATTGTCAGGGGTAAATAGATATACACTATACATAAATGTAAATTCTCTACAACGTAACACTTATATTACAGGACTTGATGTTCCTGAAGCAATGGACTCTGGAGTCCGCAAGTAAGAGACCTAAACTCTCTAAAAGCTGGAGACAAATCTAAAATTTCAAAACTCCTAAAAATAAAATTTAAATTTCTACACTGCCTACATATGGAAATAGAATGATACTTTTCCTCCTCCCCCCCCCCCCCCCATCAGAGCTACCCAAACCTCACCTGGGCGACCTGGGCGATCTGAGGACCCTGAGTGCCCAGGTGCGCCGGGAGAAGAACCCCAACGTCTTGAGCTACACCTACAAGGACCTGGTGGCCCTGGACTCCATCACCATCGACCTGGTGCCGGAGAAGAAAGGCTTGTTGCTTAAACACGTCGAGTATGAAATCAAAAGTGAGGTAAGCCTAGTCACCAATTTCCTGATAAAGACCCCTCACCAGTTACCACCGCCTTGAAAATTTAACAGAAAGTTTTGGCATGTTTGGTGGATATTGTAGGATTGAGGAAAATCCGCTTTGTGGGCAGACTGGCTCTCCGAAACCAGAAAAAAGCAGTGACTAAAAAAAACCTTTAGTCAACAAAGTGCTGCAAATTTTACCTCAAGATGTGATTAATAAATCACATCTTGAGGTAAAATTTGCAGCACTTTAAAATTCACTGGGAAGTTTTGGCACTGGGAAGTTTTGATGGATATTGTAGGATTGAGGAAAACAGAGTCAGGGTTGACCAATTGATTTTGGAGGATGCATTGTGTCAAGGTCGTAGGCTGTACCCTGCATTGTTTATGTAAAACCATGCATAATTGAGGCCCACGTTATATAGGATTGCTACCATCCGCACTGCTTCTCGATATGGAACTGCCACAACGTATTGACTGATTGTTGTAGGATTTTGAAGGATTGAGGCCGTGGTCGCCCCTCCACTGAACAAATTCAAGAAATAACCCACGATTTTTGGAGGATTGAGGCGCAGTCCAAATTTAAAAGGGTGATGATTTGGAAGGATTGATGATTTGGAAGGATTGAAGATGACTCCTAGCCAAAAGGACCTAGAGGGTTAGGGTTTAGATAGGGTACAGGACTTGTAAGGATTCAGGAAGTTTCTAACAAAAATGCTTGGGGATTTATGGTTTGCCCATTTTTATACACAATTCCTTTCCCTTGGACTGCAAAGTTTTTCCTTTTTTTTGTTGAAAATATTTTGCTTCTAGGTGTATAATATATACATTGTACTTTTGTGGTTCTTTGCAGTGTTTCACGTCTGCAGTGATGCGACGGTACAGCGACTTTGACTCCTTGTACGATATGCTCATATCCCGTTATCCCTACAGAATGGTGCCTAGACTACCCCCCAAGAAAATGATTGGAGGTAATGTCATTTGCCATTAAAAACGAATTGATATGTTCTGAATTACTATAACATTTTTAAGCTTATTCAAAACATACCAACAGTCAGACAAGTTTACATAGCTTTTTATTTGGTATCACACACTTCTCAATTTAATTTTGCTGTAGAAATACAAATCTCACCATATTTCAAAGTATTCCATATCACAACTCTTCACTTTTAACTGAATTTATGTGATTTTATGCATTTATTTAATAATTTGTATATGTATTATGAACTTATTAGATAAAACATGATAAATAATTCTAAATGTCTTAAACCAAATCCAAAACCAACTTTTGCTGCATTGTAGGTGGATTTGGGAATGCATAATCCAGTAAAATTTGTCCAGTCCAAATTTTGACAATTTTGGACTATGAAACAAAAAAAATAACATTCAAGCAGTTCAGTGCATTTTCCCATGCAATCAAATATTTGCGTCAATTTCACTCTCTGTATATGCGGACCCAAGAGAATTATTATAAGCATGCGCATTCCTAAAATGTTTGCTCCAACTTCGAATTGAATTGCGCATTCTAGGATCTCGATTTCCAAAGAAAGTTGCTGAATCATGTTTTGAATTGGGCCTGAATTCAGCGTCCGAGACACGTTCTGACTGAGTCAATTGCAGCTACGCGATGTCGCGCACCGATCCGCAGAATGATAGCAACCGTGCGCGTGTGTGCGTCGTGTCAACGCTTGCGCGTGCTTCGCCGAATAAAAAAAAAACACCAACTACTAACGGAAATTTCCAACGGTGCGTCTAAAGGCCTTCTTTCATTGATTTCTTCAGAATGACAGCGTGCCAGAAAGAATAATTTCACAGGGAGTTTAGTCCCTTTACTATCTTTCAACCAAGTTTGTTTTTCAACAATAATTACATCAGTTACTTTTTGGGTAGCTGCAAATGATGGACTATAGCTTTAATTGAGTTGGGCACCACAGTGCCATGGCGTTTAGAACAGGCCCATTACCATATCTGATACTTCACAAAGTACATTCACTTGCAGTAGACCCATCTTGCATAATGCAATGTAAACGTATATTCAACTCTCATACATGTATGTAATGCTCACCTGACTCAATGTGGAGTACCCTGAAACATGTAAATCGATGAGTAAATTTCCCTTATTGAAATACAGCAGATGTCATCGTAATTTATGACTGCATGGTGCATTCAGTTAATATCCATTTTTATGGTACCCTCAAAACCAATAACCATTATGCTTGGTGCAAGATGGTTCATATATCAGATTGCTGCAACAATATCTTTCTGAACCTGTGCGCGTCCGTGTAGTTATATGTTATAATTGCAAATCTGCAATTTGAAAGAGATCCACAGTATCGCATTTCTGTTGATAGATAATGAGCTGGTAAATTATTAGGGTTTTTTGTTTTAATCATTGCGTCCCTAGAGTGGAGCCTGATAACACAAATTTATTTAAATATTGATGTTATCAGCCAATGTGTTGTCACCCTGAAGTCACCGTTTGTTAGACGGTAGTCTTAGCATTGAAATAATTGGGTTTTTTTGGTTAAAAATCTAATTATAGTGGACAAGAAATGCATTTAACATTTACACATGTTTTTGAGGCAGTGATTTTTTTTGTTTTTTTGGCAGTAATTTTTCACTGATAAGTACTCTTAATAAATCTAAACACATTTTGGTTGTTATTCCTTTTTTTTCACCTCTTGATCCTCTTAATTTGTGCAAAACTTCAGACAGCCCCTCAACAGATTCTCTGTGAGTGTCAGGGGCAGATCTACCTTTCAGGAAACGGGAGGGGGTGGGTTTGATATGAAGGTGGGAGTTGAGTGAAGGCGGCACGCCTTGCTACATGTAGTGGGGTCCAGGGGCTTTCGAAATCTATGATGCTTCTCCTGCATCCTAAGGCAATTTGAGAATAAACTTAGGAAATTTAGCGTTCCATTGATTATTTACTAGTTTCATAACATTAGTCAGTGGCTGAATGGGTGGGGGGTGGGGGGGGGACACCCCCTCTATATCCACTACCGAGTGACATTGAAACACTAGGCCTCACAGCGATACCTATCAATTCTATAAAAACCTACATTTCAACTTCGGAGCCTATTTTTAAATTTTTTTTAAAAACAATCTACGTGTATATAACCTATAAAAACTGACAACACAATTCTCTGTAATTCTGCTACCTCACTCTGAAAATTGCACCCTAAAAACATATAAATGCTTTTTGGCACTTGGAAAACATTTAAAAACCTACATTGTGCTTTTCAAAACCTATTAAATAAAGAAACAAGATACTGATGAAGAGGGGCACTGTGAGACCCAGAATACTCTACAAGGAATGATATTATTGTTGCATGATTGCAGGCTGGTGTCGGGTCATGTGGGGCAAATATCTGTGTGCATTGAAGCATGGTGGAAGGCAGACTAGCTTGCCCACTGTGTATTAGACAATACAAATCTGAGTTTGCAAAGGTCATCTGGAATTCCATGGCAGTGTCACACACTCATCTATATAAACACAATCTGGATAATCCATAGGCTGTTAGAAGTGAAGTCAGAAGTGATCTAATACACCGTGCCCTCTAGAGACATGCACACAGTAGGGAACAAAAGATTGTATTCGTCTCCACAGGGCAATTTCTATAGATGAATACTCCACAAGGTTTTCACGAAATAGATATATGGATTTTACTCAAAAACTATGAATTTCCAAGGTGGGTTGATGTGTCGCTAATGGAAGAGTTTTAGAAAAGGGATATTTAGTCCGAATTTCAGCCAAGGAAATTAATTCTGGTTAAAATAAGAGCATTTTGAAACTACACTTTCAAACTCGAAAACGTTACTACACGACTAGAACCACAAGGATCCACAAGGATACATATTTCAGTATGGGTGGAGTCACCTTCCACCGTATTACCGCTCCCATAACAATGGAACTGTAAACAAATCTATCCTGATGTAACCACAATCTTTACCTGTATTATTAAATGTAAGTTTTAAATAGTAAAATTTAGTTTGTGACTGAACTTGTTTTTGATATTAAATTCTGTTGAGTTAAAAATTATTTAATATATTTCAAGTCCTTTAAAAATTGTATTATATATGTACGATGGAGCAGTTAGGCTAAGCACAGAATAGGTCTGCTTCTGGTTACCCTACCTACCCTACTTTGACAGCCCCTTCCCTAATTTATTTTGGGAAAAATGAGAAAAAAACCCCTTAACCCTTGACCACACGCAGACACCTACATATGATCAACACAAAACAAATTTTAAAAAAAGAAGAAATTCCCTACATACCTACCCTATTTTCAAATGCCGTGTAATCGGAAGCAGACCCTTTTTGGGGGGGGGGGGGCCCTAAATAGTGGTTTCTGTACCGTATTCCAATTGAGAGATTCGGAATCAGCGCCTTAGCTTCAAACGTGCGTGCAGCGTACAAAAACCAATAAGCAATCCAGACTTTGAAGCATGGAGATTAGTAGGGTTACATTGCATTGTGTAGCCATGTGTGTGCTATTATTATGGTGCATTCAGTTTCAGAAAAATCTACAAGGTTCTGATTGTAAGCCAAACAACGAAGGGTGAATATTTTAAATGGAACATTTGTTCTCAATCTGTGTTTCCTTCACAGCCAATCGCGAGTTCATAGAGAGTCGTCGACGGGCCCTGCTACGGTTCCTGACGCTAGTCGTCAGACATCCCGTGTTCCATAAGAGTGATGTCATCAGGTACTTCCTGACATTTCAAGGAGCAGTAAGTATACACCTTTAATTTAAAACCCTCCTTATTGTGTGATCATTCACAGACAGTCAAAAAATTGCTTTCACTTCCCCTGCCATGCATTTGTAGGCCTATACAGGCTAGTGAAAAACAGTCAGATCACACTGGTGTAAGACAAGAAACACAAGAAAGGGGGCCATTTTGCATCCGTCATATTAGCAGTTTTTCCAATGCTGTATTTTTTTTGTTACAGTACCTGAAGCAACCCAAATTTTTTTTCAAATGTGAATGGACATGTAGGCTTATAATACGTGTAATATGTGTTGCTTAATTTCTTTCTTTCTTGTTTGATTTTTAAAATCACCCTCAAATATCCATCAAAAATGGACGGACAAAGTTACCTAAGTTTTCTGTCAACGTTTTGATAGAAATTTGAGGATAATGTCAATAAGCAATATAAATGATCATCTCAAATCATTAAGTAGACTTAGAATTAGAAAAGGCTGCATGTCCATTCATGTGTTGAAATTCCTTTGTGGTGGTTTCGAGGTATTAAACGAAAAATCTCAACCATTGGAAAAACTGCTAACGTGACGGTAGATAAGTGGCCCCATTTAGTGTGTTTCTTGTCGTAAGAACTGTGACTAGTCAAATTCCATCAGGAGACAAAAAGTATTTCACATGGTGTTGATTTTTTCATTGCGACCCCCTCCCCCCCCCCCCCACCCCTGCCAAACAGGACATGCAACACAGGATCAGAGAGCAGTTTCGAGGCACCCCAGACGAGTACGTTACCAGCCCGTTGGCCCTATCGGCCAAGGAGCTTGTCCCCATGGACACTCAGACGCAGTACAGCAATGCCCGGGAGCACATCAAGCGACTGTACAACAGCATTTACCAGCTCAAGCACATCGTGGACCAGATGGCTATCAGGTCGGCAGGTGAGGAACCGTTGATGGATAAAGTATGAGGTCTGTGGAACTAAATGAGAGTCTGTGGGCTTGTTTTAGTCTTGACTTTATCCAGAAGTTAGTTTTGCAAGCCTGCCTGAACTCTGTGGACTCTACAGTCTGTCTAAAAAAAAATGGTACAATCGAAAATGATTTTTTTTTTTTCAATATTAAATCTCAACATAAGTAAGTCGTTTTGAGCATCACATTAAAGAAAAAAGACCAGGCTTTCCAATACTTTTTGTTTCATCTCAGTTGCTTTTGTCAATCCAGAGATAACTCCCGTTTACTGCAGAACACAAAAATCGAGTTTGTTTCTTTTGCCAAGTTGCAATCTTTTGTGAGCTTCAAGACAGCATGGCACAGTACTCGAAACAACTCTGCCCATGCATAAAAGTGGCACAAAATTGATTTTGGTGTATCGCACTCAATTGATTATATCTCTGAATTGACAAAAGCAAATAAGATCAAACAAACACTATTGGAAAGCCCAGTCTTTGTTCTTTAATATTGTGCCAAGTAAGAATGACTTATTTTGAAATTTCATATTTAACCAATTTTTTTTCTTCTGATTGTACCATTTTTTTTGAGACAGGCTGTACAGGGTGGTCTAAAAAAAGTTTACACTTTTTCAGAGGCAAGTTTCTCAAAATTGAAGAGACATGTTAAAATTGTTTTTAAGATATTTCTAAACTACAAGATCTTGGCCATTTCTTAATTGCGGCTTTATTTTCAGTGCCATTTTCACCATACACCACAATGATGCTGTAATTTAGGAATATCTTAAACAATTTTAACGTGTCTCCCCAATTCCACGAAATCTGTATCTGAAATAGTGTAAACGTTTTTTTTAAACCACCCTGTATGTCATTTAATTTGTCATTATTGGAAACAGTTTAAAATTGGACTTTTGGAAATTGGATTGACTTAAATTTGTGTATGAATACTCACATCACTGAGGTTTGCTGAACATCTTTCTTTCGTCCTCGTAACATTAGATACATGAGCAAATAGTTGTATTCCTTTTGTTTTAATGTTTAACTTTTGAGGCACATTATGGCACATTACATGTAATGTGCAAATGATCATTGTTACGAAGCAATATTTATAGTTGTTCAAATTATTGTCCGTATGTCAAAGAAAAAAAAACCTGTGCACTTTAAGTACACTTTAAACATTTTCAAGCACTGCACATTTTACCTCAAGATGTGATTATTATTGTTGACCAAAGACTTTTTTTAGTCACTGTTTTCTGGTTTCGGGGAGCCGGTCAGTCCACAAAGCATATCTGTTGGTGCCCAGAACAAAAGCCTTTAATCAGAGTTTTGCAGACATCCCAAAAAGGAAAAAGGATGATTTTTTCGTTTGGAATAAAACAAACAAGATGATGGAAATTTATTAATAGAAAAAACAAAATTAATTTGTTGAAGTGCATGAGGAACGCAACTTTAAGTAAAAAAAAAATTGTCTTGAAGACTTGTTTCGTGGGATCAAGTCACATTTTTCCCTGTCTTGCCCCCTCAGCCAGTGCCAGCGATATGCTGATGATGGCCAAGGAATGGAACACCCTCGGCAGCGAGAGCCACATCACCTCCACCTGGGCCATGGGAGTCAACGAATCCTGGCCCAAGATCAAGACGGGACTGAAGGCCATCTCGGTGGAGTTTGCCGCGCTGTCCGACAAGCACAACGTGCAGGTAAGGTGTGCCGTGTGGCTATAGTTATACCTTAAAGGTAGGGTAGATCATTTGTAAATTGTGCTTTTTGTTCGTTTGAAGCAACAAAAGTGCTCAAAATCTAAAGACGGGTGCTTAGACCAAAAAAAAAGAATAGTTCTGCTTCCGGTTACCCGACCGACCCTATTTTTAAGCTGCGACCCTAAAAAATTTATCGGCAATTCCACAAAAAAAAATTAAAAATTAAAAAAATTGAATAAATACAAATAAAATCCGTCTTTTCTGTCTTCACAAAATACCTCTCAACAACCCTTTTGCATCCAAAAATGCTTGTATTTATTTGTTTTCTTACTTACATTCGCTTTTTTTTCAAAAGAAACCTCCGTTATTACAAATTCGCTTCGCGATATAACTACTTCGCAATTCGATGTCACGCACGGTGACTATAATCACGTGGCGACGACTGGTTCCCGCCGCGCCGCGCAGGGGCCAATTTAGAAGACATAATGAAAATGCGGTAACCAGTCCATAGCTAGCTATGTGACCGATAGCGCTCTATCAGTACAGTGCAGGCCACTGTCAACTGGTCGGATTCGACATCGTAAAAATGCCAAGAAAACACCGATGGAGAAAGAACATTTTTGCAAGTTAATTTACAGAATTGATCTAGCTTGTCTGTGTATGTATTTTCTGTGTTCAGGAGTTCATTTTGAGATCAAACTACTCGTATTTGGAGTGATACATGCCGCGTGTTTCCCGAAATTGTTGACCGTTAAAACAGGTCTGTCGGCCCATGGTGGGCCGCTCGCCACACACGCACGCATCACACACCTTGGAGTTTTGACCAGCTCCCCGCGTCTTGACTAGCGTTGTGCATATGGTGCGAACGGCCTGAATTTTCCATTATTTTTTTAAATTATCGAACGTAAATAAATTGACAATAATTAAAGGTAGGTTTTACTCACTTTTTGTTGCCATTTCGTGTATAGCTTTCGTAGTGCAATAGAAATAGTTCAGGCTAAAACTTCGCATATAATTGAATACCCCATTCAATCTGCATAAAAAAAATTGGCCAAAAAAAAAAAATTTCCGACCGACCGACCCTATTTTTGAAAGGCATGTAATCGGAAGCAGAAGTATTTTTTGGGGGGGCCTTAACAACTAACCTGATGACGTTTTAGCTCTGTGAATGCTGTATATTCCCAGAAAACAATGTTGTAGGACCTCGATTTCAATTCAAAAGTTGCCAGGTCATGTTTTGAACTGCCCCCGAAATCAGCATCCGGGACATGTTCTCATTCAGCTGATTGCAGCTACACGATGTCACGCACTGAACTGACAAATAATAGCAATCGCGCGTGCATGTGATTCGTGTTAACGCTTGCGCACACCCATTCGCAGATGCGCTGAATTACAAACCAACCACAAACGGAAATTTGCAAAAATACGTCGCTTGACGCATCTTTGGAAATGGCCCTCTTTTATTGTTTTCTTCAAAATGACAGCATGCCAGAAAGAATAATTTCACAGGCAGTTGTGTTGCTATTCCTACCTGATTGCATGGGCTACCAGCTTTACATTAACTAAGTTATCGTGCCTATTTTGTACTTTTGTTGATGATTGTGGTGACCATTTTCTTGACATCGTCCTCTTGTATGGAATTGTACCTGACAGGGCAGGAGAGAAGAGAACAACGTCGCAGAGAGGCTGGCCTTAATACTTGACCTTCTACAAGCTTACAAGGTTAGTATTAGTAACAATATCATTGGGGGGGGGGGGAAGTAAGTATTGCAAAAGTAACAATTGACTTAAAATTATGGATTACATGGGAGTGGATGTTCTAGTGTGAAAACTCTTTCACAGACCATTGAAACAAAACATTGAGAAAAACAGCATTCTAAGATCTCAATTTCAAATCAAAAGTTACTGAATCATGTTTTGAATTGCAGCTATACGCGACGTCGCGCACTGATCCGAGGAATTATAACAACCGCGCGCGCGTGTGCGTCGTTCCAATACTTGCGCGCGCTGCGCTGAATAACAAAACGAACTACTAATTAAAATTTTCCTACGGTGCTTCTTAAGAATCACCGTTGGAAATGCCTTCTTTCGTTGATTACTTCAAAATGACAGCTTCCCAGAAAGAATAATTTCACAGGGAGTTTAGTTCCCTTACTATCTTTCAACTAAGTTTGTTTTTCAACAATAATTACGCCAGTTACTTTTCGGATGGCTGCAAATGATGGACTATAGCTTAAAGGGGGCACTTGTGCACACAGCCCATTGACAAAGGTTGAACCCCGGCCACTATTCGTTTACATGGGACAGGAATAACCAGAGAGTGACAATGAGATCTTGCATTTTGATGGCTTTCCGGAGGTTCATGTAATCTGTATTGCTCCCTGCAGGATCTGGGGGATCGTCTGGAGAAGGGTCTGCTCAAGGACCACCAGAGCGCCCTGGCCAAGATGGGAAGCATCAAGAAGAAGAAGATGACAGCTACGGTCAAAGGATCGGACCACGTGGGGGAGGTTGAACAGCTGGAGTCCAGGATCATTGAGGTCAGAACTTCACTCTTTGACTGCGGAATTTTTTTGCTTAAAACCCTCCCTCTTTTGGTGACAATCTGTAGTGAGTAACCCTATGGGTCAAAATCTATCAGCTTACAATTTTTAACAGGTCTGTAAACTGGCCTCATATTGGTACACGTGACAGGTTAAAATGGCTGCTACACAAGCTGCACCGGTATTAATGGTCAACCTATCTATCAAACCACTTAAACAGGCTTTGCAGTTATATGGTTTAGTCCGTAGGGATTTCTGGTAGTTGGCGACCAGCCTGTACAAAATCTATTGAGAGAGATACAAGGGGTTAGGTTTTCTTGATAGTTTGTGATAGTTAAAAGTATAGGAGGGTTAATCAGAATGAAAACTGCACAATTGATATCAGATGCCGATATTGGCTAGTCATAAAAACAATTGAGGTGCAAAGAGTTGAGCCACGATGTAGCTGACTTGGTTTGGTTTTTTTCCCCCATTCACATCAATGAAAAGGGCCCAAGTTCACGGCAGTGGTGTGCATGATGTTCAGTGGTGAGAAACCAAGAATGTCCATGATGGTTCATGAGGAATTTTTCCCTACATTTTGATCAAACTGGGGGGGGGGGGGGGCAGAAACAGACTTTTGATTTCATTGGTCATGTTGGTCTTAGATTTTTTGTAATGGTTTGTTATGTGTCGTGTACTCACATCACTCAGTGAGTTGTTTTCAATTATTAATTATTGTGTACAGCAAGAGAGTCAGATCATGACGATGGAGAATCGCAACTACTTCTCCCTCCACTGCATCCAGATGGAAACCCAGCTGGTCCACGCTAACATTGACATTCTGGCTGAAGTGGTCCAAGCGCTGTCCAAGACAGAGCTACAGGGGCATAAAGAGGTAAGCTACTCGGTGCTCCTTCTCCCCTGCTGCCTCCCCTTCACTCTCCCACCCCATCCCTCATTCACTCCCCACCCAATCCCACCTAACCCCCATCCCATCACCCATTCCCATTCCATCCCCATCCCATCCCCCACCCCATCCCCACCCATCCCCCACCCCGTCCCACACACCATCCTACACCCCATCCCCTCACCTTATCCCCCACCGAATCCCCCACCCTATCCCGTACAGCATCTCCTACCCACCCCAACCCATCCCCCATCCTATCCCCCACCCCAGGCCGCGAATTTTTTTCTCCCAAACGACATCCGCATACATGGTTGTTTAGCGCCCTCTACGATACTTTTATGATACGCACACAGGGATATAATTATTTGTTTCCCCACGTTTTGGCGGGTAGTGCAACAACTCAGTCAATAGAGGGTAGGATTTTGCATCGCGAGGTTGCGGGTTCGAAATCTCGATTTTGCACCCAAATTTTTTTCCTTTTCTAACCTGAGGCTTTGGAGGATTTTTTTTAAAAGGGAAACAAAGTCCGAATTTCATAACGTTTAAATTCACTTTTTTTTCTTGTTTCATATTTTTTTCTCATGTTTTTACAAAAGTTAAGTCCAAAACGCCATAGCGTACACCCATATACGGATGTTATTTGGGAGAGAAAAATTCGCCCCCACGCCTCACCCCATCCCATCCCATCCCCGTTCAAGGTTTTCAAGCGCTAACCAAAAGAGAGCCCAAGGGGCCATATAATGTAAGAAAATCTGTACCTCTTCCCTTGTGCCCCACCCTCTTCCCCACCCCAACCCCCTTTCTCACCCCCTTTCCCACCCACAACCCCACTTTTGTTTGTTTCTCTGGGCTTACTTTTCTTCTATTTGGCGCACTTCTCCCCCACCCCCCTCCCCTCCACTGCAGCTGACGCAAGTATGGGAGGACACCACCACCAAAGTAGACACTCACATGACAATGGGATTGTTATCATCGTCATCTTGACTGTAAACATCTGACCCCCCACCTAACTGTCATAAAACAAAGCAAAGACACCCAAGCTAAACACCGGTTCCAACCAGTTCCAGCCAGTACCATCCAGTGCCATCCAGTACCATCCAGTTTTCACACACTGATGAAAACTTCACGTACATGTATCCTCTTGTTCCTGTCATGCTTATGTCTCAGTAAAGAAAAGATAAACCTTTATTTCCATACTCATTACTGTTATATTTTTAATGCTTTGTGTAAAATAAGAAGTTAGTATATTTTTAATTTGGTTGTCATTCAAACCTGAAAAGGTTAAAAGAATTTCAGATCTGACGAGCTTGATTGTTCATGAGATGCTGTTGGAATTTGGATTCCTGGATGTTTCTCCACAAATTTTCACTCGAATTTCCATGAGAAAAGTGGAGGGGGAATTTTGTAAGCAAAGAGAATGTACATTAATCAAGTTTTGTTTGTACAGTTCATGTTGTTATTCGTCCAAAAGCCATATCCTGACCATTCGATCACCAAAAGCATGCTTTATATCATTATACTTTTATGATTTTTTTCAGTAAATGCATCTTCATGATTTACACAGTCATACACTGAATTATATTTTTACTGTACATATCTCAAAATGTTGGGTTGGAAATCTATGCACCGTTTCATTTCAGTAAGAGTTGTCTTCGTAAAGTTGCATCGTTTCTGTACATGTACTGATCAATTCTATCGATCCTTATATACTTTTGTTGATTCTGGAATTGTACACAGTGAATATGTGTATTTCATGAAGGATTGCTTTAGTAAGCAATGTGTTGGTTCATAGAACATATGAGCCATAGGAAGCGAATCCAAAGAAATCACGAGAATAATTTAAAAGTGTCCAGAGATTTAAGCTTCCAGTATTATGAAACTGCTGAAGGTTAAAAAACTTGCTCAGGAAAGTATCTCACTAAAAGCAGGGTGCCATTGAGCTGGCATTCATGTCGTTGGATTTTGTTGGCTGGTAACCGGCTTTGGGTAAAACAAACCCCTGCAAGTTGGCGGGCTAAGCAATTTTTCTGTGCTAAGCTGAACTGTGGCACTGGCCCATGTGAGCATGGTGGCAGAATTTCACCATGAGTTTTTGGGAAGCGTCTCATACTTGTTTCTTTTCTGACACAATCGCGCTTGCAGCTGGTCAGCGTGTGGGAGGTCCTACAGCCAAAGTGCAACTCGCTCCGCGGAGGGGAATCGGCCACGCCCACTACACCGGCCACACCCACCACGCCCACCTCTCCAACCTCGCCAGCGATCCTCAGTGCTGCATCGTTCTAAATATAGAAACGACTGCATTTCTAAATATAGAAATACATTTAGTCCTAATTATGGAACTGTAAGACTGTTTGACAACACAGCTACATCATGTCAAAGCTTCATATCGAGTATATTCCAAGTTTTTGGAATTTTTTGACTAATTATGCTAGGGTTTGGGGCAAATGTTTTTGGAAAATTTTGATACTTTTGAATTTTGCGGATATTATTTGAATACCAAAAAGAAATTTTCTGACTGAAACAATTAATGGAGACAACCATCAAATCCTGTACATTACCAATTGCGTTTGCTAATTTTGTTTATATTATGTTGACAGTCCACCTAAATGCCATGTAATTGGAAAAATGTTTATGCTTTAAGTTTGCTTGCCTAATTATCGTTGTCTTTTTCTTTCTAGGATATGTCTACTTATTCATAATGATGATTAACGTCATTGTGTCAAGTCTATTCCGATTTGTTTCCATTGTTAAAATATTACTTTTCATGCATTGTACTGTCACCAAAAATTCTGTTAATATGTGTAAGAGTTTATGGAACTTCTTTGTTAAATTTATGGATGTGCCATAGACCTTGGCTTAAACTATGGAACTTTCCGCAAAACTCTTTGAAAAAAAATATACCACCTGTCGGGTGTAACTTGAATTTCTCATGATAGGAAATTGGCACTATTTTCAGCCTTTTCCTAACTTTTAATGCGGTACATTGAGAACCATATATTATATGGCCTTTGGTGCTTGATGTAGGGCGACTACAAGCTTTGTTTCTCCTTTGTTGGAAACAGTTAAAAAGTACTGGGATATTTGCCCTGCAGAAGAAATTCTCTTTCACCCTGAAGATTTTAACAAAGCCCTTCCCTAAAACTGTCTGAAGTTACAGCTTTTTATACTTTCTTCGTGTAAGCAATGTATTAGTTTCAACATTCGTGTACATAATTTCACTGTGCATCGAGGCCTATTTGAAAATGGTGCGAAGAAAAAGTATATCTTTTAATATTCATTCTGTTTATCAAAAATTTGCTTAAAGGTATATCTAGTTGGTTTAGTTGGTGATTTGAAATATACTTCTATTATTTTCTTCTCTACACCGTGAAAAATAAGTGACCAATGCTAAAATGATCTATATCGCTTGTTCTTGTTTTAAAAGTAATTACATAAAGAACGTTTTTTGGAAAGTTGTGTTTACATGAACTGCCTTAAGAAATAATGTTTATTGTTGAAGACGGATACATTTGCTACAATCAACAATTTGGATCTGCCTAAAAGAAAATTCAAGTTTGCAGATTCGTTATCACACTAATCACATGTAAATTACAAGTCCGGTTGTGTAAGGGGTGAACAGTTACTAATGATATTGTCACAGTTCAAGAGGATAGCTTGGAAGTTGACTGAGATTGGATGAGATTTGATTGACTGAGTAATTTGTTTAGATTTGTGACGACTTGGTTACAAATCTTGGGCTCACGCCAGATTCTGTTGAGGTTTTTGAAACCTCAACTTCAGCTTTGGCTCAGGGAGATTTTGGTTCCCTGACTTGGTGACTTTGGCTCAACATGGGATGGTGTTCTGGGGAAAAACTGTAAGAATCCAGACGCCACTTCTTTGGTTGCATACAAAGTCTATGGAGAGTCAAGTGCATTTTCAAAGTATTTTCTAACAAAATTGGAAATGTGAAAGTGAATAAAACTGCTTTTAATTAATAAGCTTTCTTTTAGTACAAGAATCATTCAAATCAATCATGTACTTTTCAAGTTACGGAATTTTAAACACAATCACCGTTCTGTCCACGGATCACAAAAAAAAGGTGTGCGTTCTTTCAGCAAAACGAAACAGTTCACACACATCCCTGTGTGATTTGTTTTTCGTTTTGCTAAAAGAACACTTTTACCTTCTGTTGATCCGTGGACAGAACTATAAAACGGTGGTTGTGTTTAAAATTCCGTAACTTCAAAAGTACACGAGTGATTTGAATGATTGTTGTACTAAAAGAAAGCTTCTGAATTGGGCTTTCATATCCTAGCTTTTGGAAGTGCTACATGCAGAACTTCACTAAAACAATGGGCCCGACATTTGGGTTTCGTTTTTTTTACTCACCCTGTACATGTACATGTAGTCACGAGCAATATCAATTGCATGACACTTTTGTTGGTTGTCTGTCTTTGCAAAGTAAGCTTTTCAGTTTTATAAAATATATTTTTGTGAAGCAGATTTCTTTGCTCATTTAATGTGTGTACCTACATGTAGCAGTCTATTAAATTTTCCCCACGTCATTCAATCGCTTACTCTTGTGTCTGTGAATATCACCTCCTGTGTGCAAGTAGAAGCATGTCACAGGTGCATATCATTCAGTAAAGTACTTGTGTGTAGTAATCAACACTTTAGAAGCCAAAGGTTTAACTAAGTTGTTTTTTGGTCACACAGAGTGTGCCAAAAAAGGTGCATCATTCAGAACACAAACAATTATAACTGTTTAATGTTATCTTTCTACAGTGAAATTATGTATTACACTAAAGCCTGACTATGTCTCAATCCACTCCTTTTTACCCCGTTCCATTTGGGTCCCTAGATCCAGAAATACAATCATTTAAGTGAAAGGGTGTAAATTTTACTTGGACCACTCTCACCTGGACATAGTACATGCTGAATCTGGATTAAGCATTGAATAGGCATTGAAGTTGATGACATCACAGGTGAGAGTGGCCCAAGTAAAATTTACACCCTTTCATTGATTGTATTTCTGGATCTAGAGACCAGTTTCAATTATTTGTTTCCTGAATGTTGCACTTTTTTTTGGCACTCTGTATGTGTGTATGTGTTTCTGCAGCATTTTACTGTGTGATTTCATAACATCAATGTTAAGTTATATATGTATTATTCTCAAAAAAGGTGATTCTGAAAATTTAGTCTGTGCTTTCTGCTGAAGAGGAAAATCATTGGTGACAGAACTAGTGTGGAATGTGTCTTCTGGGAACCAGACAGGAATGGCTGATTATTGTAATACAGGGGGAAATGTTTGGATTGTTCCACCATGCATGTAGTGTATGGGGTCGGAAAATCTTAAGGAATGTGCCTTGATATTTTATGCGAGGTAGTTGGTGAAAGGGAATTTGATTGGTTCAACCATTGCATGTGACCAGTGTGCTGTTCTTTGATTGGTTGATAATGTCAACTACCAACCAATGGGGTGAGGGTTAGTGTAAAATACTTGGCTGGTGTGGTGGGTATGGCTGTCCCGATTGGGCCATATAACATACAGAAGCCAAATTTGATTGGTTAAGGGTTTGTTGCTATGGTGATGGATACTGGCTAGCCGGCAATCTGCATCTTTTTTTAAAGTAATTTTATTTTCAGAAAGTTTGGTGGCAGTATAGATCATTTGTTGAACTATAGAACATGTTTGTTCTGTTTTTTTTGTTGTTGAAAATATTGACAACAAATCAATTATAATTCCTTTTTTATTATTATTGAAATACAGTTTGCCAGAAAGTTAGATTTTTTGAATTGCAAAGATGAATATTAAGGAGTGACTTGGAAATGGAAATTAAGCATTTATAGGATTGGATTAACAAAATAAGGTGTAAAAATAGCAAAGATTCGTAGACACAGTTCTGTCGTTTGTCAAGCTCTAGTCACTTTTCCTCCATGCTTTAACACAAAGAAGGGAATGGGACCAGATCCTATAAATTGAATCTATTAGTGTTTCATATTGCATTATTAGAAAAAAACAAAACAAATTCAACTCAACTCTTTATACATGTAGTTATATATCACTCAGTTTTACACCTTTTATGAATGTATACATTTTTTGAAACCGGATTAGTTAAATTTATCCCAAAAAGGGGGGTGGTGTGCATCATTTTGTAGGGAAACAAACTCGGGTGCATTATATCGGGTCAGCAAGCTGGGAATGGTCGTTGCCCCAACTGAGATTCTGGCCCAAGTTGGAATACACATTCTGTAGATAGGAATACACATTCTGTAAAGAAAGATTATCGAGGGAAGTAATGTTCTCATATGTTCTCTTCAGTGCATCATACACTGATGTTAAACTTTTTTATTGCAGTATGTCTTGGTCTCCCTCTCAAATTATGTTGCATTGTAACCTTCTGTCAAATTTGAGGGATGCTGAACTGAATTTCTCACTGCAGCTTGTGTTTAAAATAATGCTAAGCAGTAATACTATCTGTCTAAGGCCAGTTTCATGAACCTGCTATTAGCAGGGAAAAAAATCCCAAATTGCTTAGCAACTTTTCTTACTGAGCAAAAGTGAGCTGGGGACCAGTGACAAGCAGTTGTGTCACCATGTAATTTTGGTTGGTAACCTATTTCGGCTAAGCAAAGATGGGCGGCGTCCAAAGACTTGGCTACGGCTGGAAATAACACACTGGTCTATGGGAAGTGGCTGCATATAGCGCAGCCGCTTCCATAGGTGCCTGTGTAATTTCTAGCCGTAGCCAAATAATTAATACGGACATGGCTATCTTCTGTGCTATGCCCTGTGCTTACTGTTTAATAGCAGCATCAAGAAATTCAGGCCATTGAAAGTGGTTGGGCATTTTTCCCCTTTCATGTAAAAAACTGTTGAAAACCAAACCTGTGAATTGTATCTGTATATAGACATTGATCTTGTTTTCAATGTGAATTTGATAACTCACAAAAAAAATATATATGGAATAAAAGTTTATATACTTTTTTTGGCAAGGTGATAATAAAGAAAATTGAAAAAAAGTGAAGACGAAAGATTTCTGGTCAGTTTTGACATGTTTGTTCAATATGTTAATATAGTAAACCGTTGTTGATCTTGAGAATTGAGAATACCTTTTTCCACTGTGTTTTTCTCCAACTCTCGCGCATTGAGCGTGAGACTCGCGCATATATTTCGGGTTATTTTCACGCTCTCACGCCCACACGGGATTTATCATGCAGAGAAAATAATAATAATTGACTCTAAACTTAAAAATGATGTTTAAATGGTGGTCTTTTGGTCACACAAATTGGTGAAAGTGGTCAGAAATTGCCTCAAATCGCACCACAGAGCATCTAGAATCCAAAAGTTTCTGTGCCGGCCCTAACCCCACGCCATCAGGGCTTCGTGTTCACATTCATTCTGATCAAGCTCCATCGCCAAATTCTCACGCTCAGCACTTACTCAAAGTTGGCAGCCCTGTCACTCTATTGTATCAATCAGTTGATTTGGAACTTTCTGTCCCGTGATTCCTAAAAATCACAAAATAGCAAATTTACGACAAAAATTACCTTAGAACGCATGCATCATTAGAATGCATTAACATTGAGGACATCTTGTTTGGTCATTTGGCATAATTTCTTTTTTTCGGGGGGGGGGGGGGGGGGGGGGTTCTACAAATATGTGTGGGTGACTATATATTGATGGAAAAAACATGAAACACGTGTGGCCACTTTAATTTACATGAAATTTATTTTTTCATTTAAGACTAATGTATATTTAAAGAAATTTATACATAACTAAATATGTTATCTGAGTTAAAACAAACAAGAAACAACTCAAATTGAGATCACACCATTTTGCATAATCATGGCTTAAATCAATTACATTAATCGGAAAAAAATATTTACAACTGCATTTATAGTAATAACGCAATTAAAAAAATTAACAAGGCAGAACCATTTCGGTCTGTGTACAGACTTTAAACTCATGGAAGTCATTGTAAAGAATTTGTTTGCAATGATTTTAAGTATCGTTTAACTGAATGAAACTGTTAACTTTCACTTCATGAATACTGCTTTGTGTAATACTTGAGATGTTTTTCAGGTATCATACGGTCATAAGAAGAAAAATGGAACCAGTTCAATACTATAGTTTTCCCGGCCAATTTCCTGAAATGTTCATTCACTTCTGAAAATCGGTCATTCATTTTCGTCTGAATTTGAATATACGTCTCTAATTCCATTTAAATTCAACGAAAAATCAATCGTTTCCATCGTCCGCGCATTCGGCTTTGAGAAACAGGCGGCCAATTACGTTACCCGTGCATTCATTTTAATACGCAAACATACCTTTTCTAAATTGATTTCAGGTACAGCTAATTTGATTGAATGTTAATGAAAAAGAAACCCTTAATTGTATCTGGTGCCGATGGCATTAAATTAAAAGTGAAACAGAATGGTGAATGTTTGAAATCGCCCTCTAATAGCAAAAAAGATGTCTTGTAAATTAATCTGAAATGGACAAAAAAAAAGGTGCTGCTCAATCACTTAATGGAATGAACTGAAATGGATTTGAATGCTCTGGTATCGAAAATGAAACGCGGGTTCAAAGCGATTCTCAAATTCAGACAAAAACGAATGACCGATTTTCAGAAGTGAATGAACATTTAAGGAAATTGGCCGGGAAAACCTATATTAACGTTACTTATACAACGCCTGAATAAATCCCTGTCATCTGATAGGTGGGTCATTGACTTATTCGTCCCAACCCTGACCTGGTCACACCGCAAAAATCGAAGTTTCATTCCACGATAAATAGAAGTTCCATTGCATGGTCACATGATTGGTGGCTCTGACCAATCAGATGGCGAGGATTTATTCAGATGTTACAAGTATAAAACAAATAATGAGTGTTTCACATTGGTGCAATGGAAAGAATAATTTCAATCAGTGACAGGTGGAATTGAATATTCCACCTGCCACCTCATGAAATTATTCTTACCATTGCACTCAAGCACATTCACTATTTGTATACGAGGGACATCACAGCACTCAACAGTTCAATGATGAGGCCCACATCCAGGGAAAATAAATAATCCACGAAAAATATTTGGCCGAGCCCCAAAGCAACGCAGGGTCTATCTACAGTGTAGTCAGCTATTTGCCTAACAAGGCACTTCAAAAAAAACTGCCGATATCAGTTCTTTCACATAAACCTTTGACCCAAAAGAACAAAATGCTGTGATGAAAAAACTCACAATTTAGGCTTTTGACTAATTTGGAAAAATCCAGACAAATACCACCCCTGGACATCCAAATTTGACTGGGAAGTGGATGTAACATCGGCACTATAAAGTGGATGTCTTGGGTTCGAGCCCCTCTGGATCACAATCAATTTCTCAAATTACTGAGTATTAAACCCAAACAGACATACAAGAATTGATTTCCTCAACCAACAGAAGAAAGCTACAATCCTGGCCAAATCTCGCAAGGCCCCCAACCCCCCACTCAATGTTGTCTCTCATTGCGCGGTGTGTGCTCCATCAGCTGGAGAGAACAACATTGACCGGGGGAGCGGGGGAGTGGGTGACCGTGGCAGGCTCAGGAAGTGTCCCAACCGTTTTGGCCGGGATTATAGGTTCCAAATCCCTCCAGAAATCACTCAGTTTCTTAAAATTATAGAGTACAAAGCCGGACACGTCTTTAAAGAGCATTACTTTGTTTTGTTTGTCTCGGCCAAAACTGTGAAGACATACAATGCTTGAACAAGCAGTTGGAAAACTGTGGAATGTTTCACAGCCTCTGTCTATTTAGTTTTTGGCAATGTCGGCTCATATCAATATGAAAAGCCATAGGGTAGTTAATATAAATCTTACACTATATCACTGAGTTGGTTTTTTTTACCGCAGTTTTGGCTTCCTTTCGAGTTTACTTGGACGCAACACTGAAATGATTACTTTGGCAAAAATTATACCGACAGCCCAACCTACTTTGACTTTGGCAGTTTTATAAGCATTACACATGGACAAGGAGGAGCGTGTTAATATATGGAAGCCAAAATCTTTGACTGTAATTTTTTTTCATTTCTGTTGGTATGCTCGTTCCAAGCAACAGCCACATGTTCAGTTGTAACATCGGTCGCACTGCAAACTGACGAACTGCATATTTTAGGGTGTTGAGCGTAGTGATATATCTTGTGTAGCAGACGTACACGAGACTCATCATTTTGTCACGATAGTCATCTGTACTCATCATCATAAGTCCTTCACAAGTCGTCTAGTCTCAAGTCAAGTCGCAAGGTATTTAAATGAACTGTGACAAAGGTATGACAGTACATCACATTACTTGTGATTGATTTCTAATGGACTTGATTTCAAGTCTGTGTGGTGTATGATCAATTTTACACAACGCCTGAATAAATCCCTGTCATCTGATTGGTCAGTCGTTGATCACATGTCATTGACTTATTCATCCCAATCCATGGCCCGGCCCCACCCCCAAAAATAGAAGTTCCATTCCACGGTAAATAGAAATTCCATTGCACGGTCACACCATGGGTGGCTTTGACCAATCAGATGACAAGGATTTATTCAGCTGTTGTATAAAACAAATAATGAATGTTTCACATGCATGCAATGGAAAGAATCATCTCATTCGGTGACAGATGGAATGTTCCATTCCACTCGACGAACAATGGAACATTCCATTTGTCACCTAATGAAATTATTCTTACCATTGCGCTCATAAACATTCATTATTTGTATACTGAATACCTTATCAGAACATTGCTAGCAATGGTAAACACCACACTGAAACTACGTTGTCATGAACTTCATTCACTTTCACATGAAATGACTTTAAATCTACCAAACAACAGAATACATTTTTTGTTCGCTCTCCACACTCATGACAAAATCAAATATCGATAACAGCTACCAAAAAACATAACCACAAAAAATGAAATTCCCAAGTAAAAACGTATATATCTTAAATGCATTGACAATGTATCTATCACAGTTGCCAGTTGGAAGTTTACTTTTTGATCACTTATTCATCTATGGTGCTAAATGGAAGACAGAATTTCAAACCCTCCCTTTGAGTAAATATGTACATATTCTGAGGTTCCTATGCAAGGAAAAAGCGCTTACAATCTAATCTTCTCTAATGATCTCAATTTCAGTAAACCTGTTAATGACCACTGGCATTTGGCGGATAAAAACAGGGTTTTGGCTTAGGGTAGCAGACCAGTAAATAAACTTCCATAGACCCCAATGGTAAATGCTCCCACTTCAAAAATTCGGGAAAAATACTCACAACTCTCCAAGGTGTTCGAGACACACATCAAATTAAAGCTTATTTCATCATCTTTCATTTTCTTTTCAATTTTCGGGGGGTCAACTGATGACTTTTAGGAGAAATTTCAATCTGAAGATGATCACCCCTGAAAATAGTCCTGAAGCCCATCGCCATTTTGAAAAACGATGCCTACACTCCATTGCAAAATAGAGCGCTTTTAGCGGGGTCCAAATTACATCCAAATTACACAGAACTGCAAGCTCACAGTCCTGTGCACGGCTTCCACCCATATTTTTTACAAACCCTCAAGTTCATGGCCCACAGCATGCTCAAATGCTGAAGATTTTGAGGGCATGCAAATCGTGATTTGGCCGGCGTAGGCAATTTCGGACCGATTTACTGGTCTGCACCCTATAAAGAAGCGAGGTTTTGGAACATTTCCCCAAACCACTTGTACGGCACGAGGAAGGATGGATGACTCATATTTCATCAAAAAATTGCGAGAAAAAAAATCTCTGACTGCGATTTCTGGCCTGAAAACAAGCCCTCTGTTTGCGGCTACCTTGCTGTAGGGCGCCCCCAACGGGAGTTAATTGAGTTTTTGCTCCTTCCGACCCCAAATTACCCCCCTTATTACCCCTCGTTCTTATTCCTCCTTGGTTACAGGTACCCGATCCAATAATCTGGAATCGGATTCTGACATCCACAGTCGGATACTCCGGTACCCGCTTCCAATGCCCCCCCCCCCCGGAAAGCAACAATAAACAATTTCATATGGAAGCTGATTTCTTGCTAATCAATAAGTTGACAGCGTCTGAGCAGAAACTTAATGTTACCGACACAACTTGATGTCCTACTTGACAGTGAAGCTATGGTGTTTGTATCCATGTGGCAAAAACTTCAATCTCGTCAGGATTTCTGCAAACTCAGAGTTGTAAAACTGTTCAGGATATCCTCGATCGCATCCACCTGTGTTTTGAATGTACAAACGAATCATTAAGAATTGTTACATTTTGTGTCTGTTTTGCAATGTGATTTATCGGGGGTGTTTAATTCTTTAAAAAACTTACAATGAGCTGCCATCTATAGGTTGGTCATTTTATAGAAGATCTCATCAAAAAGGATAACAAAAAAGTATAAATGAATGACATTCTTCAAGGTCATTTATTTCAAGACATATTTTTCAAGTCATCGCGGACTTACTCAGAGCAATGTACAAAATTATTTGCAACATATATTTCATGTGCTTTGCCATGAAATGTGATTACTCAAAGACTGAACGGCAATGAGTATCCATTCATTCCAAAGATAATGCTTTCCGTTTTATAGCAAAACATATCTTTCTCTTGGCTGTTTGTAATCATAAAATATGAAAATGCAATGAGCAAATGACGATACCTGTTCAGTTGTCGTCGATTGTTGCACCTGTAAGGAGAGTTGGTCCAAACGTCGGATGTGCTCTGACAACCCCATGCTGGTCATGTACACCTTCAACATCGACACCAACTACAAGTGATAAATTCAAACCCATATAAGTTTTTGGTAGGTCAGTTTGGGGATTTTGCATGTAACTCAGGACTACTGCAATTTTTTTTTATACAACAAGATTTCTGGAATATCTTTGGGTCGAAAAGTTTAATAACTTCAAGATCTTTGTCAAGCTTTAAAATGGTTGCTAAGTTTTAAAATGGTTGCTAAGGCCAAAAAAAAAAGTCTCCGGTTTCTGGTATGGAGCTTGCCCAAAAAGTGGTGCGGCGACGCAGCTTTTTTTTTTTTTTTACCTGTTTTTTTTTGCTTCAAATGTCGGCTGATGACTGCAAATGGTGCCCAACTAAACTTAGTGCAAATATATGGGAGTCCAGAGAGGCCACATAAAGCTTATTCTCGATCATAACCCCATCTAAAAACACGTTAAAACTGTGCAGCAGCAGGATTCCAGTCAAACCAGTGAGTTTGGCGGTTTTGAGATATCATCTTTTATTAAAAGAAAAAACTTTTTCATTTTGCCGACGCGCATGGCTACGGCGACGCGCGCGCATACCAGAAACCGGAGAATTTTTTGGGGGGCCTAAAGTAACATACACTACACTCAGTCCTTTGGCAGACTTATCATGCAGATCATCTTTAACGGTTCCATTTTCTAACCTGCATGACTTCGTTCTGCAGCTGCACGGAGGGTATGCCGCAGGAGTCCTTGATGTGACGCAGGCGAGACCGGGCCAGATGGACCGGGGTGTGGCCTTCCCTGTCTAGCTCATGGGTGTTGGCCCCAGACTCGAGGAGTGTTGTGACCACGCCCATGTGGTTGCTGAACACAGCTGGCAATAGGAAAAAAAATGAAGTTGGGGAGGAATGTATCAAACATGTTGTGAGTTTGAGACGAACACTGAAATAATGAATAACTTGTGATATAGATTTTGTTGAATGCATTGAACTTGCAGACCGTGATCATTGCATTATGACTGTAGTATAGGGCAAAAGAGTTTTAGGCATTCAAATACAGGGTGAGTAAAAAAAAACGAAACCCAAATGTCGGGATCATTGTTTTAGTGAAGTTCTGCATGTAGCACTTTCAAAATCTAGGATATGAAAGCCCAATTTACAAGCTTTCTTTTAGTACAAGAATCATTCAGATCACTCATGTACTTTTGGAGTTACGGAATTTTAAATACAACCACCGTTTCAAAGTTCTGTCCACGGATCACAAAAAAAGGTGTGCGTTCTTTCAGCAAAACGAAACAGTTCACACACATGCCTATGTGATTTGTTTTCGTTTTGCTGAAAGAACACTTACCTTTTTTTTGTGATCCGTGGACACAACTTTAAAACGGTGGTTGTGTTTAAAATTCTGTAACTTAAAAAGTGCATGAGTGATTTGAATGATTCTTGTACTAAAAGAAAGCTTATGAATTGGGCTTTCATATCCTAGATTTTGTGCCACATGCGGACCTTCACTAAAACAATGGTCCCGACATTTGGGTTTCGTTTTTTTGACACACTTTATAAGTATTGTATTAGAAAGCATTGCTTGAAGCGTATATAATAATTACCACATACATGTATATTGCAGTATTCTGATGGATTGAGGAATGTATAATCCAACCACTAATTGTCTGCGCCAGGCTTGACGTCAACGTTTTGTTTCCATGCAAAGATTTTGGATCCAGGTGAAATAAGCAATGTGGTCTGGATGAAATTATTTATTTCCTTTTGAGTAATGTATGTTTAAATGCCTTATTTTTTACACGGAACCTTAATATTAACTGTTGATACTGTTGGAGTGTCATGGCCTAGCGGTTAAGAACACCGGACTCATGCCCTGGTGTTTCAGAGGCAACAGTGGCGTGGGTTCGGGCCCGGGCCCAGACACTTGTGCCCTTAAGCAAGGCACTTCACCATTATTGCTTCGTCCTTCGGATGGGACGTTAAGCCAGAGGTCCTGTGTGTTGTATTTAAGGCCTAACGCACGTAAAAGAACCCAGTAACATTTATCGCTAAGAGAAGGGGTTGTCCCGGTGTTTCTGGCCTCCTTGTTATACTCCCTTGTGAAAGTCCTTAGGAGAAGAACCAACCAAGTACCAAGATACTGCAGTTTGGTGGCTGTTAACATGCGAAAGTGACTCAATTTTGTCGAAATTAAACGACCTAAAATGACTACTAAAATCTAGACATAGTCATACACGTCCATGCAAGTCATGAATGCATGTTCAAAAACTCACAATTGTAGCACTTTTTTTCAGCAAGTAGGAACAAGGGTATTTACAAAATTTCCTCATGTAACTCGAATGTCTGAGATCACACATCAAGTTCCATAAGCTTTGACAGATTTTGATGTTAAGTTTTGAGCCGAGCTTATAATGTAATCCAGCGGACATCCTCCCAGACAAGGCATCAATGGGAGGGGGAACAATGGCATAAGTGGGGATCAGTTTTCAGGGGGGTGGGGGGCACTCCGGGGATCTCATTCTCCGCATGGCCATGGATATTAACAATAAAAAGCTCATGTTGCCTTCCGTGAAGGCCTGAACACGCCTCAAGAAGACAGGGGTTGGGCGTAGGGTCACAGACCTCATGATAAGGGGAGGGGACACAGGCTTCATGCTGGGGACGGGCGGCCTCAAGGGGGGGGGGAGAGATACGTACCCCCATGACCCCTCTCCCTTGGTTACGCCGGAGAAGGGCGTGGGGGACACAGGCCTCATGCTGGGGGGACACAAGGCCTCAAGGGGGGGGGGGGGGGGGGGGGGGATGGACATGCCCTGCATGAACCCATCCCCCTTAGTTACATCCTGAGGGAGGGGGGTTGCAAATGGGCTTGGTTCTGGCAATTCCAAATCCGAATTTATTAGAATCAATTTTGAGCTCTTAACCAAAAGTTAACTCCACCTTTTGAAGGAATCAATGCCTTTCATTAATTTGGCCGTCGAAACCAAAAACTGGTTCAGTTGTTTGTCATTTGTTGATAGTTTTGAAAACTTGGTTGTGAAGTAAAAAAAACAAGTGAATTAATGCACCACCAAGTTGTTAAAAATGCTAAACCAACGAGAAACAATCAAACTAGTTTTGGTTTCTTGAGATTAGATCCAAGACTTTATTTTCTTCCGAATCCTTCAAATGAACCACAAGGGGAAACTTTATTTCCATTAGAAAATGATCAAAATATTAAAAATATATTTTACATTTACATAACCTGTTGGATTTGGGCAGATCTAGGAAACTACACAGCAAGTACATTGTAATACCCAGGGAATACAAACGATTGATGTCTTACCCAGATGAAGAGGCGTGTTTCCGAGTCCATCTTTTTGGTTTACATCAGCTCCCTTATCTAAAAGCACCTGAACTGTGTAAAGATACCAGAAAGTTGCAAATATAAATCTGAAACTTCTCCAAACAGTTGCAACTGCCGTTTTGACTAACTTTACGCATAATTTGACAGAAAATGCCACTAACCAACAACCCAACATGTTGCTTTCAAGAGATGTGTGGTCTGACTTTGTGACTTTTTGTTGTTGTTGCTATTGTTAGGAATTAGAGCAATTGGATAAACTGTTGTTAAAAGGTCAAGTTATGTGCTCACTGCACAGGAACTAAGACTTGAGTCAAAATCCTGGTCCTCCTGCAATGTGCTTATTTTTTTGTATAGACAAATCTGGGCAAGTGATCACTGTACACTCAAGGGGCCCCTTCAATAAGGAAACCACTGTACAAAGCAACTGCCCGTGACAGATTATCTGAACAATAGCTTGCACAGTGCTTTCGCCTTTGAAGGGGGCCTGAGTGAGGGGGTCAGACAAGTCGACCGTTGAGACAACTCGACCGTTGAGACAACTCGACCGTATGTGCGATAAATGGAAAGACAAGTCGACTGTTGAGACAAGTCGCCTCGCATGTTTTGGGCCTAGTTTTGGGGAAAGTACCAGGGATTTTGACGGCGGCTGATCGCCGTTTGGGAGTAATGACATATGAGGTTTTTTTTGTTGCATATAACAGAGCCGATATAGCGCAGCGTGATTGTCCGTGCACACCGTACGTTTTTTCCGGGCCACGTGCGCGCATCCCCGGTCAACGTGGCCGTACCGTGCACGGCCGGTGGCATCGTTTTTGCCGGGCCTGTGCACCCACTTGCCGCGCCGGTCGACGTGCCCGCATGCCGGGCCCGGCCCGGTCCTTGCAGCCGGGCGGGGCGCACCGGCCCGACGCGACGGCCACCGGATCGGAGCGCCCTCTGTACATCGAGTATGCCCGCGCCGCGCCCGTGATCGGTCTTGCCACAGATTTGTGCAACTTTTTCTGATCCACGTGTATTCATTTCCATTAAGTCGAGCAGTCTCAACGGTCGAGTTGTCCCGAGTCGAGTTGTCTCAACGGTCGACCTGTCTCAACGGTCGAGTTGTCTCAACGGTCGACTTGTCTGACATTCCTGCGCGATAGAATTGATAGCGTGACCGGATATACCTCCTGCAAGTGTGTGTCTAAAGACATACATGTACATTGTATATTTCTATTCATCAAAAGTGCTAAGTAAAATAGCCTTAGTGTTTTGGCTTGATACCGGTACCTACTACACAACCTCATACATGAGTACACATGGGGACTCGGAAAATAGCTCACCCATATTGAGACATCCTTTGGTGACAGCAAAATGCAACGGTGCCCGTCCTTTGTCATCGGACCTGTTTGGGTTGATGCCATCCTCTAACAGCCTGCGGACTTTAAGAAAAGTTAACAGGTCTGAAACAGGTGCTCCACATGCCATTTACATGGTACAAGTACAAGTTCAAATCAGTATTCCATTGAACCTGACTCAGATCTATAGAGAAAGTCAAACGCTTTCTGATTTTCTACTTCCGCAGAAAGTGGATGGGATCAGTAGAATTGTCCTTTTGAAGGGGAATTCAGCTTTTGAAACAATCAAAATGGGTATGTATTAAAAAAAATCAGATCAAATATATTTTGTTTAAAAATTGTCAATTCTTGAATGTTTGTTTGGCCATACCTTCCTCAACATCCCCTTTGCTTGCAGCATGTCGAAGCTTCCTTTCCCCTGTTTGAAAATAAGAAACAGCTTTTGTAGATCTTAGTTATAAAAAGGGAAGACCACAGCAGTTGCAAATCTCGTTACAGCTGCCGTAACAATATACTGAAAAAAACTTAAAGGGTTAATGCTAACACAAACAGAACTAATTGAAGTAATTAAAGTACTTTAAATTAGGTGTTATGGATGTGCAATGAAAAAAGGGATGTGTTATTTAGATGAATTAAAAATTGCAGAATACCCTGCCACTTGAAATCAACCCCTAAATGTCAATGGATACGCAGTCGAAGGAGCTTGGAAAAAAGTCTAAGTCTCAATGTAGGTGTCCCGGAGTGGCTACGCGGATACACAGATACGGAGTGGGACTCGGAGTGAGGTTTATTATTAAGGGCAATCAACCGTGACTCCGTAGCCGGCTATGAGGTGGCCATAGTAGATAGATCAAGTGGCGGGGATTCTGCAATTGTGCTGAAATAAATTATACTAGCGTTAGATACAGAATGCCAAAACATTCTCAAAGTCAATTTACCCATGGAGGAAGGCAAGGAAAATCACACACATGTGTGCATTTTATGGCAAAAAAATCAAATTAAAAATCATATTTATCATGTTTATGTTGATAATATTTACTCAGACCTACCTTTCAAATCCTTTCCTAACGGATTTTTGGCCAGAACTACTGCGCCACGCCGGCAGTAAAGTCGAGACTTTGGTCGCCGAATTTTACCTACAAAGTCATGCAAAGTATTCTCGGAAGACAGGTTTTCCTGGTCGCCAAATGTTGTTGGTAAATAAGAAAAATTGAGACCGGCTGTACTAGCTAGTTCTGGCGACCAGTTGCCGACACCAAAGTTCAAATCCGAGTTGGATTTGCTGCCCGCGTCCACGACGGGACCAGCGGGGCTGAGCTTACTTTTGCCCGGGCTGGACCCCACGATCCCGCAAGGCGGCCGCGCGAACAAATCATCGCTCTCCGACACCGGGCTTGCAACCCTCGCATCGTTCATTTTTGAAGAGCGCGATCCTGCTCTTCACTCAAGTTCTCTGAAATGCTGAACTACTGGTGGAACAGCGGTGGGGTAAAGCGTTCCAATCCATAACCCGGAAAAGAAAATTAGTGTGTCTGGGCCGAAAATAACGAGTATTTTCCTGTTGAGAAATGCGTTGCCTGGAACCTCGACCCTTCCCCTTTCGTGGACGCGGCCATCTTGTGTTACGGGAATTATTATGGACAGGGTGACCGTAAGGTCCTGGCCAAATTCTGCCAAATGGACTTCAAAAATCTGTCAGATTGATCAAAAATCTGCCAAATTCCCAAGAATTACTCGAAATACACTATAAACACCTGAAATCACATGCAAAAATCTGCCAAATTCCCAAGAATTACTTAAAATACACTATAAACACTTAAAATTACATGCAGATGTTGTATGATTGCCTTAATTAGGGTTCAAATTACATTATGAACAATCTGTAAGACTGTAGTAACATAAAGATGTTATGAAATTGCGTAAATTTCAGTCAAAACGCAGTTGCGTCACGCGGCGGTTCCCAGAGAAGGCTCAGCACCTAGACCCTGGGCGTCGCCAGGATTTTTTTCCGAGGGGGGGGGGGGGGGGGGGTGGCGGTGGGGGAAAGCACATTTTCCCCCAAAAGTCCTTAACTTTTTCACTATATTCTCAATTTATCATTTTCCGAACGGGGGGGGGGAGTGTCCCCCTTGCCCCCCCCCCCCCCCTGCGACACCCATGACCTAGACCAGCCAAACTGTCCCATAAAACCGTTGGTTTCTTAGAAAAGATTGAAGTTTCCTTAAACAAACTAGCCTTGGTCAAGGCGCTAGTTGTTATTCATCCCGGCCGTAGCGCGGTAAACGATATCCTCGCTAGCGCTATGCGTGCGGTCCTTTAAAAATACAGTGCGAACAGCGACCTCACGCGGCCACCATTTCTATGCAAATCAGTTGGACCCAATCTAGCGCCTTGGTTCAATCGTCGGCAAAAGCTTATGTTTTTCTTTATTTTGCGCTGGATTTCTAGCGCACGACCTCGTATGCGAATACAGATAAGTGTAGGCGGGGCTAATATGTGGAGTGTCCAATCACACCTTGGTAAATCCGGACATCATCAAATTATTTGCAGCTATTCGCCTTTTGCGGACGTGACAGGAACCACAGTTTTTGTGCATTACCCGTGTGCGGAGACACACAACGTGTACGTGTATGGATTATGTACGGTGCCACGTTTCACTTGGTCTATGATATGAGAGCAGATTCGCTGATTAATTAGACAAGGCCCCGCCGCTTGACTTCCTAGATTTTGACCAATCAGCAGGCGCTTTCTATAGGTCTATCGGGTCTTCGGTCATTCACCCGTTGCGCGTCATAGACATGGATTTAAAAAAAATGTCACGGCGCGCGGCGCTCGGTATCATGTTACGCGAATGCGCTCCCGGCTGTTGTTGTATTACAAAACGCTGCTTTTGAATTGACCAATCACAGCGTTAGTCCTGATTTTGGGATGAAATGACGTCACGATTTAGTAAAGTCGACTCCGACTGGCTGGCGTGCAGCTTGCATAAATCTGCATGCTTTGACATATCAGACGTTAGACAGTAGATGGCTCCGTGGATAACGGGTGATACTCGGACTACGTTTCACTATGCAAGTTTCCACGCAACGATCGACCAATAAGAAAACGACATTTAAGGTCAGCATTATTATTAACATAATGAGCACCACCCCCAAAACCTCACATGGACGATGGAACCAAGGCGCTAGATTGGGTCCAACTGATTTGCATAAAAATAGTGGCCGCGTGAGGTCGCTGTTCGCGCTGTATTTTTAATGCACTGCATGCATAGACATATGACTGCATATGCATAGCGCAAGCGAAGATATCGTTCACGGCGCTACGGCCGGATGAATAACAACTATCGCCTTGACCAAGGCTATAAACAAACGTACCATTTTTTTCAAATTTGCTATGTTTTTCTGTCAAATAACAATTTTTGCAGAATTCTGCCAGAAATGTGCAAAAAAAATCATTTCTGTCAAAATTATCTGACAAACTCGTTTTTTAACAAACAATCTTTCAAAGTTAGCCGAAAATCGGCTAAAACGGTCACTGCGATTATAAGATTGTCACGACACAATTTGTTTCCCTTTACAAAATCGAGGATTTTTTTTACAATGTCTGTCACCCTTGTTGGATTTTCTTTGACACAATGAATTAATGTTTTTTTGTAGAGTAATTTACATTGTGTTTATAAGATTAATGCGATAATATTAAATGAACCATGGAGAAATTTCTCCATGAATGAACATTGGGTCAACTGCGGTCAACCTTTGGACGTGGAAAAAGTAACCAGACTAATGTACAGATGCGAACGATAACAAATTCTCGACCGCACATTAATAAGTGTATCGCTCGTCTGGGAACCCGTCAGCGACTGCGTTAGATTGTCTGGTTTCAGTCTCGTCCTAGAACGTTCGCCCGCCAGATTCTTACAGAGGTAAATAAGGTACACCAGACTACCTTAATTCATGCGTAACTTGACTGAGGAAATGTGGTGTCTGAGTTGAACTAGTTTAATGCACACATATGGAAACGTGCTCTTCACTTTTAAAGTTTTCTTTGAAAACTTAAGTTTTCACTTGAAAAAAATCTTCCAAAACCCGGGAGGACACAGAGAGAAAAAAAAATGACGGCTAGTTGTTCCGACCTCCGCCAAAAACTTGACCACAACCACCACTCGGATCATGATGATGCAAGCTTCACAAATCACAACAAACGACGGCCGTTTGATGTCAGATATGATCCCTCCAGGAGGCGGAGCCACGATTACGGGAGGAGGCAGGGCAACTATGAGCGCCGCTCTTCCTTCGAAGACGACATGCAAGAAGTCAAGAAAATCCACTCGGGCATCCAGCAGCTTCAGCTTTTCTCGGATGCAGAAAGCAAGGAAATTGAAAAGAAAATTGACGAAGTGGTGAAGAACGGACTGCAAGGCAAATACCGACCGCACACTGTGGACAGGGCGCCACTGCGCAACAAGTATTTCTTTGGTGAAGGCTACACGTACGGTGCGCAGCTGTCCAAGCGAGGACCAGGCCAGGAGCGTTTGTACCCAAAGGGAGAAGTAGACGAAATACCGGATTGGATCCACGAACTCGTCGTGAAAAAACTAGAGGACCACGAACTTGTCCCGAAAGGTTTCATCAATAGTGCAGTGATCAATGACTACCAGCCAGGAGGCTGCATTGTGTCGCACGTTGACCCCTTGCACATCTTCGACAGACCCATCGTTTCAGCGTCCTTTCTGAGTGATGCGGCGCTGTCCTTTGGTTGCAAGTTCTCCTTCAAGCCAATTCGGGTCACCAAGCCCAAAGTCAGCTTACCCATGGCTCGAGGATGCGTCACATTGATCAGGTCTCTGCCAGAACCACTCCTGAAGAGTGTTACATCCCAACTCGAGCATTGTCCCAAACTATAGTTGGGACTAGTCCGAGTAACTTGGACCCAACTTATCGCCCTTTTTTTTTGGACATGATCTGGTGATAGTAGGGTCCAACTCCAAGCAAAATGGCAGCCATTCCGGTCTGACACTGAATTAAAGACCCAACAAAAATATCAGATTTCACCCTCAAAACGGCCTTAAAAATGCTAGATACGCCACCTTAGATACAAGTAGAGATCAATGATTGAGATCGAGGCATGTGTAATATAAGATCCGGATGAAAAGTGAAATTTCCCGTTTAATGCCGAAAGCTCCCCTCACGTTCGTGGACACAATTGAACTTCCGATGCGACATTTGAACGTCAAGACAGTGACGTCGTTGTGGTCCTGCCCGGCGCGCAGTGATGGGAATGGAAAAGTAAATTGACCGCGTTCAAGTTCGAAAATGGCAAAATCGTTGTCACGTGGTGCATATCGTTGTCACGTGACGCATACATATCCAACACTGGATCCCTTCATGATCAGTATGGCCAGAATGTATTTGCGTCAAGTGCCCAAGTTCCTGAATCCCTATTGTCGTTCAAAATGCACTTGTGTTTACAAACGAGATCCAGTCTAACTGATGCATGGCACGCAGTAGTGAAATCGACTTTTATCTCAAAAGACACTCCTTTTTTTCGTGATCATTTAAGGCACTTCGGAACCACGTGAACGCTGAGCATGACCACAATGACGTCACTGCCTTGCTGCTCAAATGTTCAAACAAGTCAGTGGTTAACATGTCCAGGAACACGAGGGGAGTCTAGGAATTGAATGGAAAATTTCATTTTTCATCCAGACGGTATAAAACCTTAGTACCTCGATCTGAGTCATTGATCTCTACTTGTATCTCAGCTCAGGTGGAATGTCCAGTAATTTTGTGGTCATTTTGAGGGTGAAATCTGATGATTCAGTTGGGTCGTTAGTAAAGTGTCAGACCAAGGCTGCCATTTTGCTTGGGCCCTACTATTGCCAGATCAAGTCCAATAAAAAGCCGATCAGTTGGGTCCAAGTTCCTCGGCCTAGGTTGGGACAGTACCAACTCCAGTTTTGATGATCCATACAGTATACTTGGGATTGTCTGAACTAGGCCTGTAGTTGGGACTATGCTTTAGTTGGGGCCTAAGAAGAATGTCCGCCATTTTGCTTGTTACTTGGCAATTGGCCATGTCCTTTCCGAGTGCTTAGCAGCAGTGTTACAGTCAAGCCCATCACAAGTCAATCACAAGTCACAAAGTCACGATTCAAGTCACAAGCTATTCAAAATGAACTCTTGAAAGGCACTCTGCTTGTTATTGTTCGTCCCCAGTTGCTTGTGACTGGACTTGTGATGAACTCGACTACGAATGCTTAGGTGGGATCTTCAGCTCAGCTGTTATTCACTACAAAGCTCACACTGATTTTTTTCTTTTGCAAAACCATGTCTGGAACTTACAGTAGACTTCACTGGTGTTCATTACAGTGGAATTCAGCTGTATGTGATCAAATGCCCAGAGCTTGTTTACACCCGGACTGGGACCATCAGTGCAGAAAAAAATGCAGAACAACATCGGGGCAACTTAACTTGCTCTTTAGCCGACAAAATTCTCCAAACTTTTCAAGAGGCAAAGACAAGGTCCGCAGTATGTCCTCAGTCAAGATTGAGGTCTCAATTCAATAAGCCATTTGCGAGTAACCTATACCCTTTTGATTTACATTTGAAAAACATCTGGTACACTGACTTGTTTAGAATGCTTGGCACCGTTTAACTTTGAATTCTGCAGACCAAAGACACTGTTGCTAATCATGTGATTCGGGGCAAGCACTTGCCATAGTTACGTAAGAGACGCTCAGCACCAATACATTGTTCACAATGGGTGAGAATGGCACAAAGACACCGGACCATGCCAGAGCTGATGGTTGCTAGCATAAGGCTTGCCCCGAATCACGTGATATAGTAACAGTCTCTTTGGTCGGGAGAATGCAAACTTGAAACGTGCAAAGCATCAATTGGATTAAGTCAGCGTTCCAAATGGTATTCAAATTTAACTCGCAAATGGCTTATTTTTAAAGGAGACATTTCTTTAACATTTTGCACCAGAGTGTGAAGTCAAGTGATTTCAATTTGAAACCTAAGACTAGACGAGTAAATTTCCAACTTTTTGCAAAGATTGACCCTTCAGTTGTCTGATGACATGACTATGAGAATGTTAGAAATAGAGAATAGATGTTCCTTTTGACACAGTTGATTGATGATGTTTCATGTGCCAATCTACTTTCTTGTATTGCCTGTTTTACTATCTTAAGTTTTGGGACTCTCATACACTAGTATTAAGAGTCCCAAATTTTTGGACTAGTTTACACCCGAACCTCACTGAGGGCATATTGAGCAAAAAATCAAGAAACTCCCATTGCCAGCCACGCTGAAAAAGTGGTGTTTTGACCTATGCCTTGGGTCCCAGTGCCCTAATGTTAAGCATGTCTTTCATGCATTATTATACAATGTATCAGTTACGTATGTGTCAAGGTTCTGTTATGATAGTAAAAACATGGAATACAAGAAAATAGACTGTCACATGAAACAACCAGTCCAACACCCTTTTAAAGGGAATGTACATCATTGGTTGTTGCTATAATTTTCAGAAATGAACTATTTGAGGGGTTAGTATATAGATCAAATATTGTTACACTGACATGTTTTAAGTTTTGTGTTCGAAAATGTTGGAAAAACCAAGAAAAACAAAAGTGTTCAAGTAGTCTGGTTCCTGACCCCACTAAAGACGAAATGGGTCAACTTATAGATATCGGAAAACTGTAAGGTAATGGAACCAGTCTAGCTGGCCTGCACCTGTTCATGAACATGTAACCTATAGCAAAATTTGGACTGAAAAAAATGGTAAATTTGGAGAAGTAGTTGAAAAATAGTTAGGTTTCTCCAGCGGTGGTCGACCGACCACCGTTGGAAATTTATACAAAATACCATTTTTCTTGAAAATTACTTCACACCAGGTGCCATAATTTTACAGGATGCTTTAGACTGTCATTTACCAATATCCTAGTGAGGTATTTCGTAAAAAAATGGTAGTTTTGTTTTCGATGTTTTCAAATGTTGTATATTCCCTTTAACCCTAACGTACCTAAATCCATCAAAATCCACCCCCCTGTTTCGGGGGATTTCGGCGGATTCAGGATACCTCCATATTGAACAAACTGGGGGATTTTGATGGACTCAGGATTCGAAGCCTAGCGGAACTGGCGGATTTTGATGGATTCAGGATACCTCCATTTTGAGCTATTGGGGGACTTTGATGGATTCAGGATCTCAACAGTTGAACTCTTTTGCAATGTTTGTGGTCAAGTAAATATTGCTGGCACTAGCCCTGCCAAGTCTGTCACATACATGTGTACTGTACAAACATGTACACACATGTACTGGGTGGACTTGCATGGAGGGTCACGTGCTGGAGGAAAGATACAAATAATGTGCGAAAACGTGACGAACGCAATGCCGTTTACGCGCAAAGAACACCATGTGCATCGCTAATAATTATGTGTGCGCATCGCGTAAATACTCGGTGCGCATTTCTTGCTTCGCGCGTGTTGAGCTAGGTCACGTGCTGGAGGAAAGATACATTTAGCTCCATTACTTTACGTTAATTTGTTGCGCGTCTTTGAGAGACAACCAAAATGGCGGAGATTTATCGCACAGTGACTGGGCGCGTGTGGACCCGCTGCCGATCTAGTCTTTTCATTCTATATCTATGGTTTACGGGCTGAAACATGCGCTAATGTCTTTCACACAAATTTTGTGCGCGAGACGTATTCACTTCGGTACTGATCCATGCTGGGGTCGCGATGCATTGGTGTATTTTGATGGATCCTATGCAACAACACACATCACAATTTTCATGCGAGCATGGTATCCTGAATCCGTCAAAATCCACCAGAAATTTAGGTGATGGATTTTGAAGACTCTATGGAAAAACATGCTGTATTTTTTTTTATGCCACCATGGTATCCTGAATCCGCCAGAATCCATCAAGACTTTTGCTGGTGGATTCTGGCGGATTCAGGATACCTCCAGAATCTACACTGGGGGATTCTGATGGATTCAGGATACCAGCAATTTTTGCATGACAAAATTGGTGGATTTTGGCGGATTCAGGATACTTTCTAGTAAAAGAGCCCCAGGAGTTAGGGTTAAGTACCGCATTCATCGATGTGTCAAAAGAAACATCGGGTACCCATTCTCTATTTCTACACATTTTCATAGTTGTGCCATCAGACTGTTGACGGGTCAGTCTTTTAAAAAAGTTGGACGTGTACCAGACTAGTCTTTACCTTCAAATTGAAACCACTTGGCTTCACTCTCAGGTGCAAAATGTCTAAGAAAAGTCTCATTTAAAAATGGAATTGAGTCTTCAAACTTGGCTGGCGAAATACTGAGGACCTTTTCCTTGCCTCCTGACAATTTTGGCAAATTTTGTTGGCTGAAGAGTGAGTATTGAAAGTTGGCCTGATTTTGTTTTGCATGTTTTTTTCTGCACTCAAGGTCCAGCCTGCTCTAAGCCATGGAAAAGCTAAGATAGATTTTGAGGGGAACGTACAATGTATTGGTGTCTATCAGTAAGATTTTATTGTGGAGCTCCTTCAAGAAAATCTGTGTTGCAATTGAATCCTTCACAAGTCCATAACGGGTCCCCCAGTCTCACTTCACGTCACAAGATATTTCAATGAAATGTAGCAAAGGCATTCCTTTCTTATTGTTTACTCCCTGTTACTGGTGACTTGTAAAATGACTTGTGAGTTAAATGAAAAGACTTGTGATGAATTTGTCGTAGACGCACCTACAACGCTGAAAAAGAGGACAGAATGAAATCTGTCCACGGTACTCCAGGATTTGTTGTTTTGGTGGAATAAAAACTTGCATTAACCTAAACCTGCTTGAGTGATTTACAACAAACCTTCCTCGCTCTTGCAAGTTCTAACACCATATGGTAAACTCAACACCCAAACTGTTGGACTCTGATTATGGTGGTATGCCTGACCCCATGTAAAGCATAATCAGTTTACTAGTGCAGTACTCACTCCTACATTGTACAGATTCCAACAAAAAATGCAGTTGGATTTTGAGGGGTTAGGGGTGGTTGGGGTCAAGAGTGAATCATGGTTTCCATCTGAGAAAAAAATCTCCAGACTTTTTTTACCAAGCCACACAAGGATCCGACATCAAAATTATTGCTGTGGGAGTAGGGTAAAGGTTTAAGCCTGAAAATGGCAGGCATGTTTGCCCAGATTAACTGTCCTGAATCCTTCAGCTCCAGGTCAAATAATAGCAGCTGGGCTCTATCGTTGATTTGCGCAAAATCTTCCAAATCTCTTGGTATATTTTGAAGGTAGTTGAACATGCTGAAGGGCTAGAATGAAAGTTACTAGGGGTGTGCATTTACAGGTAGTACGAGAACCGGGTACCCGATTGAAAAAAAACCCACGGGTACCCGTTAAAGAAACCCAACCTCAAAATTCAAATCTCAGAAGTTGCTGTTGAGATTGTTCATAAAGGTCAGCACGATATTACTGCCACCGCATTGGTGCAACAATACAACAAGATACAAGTGTGTACATTGAGCTTTTTAGCTTTATGGTGAAACTGCAACTTTCGCGAGCATCATAAACGTGAAAAATGTTTTGTTTTTCTTGTAGACTGGTTTTCATTTTGAAAAATCCCCACAAATGACATCCACATTTTTATTTTTATGTACTCGATCCTATAATTTGGAACCGGTTCCTGACATCAGCGGTCGGGTGCCCGGTCCCGATGCATAGCCCTAAAAGTTACATGCAGTTATATGCAGTTGAAGTTAAACTCAAGACTTGTTCTTATTGCAGCGGTTATGCAGCTGATGAGGTCACCCATTGCATCCGACCACAAGATGTGAAAGCCAGAAGAGCAGTCATCATTGTACGAAGGTAAGCGTATGATTTGAACTTACAAAATTAAACCACATATATTTCAGAAGGGTTATTGATCAACTGATCATGGATGAATTTGACACATACCCAGCGTAGATACACAAAGTACTAGCAGCCTGACTTGCATTCTGAGCAACTGGTGAACACGCCAAGACAAGATTGGTCAAGTGCCAAGATTGGTCAAGTGCCAAGGGTTCAATTTAGATCTGATTTTGTGTGAAAACTATCCACAAAAAGGTTTCTTTCTCTTGTGGCAGGGTTTTTGAAGACGCACCTCGCCTGCCAGCCCAGCCGTCTCTCAAGAGCCTGCCCGCCCCATCTCAGGACAGATGGCAAGGCTTCCGACACAGTAACCATGACGACAACAACAGGGGTAGCTTTGGCAGCGAGAGGGCTCGTAGCCGGGGATCACCCCCATCCGTGACCAGCAAAGTCCGCTCATCCGTGGCAGTAGTCAACAGCAAGGAAACTGAGACGAAGAAAACTCCGGCAAGGAACGCCGACTCCACTGGGGACAAAGAAGACACGAAGGAGCACAAGCGGGTAGCACTGAAGAGACATTTACTGGGTGGGCGTGGCAAAGGGGAGGAGCCACCGGAACACAATGGCAAAGCAAAGGCGGAGCCTGTGCCCCACAAGAAGGTCAAGATCAACAGGCAGCAGCCATTTACATCGTAAGTTTTTCTGGAAATAGACAGCTCCGCTATGCCCCACCTCATGGTGTTTTTAGCAATCACAGCCGTTATTTATGTCCAACATGCATGGAAAATTAGTAGACATGTGTGCACATGAAGAGGCACATGTTTCCCACTTGTCTTGGTGTAAGGCGTTCTTAGCTGGGTAGTTCACAATAGATGGGAACAGCCTTTGTGCCGCGCAGCAGCATTCATTCATGAACCTGACTTGGACGACAAATTATGTCGACGCAAAGAACGTCTTGGGAATTTCGCATTGCAACAGGGCGTGACTTAACCCTAACCACCCCAACTCCATCAAAATCCACCCCCCCCCCCCCCACCCCCATTTTGGTGGATTGTGGGGGAATTGGTCCAGAAGGCCTGGCGTGACTAAATATTGATGGAGAATGATGGACTTGGGCCTAATGGGCTGAAGCAGTGCTAGGGCCTAGGGGTATCTGATTGATTTTGCCTAGCTTCCTGCACTGCTATTGTGATAAAAGCCATGTGTAGCAAGTCCATGAATGTCAACCAGTGCGTCAGTGGTGGGTTCCATTATATTATGTACAGTTTTGTATTGGAAGCACAGTGATTGATGGATTTTGATGGAATTTGTCCAGTTCCTGGTAAAAGACGCTAGGGAGTTAGGATTAATATGCAAAATAGCAGCATGTGCACATTGGTGGTAACAAAAGAGCTGTTCCGAAAAACCATTAGTCGGGCGATGTACCAGTACACGTGCAGTCGATGGCACTAGTCGCTAGCTGGTTGACCGTACGGTTCAGTCGAATCATGGCCACGTCCAAACTGAAGCTCGAAGTTTCCCCGAGCAGAAATACGAAATTCCCAAGACGTCTTTGTGCACTGTTTATGTAGGCATGTGTGTGTTAAGGGCGCCCGCTTCCGTGAATCGCTGCATAGTCCAATAACCTGTGCGCGCTGAAACATCGCACCGGTTAGGACGTCTTGGCATCAAGACTAGTTGCCCACGTGAACGCATTGGGCAGAGTCTTCTGAATCAGTCTATCTTGCTTGCATTCACCACCAAACAGAAAACAGTGATGACTTACAATATCTTTTACAAAACATTGCCAAAGGAAAAACACGGCACTCAGGGTAACCTAAGGGTAAATTTCAAGTGCAAACATTGTGTTCATACAGTAGTCTTGACCCTGGGTCATCGGATATACAATCTATCCAATGAGAACCCAAAGAAATAGACTAATCCATTAAGCCCCGCCCACTGCATGCGGGGGAAACAACACATGGGCCCCTCCCATGCCACAGTGCATGTTCTAGCTGCACCTATCATGTACTTCAGACATTAACCCTAACCTTCCCAAATCCTCCAAAATCCTCTTTGCAAAATGGAGGATTTTGCAGGATTGAGGCTATATGGCAAAAATGTGTGGCTGATTTTGGAGGATGCACTGTGTCAAGGTCTTGGGCCGGACCTTGTGTTGTTTATGCTCAGCCGTGCATAAATTTAGGCCTAGATTATACTTGAAATCCTCCGCACTGCTCCAGGATGTCACTGGCTCTGCCTCAACATAATGACAGTGATTGCTGGAGGATTTTGCAGGATTGAGGCTGTATGCAAATTTTACATGGAGGCAGTTGGAGGATTTTCCAGGATTGAGATTTGAGATGGCATCCCAGCAAAAAAATGCCCAGGGAGTTAGGGTTAAAAAAAAGGCTGTGATTGGTCAAAGCCTAATGGGGCGGGGCTTGATAGCTCAGTCTTTTAAACATCACCAGTATCCTTTGATTGGGTGTTGGGCTCAAACAAAAATAAGAGTCACAGGGAAATTGTTTGGTTGAACTTAAAGGTAGAGTATATCATTTGTGCATGTTTTTATTCATTTGAAAGCCAAAAAAGTGCTCAAAATCCAAAGAAGGGTGCTTAATAACAACTAACCTGATGAAGTTTCAGCTGAGTGAATGCTGTATATTTCGAGAAAACAATATTCTAGGATCTTGATTTCAATTCAAAAGTTTCAATTCAAAAGTTGAATTGTGCCCGAAATCAGCATCTGGGACACATTCTCTTTCAGCCGATTGCAGCTACGCGATGTCACGCAGTGATACCGACGAATCATAGCAACCGCACGCACGTGTGCGTCATGTCAACAGTTGCGCGCACTCATTCATGGCTTCGCCGAATTAAAAAACGAAGTACTAATGGAAATTCCAAAAATGTGTCTTCAGATGCATCCCAGGAAAGGGCCTCCTTTTATTGTTTTCTTCAAAATGACAGCATGCCAGAAAGAATAATTTCACAGGGAGTTTAGTGCCTCTACCATCTTTAAACCAAATATGCTTTTCAACAATAATTTCGTCAATTACTTTTTGGATAGCTGCAAATGATGTACTCTACCTTTAATGAGATAAGCATCAAATGAAGCCCCCAAAAGAAACTTAATGTAAATATTTCATTGTTATGTAGAAAAAAGCAAAGCATTTTCCAAAAATTTCCATTTAAGTCGTGAATTATTTCCTCCTTTTTACTCCTTTTATTTTTCGTGTATATTCATTCTAAGGAGTAATGAAAAATTGGGAGGAAAATTACAAAAGAGAAAGTCTTGTGCCACCAGAAATTTCCTTTTTTTCTTTCTTCTTTTTTCCCCACTACTCAGTTGCATGTTACGACCAATTTGTAAGCACATTCTAGGATGGAAAAGGCATATAGACGCTGCCTATATTCAACATTAATGCTAAGGATATACAAGAGCAGTATAATTTTATTGTGGTTTAGCCTAATAGTCAGAAAGAAACATTTACAGTTTATGAGATATGCAGAGTGCATAAAGTTATTGGACATGCAGATGGTGTTCCATATAGTTTGTGCGCTTATGAGATGCACCATACTTTAGCCGGCTTGAGTATTAAGCCACAATCACCATCTACATGTACACTGATTGCACAAAGCACCAGTCACATTGGCTGTGCTAGGTCTCCTGTGATGGCGGGAGCATTGTGCCAGCCATTGTAATGAAGTGTTTGTTTCGTTCAAATAGCTGGCTCAGTGGTTCAGCCATCACTGGGGGCCACAGTGAGTGTACTTCGATTCTGTACCCGCATTGGTTGCACACAAAGCAAAACACAAGTTAAAGGTCTCTTCTGCCAGTAGCTGATATTGATCAAAAGAGGGCGCTCTCACAGTGTTGTAGTTGGGGGCCATCACCACAGACATACATGTATAATAAAACCTAGACACGACATTAAAGGGAATATACAACATTTGCAAACATCGAAAAATAAAATTACCAAGTTTTTACGAAATACCTTAATAGGATGTTGGTAAATGACAGTCTAAAGCATCCTGTAAAATTATGGCACCTGGTATACTGTCATTTTCAAGAAAAGTGGTATTTTTGTATCAATTTCCAACGCTGATCGGCCGATCAGCGTTGGAAACAACTGGCTTTTTTTCAAATACTGGCCCCAATTGACCATTGCACTTGTTTGCAATCGATTACAAATCTATGAACGGGTACGAGCCAGCTAGACTGGTTCCCTGACCTTACAATTCCCCAATGTATGTAAACTGCTCTGTTTCTTCTTATATGGAGTCAGGGAACCAGACTACAGGAAAATGATCGTTTTTCTTGGTTTTTATAGCATTTTCGAACCCAAAACCTCCAAAAAGTCAGTGTAACTACATTTCCTTTATATTTCCAACCCCCCAATTCCATCCATTTCTGAAAATTACAGCAAAAGCAAATGATGTATATTCCCTTTAACTCCTTTCACGTTGTAAATTCTGTGAGCAAAACGGGCTGCGTCACGCGGCCTAGCGCTATGCGCAAATTATCATGTGGCTTCAATTTACGTGCATACTTACGTATACTACGTATGCTCAGGCCAGCGCCAATTGATGCACTTGTGCACCGCTTAGTTTTTGGTTTCCCGCATGCATACGGGACCAAAAGATTCCAAATAACGCGCGCAGTGAGACTGCCCTCTTGCGTGTCGCGATGCATTCGCGTAATACGCGTAGCATTTTGCTCACAGGCGCAATAGCAAATGTGGTGTCTAGGTTTTATTGTATGTCTATGGCCATCACAAGTCCATCATAAGCCTTCCTTTGAGTTTGAGATTGGCCATTCCCTGTTGGTTGTGACTAGGGCTGTGCATGCGAACTGGGTACCCAGGTGTCCGAGTACCCGACCGCTAATTTCAGGAACTGGTTCCAGATTATGGAATGGAGTACCCGTAAACAAATTTACATACATACTTAGTAATTTCTCAGACAATGAAAAAGAAAGGTTTTCAATGTCATTTGTAGGGAATTGTCAAAATGAAAGCCAGGCTACATGGCAAAACAAAACAGATTCACATTTGTGACGCATGCGAACATGCAATTTACATCCAAAAACACCATATTGACAAAAAGAAAAGCAAAGGGCAAACTGATACTCGAACCATACGCTTACAAAACTACTGACTGGAAAAATCACAATTTCAAATGTCCCGCGCTGCGAATTTGTGGACCATCTCCCACAATGCACTGGGAAAAATGAACTCTCCGTGGCAACCTCTAGGTAGCGCACTGCATTGTGAATTGCCCGAATTGATTCCTCATTTAGTTTATCAACCAAATACAATTAACTTTGTTTTTGTTTTTGAAGGGAGTGTAATTTGTTTCCTCACATTGTTTCTATGAGAAAAAAATTCAATAAAAATGTAAAAAAGACAAATGTACAGTGTTCCTGGAATCTGAGGGGTTTGAAAGAACCGCCTTTTAAGTAAATCACAAGTTACATGTAGTTATTCTCTATTTTTTATCAGATATCACATAGACTAACAGTTTACACATTGTTCGGATCATTTGTTTAACTTGGATTAAATTTGCATGTTTTGCATTAATTGGACTTTGCATTGTTATAATGTTAATTAATTTATGATTGTAATCACTTGTACATATTTTCCATATTTGCATATAAACCTGTACATTATTCAACTGATTATGAGGATTTTTTTTGTCTTTTTTGGAAATATATACAGTGTACAAGGAAATTACTTAACACATTCTGAACTTCAATATTTTGTTTTCGAAATGTTGACATGAATGTGGGCATTTGGTTGGAGTGTTGTTGCTGTCAGTTTACCCTTCATGGTGTGAATATTTACAGTGTTGGTATCAATTTTGTTGAAGGTTTGTAATTTCATTTCAATGAAAACAAAATTCATGTTTGTAAATCTGTAAGAAAAAGAAGTGGAGATCAAAGTCCGGCCCTCCTTTGAAACTATATTATAGTGTACATGTAAATAGATACATTTCGACAGAAATAGGGATTATTTTTGCATGTCTTGTATTAACTAAGTTTAGGACCTGTTTCAAGGCTGGGTTTTTGTTAAATTGGCACC